ATCTAATCCCCATAGCTCGAATTCGGACCAATGAAACACATGTATGTTTTGATGGGAGGAAATGTCACGTGTGAGCGGAAGAACCATTAATCCGTGGAAACAACACGCGTTTCTCCAGATTCTAACGGAGGGCGGCCGGCCGAAACACCACGCGATTCGCCATGTTATAATGTCTGGAGGGTGACACGGTCGAATATAGATAGGGTGACACGGTCGAATACAGATAGGGTGACACGGTCGAATACAAATAGGGTTCTCGAACACGACCTGAAATTGACGCCACATCCAGTTCTCCGTGCGGGCATTACAGTCCTACATATATCTTGAGTTACAGGACCTCATCACAGCCATACAACTCGCAGGGCTAATTTCGTTTCTCTTGAGAAGGATCAAAGTCACCCAAGGCGTCAGCTGGCACACCGTGCAAATATTGTAGAGGAGTCTTGAACTCGACGAAACCAATATTGGGACTGGACAGAGTATAACCCAGCGCTTTTTGGGCGGCGTCACTCCAAGATAGAACGTCATCAGCTGAGTTTGCCAGATAGATATTCTCCTCCTGCCGCAAGAAGCCTCTGGTAAAGAAGAGCCCGTGGACAATTCGCCTCTCATTGTTAGTTATATTCGCTCCTCCCGCGTGGTAAAGGCCACCGAGCATGATCCAACAGTCGCCGGCTTCCATTTCAGCATAGGTAGCTTCCTCCACCTTTGGAGCCCGGTCAGATCCCCAGAGATGGCTTCCCGGAATGGCCAGAGTGGCCCCGTTCTCGATGGTGGTCTTGACCCCTGCGACCAAGAAAGCCATTTCCACATCGGTACCGATCTGGTAGCCTGTCTGTGTCTGGTCCGGGTGGTGGACGTGGTAGTTTTTGTCGTCACGATGCAGACGCTGTGCCTTCCCACCCGGTCCAATGTCGAACGTGACTGCGATGGAGCAGACAGCCTCGCTGGTGTATGTGTGCTTGGTCTCACCATAGAAGTTGGAGGTGGTCTTGTCCACGAATTTGGCATTACAGGCCCGAATCAAGGGGTCGACCAGCCATTTCTCTCGTACGGTTCTGCTGCGCCCAGCCAGGTTTGAACACCGCCGAGTTTCTGGCGGAAACAAGTCCCCCTAATGTAATGTGAATTTCGTGAGACCTAAGAGGAGAGCCGCTAAGAGCTTACCTTCCAAGGAACGTCGGCTTCAAGGTAGGGCCGCGTCTCAGCATTGACCTGTGCAACTGTAGCTGCATCTGTGAAGTTCTTCACGATACAACATCCATCTTGGGTAATGGCATGAAGGATACCGCCCACATCGCATCGGTCGATTCGCTGCACCGTTGGGATCTTAATAGCCATGGTTACGGCAAAGAAGACTTGGTTGAACTGTACAAGACCAACGTAGAGGTATAGCACAGCTTACAATCATGTTATAATCCCTTGGAATAGGGCTGACTTATCATTGCCCAGACGGATCTCGGCGACCACTTTCCTCGTGCCGATAAGCCCAGACTTCGGTCCTAACGTTCTTGGGATCGCGCGGCCGATTGTTACCCTTTTGATAACAGCCTATCTGCATATCTGTGCCACCTAACGTTTATCGCCGGTCTTGAAGCCATAGATTCGAAGAGATTCATGGCCTACCTTGGTGCGAATACCTTGAAAATCTCGCCGACAGCCATTTGTTGTTCGGGTAGGCAGGCCGTTAGGAGTAAACCAACCTTGGAATTCGCGAGTTTGCCTTCTCCGTAAGGACTTGAACCACCAAATGTGACAAATCCTCGAATATCTATTCGTATATCCAGCCGGCCTTCGACAAGTCAGGATCCGGGAATTCCCCGGGTTCGTGTGTTACTCTTTAGGAGGCCATGTGGAGCCCGCAGGGGTCGATACCTTATCATATCAAAGTGTTTATCATATCACATCGATGTTTATCCAGTTCGATCCTATCGGCCAGAGATACGAAGAAACGGTCTCTATTCGTCCTGATGGAAAGGAGATATCAAATGAGTCCTTGCAATGGCGATATGGATAAAGACATAAAACCTCACCTCACTCGCTGCATCGATGCCTTTGAAGTTCTATTCGACTTGATATCCACCATCTACACTCAAGACAAAGGCCTGTACCACCATCAACACCAATAGCAGCAACCATGTCTGGCATGGTAATTGACTCTGGAGAGAAAAAGGGCGGCGTCGGGCAGGACATGGTGACTTTGGACCGCACGCCCAGCTCTTTTGACCAGGGTGAAACTGCTTCTCTCGAGAACAGCTTCGGAGAACTTCATCGTGATTTTACACCACGACAAATTCATGTATGTTATGGTTCGTCCTTTGGCGCTGTCGTGTCATCTATCACTTGCTAACCGCCTTACCAAGATCATCTCTTTGGGATCAAATGTCGGAAGTGGACTCTTCATCGCCACTGGCAAAGCATTGGCAACTGGGGGGCCGGGCACTATGTTTTTGGCATACTTGATGGTGTGCAGCGGTGTGTGGGCCAATCTCCAGAGCTTGGGCGAAATGACAATCGCCTTTCCCACCTCTGGCAACTTTGTCGATTTTGCCGGTCGATGGGTTGACCCTGCTCTGGCCTTTGGGGCGGGGTTTGCTGAATGGCTGGGTGAGTCGAACCCCTTTCCTCTCCTCTCTTCTGACCGTTCCATCTTTTACGGGATATTGATCCAAACTCCGAACAGGTTGGACTTCAGTGGTTGCATCCGAAGCCGGATTCTTCGTTGTCTTGGTGAACTATTGGGCTGAAGGAGTAGTGCCACAAGCTGCTCTAAGTATGTTCTGCGACCCTTTCCCATCTCTGAAGCCTGCCTTTATCGATCTGACAATTATAGTAACCATCTTTTTGGTGATTTGCCTCATCGTGTTCGTGCTGCCTAACAAGGCATTTGCGTGGGTACAAACCTTCGGGTCCATGGTCAAAATTATCCTCTTCCTGCTCATCGTCGTGCTCTCGTTGGCTCTCATCGGTGGTGCAGGGCCGACTGGATCTGTGCATCACGGCAGCTACTGGACCCATGGAATGGCCTTTCAAAACGGTTTCGCGGTGAGTTTGAGCACTCTTCTCCCGTTTTTTCTTTCCTTAGGACAGACAGAGACTCATAATATCTCCACTCACGAACAGGGGTTCGCAAATTGCGCCATCCTAGCCATCTGGGCCGTAGGGGACCAAGTCTTCATCGGCGTCATGGGCGGTGAAGCCAAGTCGCCGCGATTCTCTATGGCGCACGCATCGAATCTGGTGCCCATGCGCACTGGGTTCATGTACATGACGTGTGTGATCTTTATCGGCTTGCTCGTCCCCAGCGGTGACCCTCGCCTGCTCGGCGGATCAGGTGCGGCGGCTTCGCCCTTTGTCATCTCGGTCAACGAGGCTGGCATCAAGGGTCTCCCGGACCTAATCAACGCCTGCATGATCATCGGAATCGTCGCAATCGCTCTAGAATCTATTTATCTGCCATCTCGCATGATCCGCACTATGGCTCTTCAGGGCCTGATTCCATCATACTTGGGAAAGTGTGATTCTCGTGGTCAGCCCAGATGGGCCCTGGCAATTACCTCTGTCGTGGCTGTCGTCTTCAGTTATATGAGTCTTAGTGGTGAGTCTTGTTCTTCTCTCCTGTCCCCCTCTCTCAGTCAACCCGTACGGTAAATGATGGCCGAGTATTGCGCAATACGAAACCTGTCTACTGCAAGGTCAAAAATCATTTTTTTCCTTTTTCCTTATTTCAATCTTGGTAGGAAGCTAACCGCCCGTGCCTTATAACAAAATAAGGAGGTGGATTGACAGCGTTGAACTGGTTCATCTCCATTACCAGTGCATCATTCTTCTGCAACTGGGCCATCATCGCTTTTACCAACTTCCGCTTCCGACAAGCTCTGCGTGCGCAGAATGACAAGATCTTTAACCAGACCTACGGCTGGGAATCAACCCTTTGGCCTCTGGCTCCAGCTTACTTGATGGTCATCTCGCTTATGCTGCTTATTTGTTTGTTGTATCTATCTATCTCACCAATTGTAAGTTCTCTCTCCATCCTTTTGACCATCTGCCCCTATTATATTTGCTGACTTACGTGTCTTCTCCTTTGCACACAGGGTGCCAGCTTCACAGCCAATAACTTTTTCCAATACACCATCGGACTGATCGTCATCGTCGTCTTCACCCTGGCCTACAAGATTCTGATGCGCACCAAATGGCAAGATCCCGCCACAGCCGATCTGGTCAGAGGTCGCCACGTGATCAGTGTCGACGAGTTTCGCATACTGGATGACTATTATAGTCGTCCTCTGTGGCGGCGTATTGGTACTTATGTATCTCTCTGGTAGCAGTTATTTAGGTCTGTCTTATTATGAGAGGTAATTTTTGCAAGTTAGGATGGAAGAAGGCGGGAGAATGGGAGATGAAGTTGGAAATGGAGATATGAAGATAACCAATAGCCAGATATAGGCGTCGAGGCTAGAATTGCGTCTGTGATTCCACTTCGTAGAGAAACTGAGTGCCCTCTTTGCCGAGTGCCAGTACCCGCTCCCTCTAGAATTGATAAAGAACATCACATCACGTCAGCAGTGGTGCCCATCTCTTCGCGTCAGACAGAAGAACTATATCAAGGAGCCAAGGATCCAAGGAGCCAAGACAGCCACTTAAGCCTTTTTCTCGCTCTGGTTCTCAAGCTCAGTCTCAGTAATGGTGACAGCCTTGCCCTCGATCGTCTTGAGTCCTGCAGCATTGTGGTCCTGAACTTCGGTGAGTCTAGCCCCAATGCCGTGACAAACATAGCCCTTGAATTTCCATGCAGGAACGTTGTTCTGGAACATCTCATCCAGTTCTTCCAAGCTGCGGTTGGCACACTCGGGCACACAGAAGTAGACAAAGAATATGGCCAATAGCGAAAAGGAGCCATAGATGAAGCCGACCTTTGCATCCAGGTTTCCGGGGCTCCCTTGGACATATGGGTTGATGTAGCTGACAAGGAGGACGGCGATGAAGCTGAAAGTCGAGGCCAGACTGATTGTCTTCTCACGTAGACTGTTCGTAGGAACCTCTGCCGTGACAATCCAGACACAGGAGCCCCAGCCAAGATTGCCGAAAAAGGACCAAATCAGCATGAGAGCCAAAAGGAATTGGGCCATTCCGCCTGATGGTGTCGTATAGCCGGCAACACCCGCAACCACCCACAGCGCAATCCACATGCCGACAGCAGAGACAATGAGTAATGGGCGACGACCGACCTTATCGGCAAGGTAGAAAGCAAACATGGATCCACCGATGGCCATTGCGTTCCGAGCCATTGCACTGCCCAAAGGGTCGGTAAGGCCAACTTGCGCGAAGAAAATAACACTGTACGATGTCATGAATGCGTTGCCTGATAGTTGCTGCAAGACCTGAACACCGGTGGCAATCATCAACCGACGGCCGTTACTGCCCTTGAAGCAGTCGAGGTAGCTGGTTGCCTTGTGCAATTCTTCCTGTTCAGCGACAGCCTGCTGGGTCAGGACCAGTTCTTCGTGAACCTCCTCGTCTGTGGCAACACCCTTTCGAATGTATGCCAGAGCCTTTTCGGCTTCCTCGTGACGGTTGCGTTGGATCAACCAGCGGGGAGATTCGGGCACCAGCCACAAAGCACACAGCATGATCACTGGAACTATCATCTGGAAAACAAGGACTATCACGCAATCAGTATGGCCCCATCAATGGCGCAAAACTTCTTACCAGTTCTCCACGACCAAGCACTGTTCGCATATGTGCGCATAGTGTTGTGGCAAATGCCCTTGGCAATCAGGACACCAATCATTTCCCACCACGAAAAGAGATTCACGAGTGAACCACGGATGGCTGGTGGCGAGAGCTCCGACATGTACATCGGGACATTGTTGATCTCAATACCCTGTTCTCGAATAAGCCCGGCAACCTAAAAGCAGCAGCGAGGTACATACCATCGAGAAGGAATTGATGGTGCGACCAGCCATGATACCCCAGTAGCTGTGGATGGAAATTTGGAGGATCATCCCGAGCAGGGCAATAGCGACAATCACGACGACTGACAACCGTCGACCAAGTTTCTTGATGATAGGACCAGCTGCGAAAGCACCGAGTGCCATGCCAGCGTTGGCTGTGCCACTGCCAGCGGAGAGCCAGGAAGATGGGAGCGTATATTTTTGTTTTACAGGATCCCAACGACCAAAAGTTTCGATGAAGTCGTCGATGGTGATGACCGCTGCCCACCAGCCATTGTCAATGCCAAAGTTCTGCTGCGTGTCAACATGGTCTCAGACTGTCGCATATATGATCTACCCACGATTGCACCAATCTGTTCATTCCCGTTAGCTGAATGATGCTCATAATGGGTCAGTGATCACTTACAGAGATGAACATGAACAACGCGAACAGACGGGGCGTCAGCTCCCGGTAGAGAGCACTGGCTTTGACCTTGTCGCGGAGCGCCATCATGACAGTTGTATGCTCCGATTCTTGACAATGTATATATTCTCAAAGATGATAGTCGATCGATCCAGCCTTGTACTGAAGACTTGGCCACTGTCGGTTGATGCACTTTTCGGGAGGATCGAGGGGTGAACGAAGGCTCTTATGCCTTTTCCTCACGCTCAGGTCGACCGTCGACCTTATGAACGTTGAAAGATAAGAACAGCAGCTGGCCACAGCCTTCTGGACTTGCGCGCAGCTAACGTCTGTTGCAGCATTACTGATAGGAGATGGGGGTGAAGCCAGACAAGAGCCTCTCTTGAAAGCGGTCTTTTAGACACCCTTGCCTGTATCAGGTATGTGACAGGTCAGCCACTGATAAGACACGCATTAGTAGTCCTGCAAAAATCATCGGGTCTGTCGATCGTCGTCCAAGTGGCCGTTGAAGAATATGTTTGCCCCATGGGCAAGGTGGGAATGTTGGGAGTGTTTGCGCCGCGGCCAAGCTTCGAGCTCCAGTCGCCTTCGACCCGCGGCCAAGAAATCAAGAAGTCGCAAAGCCCGCAATCTTCCTAGCATTTTGTGCCCGCTGATGTCCTTAGAACAAGTATCAGGCGCTGGACCGATGATTGTGATCGCTAATAGCTTATAAATTAGTCTTCTGGTGTTAGAATGTAAATGATTCGGCAGTTCAGAAGCGATCCTGGAAGAACGACGTGATACGGAAACTTGTGTCATCTGCGGGCTGGCATCTACCATCTTTGGTGCCCCTCGACTTCTGCAGGGAAATATCTTCTCAGCTTTACCCAAAGAAAAGGAACAGAAGCCCCTCATGTCTGTGACGACTACTTCTACCGTGACCGCCTCACCTTTGGCTTCTTTGGCTTCGGTGCCTCCTGCAGCGCCGAAGTCGATTTACCAAGCTGATGGACCACCCGTACTTGAACAACGCTTTGCCGAGCTGAAGAGGGAGATCATCAAGCCCGAGCTTGAAGAGGCCGTGTCCGCATCCTATGTTCGCTTGAAGGCCGCTTTGGCCGATGAGGTGGAGAGAATCAGCAAAGCTCAACAATCCGCTGTACCAGAGATTGCGTGGTCAGAAGTCGTTGCTAATGGTAAGTGAAGTGTGGATATTGATGTGGCCATGGCATTGCGAGACTTGATCAGACCTAATTTCTCGTAGGAGGTCGAATCCCAGATGAACTCGCCGAACGAGTTCGACATACTGGTTGTTTGATATTCCGTGGTCTTGTATCGGAAGAACAAGCACTTGCCTGGAAAGAGGAGCTGAGGGACTACACAAAGCGACACTCTGCTGTAGGAGGGCGTCCACTGTCGGATCCCACGACATGGTTGCTGTACTGGACCAGGCCGCAGGTACAGGCCCGGTCCCATCCCGACATCCTCAAAGCCATGGATGTGACCAGCCAACTGTGGCATGTCGATGATGACACCCTTCCCATCGACATGTCGTCTCAGGTGGCATACTGTGACCGTTTTCGCATTCGCAAGGCCGGCGACAAAGCGTACAGCCTAAAAGCCCACCTGGACTCGAGCTCCACTGAGCGATGGGAGGACCCAGCCTACCGGTCCTGCTACCAAAAGATCTTGGAAGGCAAGTGGGAGGAGCACGACCCTTGGCAGATGGACCCGCGCGGCGATGCCAAAGTCGCACTCTACCGTGGTATCGGCAGCTGTTCTGGCTTCAGATCCTTCCAAGGCTGGCTCGGTATGTCGGACTGTGCTCCCGGTGAAGGCACTCTGCGCGTCTTGCCGAGCCTGAAACTCAGCACAGCGTATATCATGCTTCGCCCATTCTTCCTTGACGAGAAACTCGACGTGTCACAACCGACCTTTCCAGGATCCATACCAACAAAGGGACAAATCTATGCCAGCCCGAAATATCATCCTCATCTCGACCACGCCCGAGCCATTATCAGTATTCCTCGAGTCAAACCTGGTATGTGTTTCACCCACACCTAGCTTTTTATTCGACTGACGTGTTAGGTGATTTCGTCTTTTGGCATGCCGATGTCTTGCATGAGGTTGAGGATGAGAACAACGGAATTAATGATTCGAGTGTACGAACCCACATCCTCTTGATAATTCCTTATTGACCCCTCGTCTAGGTGATGTATATCCCCAATGTACCGCTTTGCGAATACAACATCCAGAACATGCTCAACCACCGCAATGCATTTCGTGAAGTTGTGCCCCCTCCGGATTACTACAGAGATTTTGGTGGGCCATATGAAATCGAGCGCGAACATGAAGATCATGGTGCGCGTGAACAGAATATCTTGACTCTGAGAGGGAAGCAGGCGCTAGGATTGGCTGATTTTGATGAAAATGAGCCAGGACTTACCGAAGGTCAGAGGAAGATTAGAAAGATGGCAAACGCAGCCATGAGAGGACAATAGTGGTTCCAACACCTTCATTTGTTTGGAGAAAGCGGGGGAGAGTTTCTCCTGATCACCCTAGTCGTTGTTAGTGGAGTGAATGTCATATCATCCAATCAAACTGCCCAAATGACGGGGCTTGTTTATCTTGATAACCATGAGAGACTAACTTATCGTGCTGCAAGATTCGTAAAGTGCACAACATTCCGTTATCTCTCGATATCACTTCTACTCATGTGTACGTCTGCTTACGTCTTGACACAGAGTAGGTCATCTCATATCTCCATCTCCAAAGGTCATACACGATGGATACGAGAGGAGGAAGACAGTATAAGTCGCGAAAACAAAGACCGTGAGCCCAGCAGAGTCCCGACATCTTACCTTTTGCTCCCACACCCGTGTTGACACGCTGCTCTTAGGTGCGATGCATGTCGTCGACGCAAGATCTGCTGTGTACGTGAGGCCGGCCACAGTGACTGTGCCTTATGTCGGATACGATCCGAAAGCTGTCAATTCGACAGTGAGCCAAATCCTCGAAAGGGCCGTGCTGGACGGATCAAGGACAGCACCGCGACGGTCGACACCAACTCTCCTATGAGCATCGACACCGTACGTTCAGGTTCCGAGTTACCAGCGACCGATACCATTTCGCCACAGTCTATGCCCGAATCTCCTAATTTACATTCTCATTCCGCCCATGGACGACTTTCGGCGGTTGACGTTGCGAAGTCGATCGTTTCGCCACGAAATCGACCACCTGTACCCAATAAATGGATTTCATTCATTGTCGGGTCGAGTGGTGATCAAGATTCCTTCCTTTTGCGACATTGTTCTTTCAACGACTTGAATTACTACAAACGGCCACATTGGGCCTGTTTGCGCGTTGGGGGCGGCGGTAACCAAGAAGGTGGAGCGCATTTCACGGTAAGTCTTACAGTCTTGTCCCGTGTCGATCGAGCCCGATCACGCTTTCCAGAACAGCTATCCTGCCTCTTCGAACTGGTCAGCCGCTGAGATAGTAGCGTTAAGGTCATTCCCGACTATCATCTAGACGTCCGGCATCGCGTGTACCCCAAGCAAAACGTCAAGAATCTGATCGGCGAGGAAAAAGCGCAATTAATCAGAACCTTTTTTGAAAAGATCCATATTTCCCTTCCCCTGCTCGAGCCGTCTTGTTTCGACGAAGAAGGCCCCAGCGATATCTTGCTTGCTGCCGTTTGTGAGATTGCCGGGCCGTTCTACTTACAGAAGCATGCGCCTGAGGACACTAAGGTGTTGGATTGGATTTACCGGGCTTTGCCATGGGAAATTCGTCAACCAAAACTAGAAACCCTTGAGGCGAGCTTATTGTTTGTCCAAAGAAACGCCAGACAGCATAGGTAATTTCTCCCTGGACTCTGCGAGATGTCCAATCCTTGCCCGTTCTTCGCAAACCACAACTAACCCTCTTGTTCGTGCCTAGAGCACCGCCCACACCGGGACTGTGGTCAGAAGTTGGAAGTGTATGTTTCTCTCCCTGCGTAGTTGTCTATACGTTCGAACACGCATGCTGATTGTCGTCTGTTTCAGATCGTCGGTATGAGCCAAGAGATTGGTCTCAATGTGGACCCCTCCGGGTGGGATATCACGCCCGAGGATCGAGGTCGCCGCATCCGCCTGTGGTGGATGGTCTACATGGTCGACAAGTGGTCTGCTTTGACCCTAGGCAGACCGTCGTATATCAACGAGGAAGAGTACAATGTGCCTCTGCCGACTATGGACAACTTTCCCAGGTACAACTATGAGGACCTCGAGCCGCCAGAGGTCGGTATTCGCCAGTTCATCGGAATGGCAGTCTTAACCACCATCCTTTCCGACATCCTAGCGACATTTTACACCCTACGAGCGAATACGAGGCTGCAATCGTACTCCTCAGATCTTCTCCAGCTACTCTCGGACCAGTTTGAGCAGCGTCTGGAAGCCTTCCACAATACACATCTAACGCCAATCTATGACGTTCATAGTTTCCTCGACCCAACAGGTAATTGACCTTGCAAATGCAATTGCTAGTAAAACAGGACACTGCTGACTAAGTCGCAGGCACAATCTTTCTTGCGTTCCACACTGTCAAAATTACCCTTTACCGGGCCATGTTGAGACGCCTGGACCCAACCGACATCCAATATCAGCCCTTTCGCATCCGAGCGAGGCTCATTCTCGGCGAAGTCACAATGCTGCTTCAAACATTGACAGTCCGCCGTTTGCGTGTCTTTTGGTGGAGTCGTAAGCAACCATTTTCACTGCCATCCTCCTCTCTTTCCCTTTTCCCCAATATCAAGCTCGGCTAATGTAAGCTTCCAGAACTCTCCAACCACAATTTCGCAATAGCTGGTGGTTTCATGATGTCTCTTCTAGTCACATCAACTAACGACACTGAAATCGAATACTGGACCAGCCAAATCAAATTGTATTATGATCTCCTGCAAAGCCAAAGCGTCGGTTTTGATACGACCAAGTTGGCCGCGGCAAGGATGAGCTTGTTGAGCTCCGTAAGTCAGAGTGCTGGGGATGAGATCTTTTCCGGAATAGACTCGAAACAAGCTTTTTGTGGTGACTTTCGCATAGAGCTCTGCGAATGATCAGACAGAAAATCGTCATGTCGGTAGAAGTAACTTCACCCTTTTTGGTGTTTGTTGTCTTGGTCGTGGTGGGTTGCTTCTTGTCCACGGGGATCCGCGGTTTTTCTCGTGGTCGATGATAATCAATGTTTTGGCCGCGGCGCAAAGGTCGCACCGGGATCTACCGCGTATTGAATGCTCTCCAGGACGCTGGTGTCACCAGCCAGCACATAATCTCTTTGGGCTCAAGGTTTCGCGTTACTATCCAAGCCGTGTAACAAAGGAAGTGAATTCCAAACACAGCCAACGAACCAGTCATCTCTATCATCTCCCGGCAAAGAAATCATGTCGATTGTGGCGAACCGCCCTCCATTTACCATCGCGGATTGGCGCGCAGCGGCTCAGGAGAAGCGCCAGCAGCTAGACGAGAGTATCCCGGCGTCCTTTTGTCTCCCCGAAGCGCTGCTGCAGCAAGTGCATAGCGAACATGGTCCCTACTCTGAACGGCCAACATTGCTGGACAGTGGCATTTTGACGAAACTCGACATTGAGATCACGTCCATAGTCAACGTACCAGTGCTGCTGAAGCGGATCGCGACAAAGCGATACTCGGCGGTGCAGGTAGCCGAAGCCTTCTGCAAACGTGCCTCCTTGGCACAGCAGTTTACAAGCTGTTTGACTGAGCTGTGGTACGATGCCGCCATCAAGAGGGCAAGATGGTTGGATGATTATCAACGGAGAGAAGGTCGAGTGATTGGTATACTCCATGGGTTGCCAGTGTCATTAAAGGTGCGTTAACGGCGGTCCTGGGTGTTCAGTTGTCGATCAGATTCCGGCCTCACTCATAACTAGACTGAAGAATAACTTGTCCTTTTCTTTAGGATTGTTTCGACGTCGAGGGAGCTAACTCCAATGCTGGACTCGTCTCCTGGCTGCCGTATCGTGCCTCCAAGAACTCGTGTGTGGCCCAAGCCTTGCTCAATGCCGGCGCAGTGTTGTATGCCAAAACCAGCAGTTCCCAAGCTTTACTCTCGGTCGAGTCAATCAACAACATTTTCGGCACCGTCAAGAATCCTCACAATACCGAACTTTCGGCCGGGGGCTCAAGCGGAGGTGAAGGTGCCCTTGTAGCAGCCGGAGGGAGCATTTTGGGTTCCGGGACAGATGGGGGAGGAAGCCTCCGGTGGCCTGCCGCGTTCTGTGGCCTTTGTGCGTATCTTCCCTTGACCTGAACGGCGAGGAACCTTAGCCGTTCATACAAAGCCTGTCTCTTATCAAAATCCAACAGGGACACTCAAACCATCCAAAGAAAGGGTTCCAGGAGCTGGCATTTCCGCCCCTAGGAGTGGCTCCGAGTCGGTCAATGCCGGGATCGGACCGTTGGCAAAGACTGTGTCAGGGTTGGAACTGTGGATGCAAGCCCAGTTGGCGTCGGAGCCTTGGAATTATACCTTCGGCTGTCTGCCGATGAAGTGGGATACGGTCCAAGCACAGCGGCCGTCTGCCACAAAGCTGAAAGTTGGGGTTGTTTGGGATGATGGGATCATCAAACCGACGCCTCCAGTCACAGTATGTACCGCCTGATGCCTAGTCATCGAGCTCACGGCAACTTATATTTCATTGGCCTTTGCGGAGCGAGCACTGATACTGTTGGAAAGCGTGCCCTCCAGATTGTCGTCGAGGCACTCTCAAAAGCAGGACACACGATCGTCTCTCTTCCCAAAGAACGAATCTTTCCCCTTCATCGCCGCAGTCTCGGCTGTACGATGCTGTCAAACGTCCAGGATGGAGGCCGGACGGTGATGCGACATATCAATGCTTCAGGAGAGCCTGTAGTGCCGCGAACTGCTGTGGGATCTGCAGCCTCGGCCTTAACAGCTGAGCAAGTCTTTGACAATCACCTGCTGCGTGGCCAGCTGGCCTCGGAATACAACGACATCTGGATCGAGTTCGGCCTTGATACCATTCTCGCCCCTGCCACCGCGCATCCAGCAAATCCACATGGGAAGTATATTAGCAACTCATACGCCACTGTGTACAACATGCTAGACTATGTTGCTGGCGCCGTACCCGTCACATTCGTTGACCAAGAGTTGGACGTTGCCGATCGGGATTGGTACGACGGGGAGATATATGAAAGAGTAGAGCCCGACCGATTTCCTTACGATCTTGGGGATCGAGAAATGAAGTCTCTCTGTGAGTTGCTGCGGCTGCTAAAACCGAGGCTGCTCTAAATCGATCATGATAGCGTGTGCTGATGGAAGTCTTGCAGATACCTCTCCGGCAGTCTTCAAGGACGCACCAGTTGGTGTGCAGTTTCTCTGTCGCAGACTAAGAGAGGAAAAATGCATCGGCATTCTCAAGGAGGTTGAGCAATTGCTGGCTGAGAAAACTGGTTGAGGTTCCCACGAAGGAGAAGATCGAAGTATGCCCGTATTCAACAACTTCTTCTTGCTCCAAATGTACAGGAATTTAGTCCTGCGTAGGCCAAGTCCGCATGGCATGGGTTTGTTTCAGTAAAATGACGGGGTGTCGGAAAGCGAAACTTGCAATACGGCGAGAAAGGAATATGGACCAGAGACATAGATGGAAGATAACAGATCACAAGTTGGAAAGCTTCCGTTCTCTTCTGTTTCAGCTAGTCTCTTGTTTGTCCTGCCACATTCTGAGCTCCATCGTGATCAAAGATCTTCAGGTCATGCAATCAACCTGGGTCAAGTCTCAGCGAGTTGGAGTGCTTCGACACTTCCCCGTGGGGTATTCGGCAATTTGCAATAGGGATTACCAATATCCGATCTGATCTGCCAGTGTACCTGTGGTACTGGAAGCTGGATGTCAACGTTCCGCTGAATCATGGGGAAAGAATTGCCCAGCGTTTAGGCAGTCGCGCAAATCTCCGAGGGTTAGCGCAGTGTTGTACGCCAAAACCAGCAGTTCCCAAGCTTTACTCTCGGTCGATATGCAATGTTGCCGACGACGGCATTACTACTAGCTATGGGTAATGCCCGGTCTATTGGGAGTGCATTGGGTAACTTACATAGAATCCTCGAGCAGTAGAATCAATGTCGTTAAAACTTACCCCCTATCTACCTCTAATACAGTAGACCGGGCCCTAGCGCCAACTAATGTGCGTGTGTATCTCGCGGCGTGGCTTTACAAGGCCAGGTCCCTTTGATCGGACCAATCATTGGTCTTTTATATTTCAAGCGATTAAAACCCACGTGCAAGGGTAATAAAGACCGCCATCTTCGCCGTCGTACCTCCATCTTTCGTACAACTACAAATTCATCGACACCTGAAGTGTAAAGATTCGCCAACATGACTGCGTCTACCACTCGTGGAAATCTGCAGGCTTTGGTGCAGGAGATGCATAGCCATGTCGATCCCTTCATCAGCGACATTCCAAAAGTTGAGCTGCATCTTCACATCGAAGGGACAATAACTCCCGCATTGCGTTGGAAGCTGGCTCAGAGGCATGGAATCACCTTGAAAAGTGAGCGTACTGGAGAAATCTACGACACGATCGAAAAGCTGCAAGCCTCATATGAGCTTCACCGCGCCCAATACAAGCCTGGTGAAGGAGCCGAAGCGACCTTCTTTGAACTGTACTATGGAGGGTTTGAAGTACTCCAGACCGAAGAGGACTTTTATGACCTGGCAATGAACATGTTTGAGCTTGCCGCCAAGATGAACGTCCGATACGTCGAACCATTCTTTGATCCGCAGGGACATACCCGGCGAGGCGTGCCACTCGACGCTGTCATGAAAGGATTTAGGCGGGCTCAGCTGACAGCCGAGAAAGACCTGAATGTAAGTAAGCCACACCTTTTCAAGTTTCTCCTTGGGCAAGATCGGACAATGACCAAGTGCCTTTGATTGCAGGTCAAATCCCAATGGATCATGTGCATGCTACGAGACATGACACTAGAATCCGCCACGGAACACTACGAAGCCGCCCTGCCTTACCGTGACATGATTGTGGCAATTGGACTTGATTCCATGGAGGAGGGCCATCCTCCGTCGCAATTCTACAAACTTTTCGAGCGAGCACGTGCCGACGGCTTCAAGCTTACCTGCCATTGCGATCCGGGTGTACCGGACACTATGTCAAACATGGAACAGGTCCTCAACGATATTGGAGGTACAGGCGCGGATCGATGCGACCACGGCCTGAGTGCGGCTCATGATCCGCAGTTGGTACAGGGCTTTGTCGAAAAGAAAATCGGCATGACGCTTTGTCCATGGGCCTATTTCTGTCTTTCGCCAGAAACAGACATCATGGGTAAGGTTCGTCAGCTCTACGATGCGGGTGTCCAAGTTACTATTAACAGCGACGACCCGGCTTATATGGATGGTTGCTGGATCGTCCACAACCTACACTTGGCGAGGCTGATGTGCGGCTTTTCAGATGCTGACATTGTCCGCCTGCAAAGAAATGCAGTTGACATGTGTTGGGCACCACAGGAGGTTAAGAGCGCCATCACCAAGGAGTTGGAGGAATTCGCTGCACGGAATATCACTGGGAAAGCATAGCCCGGATGGCGAAGACGGAGGGTACTACGATAGATGCCGCACAATGCGTCCTTAGCCGAGCCTTGCGTTCCCAGCCTCAACCAATCGGCTCAAATGAGGCTCTCGTTCATGAAAAGTAGATACAACAGTAGATTTAGTCCCTTCTGCGTGCAAGTAGCCCTTTTGAATTTACAATCCATGTCTCAGGGATTGGTCGCTGTTTTTATGTCAGGAAAAAAGCGTACTATACTCGTCTCAGCTGTCAAGTACAAAATCTGAATAGTCTCCTTAAGACACAAACACTTTCTTCACAGCTGCTCAGTAGCTTTTAAAGTCATAAGCATTACTTTACCGCACTTCTTAAGAGTCATGCCCATACTCTCAGTCGGGTTCGTCATTCCAGGCTCAACACAGATCGGCACAGGTCTTCGGATATTGCAAGGATTGCTTGATCTCTGCCAAGAGCTTCGTCGAATCCACCTCGAGCACGTAGTTAACCTTTTGCAGTTTCTGGGCGGTGGGCATCAATGCTTCTTGATAGCCATGGATATTGCCATAAGTCGGACTAGACCATGCGGTATCGACATCAAGGTAGACTTTTTTAAATTCCAGTTTAGCATACGTTTCAATCAACGAACACAAAGGCAGGACTTACAGGACGTCGAGTTGAGGACGTTGGCTGGGTCCAGAACCGCAAACATTGCCGTCTCATCCCAGAAGGCGAAGGTGGTCCCATAGTAGTTGTACGCCAAACTGGTGTATGGGTTCTTGACTTGATAGACCTCGTCCCAATAGGCCTGCGTTGGCATTACTTGATTGGCGGCGTTGCCGACAATAGCTGTCATGATGTCAACCTTCTCAATTCTTCCCATCTGACGGATATTGTTTACTTACTGATGTTGGGGAAATCGGCGGTCAAGGCGATCTTGCTACCTTCTGGATCGATCATTAGGTTTATCTAAAAGAGAAGCTTTTGTCAGTACTGCTACTGCTCCTGACCAACAGCTGATCTTCTCTCGGGTTCCATCACACTTACATCAGAGTTCATGTCGGCCTGGTTCACACTTCCCGTCACCTGGAGCAGGTTGACGTCAATGTAGCCGCCCATGATCACCAAACCCTTTGCTAGCTTGGCAAATTCAGGATCCATGCGGACGGCCAGGGCGACGTTGGTCATGCCGCCCGCAGCGTAAATCATGACCTCGCCGGGGTACTTATGGACCTGCTCGATCATCCAAGCGGCGGCATACTCGCCGGTCAGGGTGCCGTTGGGGTAGCCTTCCAGGAATGCGGCCTGGGCCACTCGATTTGGGTCGCCCGACGTCGGGTCAGCGCCGGCCGCCTCTTCGGTCAGATTTTCCGGAGCAAAAGCCCCCTGCCACGGCAACACACCATGGACCTCTTCCCACGCCTGGAAAAGTTCGGGTGTGTTCAGTAACGGATAGTCTGCTCCTTTGTACACTGGAATACACGACGACAGGTTGCCGACCTCGAGCGTTGCTAGACCGTGCAGACTCGTCTGGAGCGCCCACGAGTTGGATGTGTCTCCGACCAGACCCAAGACGTCCCAGCCGGCGTTGAGGGCCAGCAGAAAAGGAATAAAGCCTGCCGTGCTCCAGTCGTTATCCAAGATGACCTTGGTTGCTGAGCCCACCGGTACCAAGGACAAGAAACTTGCGGCAGCAGCTGCGAGGGTTGGCGATGGGAACTTCATCCTGATGGTGGGAAGGGAGACGAGAGGTAAGATGCGAATGCTGGAATGTGGTCACCGTGAGAAGGAGGACGCGGCACTGATTAAATAGGTACCTGACGAAGATGTACATCCATCTCAGAGCTCATAGTTCGCATTCTGATGGCTAGAGAATGGAGTAGCTCCCAATAGACCGGGCATTACCCATAGCTAGTAGTAATGCCGTCGTCACCAACATTGCATATTCCCACCAAGCTAGGCCAGCTTCTGCACGCTGGTCGTAGAGGCAGCTCCATTGTGGACCGATGGCATCGGCGTGGTGAGCTTCGATCTAGATAAGAACGATATAAAGAGACACGCAGGTGCATGTGCATGTCTGACAACGGAAGATAGGGTCCACGTGGGACACGACAGAAACGCAGAAGAGTCAGCAGAGAACTGACGGTTTCCGATGGTAGTTGATTCGCCCATGCTCCGATGGTGTCTTCACTAGGACGATATGATGCAACTCAGACCAGGCACCTGGATTCCCAGGAACTAAATCTTATCAAGACCCTTCCACCTGCGTTGCCTAATACAGCTCCACGAACTGACCTGACTAGTGGACGTCGGCGCCCGCCGACAAATGATGACTTCCGGCTTCGACAAAGGCGCCCCGCGAATTCCCAAGTTCGGATGCCTTATCAGAGAGCTTTATCAAGGTGGGGAAGTTTAAGCTCCACCCACAACTTTCTTGGATGAATCTGGCACAAAACCGAGCTTCTTCAATAAACCTCGGGTATAAGAAATGATGAGGAGTAACTTTAGGGAGCATATTTTGTCTCGCCTGTGCTAACCCTCATCGAATGACTCGAAGGAAGTAGAAGGTGTCGAGGGATGCTGCAAGTTAAATACGAGGGGATGAAAGGTGGCCTATTTTCCCGGTATTTCTTCATGTCAATGTCGGCCCGCAAAGCTTGTTTCCTATCAAAAACGCCTTGTCGAACTAGTCAACGTCAAGTCGTTATGCTGCGGCATGTTTACCTAATTGGACCTAGGCAAGTAATCTGGTACGTGCACAAAGGTGGTGTGGGTTGGGCATTCTTGACCAGTCATGTCCATCCCATCTCTCCATGCTATATTTCATTCATCTTTGCTTTCACCGCCGTCAAAGTGCCGATGACATGTTAATGACTTCTTCTTGAGCTAACGTACGCTGCAGACTCTAATGCGCCCAATGTGTATTGACCTCTTCTCATGAATCATAAAACAATCGATGGGTTGTACGAATCAAGTTCAATCAACCAGCTAAGCGGCAGCTTCAGTGACATTAGTGGACTGTGCCACTACAGATCTTGACTTGCTGCTAGAGTAGCAATCTCGCTTCACAGATGCTAGACTGAGATGGATGGTGATATCTTCGGCAAAAGTTTGGGTAATGCTGACGGGGATTCGAGGAGTAAACACTGCACCGCATCATTCGGTAGCAAGATACAGCAAAAGAGCCTCCCAATCACCAGGACTGCGCAGGGTCCAAATGTTCGCTGGCGAATAGTAGTGAACTAGAATGAACACCGGATTGCATAAGCCGAAGCCTGGTGTTGGGAGAAACATCTGGTCTTACATCAACCAGTACATTTCCATGGGTACCTTCGACCCAGTTTCATTAGCCATAATCCAACAGGTGTATGGTCAATGCAGCTTGCTTTATGGATCTCCAGGATTGAACGGGATAGCTCCGCACGACCTTCCCCTCGGCACCATACATTTCCGTCGGTGTCCTCGCCGATCGACCCTGTCATCTACCACATTATTTGCTTGCTTATCTCCAGCTCTGTCGGAATATAGTCTTAATTCTTCGACCCTGCATGAACATGACTAATGTCCTCCATTACTGGTGTACATGAAGGGGCGAGTCTTCACTCCAATAGACACACGCCTCCTCCATCCTAGATTGCTAGCAGGAAGTCAGGAAGCGCCCATATCAACAGGACTTTCTTCCAGTACTGGCACTTCAGTAGCCATCTCACCGTATACCACCCATCAGTCTACGGGTCAAACGAGAACAAGTCTTCGAGCTGTGGAAAATCCTCGAAATCGCTCTTCTCTCTATGGTTCTCTATGCTGGTCCGCATACTCAGCAAAATCAACTTACGCTAATCCATGACTTCGATGTTAATTACCATACTAAATCCAATCCCTACCTATAAAAACCCCCATGAGGTCTTCGCCGTTTCCACCAATGACACAAGCTAGTAGACGAACGCAATAGCATTCATCATTCGTTTTGTTAGCACAAACCTTTCTATCATATCCTGAACTCCACCTACAGAACAATCCATCAGTCAGGCGAGAGATCTCTCTTATCTGGACAAAGTTTGGCTGGAAAGTATGCTGAACATATGCATATAATCAATTCAATCGACAAAGGTTGTTTGTTGTCCAACCTTTAGAGCCAGGCGAGTCAAATCTCGCAGAGGATCAACCATTTTAGACTGTCCGTATGAAAGATGAGACTAAGTGGATGCCCTGATAATTCATTCCACATGCCATGACATATGCTCTGCAGACCTGAACTTTTGAGCTGGACCAAATTCTGTATCATACAATTTGCAACTCTTGCGAAGCCCGTTCAGAAGTCTCGAGGTTTTGGAGAAGTGTAGCCCGAGGGAGGCGTTCCTTCAAGGTAACCCGGTACGGTTTCACGATAACCGTTTGGCCAGTGTGATCCTCATTGTATTCGACAAAGTCCGTGACAGGGGGCATGGTTGAAGATCCCACAGACTTGAAGTGTAAGATCAACCGGACAAAAACAGCATACAAGATCCGATTGGACAGGGCCACTGCTGTGCACATCCTGGAACCAGCTCCAAAACTGTAATGGAACGGTGGGCCAACTTTGATTTTTGAATCCTCATCAAGCCAGCGCTCCGGGCGAAATTCGTTGGCGTCAGGTCCATATGCGGTGTGGTCGTGGTTGATGGCTTGTGCATTTTGGTAAAGGGCAACATTGGAAGGAATCTTGACCCCTTGCCATTCAAATTCCTTGCAAGTTTGACGAGGGGGAAGCAATGGGATAGCTGGATAATACCTGAGCATTTCACGAACCAAAGCCACCACATATTGCACTTGCTCTTCTTTCAAGCACGCTTCCCAAGCCTGCTCTGGATCTGGATATACTTCCATAATCGCTTTGAAAGCCTTTTCCTGGGTTTCTTGACCTTCAGGCGAGGAGAGATACCCGAATCCCGCAAGCCCTGTTGCTGCTACGGTCTCAAATCCTCCCGACACAAGAGATACGTTGACCGATCGAATTTCGGCTATGCGTTGGTCAGTCAATGCCCTAAGGAATTGTGGAGGACCAAACGTACCATCTGTCAGTCTCGATGCACCTTCTTCGCTGAGCAGACCTTGTGATAAGCACTGCACTGGCTTTCCTTCCTTCATTGCCTTGTCTACTTTATCGAGCAAACTTCCCAGAATCTCGTCTCTTCTGACACGGTTTGTGATGGCAAGTTGTGTCCTGTCGTTGGTTGGAAGATATCGATAAAATGGTACGTAATCTTGCACGTTGTTGTTGGTGGAGCGGAATCTATAACAGTCAGATGACCCCATAGGTACTTGTATGAAATAGATTCACTTACGTCGAGACAGAGGTTGCTATTTCAAGAAGTTCGTGCAACATGGGATCTTGGAGACTTTCGAATCGTGTTGAGTAACACATCATCAAGGTGAGGTTCAATGCCATGCGTTCGAAGTGAAGGCGAGGGTTAACTTCCAAGCCAAAGCCATCTTTCTGTTGGCGCAGTCCTAGGCCGTCGGCTGCCAGGTCTTTGATCAAAGCACTGATTTCCAGATCCAGCATTGGTGTGCTCTTGAGGATTGCAGGTCGTGTCATAATGGCCCCCACAGCCGTTCGGCGTCGTTTGCATGACTCATCCCACGGTGCTGTGCCTATGGTACCACCTAAGACGAAACATTAGCAGACTTAATGGCAAAGTCTGGTCAAGCATACCTTGAGTGGTACTCAGAACTGAATGAAAGGTGTGAAAAAGTGGCCGATCAATGGTAGCGCTTGCATGTTTGACCATGAAGTCCTGTGCCGCCGAAAATGTATTGAGGACTAGAATCCGTCGGTTGCCCAATCTTGCCTGGAAAACAGGCCATTCATTCTTGACGGCCCATTCTTGGAGTTTTGAGGCATGGTCTTGACCAAGTACTTTCAGATGCCCGAAGAAGGGCACAGCGCCGGGGGCTTCTGGAATGCCGGGGATTCGTGGAACATCGGTACAAAAGGCCTGGCGATAAATCCACCAACCCAAGCAGAGCACAAGGCCGAGGATACCGACACCGCTCACAGCTTCCAAGTCAAGGCTGGCAAGTGCCTGAGCAGATACAGGCGTCATCGTGGTCAAGATAGTCCAGTATTGGCGAAAAGACGTCCTTCCCGGTGATAGAGTTACTGGAAATTTACGCTGGCACCTTCAGCCTTTATGTGAGAGTGGCTACCATATTAACACTTTGCACACAACAATACGGGGCAGTATAATAGTGGCGCCCACCGACGGCAGGTGGCTTCACTGATGATTTTGGAAAACGTTGACACTAACAACAGTATGTTTCGCGTAACACCGAGAACAGTATTGACAGAAGACAGGAAGCCAGTTGGGAAGAGTTCCGATGCCTCCGAAATTTCACCATGTAATCACGGGCTTTTGCGATGATAGTCACTGTTCCACCTTCTGCCATGTGGGTCCATCATGCATGACTCTGGCCATTTGTCGGAGATATAGATTATCAAGATAGTCTTCGCACGCCGTTCATCTGTTGATCAAGGCAAAGCTGAAATCGGAAGCTCGTTGTGGAATTTCGGTTTTCCATCATCTCCAGCATTGAATCATCATGGCGGAATTTCGAAGCAGTGCTATGTTTGATGTTACAGGATGGCGTGTTGTTGTCACTGGAGGAGGTTCGTCGACCCCACAGAATAATGGTCCAGGGGATTTGGAAGCTGACGAGATGATCAGGTAGTGGTTTGGGAAGGATCATTGCAAAAACATTCCTTGTCAACGGAGCGTCGTCTGTGACGCTCATCGATATCCTGCAGGAACGCTTAGAAGATGCCGTGAAGGAGTTCTCCTCTATCAAGAAAGACCTGGGCCTCAAAGGAGATGTACATGTGTAAGTTTACCGTACGCTAATATAGCTTTTGCCGTGGGGAAAATACTATGCTGACACTTTTCGTTGTGGCAGAGTTCAGGGAGACGTTGCCTCCCGCGATGGAATTGCCAGCGTGGTCTCGAAAGTTCGAAACCTCGGCATGGGCATTGACACGCTGGTCCTAGCAGCTGGGATCAGGAGAGTTAACAAGAAAACATTCTCCCCTGGACTTGGACTGTCAAAGTTGGTGGAAGCGGTGCAATCATTGGACTGGGATGACATGGAAGCGTCTTTCCGCATCAACGTCTTTTCCCAGTACTATCTAACCGCTGGTCTACTCGACCTGATCGGTGAAAGTGCCGCGAAACAGTCTGGCAAGGGCTCTGTCATATGCTTTTCCAGTGTTGCCAGCAAGCACACCGGTCAGTTTGTGCCTGCATATCAGACGTCCAAGGCCGCCGTGGATCAGCTGGTCAAAATCATGGCAGCTGAATGTGCAGACCTCTACAGTAAGTTTCAGTCACGTCTTCAACTGTGAGGTAGTCAAAGTTACAGTACTGACATCGATCTTCCCCATCTAGTTCGCGTCAATGCGATCTCGCCCGGTCTCTTCCCAAGCAACATGAACCCAATGGATCCAAAACATCCTGATTCTAACATGAGGTACGCAAAGGAGATGCCTGCTAGACGGCCGGGAACGGAGCAGGAGATTGCTTCAACGGCTTTGTACTTGGCAAGTCCTGCAGGCTTTTACGTTACTGGACAGAATATCCGAGTCGATGGAGGAAGATTACTTGTAGCAGCCGGCAAAATACTAGTCCGGGAGGATGAATGATTGATTCACTTTTATCAGCGACAAAATTTCGCCCACTTTAAGATGAATGTCCTTAGGAAGTGTAACAGTCTGCAGTCCAGTCCCAAACCTGATCATGGTCAGGCTATGACCCGTTTGCTTGGGGCAAAAGTCCTCTTCCTATTTGGGCCACACGTTGCTACTTTACTACATCCTCTTCCTTGACAAGTACGGCGATACAGCGAACTTTAGAAAATCATCGTTGTGTAGATATTCTTCTAAAGTAAACCTAAGTCGAGATATCCATTGGCAGGTCGTGCCCATTCCTTTTCCACACAGTGGCATCCTTCATGACAAAGTTGACTTTTCGAAAGGCCTTTACATCCTCCCGGGGATCACTCTCAAGTGCGATGATGTCGGCCCGATTTCCTGCCTCAAACAAACCGAACTTCAACCCACAACGATCACCTCCACATGCTTCCCACCCCCCATAAGTACAAGCTGCGATAACGTCCTCCACAGGGACGCCTGCCTCAATCATAAGTTCCAGCTCTCTTGCGTTCTCACCATGGGGTACGGGGCCCGTGTCCCCTCCACAAGCCATTTTGACCCCCATCCGGTGAGCAAGAGCGACCTGAGCCTTAATCTCCTCCATTCGTTTAGGGTGAAGAGCCTCGCACACAGACAACGTAGGGACGAAGACAACGTCACGCTTGACCATTTCAGCAAAGAGGGCTTCATTTGCATAGTAGGCGTGCTCTATAGTCTTTGCACCCGCTCGAACGGCGCAAAGAGCTCCAGTGATGGTACCACAATGGGCCGCCACCGGGCATTCAGCAAGTTCTGCTTCTTGCACAATCATGTCCATCTCCTCTTGGCTGAAAAGGAGGACATCGGGGTTCGGTTGCTCTGGAGGATGTAGAACACTGGAAATATAGGGATGCTGCTGTGCTGGAGGGTACCGCATGATGCGACGGCGATAGTCGGCAAAGAATTTGATCACGTCTGCTCCTGCAGCTATACGGCGACGAACTGCACGTCGAATCTCATCAACTCCATCCACAGCTTCCGCACCAGATGGGAGACAGACGTGCTCGGCATTTTCCGTGCGGGGCTCGTATGAACCGGTACTCGCCAGGACTTTGGTTGCCACGAACAGTCTTGGTCCAGGCATCAACCCACGTGCAATGGCATCTCTCACGTGCGCATCTGCATCACCCATGGACTCCGACCCAAGATCACTGTACGAAAATGTCAGATTGACCTTCCTCTCACACTTGGTAGAGTCGTAGTAGTGTTCACTTACCGATAAGTTGTGAATCCCGCTGAGAGGGCGAGTCGGCAGTGATTAACGGCACGAATGGTTCGCTCGGTGCGGCTCTCATCACGCTTTTGGTTCAGAGATGGTCTCTCACTGTGATAAACGTTAGAAGGAAGCACGGCCTCGGTTCGAATCGTGGAATTACGTACGCGTAGGCATGGAGGAAGATATGTGTGTGAGCATCGACCAGGCCGGGTAAGACTGTCTTTCCCCTCAAGTCGATATCATTGTCTCCGATTTCCGTGGCTTCATCGTCTCGGTTCCATACTTTGACGATATTGCCACTCTTTTGGTCGACAGATATTGAGACATTGGGAAGGAACTGCTTCTGTTTGGGATCAAACAGACTTGAGGAGTGGATGGTGATCTCAGACATGTTTCCGAAGGCCTGTGACCAGCTATCCGCCAATCGAAAGGGGGTGTGGAATTATCTTGTGAGTTGTCAAGATTGTTAAGGAGCGGTTGGAAGACAACACGTCAACTAACCCTTTTATCCGTCCCGCTTGGATCTTTCTTCGAGAACTTCAATTAACATGCTTCAAGATCTGGTCGAGCTTTCGCTTGTTATCAGCGCAGTCGCGTTAGACTCGGACGATGCGACTGGGCCCAATGATGCCATTGGTGGGAATAGAACCTATACTTGCCTCGTCCGTGCCGGTGTGTCATTACAAAAATGACTGATAAGATCAGACCTGTCAATGGTCCATTGTCGATAGGTGGTAAGGCTATGGTGGAGCCTTGCTCATTGTAATGGGAGAACACCGAATCGAGCCTCAGTCGTTGCGGTGTTATCCCGAAGGTGGATTCAACCCGCAAAGCTTGAATTATCTCATCCTACACCCTCGGCGGCATAAATGGCTGATAGACTACACCTCCAATACCTGGAGCGAAGCGAGGTACAGGTCGGCTCTCAAGTATATAACCATTGGGTCTTCTCCCGGACACTACACCAGCCAACGCGCTCTGACCCCAATATATGTTCTTCCGAACAACCATTTACTCACATCTGCTTCGCAATGACCGAGAAGACGGGCGCCAAGGTAGATATGGCACCAGGGCAAGGAGAAGATGTCCAGCGTGTGGAACCGCTGTGTTATGAGCCCAGTATGGAGGAAGGCAAACTGAAGAACCTGAAAGATGCAGACGTAGCTCTGCAGTATGTGTACAACGTCAACGCCACACCGATCGATGCGGAGACCGACAAGCGCATCAGGCGTACCATCGACTGGCACATCCTTCCTTGGATGTTTGGTATTTACCTTCTTCAATACCTGGACAAGACAACCCTGAGTTACGCGGCAATCATGGGAATTCGGTCCGACTTGAACATTGCGAGCGGCCAGTATGCTTGGTAAGTTCCCTATTCGTCACGCAAGGAAGTCCATGTTACGAACATCGTCATTGTCAAGCGACTGACTTCTTGATGCTCAGGGCCGGCTCAGTCTTCTATTTCGGTTATCTCGCCTTCGAATATCCGCATAACCGTCTTATGCAAAGGCTTCCACTCATGAAATATGTGTCAGTCACAGTGTTCTTCTGGGGCCTTACACTTTGCCTTCATGCTGCAACCACCAGCTTTGCAACCCTCATGGTCGCCCGTTTCTTTCTTGGAGCCTTTGAGGGGTCCGTCACGGCCGGCTTCATTCTCATGACAGCAAGGTGGTACCGTGCCGAGGAACAAGTAACCAGGACCTCCTACTGGTTTTGTGCAAACGGATTTGCTCAGATCGTTGGTGGTGCCGTGGCTTATGGAGTTGCTCGTGGGTTCGCAGACAACCCGAGCATCACTTTCCCCAGCTGGAAAGTGATCTTCATCATTACAGGGATCATCACCGCCCTCTATAGCGTTGGGATGTATTTCTTCCTTCCAGACTCACCTATCAACGCCAAATGGTTGAGCGAAACCGATCGCGCTATCGCAGTCGAGAGACTTCGAGGCAACCAGCAGGGTTTGGGAAGCAAGACTTTCAAATGGTATCAGTTCCGTGAAGCACTCACTGACCCCAAGGTAAGTTCCGCCATCTCAGGCAGCCTCTCCTCATGTCGATGCCCGGCTTACTGACTGCCCGTTTACTTCTAGTCCTGGCTTTACTGCCTTTTTGCTTGCACTTCCATGATCCCACCGGGTGGTCTGACTGTGTTCTTCACTTTGCTCATCCAAGGATACGGATTCGACTCCACTACCACCCTACTTGTGTCGATGCCCAGTGGGGCTGTTGAAGTCTGGTCGACCCTGTTTTTCCCTTGGCTAGCCTACAAGATGAGAAACGGCATGCTCTCAGCGTGTCTGTCTATGCTCCTCGGATTATTCGCCATCGCCTTGATGACCGGGCTTGCCAGAGACGGGCCAACCGCACATCGGATAGGCCAACTGGTTGGCTACTACATCCTGCTGGGCAACTCAGCCACATCTCTACTTATCATCTTCAGCAGTATCTCTTCCAACGTTGCGGGCTACACCAAGAAAACCACTGTCAACGCGATGATGTTGATTGCCTATTGTGTCGGTTTCATCATCGGTCCACAGACCTTCCGGGATGGGCCCTACTACACCAACGCCAAGTACGACACTATTGCTCAGTTGTTTGTCGCACTAGCATGCTGTGTCGCTCTGCTCTACCTTTACAAGCGTGACAACGCCAGGCGCGACGCTCTCAACCTTCCACCGCAGCCCGCAGGTCAAGAATTCCTTGATCTCACCGACAACGAGAACAAATACTTCCGGTACACCGTTTGAGATATTTTGAGCGTTTATGGAGAGAAACCCAGCAACTACGAGAAGCTACGTGGTCAAGGGTGTGCACGGGATTTGAGAAATGATGACACCTGGTCGTGAAGTGTCGTGACAGGGTACCATAGATCATAAATTCGATATATAACCTTCAAATAGAACATGGGTGTTCAGACCGTATCATTGTTCACTTTCCTTTGCAGAAACTCTAAGAAAACCCAGCCTCTTCTGCAGTGCCCACAGTCTGCTCAATCAAGGTGATCTGGAGCTCCTCTACCGCCAGGTGAATTTTTCTCAAGGTCATGAGTGCAATCTGTTCTGGATCTCGTGATTTAGAGACAAGAATCCGACCATTCACAATATGTCTGCCCCGCGAGCACAAGATGGCAGAATGTCTCTCGTATGAGACAAGTGCGACATCTGCTGACTATACCTCCTGCCAGAACCTCATCTCTACCACACCCAAACCTTCTCGGCTGAAACGTGGCCGTGCCGCGGCAGTCAGAAATCTTCAATATGATAACGTTTATCCGCCAGAAGGATCATCACTTAGCATCATCACCTGGGACCAAGAGTTCAACCAAATTGGAGGGGCAAGTTACAAATCATGGTAAATACCAGCACGGTAGGTGATACGACTTCAAGGCCTTGTGATATCCAGGGCCGTGTCCTCCGGCGAAACTATGCAGTGGATTCAATCAACATAGATAGCCTGCCGCAGTTCAGGATAGGATGATCAGGATCATGGTGAGGAATCAGGATCGAGACCCCGGTCTCTGCATTGTGAGATATCTATGGTACCGTAAGATGTCCGGGCTGATACCGCTTGATATCGCAGAACGCCGATGCAGGCGATTCTACAAGACCCGGCAGGTTTATCGCACAACGCCGAAACATCTTGGGAAAGTTCGGTAAATCTTGTAACCAGTTATGCTTGAGGTAGTATTGCATCGTGCTCGAGATCATCACCGGCATACATTCGGCCATAACCGCGATTTGGTCTCGCAAGTACTACCGAAACACTATCAGTCGTATCGTCCTACTGACTATCTCGGCCCTACCACCCAATGGCCTGGCAACTGCCTCCTGCAGTCGCACCACAGGAAGACGAGCATTACGATTTCGAAACTTGATCATGTTACTGCTATCTTCACCAGACCGTTTGTGTTCCTGGTCCATCGTGCTCTCCCCTCACCTTTCAAAAGACTACCTGTCTCCATCAAGCTGCTGTGGCGTGTACCAATCCCCAAGCCCTTTCTATACCTAGTTGCTCAAGAATGGGTTCTAGCTGCGAGCAAGGGAGGGGAGACAGTGAAGACAACGACATCATATGGGAACACCCATCCGTCAAAACAATCCGATGTCGTGGCTCACCCTATGAGATCGGTCGCACTCATGGACGATGCGCCAGGCAGGAGATTCTCAAAAATATCGCAACCTATACATCCTTCTTCCAGGAGACCGCCGGCCTCACCTGGGAGCAAGCTCGTCAAAAAGCCAGTGAGACCTTTATCCCGGTGTTGGGTCGTGAATATGAAGAGATTTTGGATGAGATGAAAGGGATTGCTGATGGGTGTGGAAATGGATTGTCGATGGAGGACATATTGACACTGAACACGAGGAGCGAGATAGCTTTGACGTGCTATACCGACGGCTGTACCTCTCTTACACAATCCGCACTATTCACCAGTGCCACACCGTCAGATGGTGACGGTATTCGACACCACGCAATGTATTTGTGTCAAAACTGGGACTGGCTAGCAGAATTGGGGCAAGGAATCGTCCTTCTCGACATTGAACCACAACCTAGTCACCGTTTCGACGAAAGCAAGAACTTTCACATGAAACTTTTGTCGGAGGCTGGTATCGTAGGGAAAATTGGTGCCAACAGCGCCGGGTTCGGTCTCTGCCTCAACGCGATTCGATCAGGGGCTTTCAATCGTGAGGGATTCCCTGTGCATATTCTTATACGATGGATGCTGCAGCACTGCTCCACAGTGAAGGAAGCAAAGGATACGATGGATCGATTTGGTACTGCGAGTACGGCAAATTATCTGTTGGCAGACAGATCGGGCGACTTTATGGACGTCGAGGCTTCGCCGCGTGGCAATACCACCATACTACCAAAACTTCCTGCTGAAGACGAAGGACGACAGATGGCATACGTGGTCCATACCAACCATCTCTACGGGAGCAATCGACCGCCGAAATTGGTGGACCACCCGGCCCAAAACTCATTCCATCGATTAGCACGGATCCAGACCCTGACCGAAAAGGACTGCAAAGAAGGGATTCTACCTTCTTTCGAATCAATTCGCAACAGACTGTCGGATCAGGAGGGTTACCCGTATTCCATCTGTCGTGACAGACCGGCTGGGGCCGTGGGAATGGAGAGAATGACAACCTTGGCCACGATCATGATGGAAATGGTCAGCGGGACAATACAAGTCATCATTGGACGGCCATGCTTGGATAACTTGCCTGTGGTGAAGTGGACTTTCAGCGACAGTAAAGACAATTAGTTTTTACCATAATTTCTGTCGTTTTGCTGGTCCAAGACTCCCTCCTGGACAAAATCTATAACCATCAAGAAGCGGCGGTGCATTTTGCCTCCTTGTAGTGCTCCTTTCCCTGGTGGCGTGAAATTACTGGGAATTGTGGAAGCTCAAGAATTTATCTGCGATGCTCATACTTTCCTGCCATGCTATCATTTTTCGCTATGCCGCCAATAAAAAGTCCTCTGAGAATTGATCTAAGGAGGCAAACAACTCCTCTAATTGCTCAGACGACAGATCCCAAATGTCATTGCTAGCATCATGACTCGACGATGCACCCATGAGCGGACCAGTATTGCCGTTATTGGGAATACCCTCCGTTGTTGCATACATGAATCCGGGTTGCGTTTCTCCAATGAGAGCCGGTCGCTCAGGCGAGTAGACATTCTGTATCGCGTACTTACTCCATCGATACGTTTCGACGCCTATATTCGGTGATGGATAAAGAGACTCCTGGGATGTAGTGTTTTGTGGGCCGGGCTGCTCAGAAACATCATGAAAGGGCTGTTCATTTGGTAGGTTCACCATCTTGGCCAAGTGTGTCAAGGAGTCTCTGACCTTGGAGTCAAGGGAATCCCCGGCCGGACGCGATCCACGCTGCCAGTGCCCAAACACGACAAGTACTGGCCGTGTGACGCTTTCGAGGGATCTGACACTTGCTTCAGTCTCCGGCCATCGACTGGCTACCCTCGCAAACAGTGAAATATTGGTCTCCATGGCATCGATTAGTGTCTTGGGGTCAAATTTCTCGGCACTGAAGATGGTAGCAGGTGTGTATTTTCTTGTCGCACCAAGAATAAATTGCAGGAAAAACACCCCCAATTCCAGCATATGATGTGCTGCATGCCAGAGGTAGAAAAGCAGGCCTTGTTTTGCAACGTGGGCATAAACGTCGACGAGTTTGAGCGCCGCCTTGATGCTTTGTTGCCGCATTTGATGGTCTGGAAACGGAATACCCGGAGACGGTCTGTTTAGACGAAAGAGTAGGAAGTAGTAGATGATGTCGTGGAACTGGATGGTCCTGGCTAGCGCCCTGTTTGGGCTATGTTGAGTTACACTATACCACTCTTCGAGACGTTTGGAAGCTTGTATGCGCCATTCTTTCACGTTCTGTATCGGTAGATTGTCGGATGGGCTGTACATGGCATTAATCGATTCAAGTTCGAGCATCCTCACGGACCATAGGTGCGGTGCTATGTATGATGAGTTATCGAGAAACGAATGTAACAACCCATCAGCTGAAGGTGAAGGCAGCTTAATCTGTTAGGTGAGCTCGAGCAGAAGTGGGGTTTGACAGTACCTGTCTAGACATTCCGGTCATTGGAAGGTGCAACTGAGTGCCAACTATGTAGTGGATCGTCCTTGTCGCATGAATTAGGGAAATGAAAGGACAGCTAGCATGGATCGACTTACCCATTCATCATATATGTTGCCCAGAAAAGCACCCGCCGCTGGTTCCGCTCTTTCTCGTTGAGCATTTTACCTTCGAAGGTGGTCGTTTCATGTTGCAAACCCATCTCCAAGGCAAGGCCGAGGGCTGCGCCGGAGCATGTCCAAGCGTCACCAGCTTGTGGATTCAAGAAGAAATAGTGGGCAAGCAAGGAGAGTGAGCGCAGTAGCTCAAGCCGTGGTCCATCAAAGACAAACGGCAAATGCAGTTTGGCCGCATTCCAGAATTCGAAGGCCTTGGTCGTCGCTCTCATTTCGTCATACCGGATAAGGGTCATAGCCTAGCATCAACGATTAGACAGATCTGTATTTTGAGACATTCGAAAAAGCCCAAATTAGAGACTCACACTGATAGCCAGAGCCATACCGACACTGAACTGGTCAAAATGAGAGGCTTCGGTGGCGGAGCCTGCGGAAGAGTTTATAATTCTTGAGAACGATGCATCCAGTTCGTTCTCATCAATGAATGGATATTGTACCAGGTAGGTTTCTTTGTAGTTTTTCAGTAAGATGGCCATGACCTCATGAGGAACGAGTCTCAGCGGGATCCCTCGTTTGTGCCCGATACCAGATAGGGGCGCAGAAGCCGTCACATATACATCATCCAAGGCCCGCGTGAACGGCGCTGGCGACAGCAAGAGCTTCTCACACAATTTGTAATCGTTGCTAGCACCTCCTACCCGAGGACGAGATTCGCCTTGTGTGCCCAGCTGTGCATTAACAAGGCACGACTGAAGAGCATCCAGAGCGCTCTCAAAGTTCAAAGATCCCGTGGATGTTTGAGAAGCATCAAGTGCATCCAATTCCGATTCAAGCTGTTGGATTTGATGTTCCAGATGTTCGACTTCGCTCCGAGGCAATTCGGTCCCGGTGACAACGTCTAAGCCAGTACACTCGGTATTCGCTCGAGCACATGAACTGCATTGTGGAAACTGTAAATCGCACTACCTTTTCATTACTACCTGCTCTCCACGTAGGGCAATTCTTACCAACCTTTGTCTTGCGCCTACGGCATCTCGCACAGGCTTTTGTTGCGCGTCGGTTCGGCGGCATGGTTAATTGTGTCCTCTTTACTCCTGATAATGATCATGTCGCAACATGCTTTTGTGTAGAGGTGGGTAAGAAAACCTCATGGAAGGCCGCCGTAGGAAGAAAGTGATAAAGAAGCAAGGTCCAGATCGAAGCAATTTCATTTTGTCGCTCCACAGCCAATGATATAGGACAAGGCTACGAGTCGGAGTGTTTGAGTGTTTTGCCGTTGTAAGGTGGCCTCTAACTTAAGGTAACTGAGGTAGTAAGCTCGGGTGACCTTATCAATGCTGCTGGGGTATATCATTGGTCCTTGGGAGATAACGGCGAAAGAAACAAACCACTGATAAGTACCTGCCTAACGTAAAGCTGGTATTACAATGTATTGAAACACTTATCAGAACCTTATCGACCTACCTACGATCTACCTACCTAGATACTTATGATCTTGGCACGCTACAAAGATCAGCCTCATGGGAACCCTATCAAACCTGTCGCTGGTGTGACCACCGCCGCAATCATCTCAATTCCCCGTGACAGAGAAATGAAAGTCTGAGGAAACGCTCTAAGACGGCAAAGCCCATTCTTCAGCTTATCAATCTGTGGACAGATTTGCTGGGACATGGAATTTCTGTCCGTTGTTTGACGTTGCCAGGAGGCCGTCATAGATGATGGCTACGAAAACATGCACACAATGCAGGAGGCGAAAAGTTCGAGTAAGAGATCTACTCCATTGATGAGCTTGTCACTAACGAGATAATAGTGCGATACCAGGCTGCCCGAATGCCTGCCTTGCAAGTCTAGAGGTCTTGAATGCACCTTCTACGATGTCTCGGCCGGCGTCGAAGTTGCAAGAGGGTAAGTTGACTTAATTGTCCTTCTCGTTCAAGACTAACACGGAGAGGCATGTCCATAATCTGATGCAAAGAGCGTCTGATCTGGAGAAGCAACTGACCGAACGATTGGCTCGTGCGACCACCAACATTAGCCAGCCAAATCCAGCCGCACTCGGGACAACGACAATTTCTGGTTCTGCCGCAGCGACTTATCGTGAAATCGGCGCGCGACCCGCCTCAGCGGAATTAATGGCGTTCATGAGAAAGCATGCAGTGCAGTGGACCACTATTTCTCCAAGGCTTCCAGGAACTTTGGCAAGGATTCAGCGGAATCAACGAAAAGGTCAAGATTGGATTTCTGATTCGTTGAAGAGCCGAGCATCCGACAGAAGGCCGAGCGTGAATGAACAAAAGCCAGCCATTCACCGAGCTCTCATGAAGCATTGGGTGGAAGCTGTACAACCCGACTTGCCGCTTCTGACGACTGAACAGTTAGAACGGCTTGAACTATCTTGTGATCCTAGTACCGCGATACCGGCTTCTAACAACTTTCAGTCATTGATAACGGCTGGTGTCTGCGCGGTATCAGCAGCAATGGTGGCTCGAGACTTCAATGCCGACTTTGGCGGTGTTGCCAAATCATATTTGCAACGTCTGGACTCTCTTTCTACAGCAGAGATTGGCGCCCATGATAAATCTGGGCTACAGCTCCGAGAAATCACAGTGCTGCTTCTGAAAGCAATTTATCAGCTGGTGCAACCAGAAGAAGTGATGGCTAATTTGTACGTCGTCATCACACTCATCTCACGTCGCTTCATACAATATTTCGGACTGCCAGGCTCCCCCACAGGATTCAAGAAGGAGCTTGATCAAGTGGCAATCTGCTTATACATTCTTGAAAGGTGGGTCACCTGTGCTGCAGGTTTCACGCATCGCCGCTGACCCGTGACAGCACTGTCTGCCTCCAATGCGGCCTGCCTTCAATATGCATGTTCAACTTGCAGAGACCTGATGCGTTGTCAGCGCCAGAAGTGGTTTTACGAAACCAAATCCATCAAATCGCTTCTTTAACAACAACCTACTCGGGTCCTGAATGGCAGAATTTCGTGCGCAGTCTCAACCTACCCATAGCTCCGGCACCCGTCAACCGCTACGACACGCTGAAGTTAATTACCCTGTTCAGGCTGTCAATGGAAGAGGCGTCTCGGAGTTTGGCCTCTCCATCTCACCTATCACAGAATTCGGAGCTGTTGGATCTCGTTGCCTTTGCTGCCCACATGTACATCGAAAACGTTGTCGAAAGAGAAGAGCGAAATACCTTGTGCAGCATCCAATTAAGTGCCGAAGGTGTTCTACAGGCCGGCGCTATTCTAGGAGCGCATCTTGTGATCTTGGCACGCAGACCACACCTGACTGAGACTTCCTGGACGAAAATAAGTCGTGCGGACATCCTGCTTGGCTTCGTTCAAGTCTCATCGTTGCTATCGTCATTCAAGCATCGCTGGGAGCCTTGTGCTGCATATGTCAAGCTGTGGGATACTTTTGCTGAATTTGTGCTGGCAATTTCCATATGAGGCAACCGAGGCACTATATGATTTACGATTCAGGCACTGGAACAGTGATGTTATCGCCTGCAAGGATCGCCCCGCAAGATCATCTTGATAGTTCATTGGCAGTTCACGTTTGGGTTGTTGTGGGGAATTTATGGGCTGGTCGAGCCATAAGCAGCAAAATGGATAAGCTCCGGACTTCCGAAAATCAAAACTCTTCAAAGATGTGAGGGTTTTAATCCTTTTGGGCAACCGTGAATGTGGCTGATACGCTCGTTAGCCTGTTCAACTACTACTAGTGAATCTCCAATATGTCAACCACCAATGGGCATATCGTTGAGACCTGAACCCCATTGTTCTCTCCCGCAATTTCCTTGCTTCAGATATTCCCGTCAACTTTCTACGATGGCAAAAGATGCTCATATGAGGCATGCTTTCCTGCCTACCAACGTTTTTGTATGATCCAAGCCACCGGGTCTCTGTCATTTGCGGCATTATTCCGGTGGCAACTCAACATTATGAACACTATGCTTTATGGATTAGGTGGCTCTGACCAGTTCCTAACCATTATCGCACTCATGATGTCCACAGAGTCACAGACCCCTTTTCTTGCAGCAGGTATTGGCCTAGAACAACCCTTTGGATTGGGCCCATAAACGACTTGACGCAAGCAATGATAGCGGGGGTTTCTCGATCCGGTCAAGAGAGGTGGAGTAAATATGGCGGCGATGGTCAACCGCTATACAACACATGAATATCAGGAGGCTGCTGGGATGGTAGGTTGGCACGCTCTGTCCGATATCTGCTTCGACAAGAGCAATATGACTGCGTTTGAAGCCCTGTTTGCTGCTTGTTCTTAACTTCACTCCAAACTGCGGGACAGATCTATGACACCGAGCGGAGTGGTTTCGTTGGTTATAGGATAGGACGTTAGAAATGGCATTTCCAAACCTCCTGCTACGACGCCTCAGCTTACTGTAATATAAGGTGTCTTTGCGATGGGAAGCTATGCACGATCAAACGTTCAAAGAACAAGGACTGCAAGGCAGGAAGGAATTCTACCCTACTATATCAATTCGAAATAGACTATCCGATGAGACCGAACTCCATCTATAACATTCTTGCCAGTAATGTCCATATAACTCTTGCCAAAGATTACACGGCACCACCATAGAATAGCATATAGTCGTCCAATACGACCAGGCTTTCAGTCACCCCAAATTCTATTCTGCCTCTATTGGTGTCTTCTATACAGTTTTGTTTTGCCCTGCAGTGTAGGAGTGATGCTCGACAGATGGCTCAATAAAAGTTTGAGCTTTGGGCCCGTGATAGAACTTGTTGGCTCCAGAAAACCAGTAGACCGTAGCGAAAAGACCAATAGCAACCAGAATCACCGACGCATAGTTCATCTGAAAATACATTAGTCAGTACGATTTTACTGCATTTCACTCGGCGAGGGAGACTCACATTTTCTGCCGTGACAGGTCTGAAAGTTGGAAGGATGAAGATGATACTGACGAATAAAGTCCATATACAGGCGTAAATGTTGATCCAGGTGCTGGCTTTTCCAAGATGCCATGGTCCCCGCTCAAACTTGCCAAACAAAACCTTGCACAAGATAGGGATGCAGTACGACCAGTCGAGCGCAATCGCACAAACGTTGAAGACGGCCGACACGGTTGCGAAAGACCCGAGAGCGATCAAGTTGAGGCAGGTGCAAAGGAACAAGAGGATCCAGACCGCATTTAGAGGGGTCCCCGTGTACTTGTTGATCTTTAACCACACCCTCGATAGAGGTAACATCTCGTCTCTTGAAAGAGCAAAGATCGTTCTCGACGTGGCTTGAATAGCAACAATTTGACCGAAGTTGATGACAATGAATGCTGCCACTGTAAAGAACAAACCGCCACCCTTGCCGAGAACGTTATAGAAGATCTGAGCAACAGGTTGGCCAACCGGGGAGCTCAAGATAGCCGCTGGGTCACCCATGCATATGACAAGAACAATGGTGAACACCCAGCCACCAAGGTAGGTAAAGAGTAGAGCGGTCGAGATGGCCCACGGGCATTTCCTCTCCGGGTCTTTGATTTCTTCGGCAATATGTGCGGTCGCATCATAATCAGTCATTGTCCAAGAGACTGAGAGGAAGCCGAACAGGAAGGAGAACCCGGCCGGTGTCCACCCAGACTCGACATCCACGTTCGTGAATACGTAAGAGGCGGAGTGCTTGTGATCCTGCTTTACAAGCAGGGCAATGATGGCAGCGACCAGGACACCGATGTGGAAAACGACATAGCCTCGGGTTAATCTCTCCATAAGCCTGGTGGGTAAGCTGTTGATCAACCCATCCACAACGAAGAGGGCAGCCATAACGCCGACGATGTGGCCTTGGGTGGGTGTATAGGTAAAGTCACTACCCATAGAGACGGCGGCCAGCATGAGCTGAGCAGCACCATAGCCGCCGGAAGCAACTCCTGTGGCTTGACCGAGGATATTCAGCCAACCGCAGAGCCATCCAATCTCTGCAACCCATCTTTTGGGTGCCAAATACTTGCACGTGAAGTACATGCCCCCTGAAGTTGGATATGCCGAGACCATTTCTGACACGGACAAAGCAATACACATGCAGCCGAACCCCGAGATCAGCCAACACCAGACGGCCGAAGCAGCACCTCCTGCATATAGAGGGTAGGAGAATGTGGTCGAAACAGTTGCAAAGACACCGGATGCAGAAACCGCAAATGAGAAGCAAGACCACATAGAGAATTCTCGTCTGAAGACCTGCATGATGTTCAATAAAAAGCACCATAACGAGATTTTTCCTCTCTCTGGACTGCTTACCTGCACGTAACCGAGTTCCGCCAGCTTACGGTCTTCCGGACTGAGTTCCTTCAAGTCAAGCATATCGGCTGACATGCTCGACTCCTTACTATGGCGATTCGCCATTTGTATATCGTCTTGAGACATGGTGCTGATGTCTTCTTTGTCGTACTAATTCCTGGTTCGTGAAGATGAAATACAAAAATTGGAAGACCGAAGAGAACGACCTGAACCCTTCTTTATTATCCCTCCACGATTGGGATTATCAGAACTCGGATACTAGTATTAAAGTTTCGATGGCACATCTCGATTCTCTCCGTCGATACCCGATACAGATAAGATTTGCGGAAAAAAGCAGGGTGAGGCTCTAGTGCCTGACGATAACCCACTCTGTCGGAAGGGATCCGTCTTATCTATGCATCGAGTCCAGACGCCCTCGCCAGAGCTCGTCGTGGACTTCACTTTATCTTGACCGAGTCTCCTGCAGTATGGCATAGCCCCAACGGCGTTCAGATAAGCCCCACTTTCTGGACGAATCTCTCTCCCAACTCTCTCTCAACCTTAGACCCCGATAGCTTTGAACATGACCCGATCTACCGGGTCTATAGATGCCTGGAAATTATTTCCCTCTACGTCCAAGTCATTGTATCCGCCTACTCTAGTCGCAGGGTCTGTGTATTGACTTGTGATTGGAAGGACGGCGGGACGATACCAACAAGATACCAAGCCGACAACGGTGCGTACATAGGTATAAGAAATCCATCGTCGCCGACACATACGTCAAAGGAATTGCTTGAACTTGGCTGCAAAACGGTTGTTACTTCATACTCTATAATCAATACGATATCATATTCATCTCTTGTCTCATCATGGCAGCTGCGACAGCTGCTCAAACCTCATCCTTCGGTTCCAAGGCGTTTGACAAGGTGGAGCAAAACCTGTCGGAGCCGGTCTCATTGTTTGATCCCAGCAAGCATCTTTGTTTTGAGCAGCCCAAAGACAATGTCATGCTCAAAGATCTCGGATTGTCGGAAGAGAATGCTATATCTCCTCTAGCTATTACTGCGCCATTTCCACTTTTCACACTTGAATGTGTGCGACGGATGCGAGAAGAAATGTTCCAAAAGAAAATCATCGAGGGCTACTCGCAGAGGATGGAACCTGGATGCTACACATTGCGCGGGTTCACCGAGCATGCTCCTTTCCTCGAATCAGTATGGCGCAGCCCGGAAGTGATGGACGCAATCTCTGCTGCCGCCGGAGTCGACTTGGACGTTATCTTTGAGTACGAAATGGGACACATCAACGTTCAAGTGGAAGGATTGACGGACGAAACTCCATTGACGTCCATGATCCCTCCAGCTATGCCTCAACCTCACCCTGCTTTGACAACTCTCGAAGAAGCTGAAAAAGCGCACGCAGCACAACTGTCCGCAGCAGGACCCTGGCATAAGGATTGTTACCCCTGGGTGATCATCATCATGCTTTCAGACACAACCAATATGATTGGTGGGGAGACCGGTCTTCGCAAGGGTGATGGGACCGTGGTAAAACAGCGCGGTCCAGGCGTCGGCTGGGCCTATGTCTTGCAGGGTGGATGTGTTGAACATATCGCTCTCAAGTCCTTTGGCGGTGAACGTATCGCCATGGTTACATCTTTCCGTCCGAGAGATCCAATGCAACTGGATCTCAGCCACTTGGGAGGTGTGAAAGGCAACAGCAACTGGGACCCGCTCTTCAAACAATGGAGTTTGTACCGTTTGGGTGTCATGGAGCAAAGGATCAACATCTTGCGAGAAAAGCTCCGTAAGGAGAACTTGACTTACACCGAGATATCCAAGGCGATGCTTGAGTGGAATGAGGGCATGTACAAATACATGGAACATACAGCTGCACAGATGAAGTAGGGCTGTAACTAGGACAGATGACCCACATTTGATGTTCTATACTCTGTAGAATTAAGCGATTTATAGGCTACTTTGAGGCTGCAAGGCTCTGATGAACAAGTGGTAGCAGATCAAACACGTCGAGAACAACTTTTGCTACTATGGCTTATGTTGTACAGCCATGCCTTCTTGCACCTGATGCATGACGCTGCAAGACAAGATATGGTGCCAGGCAATCATCGTTTGACTTCATCCTGTGCCCAGCGTAAAGGCGCTGTCGAGTGGGTCTCCTCCTGCTGCAGCGAAGAGCCTTATTATGGACATGTTGTTCACCAGTGGTGCAAGAGTGCCATAGGATGGCTTTCAATCGGCAATCCGTTATAGACAAGCCTGGACTCTCACTTATGCTGAAACCAGAATAGATCCACTGATATCCAACTCATAAAATCCGACTCCCGACTCCGACCCCTTTTAGTCGGGACCCGATACTACTACTCCCGACTACCCATCAAGTCTAGACCCACTTATGGAATCAATTACCACGGGATAATGGAAGAGCTCTTGTCCTTGCCTTTGGCTAGTTTAGAGCTATGTATAAGCTAAGAAAAAGTCAAGCCGGGGTCGTCTCCTTAATATTGACCGGAGTCGGGAACGAAAATCACTAAGGAAATTCCTCTCCGGTTCCAGCCTAAGCCCGATCGTGACAACACTAGTGTTGATGGATGCTGACCCTAACTTAGCTTGTCCGTATATTTGTATTCGGGCTTCAACAAAGCTCAACGTGCGCGATCGATGGCATATCATGCGCAGTAATAAAAGGAGGAAGAGGTAGCCAATGCCCTGCTCTACTTGAAAGGGGCTGCCACGTCGTCTCCAATCTACATCGGCGGCAGTGTATTGGACAAGATAAGTCCAGTAGGAAGTCTTGAGTTGATGGATTCAAGATAATCCTCCGTCACTAAAGGTCAAACAGGGAAGCACATGGTGACAGCTAAACTCATGATGAACATGATTTCAATAATTGTAAGCATCTCAAGGCGTCTTCATGACGAAACCTTTGTGCTGACTTCAAGGCCCTGCTCGGGATCTTCATCATGCGAGGCTCGAATGCTGAGTTTCCGTTCAGCTTGGTCTAGAACGTCCCCATGGACGTCAACATCAAAGACATCAACGTTTGTAGATGCAAATTTCCTCGCAGGTACTTTTCGTTGGAAAAGCAAGTCCAGCTCCGCAAAGGAGCGACCGGCTGGCTCAGGCACCCGGAAGTACGTGTAAATGATACAAAGAAAGCACGCACCGGCCCAAAAGAACCCAGCGTAGTTTCCCCAATTCCACTGCCCAGGATTCAGCATATATGGTGTGATAACCGAGCAAACGATGCCGACAATATTGTAGAGGTTGCGTCCAAGTACCACGGTTTTAATCTGTAAACGTCGCGTAGACATCTCCGCCACAAGAGAATAGCACACTGTGCCGACCGAAAGTTGATAGCATGCAGCCCAGATGATCATAATGCTTCCAGTGGCCATGGCAGCTGCTTCTCTGTCCGATGGGAGTCCGAGGAATCCCATGATGAGCAAGAGCGAGAACAAGCCACAAAGGCCATAGAGGAACAGTGATCTTCGTCCAATGCCCCAGCTCATCAATAACCAAACGCCGAAAACGCCGACCATGTTAATACTGTATTGGCCTAAGGCGAAGCTGTAAGATGTTGATGAATCCAAACCAGCCTGGGTTAGAAAATATGACGAGTAGCCGCTGAAGGAGTTCCCGGATAGATTCTGAATTGCCCAGCACATACAAACGATTTCTGTACGGCGGAGGTCGGAACCCTTGAAGCAATCAAGATAACTACTACCACCTGTGATATCGGCTTCGAGGGCCGTAGTATGAGCAATCATTGCAACGGTTTCGTCCGGGTCGAATTCCGTTTCCTTGTTTAGGCTGGTGAGACGAAGAAGAGCCTTCTTCGCGTCGGCAATCCTTTCCTTTCTGACCAGCCACCAAGGAGACTCGGGGGCCATGAAGATCCCAATGGCCAAAGGAAGGGGCCAAATCCATTGTAGAGCGTATGGGATTCGATAGGACCATTCATCCTGGCGATGGAGACAGCCTTTGATTGCTCCGATACCAATAACTTGTCCCAGACCCCAGCAGAAATTGACATATGTTGTCAGGTAGCCCCGTAGCGCAACTGGACACACTTCGGAAGCATACGTAATTGTGAGAGTTTGAAAGACGCCCCATGGTATGCCCGAAAGGATGTAGCCAACAAGGAGGACCTTGATGCTTTGAGCCGTGAAAAAGATGGCTGTAAACGCTGCAACGAGAGCCAAGCAAGACAAAGTCGTGTATCGATACCCGAGCCACTCAGAGACATACCCGTTGATGAGTAGACCAATTATCTGGCCTACTTGGGCACCATTCTGCAGTCCAGCCTGCCAGGAAGCCGGAATCTCCCAATCGCCACTCGGCAACTGCTCGCCAAATCTCTCCTTGAAACGTGGGAAGTTGTAAAAGTTGGGCAAGAGACATACATCAAAGCCTTCCATGACAATGCAAGTGCTGATCAGAATGCTCCAACCAATCGCCTTTGGGTAGAGCCTTACACCTTGCATCAAGGTCATTCCACGCTCTTTTTCGGCGGCTGCTTTTGCGCTCTTTGCAACAGCGCCCTTTGAGTGAGATGCTGCATATTCTGTCGTTTCGGCTTTGACGGGCAGCGCCATGGTTGGTCGAGGCTTCACAGTGTTGAGCAGAGTGAGGACCGGAGCGAGGTTGTCGATTGTCTTGTAGAGAAAAGCCGGGGTGAGGGGGGTTTAAATGGATCCTAAGCAGTGATCATCGCCGATCCATTGGCCAGACTAGTCCTTCAGATCTCGATCAGGGCGAATAGGCATGAGCCGGAGCGTTCAAGATGTCCAAGATCTGGTACCTCTCTCTTGTGAGTGGTCAGGAGCAATGGAGACAAAGTGCCAGCTTGCAAAGTCACTTCGTGACCAGCCTTAGTGGCATGGCTATCCATCAACACAGGATGGCACTCCGATTCTATGCCGAAATTGTCTAGGAACTTTCTCGAATACCTTTCCATACTGGGTATGTCCCAGCCATATAACCAATGAAATCATTGAAACCAATGCGATTAATGCGAAAAGCTGCAGGCTGGCGGCGGATTACTTCTTATTTCTGCTGTGACAAGACGATGCCGAGGAAGCGGAGATCTTGGCAGCACAAACATTGAACCGACTTTGATTTGATAGCCGCGTGTACCTGAGGCCAATATGGAGCCTGTTGGTCAGTTATATCCATGATTCTGCGGGTTTCTACTACGGTACTCCGCGCCTATCATGCTTATCATACGGCCGCAGCAAGTGTCCCTTTGAGATGTGCTAAAGAAGTGGCGGTAATTCGCGCGGGGAACCAAAGGTAACATGTTTTCTGGCCCGATGACATTCATCGTTAGAGTCCTCAGTGGGAAGGGGCCTCGACAGGTTGCGGAGTGGGAGCCATGTGACCTCTTCCAAAAATGATCCTGGTATGGCCGGAGCAGGGGAGACATCTGAGCTGCCTGTTGACAGGAGGTGAGGAGACTGTAGGACTGTTCACTCCGTGTCGCCCATTCTCTGCCACAATCAGTTGATACTGGGGCAGCGGACATAGTCAATCTTGCCTTCGGACGTATTGGCACGCACTGATGGTGAGCCAAAGGCTCTATAGCCAGCGCAGTGCGGGGAGAAGCACATCCTGAATCACAGCCACAGTTGTTGCCAACGAAGTGAGAATGTTGAGGTTCAAGAAGAATTAACGGACCCAGATACCAGTATGGAGATTGTAAAACGGGATGATTTGGAAAATGTTTGAGTCTGACTGTCTCGCCCTCATAATCCTCAGATGATGGCAGCATCCGCAACGATATGGTGGTATTAATAGCAGGAGCCTGTTCCTAAACCGGTGGAGTTCAAAATGGAACTCTCATCACCTCATCCTTTCAGTCCGGTCAATAATCATCGTCGTTTCCTGGCACTGAACGACTTCAGAGGATCTACCTTTCCTCTCGTTTTTCCGCTTGCACGAGTTTTCCGAGCTCCACCTCGTTTTTTATTGTCTTTCCGCTTGCTATCAGAGCCCAATTTCCTCAACCCCACGAATCCAATGTCTTCGGTACTGACCCCTTTTTTCCCTTGAGGCGGCATGAGATAATCGGGGACGTGTTTCAGATGAGATTGATGTCGGACGATAGCACCATGTTCGCCGTCGTGCCTGAGATGACGGAGGTCATCTGGATTCTCTTCAAAATGTTTCCGTAACTTTTCGCTCTTGATCAATTCTTGCTTGATCTCTCTGGCACGGGCTTCATGGACTGCGGCGCGAGTGACCGCTCGCAAAGCATCATTCATCCGATAGCGAAAAGCATCCACTTGGCCCATATCGAAGTGATAAGGCTTCACCTCGTTGCCCTTCTTCTCCTGGCGAGCAATGATCTTCTCGAGGACACGCTCGTCGTTCTTTGATGCCGGAATGCTTGTGGCCTTGTGTTTGCCAAATCGATCTTTGGGCACCACAAATGACAGTGCCATGCCTGCTTTTCCAGCCCTTGCCGTTCTGCCGATGCGGTGTGTGTATGACTTCGAATTCTGCGGGAGATCAAAGTTGATGACGCATGAGACATTCTGGAAGTCGATGCCTCTCGAAACACCGTAGTCCTTTTCATTGTTTGAGAGCTTCGACTTCTTGGAAGCGTGCTGATCGTCCTCGTCGTCCTCGTCACTCATCTCGTGGTCTGGGGCATTGCCATCCTGTGTTTGCACCTTTGACCTTCTGACAATGCCACCCAGGACCTCTTGATCATCTGCGGCAATAAGAATATCGTAAAGGCCTTTGTTGAATTCTTGGACGACGTGGAGTCTGGAATTTACCGGTAACTCGGCGTTCAACACGCAGGACTTGATTCCAAATTGCTCCAAAAACAACTTCAGGCGATAGCTCCTGTCGACATCGTGCACAAAAATGATCGACTTGCCCTTGACCAAGCGTAATTTGAACAGAACGAATATGAGCAAGAATTTCTCGTCTTCTCCACAACGGACAACATATTGCGTCACCCCTTCACCTTTCTCCTCCTTTTCATCGATCTTGATTACTGCCGCATCGCGGCAGAATATGATCTTCAACTCCTCCACCTCAGGTGTCAACGTTGCACTGATCAGGAAGGTCTGAACGCCGCGGGGAAGGATGGAGGCGATAGTATTGATATCATCCTCGTAACCATATGAAAGGACAATGTCGGCTTCGTCGATGACCAGATGACTGACTTTGTCCAGAGAGACTCGGCCGGAATTCAAATACTGCGTCACTCTTCCCGGCGTTGAGACAATGATATCTGGGGACTCTTGCAACACCGCCTGTAACACGGCATCCGAAAGTCGTTGTGTCAAGTTTAGTGATCGTAGATCTTTGGTGCAGAATGACGAAAGGGAAGCGAAAGCCTTCTGAACTTGATCTGCCAGCTCGCGCGTTGGCACAAGAACGAGAGTCGAGGTAACCTTGTCCTTCGGCGAGCTTTTCTTTCGGCGGAGGATCGATTGGAGGATGGGCAGTACGTAGGCGGCGGTCTTGCCACTGCCTGTCTTTGACTTTGCCAAAACGTCTTTCCCTTCGAGTGCCAGAGGTATCACTCGCGCCTGGACCGGAGTAGGCGTAGAGAACTTTGCTTTCGCAACGGCTTGGATCAAGCGAGGATCGAGGCCGAAACTGTCAAACGAAACATCATCAGCCTTGGCCTCGTCCAGGACTTCCACCGTAGGCGCGTCATTGGCGTCCAATTTGCGCTTCATTTCGAACACCAGTGAGCACGACAATGATGGTAGAGAGACGGTTCCTGGATCACGAAATGTTGCAAGTCACAGGCAGTCTCTGATCCCTCGAAGGGAAGATTTTCCTTGGCGGAGATTATTTGGAGAAAAAAGTTGACGCAGGCGCAGTTGATCTCCGCAGTTTGCAAGTGCGGGAGAAAAAGTGTTCGGCGGGCAAAACAACCTCGCAACATTCCAATTCTTCCATGATTCCCCAGACCAGGTCGGCAACTACCATGATGCACCCTACCAAGGTGCGAAATCACCAAGAGCGCGGCCTTGAGGCACTTGACAAGGACGAAGTCGAACTCCGGTTGGAAAAGGCGGTCTTTGGAGATGATGCTGGCTTTCTAGAGTCCTTGCAGCCGCGCCGAGTACAAGATGACAAGGCTTTGGCTCGTCACAATGAGCATGACTTGGATGATGAGAACGACAATGATGGCGGCTACAGCGAAGGGGGACTTTCTGATGTTGCGGACGAAGATGTAAACCTTGATATCGTGCTCATATCTTTCTACGCTGACCAGCGAATCAGTTATTCTTCCTCGATGCAGGAACCGGGCAACTTCCCACGGCCGTCTCAAAAGAACTCGATGACAAACTTTCAGCACATATTTCTTCCGACAAAGAGCCCGTGTGGTTAGACAGCGATGACGACCGAATGACCGTGTCATTGGCCTCGAACACGCGCTTGAGAAAGCTACGAGATACTCTTGATGACGATATAATCAGTGGAAGGGAGTATATCCAGAGACTTCGTCGACAATACGAAAGACTCCATCCTACGCCAGAATGGGTCGCATACGCAAGAAAGCGAAGAAGGCTAGCATCGCAAGATAAAGAGTCTGGAGATTCGGACACGGATGAGTCCATGGACGACGGCGAACATCTTACTTCAGCTCAACCTCTTGCTGAACTTCTTCGAAGTGCAAGTTCCTTGACTCGCTCCGTACCGGCAGGCGAAAGGTCCAAAGGAGTTCGAAAACTCCGACCAGAAGTGATCGACATCCAGCGATGCAAGGATGTGGCTGGCTCTGGGCCATCTGCCGTGGACGCTCTGCAGTTCCACCCTCACTACCCTCTCCTCCTTTCGGCCGGGCCGAGTTCAACAGTCACACTGTATCATGTCTCACCTTTACCGCCCAATCCCAACCCTGTATTGACTTCAATGCATATCAGGGGAACCCCCGTCCACACCGCTGCGTTTTGTAGAGCGCCTGGCGAGAAGCCCTTATCAATTGACGAAGAAGTGCAAGATCAAACGCGGGTGTTTCTCTCCTCACGGCGTCGCTATTTCCATGTATGGTCACTTGCGACGGGAGTGGTGACGAAAGTCACCCGCGCGCTGTATGGCGACGCACGTAATGAACAACGAACGATGGAATCTTTCAAGATCTCGCCCTGCGGCCGTTACATGGGACTTATTGGCTCGTCCAAGAAAGGAGGCGGAAGTATCAACGTCTTGTCAACAGAGAGTATGCAGTGGTTGTGCAGCTGTCGGATCGACTCGAGGGGGGGTGTTGCGGATTTCTCTTGGTGGCGCGATGGGAACGGGTTTGCCGTGGTGGGAAAGAATGGCGAGGTCAGTGAATACGATATTGAGGCGAAGAGAGTCGTTCACCGATGGACGGACGAGGGTGCAGTCGGTACCACGGTAATCACGTTAGGTGGGCAAAGCGGGCAGGATGGGAGGGATGGATCACGTTGGGTGGCAGTCGGTTCATCAAGTGGTATCGTGAACATATACGATCGCAGAGGATGGATTGCCGCCGAAGATGCGGAAAGGGCAAGTAAAGATGAAAGGCCCCGACCCGCCAGAGTCTTTGATCAACTGACAACCCCGATCTCCCACCTCGAATTCTCCGACGATGGTCAAATGCTCGTCATGTCTTCGAGATGGAAAAAGAACGCCCTGCGACTGGTTCATCTGCCAAGTTGCACTCTTTACAGGAATTGGCCAACGGACAGGACGCCATTGGGAAGAATCAGTGCAGTGGCACTCTCACCAAATGGGAGTTACCTTGCGGTGGCAAACGAACAAGGGAAGATCAGGTTGTGGGAAATACAAGAGTAGCATCCTTTGGTGACCGCATTGGTTTAAATGAGATGCGTGCCTGTCTAATGCCTCTGTTCAAATTTGCTCTACCTAGATATCAGCCGGGACTACACGGCAAGCTTCTTCAGTTGCTCCAATTCCTTAATTCCGACAGTGTTTCCCGCTTTGATCCTCTTCAGGGTGAGGGCGGCAATGACAGCGGCACCTACGCCACTTCCATCCTCAGCACTAAGGATAACCACAGGATCCTTCTTCCCCTTTGGCCAATCGAGGATTTCGCGGAGGGCTTGGGCTCCCCGAGCCTTGAAGTGAGGATATTTGGTGAAAACAGATCCATCAGCCCCTACGTGGCAGCTCTCAATGTTCTTCTTTTTGCAGATGGCAGCCACCCCACAAGCCGAAAGGCGTGCAGCGCGGGTTCCAATCAGCTCTGCCAGGCGGCGGCACAATTCCAGCTCCGGCTTCCTTGCCGTGAGACCAAGTTCTTTCTCGAACAAATCATGCGTTTCCTGCAAGTTCTCGAATGGATCTTCCTCGATCGAGGCAAGGAACGAGGCGTCGATGGTATAAGGCTTCTTCAGCTTGGAGATGTCCTGTCCCTCAAACAACAAATTCTTGTTTTCGTGGAGGTCAACAAGGACGAGGCGGAAGATTTCACCCAAGTATAAACCGGCTATCATTTTCTCGAAAGCTTGCTGGCCCGGTCGAGGAGAGGTCTCGTCGATGATAGTGTCATATTTGGTGATTGGCAAGACCTTGTGCTCGTTGTCGAAGGCCCCATATTCGCAGTTGATGGCCATGGGGCAGTCATCAGGGAGATTCAAATGCTTCAATTTAGGTATGGAGCCACAGTTTTCCATGTAAGCGGCATTACAGCCGGTGCCGAAAATGCAGCCGATTTTCATGGACTGGTCGGTGTAGGCGGATGCGATCAATGTACCAGTGGTATCATTGATGAGGGCGACCAGCTTGATTGGCAGGTTCTGGCGACACGTCAGTCGGCGAAGTCATAGATCAACCCACGGTGGTCTTACCCGGGCCTTTAATGCAGCTTCAAACTGGGGAACAACATCATGTCCTTCTACTCCCGAGATGTCAAATCCTTTGGTCCACCTCTGGAGCACACCGTGATCGATGTAGTGTTGAGTGGCTGGATACGAGAAGGTGAATCCCAGCGGGAGATCAGGCAGATTTTCCTCCTCATGGTGAAACTCGATGAATTGCTGCAAGCAGTCGGCGATATATTCCCATAGCTCGTCTGCAGTTCCTGTCTTGAGCTCCTCCGGCAGGCGGTATTTACTCTGGATGATGTCGAATTCGCCCTTCTCTTCGGTGAGATTAATCTCACACACCCGCAAGTTGGTACCGCCCATGTCGAGTGCAAGGAAGGTGCCTTGTTCGTTTCCATCAGGGAAGGCCATGACCCAGGTTGGATTCATCGGAATGTTGGAGCCTTCTTTTTCCAGGCCTGCCTCTAGCTCTGTAACGAAGTGCTCAGTGACTTTCTTAAGTCTTGCACCATCCACTGTGAACTGATTCTCGAGACTGGCGATTTCGTCAAGCATGCTTTTGGGCACATCCGCCATGGACCCTACGAACGTGGAGCGGTCAGCTTCTGGAGCACTCTTTGTGTGAAGATATTGGACTTACCCTTGCGGGAAGGCTTGCGCTTCGGTCCTACGCCGACCATCTTGTCTGTACCGATGAAAGAAAGCTTGAGTAGTTGAAATCCAGAGTGGTGTTTCAGAATCCCTCCGGTCGAGCAAGGTTTTCAGATTGGAGCAGCTTTGATCGATTGCGGACGCAGAGATGGCCAGAAAAGGTCGATTGCAGCGTGGATGCGGTCAGAACCGGAGAATCAGAATGTTGACTGGTGTCGGTGGGGCAGCTGAGGTCAGAGGAGCACGTAGGTACTACGTAGTAGGCATGGGCCACCGAAATCATACTACGAGGGGCAGTTTTACCACCTGAGTACCTAATCCCCGGAGAGGCTTTTTTATTATCGATGGACGATTGATATGATCGAGCCCGTTCAAGGCATGCTTCTGACTAGCCATCAACAAGCTGACTCAAGGTGTAGGAACCATCAACCACCCAGTGCTACTGCAAGAGACAAGTCCCAGGTCGGCTCCACCTTCGCAGCTCCAAGCTAATCAACCCCATGGTACATACCGTACCTAGGTAGGTACTAGTACCCATTCCCAGCGGTGAGCCCGATGGTCCTTTTGAGACTAGGCTGAGCCCCCAGAAACATCAGTCGTCAATCTCGATGATATTGTTGTCTTCTCCCTGGACGGTCCGTCCGAAGAGAACGGAATCATCAACCCTGTAGCGATTCGGGCCAATTGCTGGATCGCCTGCGGTGCTTCGAGAGATCTCCGTAATAGCCTCGAAGAGAAACTTTCGGATAGGACGGTCACCAACTTCGAGAAAAGGCTCAAGTAGAGTATTGTGGTGAGCAAACGAACTGTATCCTTGCGAATAGATCTCCCAAGCGCATTGGTCAAGTAGGTATCTGACAATAGGAATACTGTGCAGGGACTCGCTATCGCCAAGCCGGTTGATGATCCAGACCAGGTCTTCGAAGACAACGTTAAACTCTCGGTGGTACTGGCGGATACAGTCGACGATGGCGTCCTGGAGGGGAATAATCTGGTAATTGAGAGCAAGAACGTATGCCCGGAGCAAAATCCTACAATTGCTGCGACTGATTGGTGTTTCGGGTGGCTGGTTGTATAGCCAATTGACGACGATTTCGAAGGCAGCAGGCTCGTAGCAGCGTCCCTCGAGGTGATAAACATGGCTCGAGATGAGATCGTCCAGCGACCGATGATCGTTTAGGCCTTGTTTGGTATTCATCTCTTCACCACCACCCTCCAACTTGACAGGGACCGGGCTGACAGTCGAATCCCGAACGGTAGATGCGGGCGTTGGTGAACCTAGGGCATCCACACCCAGTGGCCATCCATGAACTTCAAAGAAGCCAGTCCGCTCAAGTTGAGAAAAGTGTACATGGAACGGCTCTCTCTCCACTCCCACTGTGATGCGCAAGGTCTTCTTGCTATATTTTCCCTTTGTCGCACTCGCACGGGTGGAAGCCGATGGTGTTGACATATTGGCGGTGTTGTATGTGCCGATCTGAGATGAAGTTCGGAGAAGGCGACGGTCGTAGGAGGGCGAGGTGGTAAACCTGGAGCAGCTTCGTCAGCCATTAATAGGAAGGACAAGCCGGAAGGTGTATTCACGTACCTTTGAGATCGGGCTGCCGATATTGCAGTCGAAGCGTGCAGAGTAAGAAGAGCGCTGGACCTGGAGATACGCAAACGCTGGCTTGTTGGAGCAGTTTTCGACGTAATGACGAGGAAAGGTAAGACGTAAAGCTTGATGAGTCTAGAGAGAAGACTTCTCGGAACTGTCTGGTTTCAAATGAGGGAAGACATGCCCCAAGCCTGTGGACTCGGTAGTGGTAGTCTCTCGAGTTGTAGGTGAATTGATTTGGGGGGTTTGGGCTCCAGCCTTTTCAAGTTCTTCCCTGATTCTCACATTGGCCTCACTTGAAAGTTTCAGCGAAGCATCAATATCCCTTGTCAACTTTTCGACTTCCTCGTCAAGTCTCTCTTGGCGATTCTTTGCCGGCTCCTCTTGTCGGTCTCTCTCGCGCTTATCAGGATTGGTGCTCTCCCAAAGCTCCTCCAGTTCCTCCCCCCAGTCTAAGGCTTCTGCAAGTTTTCGGACTCCCGCATCACAATCTCCGAGTAACAGCACATCGTCTGGTCGCGAGCCAAGAGAGCCTGCCTTTTCAAGGTTGATGAGCACCCTCGGCGTCCCCTCTCTCACAAAGGAAGGCAAGCTCGCGAACGGCTGGACTGTCAGACTTGTCCCCATGACTATCGCCAGATCTGCTCTGGCTGGTAGACTGCGATTGCGATGGAATGATTCTGGCAGCGCCTCGCCAAAGAAAACGATGTCTGGTTTGACCAATCCATTGCAAGACTTCCGAATGCAGTGCGGAACTTCCTTCTTTCCTACCATCTCTTTCATCAGGTCCCCCGGATATTCAGTATGACACTCAATACATCGTTGAGTAGCGAAGGATCCATGCGCTTCCACGATTTTGTCCGCCGGAACTCCCGCTTCCCGTTCCAGGCAGTCTATGTTCTGGGTGAACAACTTGAGAAGTCTCCCTTTCTTGTGCAGCAGGCTAATAAACGAATGGGTCACCGTCGGTCGATATCTACCCGGGTACAGTTCGTGGGCGAGGGTATAAAATGGATAAGGGTTGTTACGGAAGTATGAGATGTCGAACACGGCTTCGGCGTACGGCAAATTCAACCTGGCCAAATTTGCATACAAGCCCGTCTCCGGAGATCGGAAGTCTGGAATGCCAGCAGATGTACTGATGCCTGCGCCGGTCTGTTCACGGTCAGTTGAGTCACCTATTCATCTGTGCTGGGTCCAGATATGCGCACCATCACCACGATGTTCTTGACGTCCTTTTCTTTAATGTACTGCGCAACGGCCTCAATCGTGCGAGCATGTAGCGTCGTGGGAGGAGTCGCCTCGTCCACTGGCGTAGATGATTCATTGCCCATCTTGAAGGTCCAGCGTCCAGCGCGGAAATTCGAGTGGCGGTCTCTTCGACGGCGACCTATGATGGCGAGGAGGAAGCGAAACAGGTTGGCAAATTATGATAGAGGAGTGTACGAACTGATCCAAGAGAACCTCAAAAGTGTCCGGTTGACAACTTAACGCTGTGATGGCAGTCTTCAAGTTGCATCATTCAATATATCAGCCTCGAAATGATTGCATCTAATCAGCCTGCCCACCCCTGCGAGCCTGCTGTTCTCCGAGTCGTCAGTTTAAATATTGTGCAGCGGCGGAAGAACCGCTCACCGCCGCGGCCATTGTGACAAAAGGCCTTGGCATGCGGTTCGCACCGCGATTCCATTCAAGTTGATTGCATCCGCCCTCTCATTCTCGTGCAAACGGGACTTTTTCGAAGCAATCAGTTCAATCTGTATTGCTGGGATCCGCGGCCCGTAGTAAGACCTCCACAGGACGGCTCCGTGTCTCCTTTCTGAGGTGCACCTATGGCTGAACGGTTTCAGTCCGCCAACCACTTTGGACAGACAAACTAGGATTTCCCTCAAGCATCGCGAACTGCCTTGCAATCATGACACCAAATGGCCACGCCTCCGATATTGACCCAGGCAAGGAAACCGTTGGCGTCTACAATGCAAGGTCTGTGACGGAGATCCAAGCTGCTTTGGCTGAATTGCATAACAAAGAAGCCAATGTGACTTCGCGGCTCGATGCTCTAATCAGTGCACAAAAGGATCTCCAACACGAGCTAGGTCGACTTGACCTGTTCCGGGCCAATGTCACTTCTCAGGCTTCCAGGACAAGGGCTGTCAACAGCGGCATGCTTTCGGACGCTGCAGCCAATGCGCACCGTATATCGAGTTCGGTCAAGCAACTGGATCTAGAGCAGGCAAGGGTGAAGGCGACCCTCACTGTGGTCGAACAGGTCGGCGAGCTGAAGGCATGTGTTTTGGGTGTCTCCGGGTCAATGGGAGCTGCACAAGACTGGGAGACAGCGGCGAACTATCTCAGCAGAGCCTCCAAAATTCCCAGCGAGGTGGTCAATGGTTCTTTCGCAGCCAGAATTGTACCAACTACAGAAGTCCCTGATGCCCCAGCTGTTACTTTGGAGAATGCCTCCGAGTCATTGTGCGGGTTGTTTATCAGAGAATTCGACAAAGCTGTTAGAGACAATGATGGTGCCAGAATCACCCGGTTCTTCAAGCTGTTCCCTCTCATCAACAGATCCGACGTTGGCCTTGATGTGTATGGACGCTACGTTTGTCAAGGAGTGGCTGCGCGTGCCCGGGCCAACCTTAATGCTGGCACAGGAGGCATTCAAAGCAAAGACGGCTTCTTCTATGCAAATGCTCTGACCAAAATGTTTGAGCACATTGCTCAGATTATTGAGGGACACGGTGGACTGGTCGAACGCCACTACGGGCCTGGCAAGATGACTCGAGTGATTGAACGACTGCAAGCTGAGGCTGACCTGCAAGGAGGCATCATTCTCGACACTTGGAGTGATGAAAGAAGGATCGATCGTCACCTGACTGAAATCAAATCTTATGCCTTCACTTTTCTTGTCCAAAGCTTCATGGCCTCCCAGCGAGCACCTTCTGCAACCCCTCGCGCGAACTCGCCGGTTCCAGGTAGAGCTAGCGAGGACGAATCTGTCGATATGAAGCAAGTTGACGCCTTGCTCAACGAGATGACAGCTATGCTCAGTAAATGGTCTCTCTACACCAGATTTGTCTCCGACAAGTGCGGTGGTGCTGCATCCGCCGACAAGCGCCTTACGATGCCCGTTTTCCTTCTCAACTCGGGTCTGATGAGGAAGGTGCAAGACAAACTCATTGCACCGTTTAACACTATGACGACCTTCTTCTTCCGCCGGTCGGTGGAAAAAGCATTTCAGTTGGACGAGCAGCCTGCTGATCTTTCGCTCAATCCTCACAAGCCATTGAACTCCAATCCCCCTCATGTGACCTCTGCCATTGAAGACATCATGTACATTGTCAACAAGGTTCTACAACAATCATTGGCCACTATGCAGAAAGCTGTTGTCTCCAACGTCTTGCCCACCCTGGGCAGAGTGCTGGGATCCGACTTCATCGGCATGGAGCAGCGCAAGATGCGCGACGAGAGCTATCCCAAAGCTGCAATGCAAGGACAACTGCCACCTGAGGCAACCATCGTCTCGTTCCTGGTTCTCATCAACAACCTCGATGTCGCCAAGGACTACGTGGAGCAAATAGTGCGCGCACGCTTGGAACTCAGAGCAGGGTCTCCCCATCCTCCCCTCGGGGAACTTTTCCCTGGCTCCGAAGAAGCCGATGAAGTTGCTGCTTCATTGACCTCATTCTCCACTATTTTCTCCGAGAAAGCCAATGAGCTCATCTCGGACGGTGTGAATGTGGTTTTCCACAATGTCATGAAGCCTAGACTTCGCCCCATTCTGATGGATGCATTCCGGGACACGGATTACCAGCTGACAAAAGAGCAACTCCAGGACATCGCCCAGGAAATGGACGAGGTGGGCGAGGCAGATGGATTCTCAGATGAAGTCCGCATGCGCTTCCAGCTAGGGTGGGATGCGCTCACAAAACCTATCGGACGCATCATGACGGAGCGTACGTATGATCAGCTTCTGACCATTGTTATCGCCTATCTAAGCAGAATGCTGGAGAAACGGCTTTGGACTTACCATGGACGAGTCAACGAGATTGGCGCGGCCAGACTAGAGCACGATATCAACGAAATCATCAAGGTGGTGGTCAGGGGACAGAAGTACAGTTTTCGAGAGGTATTCCTGAGATGCAGCCAGATTTGCATGATCATGAACATGGATGAAGAGGAATGGGAGGAGTCGAACAATTCTGGTGGCGATTTCGCTGACAAGTTAAAGCCGGAGGAGCGCCTAAGAGCTAGGAACATGGTAAAAGAACGTCCTGCTTGAAGTAGGCGATCAGAAGTATGCATGTGGTGTGGTTTGAACACTGATCATTTCTCGTGCTATTCTCGTGCTATCCTTGTAGCACCAAGCACAGCTCACATACGCCGGCTCCGGCCATCTAGTGTGAAGATGGGTATGGCATAAAACTGATTTTGTCCGTGGCAAGTATCTAGACTTGCCTACACCACGTCCCGTGTTCTCTCTCCCGTTTTCGGGCCTTTCGTGCTTAGGAATTCGCCCCTACACCACCATTCCTCTATGCTCGCGACATGACTCCCCAGGCACGGATCTTGTTGTCGGTGTAACCAGAGAACAAGGTCTGGCCATCAGCACTCCAAGCCAAGCTCACACAGTATGGCTCTTGCGACTTCTTGCCTTTCTCAACGTACTCGGGCTTGAGCTCGTCAACCTTGCTCTTCTTCTCGAGGTCGAAGATGGTGATAGACGAGGTGGTAGCCGCGCAGAGCCAATATCGGTTGGGCGAGAAAACAAGAGCATGGATCTCATCGCCGGCCTGGAGGGAGTAGAGGTGCTTGGACTCGTTGAGATCCCAAAGCATGGTGGTACCATCCTTGCCGCCAGATGCGCACAGCGAGCCATCGGGAGAGATGGTAACAGTGTTGATGTAACCGGTGTGACCGATGTGGTCAGTTTGAAGGCGGCAGGAAGCCAATTCCCAGACCTAGAAGAAGGGTATTAGTCCAGGTCTACCATGCGATGGAGAAACGAGTGATAGTAATTTCCACGACTCTGCCTCAGTCCGCTGGTGAATGTTTGTCTCATAGCCCGAAGGCTCTGAAGTAGCAAATACTTTTATGAATGCGTAGCATCTTGGGCAAATAACGTGGATTTGTGGAGCCTTCTTACCTTGACCAGTTTGTCCCAACCAGCGCTCACGATGACGGGGTTTTGAGGGTTCGGCGAAAAACGAACGCAAGACACCCAGTCGGTGTGGCCCTTGTCGGTAATGGTGAACTTGCAGTCTCCCAGAGTGTTCCACAGCTTGATCGTTCGGTCTCGCGAACCGGACACGATCTGTCGGTTATCGGCGGAGAAGGAAACAGAGAGGACGTCGTTGGTGTGGCCGACAAATGTTCGCGTAGTGTTACCGGTGGACAGCTCCCACAACCGCAGAGTCTTGTCCCAGGAGGAGGAAAGTGCGTAGGCGCCGTCGGAGGAGATGACACAGTCCGAGACAATGTGAGAGTGACCGTGGAGGGATCGCTTGGGATATCCGTAGGCAGACTCATCGCGGGTCAGGTTCCAGATGATGAGGGTCTTGTCTCTCGAGGCAGACAGGAGCATGTTAGGGCTAAAATCGTGGTTAGCGAGAATGCGCTGGTCTATGGTCGCGGCAGGACTGACTTCTCCAAGCTGGTTGCGAGACTGGTGACCCAGCCGCTGTGGCCTTCAAGGGTACCACGTTGAATGAGTTGTTCAGCCATGGTGACTTGAGGATCCGGTTGGAGCAAAGCTGGGAGTGCTGGAATCGGCGTTTTTCTTGAGAACTTGAGGCCGCAGTCGAAGTAACGATGCGATCGGCCAAAAGCTCTTGTGTGGCATCGAAAAGTGTCCCGAATCTTGGCAAGACGCCAAGTCCTTCGGTGGGTGTTTCATACACGAAGCGTATATTCAATGTGTGGTTACTCCCTGTCCTCCCAGCCTTGTTTGATAGAACAATCTTTACGTTACAGGTATCATTGCTTCAAACCCAGCAGTCCCTCTCTCTGCTCTGCATCTTCGTTTAGTGGATGTTGTCCAGCACTGAACACAAGGGCATGAGTACGAGGCTGAAGCGATTGGAGAGCCGAATGATTTGATTGGTGCTCCTGTGGTATCCAACCCGATGATGTCAAGATTGCAGCTTTGCAGATATCTACGACACTTCAACCGCATCCCGATCCCATAAACAGTCTCCCTCCACCAATATCAAAAGTGCCAATCCTTTTCCTTCTTAGCGATAATAAAATCACCATGATGAACCCCACACGAGCATTCTCTCGAGCCCTCCAGGGTCGTCGTTTGACGCAGGTTGCGTCGCGGCGCCTCATCTCCTCGTCCTCCTGCCGCTTGACTGACCGTGCCCCTTCCACGGCTGAGGAACACCGACAATATCAGAAAGAGAAGCCGGCCAACCCTCATTTGACAAACACGAACTCTACTATCCACAATAACATGCCGTCGGTGGGAAAAGACAACCCTCCACCAGATTTGATCAGCTCGGTCGATCCCAACGCCGTTCCCAAGGACCGGGTACCCGAAAACACCGACAGAATGACGGGAGGAACACAACCAGGAGATCCCACTAAAGTAAGCACGTCAGAGTTTGGCGTTGGTGAACTGGAGGGCATCTCGTTCCGAGTCGAGCCTATACGCCGGACTGGAGAAGACCTCGCGACCATGAGAGCGAGGTTATTATGTTCGTGGAAGCCCTTGTGGGAGCTCTATGCAACAAGGAGTTGTCGCGCTTAGTCTAACATTGCTAACGTATATCTACAGACCAAAGCAGGAAGCGAGGCACACTAGAGTCGGACCTCCTACTCTCCACGTTCGCCGCGGAAAATCTATCCTCCATGTCGAAGTCTCAACTTGAGCAGTACGATCAATTCCTTGACGAAAACGACTGGGACATTTATTACTGGGCCACGCAATCCCCAGCTGGTACGCCAACGTCACTGGAGTCCGCGGAGGGCGCAATAAATGACAAGAAGAGCAAGACGACCCAGCCTACCTCGCCTGCGACCCCTGCACAGACACAAGAGACGGATCCTTGGAGGCAAGGAGCTCCACGAAGTGGGGAGTGGGCGCAAACGGTTGGGACGTTTAAGCCTGCTTACAGACCAGTTCCTCAGCGGTGGAAAGACAGCGAAGTGCTGGACATGCTACGGAAGCATGTGAGGGAGCGGAGTGCTGGTGGCGTCTTGGAAGATGTCGAGGCTACTCCAAAAAGTAAAGGCAGTGGCTTGGGAAGGATGCCTGATGTTCAAATGTTTGATTGATCAGATCGTACCTTAGTCACAGTATCTGAGACAGTAGCTGAGAGTAATGGCAATTCCGAGGGCAAGGCGTGTCAATCCTCAACTGAGTCCATCTGCGTTCGCCCGGTCCCTCGCAAGGCGGGAACTAGGGCTGGGCGCCAGAACGATAGGCACGTTAGTACTAATGTCAAATCACGCTTACTCCGTACTCCTTCTCAACAACCTGTCCATTATATACTCATATATTGTTTTTCACAACACTAATCAGTATAGGAGAAGCCAACCTTGTATCATAACATCTTATACTCGATCAGGTATGTCGTCAATATAGCCGTCAATACTCTAAAGAGTAGAGGCGAAGGTGTTGGATTCCCACGCGTTTCGACGAGCGCGCATAACACGCCTCGATGCCTACCTCGTTTGGCGCCCAGTCCTAGGCCACGTCATGAATGTCGACCCTATACATGAAGTGTTGGGACGACAAGATGGGCGATGTCGGAGACAACGTCCCACAACTGTTTCCCCAGCCGCGGTCCGGGCAGGTAAGCTACCCCGAGGACACCATGGAGCCTGCTGGGTCCAAGCAGACGGCAAGCGACGGTTATCGTGTGCCGCGTTAAGCGTTTATATCAGGGACTTCGTACACAGCATGAGCTGACCAGAGAGTTCCGCCTATGAGATTGGGTTCTGCAACAGCTAAAGTCAATACTCCTTCGTACATCTCCACCAAACTACTCCCGATCTGGGACATTCATCAAGAGGTTCAACAACGCGGAGACAATGATCTCGTCACGATGCTACGGAGAGATGTTTTCCTGTCTTATCTCTCGAACTTTCGGTCAGTGGTCCCTGATACCGGTTTACAAAACGGCAGGGCTTCTCTCCTATTATATCGTCCATGGCTGGATTTTCGTTAGCCTCTCAGAATTTCAGCAGCCCTAATGAAGAGTTCCGGTGTTTGAACCCGGGCATAAGATACGACCGAGTCATAAGACCCTGCCCCTATCCTGGCCACGATGGACAATAAAATGACAGAAGAGGAGGAGAAGGAAAAAACACAAGGGCAACATCCTGTCGCTTTGACACCGGTTCAATCGCGCCGCAGCCAAGCCGCGTCGACTCACCATTCCTCCCGATCCTATGTCGATGGTCACGGCACCCATGTGCCTGCGGGAGGTCAGGACGATGACTCTGATGGCGCGCAAGCGATGGACGTCGAGATCTCTGCCGAAAAAGCGTTCGAAGTTGGCTGGGATGGGCCCGGTGACCCGATGAACCCCAAAAATATGAGCGGAGGCAGAAAATGGCTGATTGTGATGACCCTTGCATTTGGTTCCTTATGCGTGACCTGCACTTCATCATTATATACAACCACCTATGGTAGGACCACGCCTATTCTTGGTCCATAATGTTCTATACAACGTGTTACTGACATTCTGACAGAAAAGATGGACGCCGAATTTGGTAATTCTCGCATTGTCGCAACTCTTGGCCTGTCGCTCTTTGTCTTTGGCTTGGGTCTCTCTCCGATGATCCTGGGGCCGCTTTCTGAATTCTATGGCCGTCGGCCCATATATATACTGGCTTATATTTTCTTCACCATATGGCTGATTCCCTGTGCAACGGCCCAAAACATCCAGACTATGTTGGTATCCCGATTTCTCGATGGTTTTTCTGGAAGTGCCTTTTTATCTGTCGCGGGTGGTACGGTCGGAGATATGTTCAATCGTGATCAGCTTCAGGCCCCCATGATGGTATACACGGCGTCACCATTTATCGGTCCTGGTCTAGGCCCGATCATTGGAGGATTCATCAACTACAATACTTCCTGGCGGTGGTCATATTACGTCCTGTTGATATGGTCGGGGATAATGCTGGTGAGCATCGTATTGTTCGTGCCTGAAACATACATGCCGGTGCTTCTGAGGACCAAAGCACAAAGGAAACGGAAAGAGACTGGGGATGCACGGTGGAAGGCGCCGATCGAGGTCTATGAAAGATCCGTTTTCTGGACGGTGGTAAGATCGCTTTACCGGCCTTTCATGCTGTTGTTCATGGAGCCGATGTGCTTCAATCTGTGTCTGTTGTCCTCCATCCTGTTGGGGATCCTATATCTGTTTTTTGGCGCCTTCCATCTCGTGTTTGCCGAGGTCTATGGCTTCAACCTGTGGCAAATCGGACTGGCGTTCCTCGGACTCACCATCGGCATGCTCCTGGCAATTGCGTCCGATCCCATCTGGCACCTAAACTACAGGCGGCTGTTGCGAAAGCGCGAAAACGAGACAGGCGAACGCAAATCCGAACCCGAGTACCGCTTGCCGCCATCCATTGTCGGTCCTTGGTTTTGTGTAGTCGGACTGTTTTGGTTTGCTTGGACAATCTATGCGCGGATCCACTGGATTGTGCCCATCATTGCCACGTCCTTTTTCGGATTCGGCACTATCCTTACCTTTTCAGGGGTCTTCACCTTCCTTGTCGAGGCGTACCCCTTGTACGCTGCCAGTGCCCTGTCGGCGAACTCTTTCGCGCGGAGCTCCTTTGCTGGTGCATTCCCTTTGTTCGGACTCCAGATGTACCACACTCTCAATTTCCACTGGGCGTCGACGCTTCTGGCATTTCTTACGCTGGCAATGGCGCCATTCCCTTATCTCTTCTTCATCTATGGCAAACGGCTTCGTCAGAAGAGCAAGTTTACTCAGCTGCCGGATTAAGGGAGCAATCACCGCCATATCGAGCCAGGGTTCCCTTTCGGCATAAAGCGTGCACGTTCCGGGTCTGCAGGTACTATGGGCGATCTCGATCGATCCTCTCCATCCACCTCCACCATTGGAACGCCTCCATGCACTCTCTCGCGCCACCGATAGCTTGGCGATCCGAGTCAGTGTGCTTCTTGTGGGAATTTCTTCTATGATGAGCAAAACAGGGGGACAGTGCCGGTTCCAAGGTCCAGTACGGGTACCTGCACAATGAGCGCCGTGGGACAGGCCGTAGTAGTGGAGAGATATTTGAACAAATGTTACCAGGGCATGGTGTCTTGCCAGGGAGTACTTGCCGGGCAGATGCGTTGGCAATTTTGAGGTCAAACAGGTGCGAGGCTCACGATCCATTCAATGCCGTGCATATTTGATGATGGTTAACTTTGCGGTCAAGAGGTATACGGGCTCGATCACAATAGGCAACATTAGGAAGAAAACCCAATAAGAGTCGCCCTCCGATGGGAGTTGTACAACACGGGAAGCGGTGAATGCTTCAGGATGCTGGCACAGAACACAGACACAACTTTTGGAAAGCATGTGTCGGTTGATCCTGTGGGAATGGGCCTTGGTGTCCTGTTGTATCCAGACAGTGGGCAGCGGTCAGGAAGGAACGATTCCCCGAAGACGGGATTGGCTTACACCATAGATTGGATGTATCAGGCGGAGAGACGAGCATATGTTTTGATCATCTCCAGCCATTCCAAAATCATGATACCTGCGTACCAAGGCAGACAACCAGTGGCACGTTGGCATGGGGTCTTCTTTGTCGAGCCTTTGCCGCAGCCCTCCGAATTGTTCGGGTGAATTCGGAGAGCCTTGCAAAAATAACAGTGAGGGGGGCCGATAAAATGCCGGGGTGCAGTCTCTGCTTTGGAGGCGTAACCACAGTACTGCGTACAGCCCGGATAGTTCGTCGCCTTGAAATCAGTACGTAGATCGAGCAGATTGTCGTGGTCTGGTGGCCATCCCAAGCCAGACAAGCATAATTACTTATCCCAGACTCCTATTCTCTGCGGCGGGCTGAATGCTGGGTTCGGGGTTCTCAATCCGGGGTCTGGAGGCTAAGCGGGCAGGGTGTCCTAAGGCTGGGGGCTAAAAGGATGTGCAAATAACACTTACTACGTACCCCCTTCTCAACATGCACATCGTTCTAGGTAGTAAAAACTGGTAGTAATAATCAGGGAACTTTAGCAGTTTGAGGTACCTTACCCAACGCTTAGGTAAAGCGGTACTTACTAGAGTCAGAGTATAGGGCTAATAGACCTCCCGGAGCGTCGTGGTCCACCCTGTCGCCATCATTCACCTACTATAGGAAACCCACTACCTTCTACCTTACCGACAGCCCCTACTCTGTACCCGTGCAGTGGTACTAACAACTTCCTCACTGCTCACTCGGCCCTCGACTCCCCTCATCAACCAGCATTTTTCGAATCTATATGCTCTGCATTCACTCGACTCGACTTCAGGTCTCATTTTCCTGTTGTCACCCACCAGCATTAACATGACCGATGCGCCCTGTCATCTCTCCACGACAAGCGCCACATTGGTCCTCCCCTCCAACACATCAGGCCAACTCCGCACTCCGACAGCGCCTCGTCTAGTCGCCATTTTGTTGCCCGCATCTCGCGAGCCTCCACCGCCGCCGCAGCACGACACATTCGTGATGCTCGAGGCCTGACAGTGTGCCAGCAACTCTCTTGAATCCTCGAGGCCGGAGTTCTTTCTAGTCGCAACATCCCCCTGCGTCTCTCTCTACGAGAAGAGCCACATCCACCTCCGGTCCGGTACCACCTGCGCGCGTCCCTCTCTGATCGGCCGGTCTACTGCGACAGTCATTCCTCCTCGCTGCTTGCTACAGAACTGCTGAAAGATTGTCCACCTCTGTCATACACTGTGAAGGTCGCACTGCATTAGTCGCCGACCTTTTTGCGCTGCTTCGTACAGGCTGGCTCGCGAAGCTGAAGCATTTTCTGCCGGTCTCCTATCTTGCGGCACCGTCATACCGAGTTCAGGACCTTCCCCCGGACCTCTCCTACAGCGCTCCGCGATCGCTCTGTAGAGATCCCAGGCACTTGGTTCCCTCAAGGGGGCACGCGCGACCGGCTTGAGGCAACATCTGACAGGATACTGCACTCGACAGGGGCCTTGGCTGGAAACCGAGTCTTGTATGCAAGCAGCCACTGCGGCAGGGTTCCCAGCCAGCCCAGACAATTCTCGGGTGCTGTGTCACTGTTGGCGCTGTTTGTGCAAGGTCCTTTGCAGCCCTGCACGTTCTGGCAGCGATTGATGGTCTGCTTATAACAATATGACGGCCTCAGATGTCGAAGATGGCCACTCTCGTTCGGCCTCTCCCGACGACAGTGGAACCGAGCAAGTGCCTGATAGTATGGCCGAAGCGCAACCCAAGGACGACAACCCCGAGCAACCGAACGGATCACAGTCCACTAATCTGAAGGATCCTTCCCGACCGAGAAGGAAGAAGGCGCGCAGGGCGTGTTACGCTTGTCAACGTGCTCACTTGACGTGTGGTATGTCCATACCGATGTTCTGGCGAATCATGCCCTTCCCACTAACACTGTTACAGGTGACGAGCGGCCATGCCAGCGATGTATCAAACGAGGACTCCAGGACGCCTGCCAGGATGGGGTGAGGAAGAAGGCCAAGTATCTTCACGATGCGCCCAATGAGGCCCTCATGCCGGGTGTTGGGGGAACCCTTTTCAGCCATCCTGCCGGGAAGCGCAGTTCGACAATGGCGACTGACACGTCGTCGCAACAGCCATTCTTCCAGCAATCACAAACATTCAACAACTTCCACACGCCCTCGCAGATGCCTCCTCCTATGCTGCACGAGCGAAGCATGAGCTCTACGAGTTTCGCTCAACAGTCACCCTTGAGCAACAATTTCACAGGTGTCGCGTCGCAGGTCCCGCCGCAGGTCCCGCCGCAGGTCCCGTTGCCGAGTCCTGTCATTAACCAAGATCAGGCTGTTGCCAACAATATTAGCAACACCACCTGGCCAGGGCAACTTTTCGATGATCAGACCATGTTCAATTTCGACCTTGCGAGCATGAACTTCGGCAACCACTACGGCGCATTGGAGTTTGGCATGCTTGGTCACATGGCCACAAACGCCGGCGAAACTCCCCCCAGTGATACTGCTACACAAAGAGGTTCCATCGCTCAGCAGTATCACATGCCTCTGGGAAGCTTCAGCGAGAGCCCTACGGGTCGACAGCAATTCTATGGCGATACGATGATGTCGGAATGGTCCAATGGAAATGATCCTTACGGCACACAAGGTCGCCAAATGGCACCTAACGCTTTTGCAATAGAATCCAATCCGACACATTGGACCTCTCCCGATACTAATGGAACGCCTACCAATGCAGCCAAGTTCGAAGACTCTCCATTGATGACCAGCTCCGCAATCCAGGTCCCGCCTACTACGGTTGATGTTGGGATGTTACATCAACCATCCAACACTGTCGACAATAGGAATCGCCCACCTTCTCTGATATCTACTCCTCAGCTGAAGGCAAGATCACAACTACCCATCAAAACGCTGAAGCGGCCGCGGGATCCTTCATCCATCTATACTACTGTCACGAGCCCTCACCCATACACTACTGGCTACCACCGCTGCCTAGCATATCTGCAGAAGCGGTTTTCCACGCAGCCGTCGAAGACCCTCACGATTGCGAAGGCATTAGCCTCGATCCGACCTTCGTTTATCGCGACCACCAAGACCTTGAATAGGGAAGATTTGATTTTCATGGAAAAGTGTTTCCAAAGGACTTTGTGGGAATATGAAGGGTTCATCGAGGGCGTGGGCACTCCGACCATTGTGGCCAGAAGAACAGGCGAGGTCGCTGCAGTTGGAAAAGAGTTCCAAATACTCACGGGCTGGACAAAGAGTGTTCTGCTGGGGCGAGCTCCTAACCTCAATGTAAACAGAGGACACTCTGGGCAGACGCCTGCGGGTGGCTCCGGTACCACCACGGCAAGAGCCACAGGATTCAATACTCCAACTCGAGGTAGTGCTCAAGATCCAGACAGCGATGAGAAACGGGCACAGCCGGTCTTCCTAGCCGAGCTGCTGGACGATGATTCAGTCGTGCAATTCTACGAAGACTTCGCCCGACTGGCCTTTGGGGACAGCCGTGGAAGTGTCATGGGACGAGGAAAACTCCTCAAATATCGCACAAAGGACGACGAGCTCGCCCAGAACCTCCACGCAGAGGCCGACGCACGACATGAAGAAGCCAAACAGGCCAATGGCATGGACGTTCGCCGCCAGGAGTACTCCCTCGCTCGTCGACAGAACGAGCTGAAGAGGGATGGCATCTCCGGCGAAAAAGGTATGCAGAAGCTGGGCTCTGCAGACGGTAAAGTGGAATGCACATATTGCTGGACAGTCAAACGGGATGTATTCGACATCCCGATGCTTATTGTTATGAATGTGGGTTATATTCCGCCATGGCAATGCCGCCGAATTTGCAAGACTAACCGTATACAGTTCCTGCCTTGTATATAGGCGCAAAAAGTTCTCTAGGCCTGGGTTGATATTGGGGTTCGGTCAGCCCGGCGATTGATTTGGCGCCGACGAGTCCATGGAATTTGGATTGGTGTCTACCACGTTTTTCTAGAATCATCTGGGACTGTCTCACGAGGGAAGCTCATGAGCATTGAAATATAGGAGGGCGGATGTTCTTCTGGCGATGCAGAGTTTCAGAGCGCCACTGTATGAGAAGGACGATTTCTCCAGAATGACCTCCCACGTCTGTGTGCGGTCCGACTATCTTCCTGGACCGTTGAGAATGGCTCTATAAGTGGGTGCAATGGTTCTATCCACTCAATGCAAGTTGTGGAATTCCTGCATCCACGGCTCCAGGCTCCAGCGCCGCTCGTGTTCTACCGCTTTTCTTGACCGTTGTTATTCCTTGTTCAGGATCGCCTTTTCCACATTAGCCGTGTCAGTCGTCTTCATCCACTCGAAGTCTTTCAGCCACGGCTCCTCCTTGAACTTTGCATACGCGGGCCGTTGTAGGCTCCGTCTGGCAACGTCACAATCGGTCTTGATGTCCTCGATCAACGCGTCGAGCGACACATAGTCGTACTCAGGCCGGATGAAGCCAAGCATGAGCAGGTTTAGCGCTGCGCCGTAGAAGTCGTGGCTGAAGTCGTGCAGGATGTGGATCTCCACGCTTCGAACGGTATTCTTGTAGAATGGATTGTACCCGATGCTCAACACCGAGGGGTACACTTCATTCGAACTCGACGGCGTGTCCGGCGACGGGGACAAGGAGAGTCCCACCCACCCGTAGTACACGCCGGACTCTAGCGACGGATATGAGGCCAGACCTTCGGGGGGGATGTTGGCTGTGGGAATGCCGAGCTGTGTCCAGAAGTAAGGGTCAGCTTGGTCTTGTCTTATGTTTCACAAAGACCGTCTCCCTTGAGAATCAAGCCAATCAATATAAAGACCCATGTTACAAACCCATCTACCACCGTGTTTCGTAGCCACCAGAAACCGATATTTGTGCCTTCGCTGTAGAAACTCGGCGGCCGCAAAGCTCGTCCGCGACTCTTTCAGACACGACTTCGAGCTCGTAAATCTCGCAAGAACGCAATTCAAATCTGGCAGCTCGCGGACAATGATCAACGCATACGCACGACAGCGCTTACCTCTTTGCTTCCTCGCCCAAATCCTTTGATGACCGGTCCAAAAAGCCTTATCGGGAAAGGCGGCTCCGGCCCGTTCTCCGGCCCTGCGTAGGGTTCTCGTGGTGCGTCTGGCCGCATACTTGTAACAGAGCCCGGTATTTAGTTGTTGGGAGTGAGTGAACCGGTCGATGCTGGTCGGGTTTTGATGGTTGATGATTGATGTTTTCTGGAGTTGGATTGGATCTCGCAATCGGACAATATTATTTAATGCTGATATCGCGATATGGACTGAGTTCGGTCTGGGCCACATCAACTAAACGATTCACGCACACGCCCAAAAAGCCAAGCCGTAGGAGATGCAGGTACGAGAAGCCATCCTATGATAGTCTGGTCCCCACAGATGGAGTCTCTGCTATCTAACTACAGGTAGGTCAGCAATTCGTATCTGTAGCCTTATTGACTTTGTTGACCTGCCGAACGACAAGAGAACGAGCATTCGAAGGGTTTCAGCCAGCCAGCCAATGAGAAGCAGAGCATGGTCGGAGTGCTTTGGCCTTGCGTCTCGCCAGTCAAGGAGTAATCAATCGCATTGCAACGACGGACGATGGATCCTATCATTTCGAGGTGCTAATCCTCAATACATATTGAAAAATGTGAGCACAGGGTTGCAGACAAGCCACAGAGGTGGTCGTTGTTATCATGGTCTGTCTACACACTGCCCGAATACCCAACGGTTGGCATCAGGCCGAGAGCCCGCCTCCTCTCGACCCATTTTCGAAACTCATCAGCCCAGAAAACAGAGCTCGCTATGCACACCAGTATGAAGATGTCCCTCAAACCCAACGCCTCGGTCTGAAAGACTCGTTGCAGAAACGGTAGATATATGACACAGAGCTGTCCTGCAAGACTGCCTGCCACTGCGTAGTTGAACATTTTGTTTCCAAAAATTTTGATTTCCCCGAATAATACAGACTTGGCTTCTGATCGACAAGTGAGGGCGTTGAACATGTCAAAGAGGACGAAAGTCGTGAAAGTCATGGTGGTATCACGTTTGGTGACCACCCGGGCGCGAAGAGGTGCGCCGTTGTCAGGGGCGGCGGCTGTTGGGTCATCCATCTCCACCATTTCGTGGATGTATACTGACAACGTACCCACCATGATGATAAGGGCGGACGTGAGGACCCGGCGGATGAGACGTTTGGTAAGCACATTGGCGTTTCGGGGCCGTGGCGGCTGTGTCATTACCCGGGGATCGACTGGCTCAACCCCGAGGGACTGGGCAGGCGGCCCATCCATCAAGATGTCTAGGTTTGTCAGTCATGGTTTCTGACCAAGATGGGAGCATTACTTACTGATCCAGAGGATCTGCATAGCATTGAGGGGGTTCTTGAACCCAAACATGGTGCTTAGCAGTACCAGCGACAGAGCTGCGACACTGGTGCTCAGTTGAAAGGTGATGAAGTTTTGGATGTTAAAGAATATGCCTTTGCCTTGTTCAATGGCTCTGAGGATCGTGGAGAAGTCGTCGTCGGTCAATATCATATCGGCAGCTTCCTTGGCAACGTCGGTCCCGAGCATGCCCATGGCAATCCCAATGTCGGCTTTCTTCAAGGCCGGTGCATCGTTGACCCCATCTCCTGTCATGGCTACAACATCTCCTCGCGCCTGAAGCGCGCGAACGATTTTCATTTTGTGATCTGGGCTGGTTCGAGCGAATATGGTTGTCTTGCCGATCGCCTCCGACAGCTCCTGCTCCGACATGCGGTCGAGCTCGTCACCTCGAAGGACCGACCTTGAAGTCGAGGATGCTGGGTTGATGGGCATACCCAGCTTTTTCGCAATCGCCACGGCCGTCGTCTCAGCATCACCGGTAATCATGATGACTTTCACTCCCCCGTTCATCAGCCGTCTGATAGACCTATGCACGTCCTTGCGAGGCGGATCGTTCATTCCCACCAAGCCTGCAAAACATAGGCCATTGAAGACATCCGTCTCGTCCGGCTTGTTGTCCCCTCGAGAAGGCGTCGAGCTCCTGCTGGCTTGTCTGTGCTTGCTCCTGATCACCCCGCTCGCGAAGGCAATGACTCGGAGGCCTTCCTCGGCCATTGCCTGGGCGGCTGCATACGCTTGCTGGCGACGAACCTCGTCAAGAATCACCTCTTGACCGTCCTTGGTCAAATAAGTGTCTGACCGGCCGAGCACCTGTTCGATAGACCCTTTAACATAAGCCGTCTCAGAGCCGATAGCATGTCCATTGGTCAGCTCCCCAAGGGGATTCCCAATGACCACGCCCATCCACTTTCGTTCCGAGCTAAACGGGGTCTCCAACGTCCGATGACCGATCTGTTCACGGATATCGTCTTCTCCGAACGCGTCCATCAGGTCTAACATTGCAATGTCGGTAGGCTGGCCAAGCCATCGGCTCCTGATGTTCGTGGACGAGCGGTCTCTAGTAGAGGACAGTACAGCGGCGGAGGCGGCCGTTGCTGGGGTTCCGGTAGTCGCATGCGATAATCGACCGTTGTTTGCGATGTTGCCAATGCGAAGAACGGCTTTAGTAGCAGAGGTGGGCTCTGCCGCGGTGTCGACAGTAAACGGCTGCGAGGCATCGAAATGCCACATCTTCGTCACGGTCATATGATTCATAGTCAGTGTTCCTGTCTTGTCACTGCAAACCACATTGACAGAGCCGAGCGTCTCGACGCTTGGGAGCTTTCGGACTATAGCCCCTCGCTTGGCCATTCTCAATACTCCGAGAGCCAGTGTCACCGTGACGATGATTGGCAGCCCTTCTGGAATTGCAGCAACTGCCAGTGACACTCCAATGGTGAAGAGATCCAGTAGTTTCTTGCCTTGGAGAAGACCGATCATCATAATGATACCGATGACAATAAATGACATATAACTGAGCTGCTTTCCAAGTAGATCCATGGAATGCTGCAGAGGTGTCCGCGGCGCCTCGATTCCCTGGAGCGACAAAGAAATGGTCCCGAACTCAGTGTTTCCTCCTGTTGCGATGACAATACCTTCGCCATGGCCTGACCGGACCAATGTGCCCATAAAGGCAATATTGTGCTGCTCGTTGAGCCGGACGTCTGCCCCTACTGTACCGGCAGCATTGAGCGGCTCCGGAGTGCCATGGTGCTCAGATCTTGGGGCAGCCCTGTCAAGAGCAGCCGCATGCTTCTCCACGGGCTCATTTTCACCGGTCAAGTTGGACTCATCGATAGTTAGGTCCGCCGAGCGTGTGATCCTAATATCCGCAGGAATACGGTCGCCAGTAGAAAAGATAACCAGATCTCCCACCACCAGTTGAGAGGCAAGTATAGTTGTAGACGTTTTCTCCTCGGGGGTGGCGCCGTTGGCCAATGGCTCTAGCTCAACCTCGTCGTTCTCGATCGTATGCCTGCTACCGTGTGTCCTTGATCTCAGCCCAGTGCGCCTGACATGGGCGTGATGAGGTACGAGGCGATTCAATGCCTCCAGACTCTTCTCCGACCTGTATTCCTGAACAAACCCGACTGTGACGACAATGGTGACCGCAAGTGCAATGCTGACAGCGTCATCTTTATTACCGATGACAAGCGAAATCGCGGCCGAGGCAAGTAGGAGTACAATGAGCGGTTCTTTGAATTGCTTCAGAAACCTTAGCCAGAGGGGCTCCTCCTCTTCATGGGGCAACTCATTGGGCCCATCTTCTGCAAGTCTCGCATGTGCCTCGCTCTGCAATAACCCATGGGTGAGCGAGGTTTCTAACCGGTCGGCGGTCTGGTCAGGGGTGAGGAGAGCGTAGGAGGAGGTTATTGAGGAGGACGTATCCGCGAAAGGCGCTGGGCTTCGGCTTCGTGATCGCTTTGTCGGGGATTCTGAGTTGTATATGGGCAGCGCAGGTACGGATAATGTTGACATGGTTGCATGTTGCTATTCCAACGCGCGTTCCATGCTAAAGAGGCAAATTGACGATGCTGGAAAGGAGTTGGTGACTAGTGCCAGCGACCGACAGTGAGGTGAAGAGGCTCTGACGACAGATGCAGCACCGATAGTCGACGGTAGAGTTACTTGAGAAGTATAGGGCTACAGGTGGAATGTATAGCTTAACACGAGACAGTAGTGCTTCGAGAAATGAGGATGATTTTATCGATTCCTTAGTATCTTCTACTAGTGCTAGTTGTCTTCTCTATCGAGACATCAGGATCGTGGAGGCCAGGTGTTGCACCCTTGAATACAAGGTAGTATCTCGATCCCTGACAGCTGCAGTAGTGAAGCTTAACACTTATTAACAATAACAGCAAGCGTTGGAAGGGAAGGTCTTCCGAAGCTAAGGGGCCAACTTAGGTCAGGGCGCGACAAGCCTGAGGGGAAAAACAAACGGCAGATACAAGCAGTGCTACTGGAGCGTTAACTGGTCCTGCAGTGGCTGCTCGTGCCTGCGCCCGGGCCTTACTGTGATACTCACACCCTAGACTCTTCCTCTCTCCAGCCACTCTACCACCTCCAGTTATTGCCATTCAAGTTCATCACTCAACTTCCAACCACCTTCATTTGTGTTGGGCTCTATCTTCTTCATTTTCTTGATTGTATTGTCGCCTTGAGTTTTGGTGGTAGAACATTGGATCAGCCGCTTTTGAACGCTTTCGTCGTCGCTGCCGCCATTCAAACAGAGAACGAGCGATATTTACTCGACGCGTCGCATACCGATCTTCCTCTACCCTTATTAGTTCACCGTCGCCTCCTCCCCGTCTCATGCCGTCCTGATCGTGTTCACGCATCGCCCGACGCGTTTCATCTCTGCAACAACCATGTTCTACTCGGAGCAACTTCTTGCGAAGACCGGGCCTTTGGCTCGCGTCTGGCTCGCGTCCAATGTTGAGCGCAAACTATCGAAGTCACAAATCCTGCAGTCGGACATCCAAAGCAGTGTTGGCGCTATTGTCGACCAAGGCCATGCCCCGATGGCCTTGCGCCTGAGTGGTCAGCTAATGTTGGGGGTGGTGCGAATCTATGGAAGAAAAGCACGGTATCTACTGGATGACTGCAATGAGGCTCTGATCAAAATCCGAATGGTAAGATGCCCGACTTGTTGCGCGTAACAATGCTGAATGTTTCGCAGACTTTCAAATCCACCAATAACCATGATCTGCCGCCTAATGCGACAACGACCATTGATCTCAACCTACCGGAGCTGCTCACCATCGATGATCTGTTCTCGAACATGGACTTCGCATATCCTATGACCCAACAACCGGCTATCACTGGTGTCGAGTCGCAAGACATGGACGAAGATTGGACCAGTTCCCTCAATCCTCAGCAAAGCAGTACTCAATCGATGTTGATTCCCGGAGACGAACCTTTTTACAACGACGACGACCTGAACCTGGACTTTGGAGATCGTGATATGGGTATGAATGAGACAACCGTTAGCATCAACGTAGGCAGAAATGCGCCTTCTCCTACCCATGGTGTCGAGGAAGTCTTTGGTGAAGAGGGCCTGCTCCACGACGACGACGATCTTCAAATTGATCTAGGTGAAGATATTCCTATGATGGACGAGCCAGATATGCCTGCTAGGGATGACGAGGTTGTCCCTGAGATAAGCAACGACGAATCCCTTGCTTTCGGGGACGACGAGACTCTGCAACTACGACAAGCCACGGCTGGTGAAGAGCGTGCTCGCCAATCAGAGTCGCCCTTGTCAGAAGCTGGTTCGGATGTGCTGCGCGACCTGGATCGGACTTTTCAGAATGTGGACCTGGACGAGGTCGAGGAAGTTGTTGTTCAGCAGCCTCAACGGAGTCGGAAGCAGAAACCACTTGCCCCTGATGTCGAAACCGTCCTTCACAACAAGCAGATCAAAGCCCAGGCTGAAGATCGTACTAAGATTCTGAAAGCACCGTCTTTCCTCCCCCGAGATCCGCTTCTTCTTAGCCTCTTGAGCATGCAGAAGAATGGCGATTTTGTTCTCGACGCAATGAATGATGGTCGGTCCAGGGACTGGGCACCAGAACTTCAGGGACTGCTCTCATTTGAGACGATCACGAGATCCGGCCAGCTGAAGCGAAAACGGGATAGCGGAGTAGGCGGACTTAGCGAAGATGAGCACAGCGAAAAGTCACCCCGTTTGGAAAGAGGAGACGATGAAATGGAAGACGAGGGAGTCCAGATTGAGGAACCCAGCTTTGGCATTACAGGTGGGATAGCAGCTGATGACAGTGCCCAACCACTCATGAGCGAAGGCGGTCCCGCACTAGAGGATATCGTTCTCGGTGAAGATGAAGAAGGCATCTTTGGTGGTGATGATACGTTCGATGACACAACAATACCTCTTGTCCACCCGGCAGACAGCGGCCCAGTATCGTTGGGGACCAAACACGCCGTCCACATCTTGCGAGACCGACTTGGCGATGCCGATGGTACACATCCATCCTCGCCCGCAAAGAAATCAGTACTTCTGCAGGAGCTTGTACCCGAAGGCAGGACAACTAAAGAAGATGCCACAAAGATGTTCTTTGAAATCCTTGTTCTAGCCACGAAGGACGCCGTCAAGGTCGAACAAGGGGACAAGGCAATCGGCCTGCCACTTCGAATCAGAGCGAAGCGCGGCTTGTGGGGGTCATGGGCGGAAGCGAGTCCGGGCGAAGATCCTGCAGCCATGACGGCTTCACAGCAAGTTGCGGTGGAGTCATGATCACTGCTCGAACAATGGAGGCATGAGCTTTGGTGTTTACTCGGTGTGCTCAGAACGTGATACCCCAGGCCGAATAGGGCAGTTGACTGTATCTCGCGACCCAGGAGTCTTGCGATCGGGGTTTTGGGCGTCCAGATTTGTCTGAGTTAGGGTTGGAACGAGACCTGGTAGCGATGGCGTCTCTTTCTCTGGATTGAGCTCACATTGCGCAGCATGGGGCTTCATCTGGTTGGGCGTGTAGTCCTTTGGGTTTGTAATGTGTTCATAGTTGGGTAGAAAGAATTCTTTCCCAATCGTTGGTTGCCTCAAGTTGCTCGCTCTGGCCGCACACTCTAATTCTTCTGTTCTGCATGTCTACGAAGAGAGGACTTTCATACTGCTGAGCGATCTACGCGTCTTTCACCCACGACCCATCGTCCATGCGGCCATTCCGCTTCGGCCCTTCTCTCAACCAAGTCTCAACCAGGCCGGACTTCGGATCCTCATCTGGGAGCCCACGTGAACGACGGACCTCAAGCACCGCATCCCTGACCCTCTTCGTGCATTCCTTCCTCAATTCAATGGCTTCGGGGTGATGCGCAAGGCTCTCAGGGACGATGCCTAACATAATCTCATTCCAACTAGAATGACCCCTTTTCCTTGCGTCTTCGTCCGCTAGCTCACGCCACCGCTTGCGAAGGTCGCCAAAGACAGCTTCCACGTCCAACTCGCTGCCAAACGTGACAGTTATTTTCTTCCCTATGCGTGGTAGGAATCTTGGAAACCGTCGACTTTCGTGCATTACCTGATCAGTGCCTTCGATGAACATGGGAACTACGTCGGGACATTCAGGCGGTTCCAGGATCAGCCGGGCCACGCCCCACTTGAAGTATCGCATCGTCTGATCTTCAGCCTGGTGTACCATACCCTCTGGGAATATGTGAACCCAACTGTATGAATTGCAGGCGTACCGCGACGGGGCGTGGTACCATCGCTCGTCGCTTGGCTGTGAAGGGTACGCTGCAATGGGCACGACGTCTGAAAATGGATCGACGCAGTCTCGTGGCCAACTAGGTGTATGATATGTTTGATGTAGTCTTGGATCATTGTGGGGGCAGAAAGACATCTTGCGCGAGCTGATTTGGGAGAGTAGTCTCACACCCTCAGTCATTGTAGCCTGGAAAGGACCACCGTAGGGCGAATGGTACATTCGATGGGTAGGCAGAACTTGGCCGAGCGTGAAGAAATGCGAGAGGGCGGTGTTTTGGAAGCAGATGTCGTGGCTCCCAAAGGACCATCTATTGTTCATGTAGCCATGGAAGGCGGCAAAGGAGAGTGGCAGAACGCCCCAAATCAGAGGGTCGTCGATGACGGAAATGTGGTTCGATACGGTCAACAGCCCTCTGCGACGAGTTTTGTAGTCGGACCGAGACTTTAGAAGGTCGAGGAATCGAGGCAGGCCATTGACCTCTGTTTTGTTGAACCCGTAGATAAAAAGGCGCGACAGGGTCGAAACGGCGAGGATTGTCTGGTATGAAGCCGACCTCCAGAGAAAGCTGGGGAGCTCTGCATTGGGGTACAGGTCATCATGGCCCTGCATTGAGACTGCTGCTTTCCATCGAGCCAAAGATGACGGCTCCGGCAGACTGCGTCGTGTTTATGCTCTGCTTGGATGCAGAGGAAAAGATTGTTATTCACAAAAAAAGGGCGGCGAAGTACTACTAGTATACTACCTACTAGCATGCATGGAGAGTCGGGGCTGCGGCGATCTAGCTCCACCTTCTAAAAATCCCCAACACGAATAACCCATCAACTAACAACGCAACGTTTACCTTCCGTCAGGTAGCCCAAGTCATCTGGGTAGGGAACAAGCTCTCTCCATCCGCTTATAATTATGTTCAGACCGACTGCGCCGCTCTCTGGCGGTCTGTTATGGTATGTCCAGCTAGCGTCGAAGCTGCAAAGAGAAACCTACTAATGGTCCTACCAGGAAAATTCCATGGCGACTGTCCCCAATGCAAAAGGCGCGCCAACGAAAGAGGTTAAAGCTAGTTGACAAGGTCGTCGACACCGTCAGCACAGCGTTGCAAAAGAATGGAGGGATGACGGCGAAGGCCGTGGAGAGATGGTATAATGAAATGCCCAGGGAAGAGGAGATGCTCCCGAAAGACAAATATACCATTTTCGATCGCAAAGAGAAGAAATATCGGAAAGGCATTCATAGTATGTTCAGTCGGATGGATTTGGCCTCTATCTCCATTGACTTATGGTTACAGAACTGCCCAAGTGGACACGGGTTAGCCAAAGAGTAAACCCGCCAGGATTCTGATCGACTCGCAGCGAACGACTTTCATCCTCAGACATGGTCCGAAAACTCCCTACGAAAAAGCTCCGCTCTATACATATGAAGCCTTCTACCTGCCGTGACGTCCAGTGATGTCCGCTCAGCAGCCTTCACCCCAGGGACGACTTCGCTATTCATGGAAATCTGGACCCCGGCACTTCCGAATACCATCAGCAAAATTCGGGTCTTTAAGAGCGCCGAGGTCCTTGGAGGAGTAAATACCAAATGCAGCAGGGGGTTCTAGATTTGAGGAAATCTTACGCAGGGGCGTCCACGACGTGCTGGTGCAGACGCCGTCAGGAGAATCGACTGTGATGTGACAACGGCGCGAATTCAACCTGGCCCGGCCGAGGGACCTACGGTGAACGGGAAGATCAATTCAGGCTGGAATGAACTGGTATGGTCATCCTTTGCTGAGATCTCGCGGAAAGGATGATCCAAGGGTGCTGTATGGTAGTACACAGAGCTGTATGATCGGTTTGCTGCGCCGCTACAATTGTGAATATAAAGCGGCAGGGGATTTTGGCCAGAAATGACATCAAACATCGACCCTCCGAATCTCTTCCGCCACCAACATAGACTCATACTTCAATTCTGTTCTTGTATTTCTGTCCCTGTTCGAGCGTCTTCGCACTCCATCAGGATCTCGCTCAATACATGCCAAAGAAGCATCAGCAGCGAGCGCTCTTGACCAAGCCACAGTCCAGCACTCCGCACACCCTCTCTCTGTCCAAATCCTCCGCATCTACAAGCCAGAATGCAAGGCCGCAACGTACGGTCAATGATCTCATTCGCGAATCCCGTCGACTTCAGATAAGGAATGAACCACGACCTCCTCCCGCTTCGACTGCCTCATCAATACCCCCTGCTCTCAGACAGGTCCTCGACATCCCTTCCCCTCCGCCTCCAGCACCGCGGGTCGGGTCGAGATTGGGCGGACCCAGCCGTCTACGGCGGATTCCAGGGCCTCCTCCACCGAGAAGCTGGCTTGCGGACAGTATCCATGCCTCAAAGGAGTTTGGATGGGTGGCTGCCGATGACAGTAACCGGCGCGTTCAGGTTCGAAGCAGCAATCTGCCCGAAGGCGCTTTCCCTCCCCCGGGTTCCCTACAAGACTTGGTCTTGAAGAAAATCGCGACTGATTGGGGCTGGCATGCGGAACACGATTGTGACTACTTGGGTCTTCTACCAAAAAATCTGAAAGAGACATTGCTGAGCTACATCGCGGTCTACAATGAAGCTGTTGTCAATCCACTCAAGCCTTTGTTTCTGGATGATATCGAACAAGAAGAGCGTGACGAAGTGCGCCGGTTGGACCTCAGCAATGGCTTGGGAGTGTGGGCTACGATGAAACAGCTTGAAAGAGATCTCTTTACCAGACATGCCTTAATGGCATCTGGAAAGTCGGGACCACCCGCCGCTGCTTCTTCATCTATTCTCGCTCCTGAGAGCTGGGACGCCGATAATGACAGCGACGAAGCAACAAGCACGACATTCACAATAGGGCCCCAAATTGTGCCCAACTTCTTGAATTTGAAACATCTGTCCCTGGCTATGTCGCCGACCAACTCGAAAGTGGCTTCGTGGACTTCGCTGCTATCTCTGGCCGCTGAGCTTCGGACACTGACGTCTCTTTCGTTGGCATATTGGCCACAGCCCACCTTCACACCTCTAGCTGCATCCACAAGAGCTGTGGTTGACGTCCCAGGCTCAAGGCCGGTGATTTATGGCGGGTCTGATGTTTACACGTCGTATGATAACAACTGGAGGGAGGCTGCGGGGATACTGCGAACCTTGAGCAGATCGTTATATTGCTTGAAGTGGCTGGATCTCACAGGGTGTGGGGACTGGTTTGCCGCACTGCAATGGACGGGCTCTTCCCTTGGAGCCTCGAACTCCGAGAGACTTGGACCCGAGTGGAACGGTGGATGGAGAGGACTGGAAACACTTGTCCTTGAAGTCGGCTGGAGGCCGGTTCTGCCGGCAGTTGATGCCAAGCCTATACAGCTGGATCAACCAGCGTGGGACGTCGAGACCGAGCGCAAATTGTATCGATACAATAAGGAGCGCGAGCGTTTTGTTGAAATCCGGAGCACCGCGCAGTCCGTGGCAAGGTATTTGCGATCACTCCGAAAGGCGTCTGGAGGGAAGTGGATTCAGGTTGAGTATGGCGAGGATTTGACATAGTAGCTGTACACAAGGCGACAGAGACTTTGTCTGCAAGAACACACATCCTAGGTGTAGTACGCCCTCTTTTCACTCACTTGGTGAAGAAGTTCGTGATCCGCTGGGTTCCAGGTTCGATCTTTTTGGTTGGGCTCGTCTTCAATGCCATGCCCTTGTTACTTGTTGCACTTCTCGGTGTCTTGCTTCCTGCAGTCTTGACGGGTGTTGAAAGCTTCGCTGGCGGTGACGAGAGTTTAGTTTGCTTATTTGCCGGACTCTCTTCTGGCGCATCCGCCGCTAGACGTTTTTGCCCCTGAGTTTCTTTCACTGAGATGGGAGGGATAGGCAGCGGTGCATTGTTCTCGCTTCCATCGTGGTCGATAGTCGGCCTGGTCTCCTCTGGCTCAGTCTCTACCTTGGTAGAGTCGGCCTTGACATGCTTCTTGTTAGCACCGCTGAAGAAGTTTGCGATATTCTTCTTGTTCTCCTTGCTATCGACGGGGACTATGAAGCTGGGCGAGTTGTTCCCCACCTTGCCGACGGCAGGATCCACGGGATAGAACTCAAGCTCGCCTTCGTATGGTTTCAAGAGAGACTGAAGTTCTCTTGACCACTTGTTCCTTGTCGGGTCCAGCCACATTTTGACTTCATCGGTTCCAGGATTCAGAATGACCGGCATCCGATCGTGCAAGAAGTTAAGCTGCTTGTTAGAATCCGTGGTGATGATGGTGTAAGTGTACAGTTTCTCTCCCGAGCCTTCATATTGGGCACAGTCCCAAAGCCCTGCAAAGCACATCAAGTTGCCGTCCTTTCGCTTGACAAAGTAGGGGATTCTCTCCTTTCCTCCTGGGCCCTTCTTCAACCACTCGTAAAATCCCTGTGCCACGACTAGACAGCGCTTTTTCTGTTTCATAGTGTTCCACATCCCTTTGTTCTCGATCAGAGAGTCGTCTCGGCAGTTGATGGTTCGCATCATGGAGGAGTAGTCGGGTGCTCGTTTCGTCCAGAAGGGGATTAACCCCCATTTCATGACTTTTATCTCGTATCTGTAGGGCTTCGGCTCGCTCGCTTGAGGCTCGGTGTTCTCCTGCGGGTCTTCCTCTTCACCGGGACCGGTCTCGTTCGACTCGGGATCTTCTGCATCTCTGATACCGTGATCAGGCACTTCGGCTCGGTATACAAGGCCGTATGCTCCCGGTGGAAAGTTGTAGGTCTCGCGGGCTTCCTCATCCTGGGGAGCATCGTCAACGGGCATACCTTGTTGCTCTAGTTGATGCCTAACGAACGAGGCACGCTTGGAATTGTTAGTGGTGGCTGCTGATTAAGGTCATTTTAACGTACAATGCCCAAGGCATACCTGCCGCACATTGATGCGTGCTCGAATGGACAGAATGGCTCCTGGGGATGTGGACAAATAGGATGTCCGGACCAAATACTATCAGGGCGGTCACTGGATAGTAGTTAGCCTTGGTAGCGCACCTCCACAAGCCTTTTGTGCTCTGAAGGAGTGAAGTTCACGTTGACTCCTGCAGCTGCGCCTGAGTGCATGTAATTACTACCTTAGTACATGACGTCGGACACACGAGATCTGGGGAAATTGCTTGGCCCCCACTGCAACGCCTCGCGTGTAAACGTGTCAACCTTTTCCTCCCCCACTGCATTGCATGACCTCTCAATGATGAGCTTTGCTCCTTGCCCCCATGACAGAACTCCTTCTCTTCTCGTTTTCTTCATCATCATTGCTGCTTTGGGATGACAAGAATAGTCACCAGCGCAGAGTTGTCCGATAGAAATGACAGACGCGTTCGACCATTGCAAACAAGCGTCGAGGTCGAGGCAGCGTATCCGGGGAGCTGCTCGGTATTCCATGGAGCTTCCTGCTCCTGGTCCGGACCGTCCTTTTCGTCTTTCATTTGTCCACTTCCGACATCGGCTCACTTCCCAACGACACGCCTCACGACACTGAAAGGGACGACGAGGCCGTCACCGTTATGTGCTGTAACGGGATAGGCGTAGAACGGCGTACACCAATACATCAACAGAAAGACCCAGAGTCTGCCAATCGAAAGGTGCCATCTGACGACGTTCTTGTTTGTTCCAGGCACGACTTGCTTCCATGCATACTGCACGAGATCCTCCACTATCACAGCAGTTGCTTGAACGAGAAAAAAGGCCCATGCCCCTGTTTTATGGGGGGAGATGCCGCATGAAATGTCTCCTAGCGCGTGGAAGCCAGCGGAGAACGCAAAGGTAAGGATAAGTACCATGTACCGACTGACTAGGGTACCAGGTGGCAGCCTCAAGATATTGTATACAGTATACACACTGGGTGCGAATATACGGTTTCTGACCGAGAGATGCCAAAAATTGCTGCATTTAGCACTTTTGTTAGCAGCATGCCTGTTGAGCCACCATACTGTTCGGGATATCGCTCACCTCCAAAATCTCCGGATGGTGTATGGGAAGCCGTTGTCGATATTGAACATTGGTTTCCACCATTCAACCGAAGTCATGCCAGTCAAAACCATGACGAGGCTGATGGCCGTCACCGAAGTCGACAACACCAAATAATTGACCAGCCAGAAAACAAAAGAGCAGACGAGGCGATCGACAAGCTCCTGGCTTGTAACCTCGTTCAAACGAGAAAGCAGAGGGATTCGTTCTTCCGAGAAAAGCACTGCTTGTCGTTCCGGATCACCCAGTGAAGTTAAGATGTCCAGTGCCAGATAGCATGCGATTAGGTGGACCGTGGTGGAGACGATGAACCGTTCTTTTGACGGAACGAAGGATGGATCTTTCCTGTCAAAAGGCTTTATACCGCGTGTCTCAAACACTGTTGCACAATTGCGAAAGCTGGACGCCGCGTACAGCCCAAATTTGAGTCGATTCCACAAGGTGTCAGCGCTGAATGGTGACCTCTGATCTTTTGCCCTGTTGCTAGCTTTCGGACCAGAGTACTCAAAATCCCAGCGGCTCACGATGGCCACATCGATGTACTGATATGTTGCCAGCACGGCTTGAGACCCTCCCCAACTAACTTGGAAGATATTGTCCACACGCCGCCGTGCGGTTGAGATATACGCCACTGTTATACAAAGTATGGGCAGCAGCATGGCAGGTCGTATGAATGATGATGGCTTCGTGAAGCCTACAGTCAGGCCTGTTAGGATGATTTGTGCGGCTAGGATTGTCCATGGATGCAAAAAGGGGTTCAAGGATGACTCCATGTCGATGCCCGTGACAGCATTTTCTGCCATGTCTGTATGCAGTGACAGGAACAGGTCAGGCACCTCTTCTACCACCGGACCTTATAGTGGTAGCCAAAATCTGAGCGTCAGATGCAGTCTAGGTAAGCTCAAAGATCCCCCAGCAAGAGAGAGCACTCGCAACGGGGAGTAGCTCTGTGAGAGTCTACCGCCCCAAGGAAGGACCTGAAAGCACCCGAAGTTGACGGCACCTGCAAGTCCTATGGTAAGAAGGCTGATAAGGCGAGACGTCTGTCTAATTCAGTTGCCTGATCCAAAATCGGCACCTTTTTACTACTCTTCGGGGCCTTTTTTCTCGTCCGAGTTTTATCACCAAGAGTTTATCAGATGACATCAACCCGGGAGATGTGCCTGAACATACAATCTGGATCTGCTCTGACTGTCAGACAGATCCCAAGCAGCAGCCCGGATTTGACAGCAGCAACCAGAGTCATGGCAATGTCTAAGCAGTGCAACGTCAGCTATTAGCTGGTCTCATGAGATCCCAAAGCACTGATTGATCCCTGGTTGATCAAAGCCGCATGCAATTTTCTTGGGTACCAGTCCGCAAAGCCAGACAAGCCAAATAAGCTAACCGAACCTACAACTACGCTTCGTTCCTGCATTTGTCAATCCGCAAGGTCCTGGGATGTCTTCGAAAAGCATGGCGTCGGCAGAGAATGTGCATGCTGCCTTTGATGATGCCGTTGAGCCCATCGCCATTGTAGGCATGGCATGCCGCTTTCCTGGGGATGTTGCGTCACCCTCGGAATTCTGGGATATGCTCGTCCGTCAGCGTTCTGGACATGGGAAGGTCCCTGCCGACCGCTTTGATGCCAACGTTTGGACACATCCCGATCATGATCGCAAAGGGGCGGTAAGATCTGCTCCAATACCGGAAACACTGGGCAGCTACTCATTTGCCTACAGATTCAGGCCAGGAGCGGGTTTTTCTTGCAGCATGATATTTCGCTCTTCGATGCTCCATTCTTCTCCATCACTGCGAAAGAAGCAATGGGAATGGATCCAATGCAGCGACAGATCCTTGAGGTGGCATATGAATGCTTCGAAAATGGTCAGCTGTGGACCCTCCCCTTCCCTCCGACAAATTCAACTGACAGTGCTACAGCCGGTGTTCCCTTCGAAAATCTCGCTGGTAGTATGACATCGGTCTATACGGGGGTCATGACCAACGACTACGAACGTATCAGCCAGTCCGAAATCTTCAGTCTACCGCAGAATGCAGCATCTGGAACCAGCCGCGCCATGTTGTCCAACCGGCTGTCTTGGTTTTTCAATCTGAGTGGTCCAAGTTTGACATTGGACACTGCATGTTCCTCTAGCTTATATGCCATGCACCTGGCGTGTCAGTCTATTAGACTACGAGAGTCTCAACAGGTATGGAGCACAGGCGTCATCCGCTTCTATCTGACAATGCTGACTAGCTCACTTGCTTTGCCAGGCATTGGTAGCCGGCGTCAATCTCATCCTTCATCCAAATTTCATATCCCAACTCTCGTCCATGCACATGTTGAGCCCTGATGGCATCAGCCACTCTTTTGATGAGCGGGCGAACGGTTACGCACGCGGCGAGGCTATCGGAGCTATTCTTGTGAAACCATTATCTAAAGCCTTAGCTGATGGCGACACTATCAGGGCAGTCATTCGAGGGAGCGGTGCTAACCAAGACGGAAAGACGCCTGGCATTACCATGCCGAGCAGAGAGGCTCAAGCAAAGCTCATCAACACCACATATGCTACCGCCGGGTTGACTACGACAGACACGACCTACTTCGAAGCTCACGGAACAGGGACAAAGATAGGAGTATGTCTTCCCGATACGCGATATTGCTTTTCTAATACACAAATTAGGATCCCATCGAGCTCTCAGCCATCGGCGCAAGCTTTGCTCCGGATCGCACACATGACAGACCTCTATATGTCGGCAGTGTGAAAACGAATGTTGGTCATACAGAAGGTATGGCTGGTCTTGCCGGCGTAATCAAGACAGTTCTCAGCATGGAGCATGCCGTCCTTCCCGGCCTGGTAGCCTTCGAGACCTTTAATTCGAAACTGCTTCTTGACGACTGGAAACTCGAATTGCCTCTTGAGTCTATGCCATGGCCCTCGGATGGTCTCCGCCGCGCAAGCGTTAACAGCTTTGGCTTCGGAGGCGCAAATGCGCACGTCATCCTCGATGATGCATACCACTATTTGAAAACTCGCGGGCTTGAAGGGCGTCACTGTACGCGAGACCTTCCTCCTCTACCGGCCGCCGTACTTTCTTCACGAGTGGACAGCAGAGAACAAACCGTGTCGAAAGACTTCAAGCTACTGCTGTTCTCTGCACAGGACCAGAACGGATTGGATCGCTTGTCGAAGCGTCTAGGGCAGTATCTGTTAAAAGAGCCTTCCCAGGGACAACGACCCGATATCGACTTGGATGACCTCGCCTTTACTCTGGCCTATAGACGGTCCCAGCTTGGAATCCGGTCATTTGCAGTATGCCGCACTGTGCGTGAATTAGCGACTGACAGCCTTAGGACAATATCAAGTTTGAAGCAGAAACGGCACGGGCAGCCGGAAAACATCATCTTTATCTTCACCGGTCAAGGAGCACAGTGGCCGCTGATGGGTCGCGAGCTGCTGCAATACAGCGCTTTTCATGATAGTGTCTCCAAGAGCCAATCGTATTTGGATGAACTCGGGTGCACTTGGAGTGCGGCTGATCTGCTGCATGAGCCGGGTCCAAGGATCAACCTGGCAGAACACTGCCAGCCAATTTGCACCATCCTGCAGGTCGCGCTTGTAGACCTGCTCGCATCTTGGGGTGTCACGCCTCGCGCTACTGTTGGCCACTCCAGCGGCGAGATAGGAGCCGCCTACGCTGCCGGCGGCGTAAGCCACAAAGATGCTGTGAAAATAGCTTACATGCGAGGCTATTATTGTGGTCAAATACAATCGCGCCTGAAGGAGAAACAGGGTGCAATGTTGGCTGCAGGGCTTACAGTACAAGAAGCGCGACGATACCTTCAAGAAGTTGACGAAGACTCTGTTGTTATTGGCTGCATGAACAGTCCGTCCAGCGTGACCCTTTCCGGGGACGTTCATGCGATCTCATACCTGGAACAGCGGATCAAATTGGATGGCAAGTTTGCACGCAAACTCCGAGTTGAGGTTGCATATCACTCGCCGCATATGCAAGCAGTCGCTCAGGACTTCCTGGACTCGCTGGACAGTATCGAGCCCACCAAGGACTTGAGAGTCCCCATGTTTTCTTCCGTGACGACGAAACAATTGGACTCACCCGTTCGACTTAACGCGCAATATTGGGTGACTAATATGGTCTCAGCTGTGCGGTTCTCCGAAGCTGTAGATAGTCTTCTTGCGCTTTCAGAACCCGGCTTCAAGGGCAGAAAGTCGAAGCCTGTGAACTGGTTCGCTGCGGTCGAGATAGGACCGCATGAAGCGCTGAAAGGCCCTTTCCAACAGTGTGCTCTAGCAGCTGGAAGCAAGAAAGCTAGCAGCCTGATCCCATACACATCCATGATCCGACGTGGGGAGCCAGGAACCAAGTCAGCAGCGGAGGCTGCCGGATTGCTTTGGTCACTTGGTCACCCCATTGATGTCCTCAACGTGAACAACGTGGACACCGCCCGCAGGAAAAGCTTGACTTCTCTCAGCAATTTGCCACCATACGCGTGGCAACACAGCAAAGGCTTCTGGCATGAGTCAAGTAGTTCGCGAGCTACCAGGCTCATCACTCGACCGAGGACAGATCTACTGGGTATTCCGGCGGACAACCAAAATCCACACGAACCACGTTGGAAGAACTTCCTGCGTTTGTCAGAAAATCCATGGATGAGAGATCACGCTATCACAGGGACCATCTTGTATCCTGCGGCAGGCATGCTCGTCATGGCTCTTGAAGCTGCCTTGCAAATAGCTCAAGATCAGAAACGTGTGGTGCGTGCCATTGAGTTCCATGACGTGCATTTCGAACGCGGCTTGGTCGTACCGGACTCTGACGAGGCTGTGGAAACGAACATCAGCTTGAGGCCTCACGAGAGTTTGGATTTGTGGTTTCACTGGACAATCGACTCTCAGGGCAGTGATTTGTCCTGGAAGAGACACGCCCATGGTTTAATTTCACTTGTTTTGGAAACAGAAACAGGCCCTAGTGACGGTGTTTCGATGTGGAAGGCCGAGACAGCAAAGTTCAGCTCCATCAAGGCTGCGGCGAACGCCTTGATCGATCCAACAGCATTCTACGCGCAACTGGCACATGTCGGGATGGGTTATGGTCCGGCATTCACGAATCTAACCATGGCTGCTGCCGTCGCAGGTGAGCAAACCGGCCACGGCACTATTGCTATTCCCGACACCAAGTCCACCATGCCGCAAACCTACGAGTTCCCTCATCTCATTCATCCAGCAACCTTAGATGCTATTTTCCACCTCATCTTTGTGGCTCTCTTTGAAGGAAAGCCCATGACCGAATCAGCCGTCCCGGTTAGCATTGAGAAGATGTTCATCGCGGTCTTTGAGCCACTGTGCTCTGGCGAACAATTTTCAGGCTACGCCACCGGCCGGAAGATCGACGCGAGAGACTCGTCTGGTGATCTGGTGGTGTCAGATAGCAATTGGTCAGGGCCCAAGATCACCCTAAGTAACCTTATTGTGCGCAAAGTCTCTTCCTCGGCGGTGGCCAACAACAGAAATGACAGGCAACAAGCAACGAGGCCGCCTGAACGGGTTTCCGAGTTACTGTGGATGGAAGACATTGACCTTCTGGAGCTGCCTGCCGCCAACACGCTGGTCGAAACAAATTCGCACAGATATAGATCACTCGCAAGTACTTCCTCCACTGCAAAAGCAGCCGCGTGGTTGGAATGGGCCTGCTTCAAACGTGCTGATCTGAAGGTTACTGCTGTGGCTGATACTATCCTATCTGCCGACAAGGTGGTTGAAGTTTTGTCAGCTTTTGCGCCAGTAACAGGCTCGGAGAGGCGACTTGCCAATGTCTCCATTATTACCACGTCGCAGGAAGTCCAAAAGCATCTAAAAGGCCATTCAAAATTGAAAGACACAAGCGTTAAGGTGATAAGGGTTGAACCTGGATCTGCCGAATTCAGAGAATCAAGTGACCTGGTCATCTTTGGGTACGATTCTGCCTGTCTTGTCCTGAATGATCGACTTGGAGAATGGGCCTCATGCCTCACAGAGGGCGCCAAGCTGATGGTACTTAGCGACAGTGCTCAGGACACGGCTGTCGAGGCCGGCTTGAAGGCGCATGGCTTCAACGAAACTTTGCTTAAGCTGAGTGACAGTTCCGGCTGTGTGCTGGTTGTTGGCGCCTCTCCTAACACCCCTCCCCGCGAAACCGAAGTGGTGTACATGCTTGCGCCGATGGCGAGATCCGAAAAGCTCACACATTTCATACAGCACTTGAGTGCCACATTTGCTTCCGAAGGAATCACACTGTTATCGAAGTCACTGAATGACATCGAACACTTGACTGGACAAAAAGTGATTTCCCTACTGGAGGTAGAAGACCCGTTTGTTATAAATTGGTCGGAAGCCCAGTTCGATCAATTCCGTCGATTGGTGTTCTCTCAGCCCTACATACTGTGGCTGACTAGAGGGGGAATCCTTGCCAAAGGTGAACAGTCGTTGCAGTTTGCTCCCACGACCGGTTTGCTGCGAACAATCAGGACGGAGATTCCACAGGTCGCCATGCCTCACTTGGATCTTTCACCATCGGTTGATCTTGAGAACGCATGTACCGCGGAACTAGTGCGCAAGGTCTTCAACTCGACTGCAAAAGCAGCCGCCATGGGTCGCGAAGACCTTGAGACGGAGTTTGCTGAACAAAACGGATCTCTATTTATTCCTAGAATCTTTGGAAACAACGCTATGGACGGTGAAGTCAATTCTCATGCAGAGTCTCCCACCCCTGTTCTTACTCTGGTATCGGAACAGCAAGCGAGGCCGTTGAGGCTTATCAAAAAACCCTCGATGGCACCAGGAGGTCAGATCCAGTGGGAGGACGACCCGGATGCTATACTGCCTATTGCGGACGATGAGGTTGAAATTCAGACCAAATATGTGGCGGTCAGCTCTGCAGATCTCAGCCGCCCAGAGACCGTCGTCCAGCAGAATGGAGGCGCCTATGCTGCGAGTGGAGTCATTGTGCGGACCGGAGCAGATGTGGTTGATCTCCTATCCGGCGATGAGGTTGTCTTCCTGGCGCCTGATCGGAAGACACTCAAGACAATATTACGCCCGCGGAAAAGCTTGGTCGAGAAGTTACCAGAAGACGTCATGCTTCAGGGAGCTCCTCACCTGTTGAGTTCTGCGATGGTTGCATACCATTCTTTACGCAACATTGCCAACGTTTCCCCTAATGAGAGCGTCTTGATCAACCTCGAGAACCAGGATACACGTTTTGCTCTTCTGCAGCTCGCAAGGGAGAGATCTTGCAAAGCGTTCATTGCAGTGACCTCACCACTAGAGAAGAATGACTTAATGAGCCGCTGCCAGGTTTCCGGGAGCCGCATCTTTTACTCTTCGAACAGGGACTTATTACCTTCTCTGATGGCAGCGACCATGGGAAGAGGCTTCGATGTTGTGATAAGCGATCAGATAGGGAGGTCCCGTCGAGAGATGAGTTGTTGTATCGCCGAGGCTGGCCGTTTCGTCGATTTGAGTCCGACACTTGAGCTGAACGACATCAGTCCAGATGCATTTCGCAAGAATGCAAGCTTCTCTTGGGTCGACATTTGGCGACTACGGTCTGCACAACTGGAAAGCCTCTTTGAGGGAGCCACTTTCTTACTACGCTCGTCTATCCAGGTCCATAGCCGCGCTCCTGTCTTCGCCAATGACGATTTGGAGGGTGCCTGGAGCTTACTTCAGGAGAGACCAGGTTCCAGTGTCACTATTCATTTTGACGACAAGGCCCGGCTTCCCGTCAGTCCCCGCCCTGCGCCGCCGCCACGTTTGGATTCAAAAGCAACGTACGTTATTGCTGGAGGTCTGGGCGCCTTGGGACTTACAATTGGCGAGAACATGGTCAGCCATGGGGCGCAGCATTTGGTACTGCTGTCACGGTCAGGCGTGACCAGCTCGCGCCAAGAGCATGCTGTACTCAGGCTTAGACAACGAGGCTGCCAAGTTGACACGGTGATCTGCGATGTGACTGACCGTGAGCAAGTGATGAAGGTCGCGCACCTGGCCCAACAAAGCTCCTGGTCCATCAAAGGCCTCATCCAATGCGCAATGGTTCTGAATGTAAGCTTTGGCCGGACTACTCGTACTCAGGTGCTGACTACAAAACAGGATAGTATCTTTGAGAACATGACGTTCGAAAAATGGAAAGTGGCAACACAACCTAAGATCAAAGGAACATGGAATCTGCACGACTGTCTGCCGAAAGACCTCGATTTCTTTATTGTGCTCTCTTCCATGTCTGGTATCATTGGCAACGCTGGGCAGGCCAACTACGCAGCCGGCAACACCTATGAGGACGCTTTGGCACATTACCGACGTGGGCAGAGTCTGGCGGCGACGACATTAAATGTGGGCCTTGTGACTGATGCAAGCCACTTTGATGCCGACGCCACCATCGAGGACTATCTCAATCGGTATGGCCACTGGACGTCGGCGATAGTGACCGACAGGGAGATGCAGATTGTGATTGAAGCTGTTATGCGTGAAGCTACGAAAGCAGAGTCGCCGAATGCGTCTCAAGTTCCGATCATACCGCTATCAACTCAGATGCTTGTTGGTCTGAATGGCTCCATTCCCCGAGGCCCTGGAAGTCGAAATCCATGGTCCAAAGAACGCAAGTTCAATCATCGGATCGAGTCAGGTAGCCAGTCAGAGATGATCGCTGGCAGTTCCACACAAACTCTGGCGTCACAACTCCAGAAGGCTAGCAGCGGCGCAGAGGCAGTGGCTCTCGTCGAGGCTTCCCTGCGCACCCACGTCGCCGCCGCCATGACAGCCTCCGCGGACGACATCGACAGTGACAAGCCATTGTATGCCCTCGGCGTGGACTCTCTGAAGGCCATCGAAGTGCGGAACTGGGTGTTCAAGGAGTTAAAATGCGATGTCTCGGTGTTCGATGTGCTCTCCCCGATCCCCTTGGCACAGTTGGCTGCCAGGCTGGCAAAGAAGAGTACACTGGTTCCACCGGAGCTAGTTGCCTCGATCGAGGAATAGCCTCCAGAGGAGCAATGTTGTCAGTGTTTCGGGAAAAAGTGTTGGTGGATTCAACATTTCCGGTCTCTGCTTGGTCCGTAGTGACAGCGTCTTGTGACCTTAGGTACTGCTGTGGCGCAACCAAGGCAACAGACGTTGTAGATACCCAGGCAAAGTCGTTGCCTTATTCTGAAAGAGCCTCAAACCCCTTTCGTGCCATGGGCGACGGAGGAGTTAGGTTTCGAGGCGCTCAACTCGTCTCTAGCCTATGGAACAAGACTCAATAGGGCGATCGTATACAGAGATAGCATCATGCAGGCTGAATCTGGGTGTCTCTCTTGTTCCATAGGCTTTCGTTGAGTGGCAGTATCAGTGCCTAGTGCAAATTCACTCATTTGAAGCTGTCCTGTGCGCTCTGAGACGTTACGATAACCTGGAGATCGAGTACTGAGGTCGAAGTTGGCATTTTCAACACCCTAGATAGCCCTGAGTTGATCATCGCTCAGGATACGGCCACGGCCACTAGATTTATCCTCGCTGAGTGCCGAGGCTCTCCTGAGGCGACGATACGCTGTCCAGCTCATTGAGAGACGTTATGATGTTTGAAAATCTCTCGTTGAGGCACCTTCTTTTGTAGTTGGTAGACGTTCTGGATGATTCGTACTCGACGAGGAGTATCTATGGTATTGTGCTTTTTCCGGGGCGAGGATGGCGCCTGTAATACTATAGATGCCTCTTTACGACAGCGCTTTCTTGCCGTTGTGAATCAGGCTATATTTTGCTCGCAAATTGCTAGTGAAGTGTAGGGAAAATACCAAAGAGTAGAGGTAGACGACGTGTTGCGAGACGCGTCTCGACTACTACGTAACGTGGATGATCCGCGATTTGAAGTTCAACATGCAATGCACGCAGCCTGCCAAAGAAAGGTGGGGACAAACACTGCATTTATGAATTATCTACTCTGCAGTACTACAGCTCATCAAGTTTATACGGTCAACCATTACTCAACAATGGTTTATTGTTGACTGCGGCGCGATATCATCGCGATACGCGCAACCATCATCATGCCAACCTTAGGTACCCAGGTACTTATCATCAAGGTACTGAACGTCAACATCACGTCGTCTCTCCCTTGTACAGCTGTTTGATGTTCTCTTCGTGCCTCTTGAGGATGGCTTTCCGATTCAGTTTTCCAACTGCGGTAGTCATTTCCTGAAAATCGGTCGTCAGCACAAACATCTCCCTCGTCCCTTGCGACTTACATTCAATGGCGTCCATTCGTTGAGCGGCGATATCACCACCGCTTCCACTGTTTCGATACCGGCCAAGTTGTGCTGGCGCGCATGCTCAAGTAGCTGAGGGAGAATCAGTTGCCGGGCCTCTGCAACTTGTGCTGCATTGGCCATGTCAAGAGGAAAATGCAGGAGATTCTGTAACTCCTGTCGGACGGGGATAATAATGGCGATGGGCTTGGACCTTGTTGCATCCGCGTGAATGCAAATGTTGGAGACAACTGGTGCGGCACGATAGATCGACTCGAGCTGCATGCCATTACTCTGTGTAAGTGCGGACTCGCTGATAAATCATGACAGTTTGGGGCCATTCATTCGCAAAGGTCTCACCTTTTCGATGGCGATGTATTCTCCATTGAGCGTTTTGACAAGGTTCTTCTTCCTGCCAATGATGGAAATTGTGCCACGGTCATCGATGCGGCCAATGTCGCCGGTCTTGAACCAGCCGTCGTGGGTGAACGCCTTTCGAGTCTCCTCCTCATTCTGCCAATAGCCCTCGGCGACACTACCTCCTCGAATCCAGATTTCTCCTTCAGGCGGCTGCGTTGTGGTGAGGTAGCCAGCCTCTTCATGATCGACGAGTTTGATCTCTACGGAGCCTGGTATGCTGCCTAGGGACCCAGTATGCCATTGGCACGGATCCATGATGCCTCCGATGCTGGGACCGTCAGCTAAATCCTTTGGAAGGCTTACAAACAACCCAATATGAAATGCAGAACCATGGGGGCAACTAAACAGAAACGGTGGTCACTCACGCCATGGTCTCGGTCAGGCCGAAGCCGTTCACTAGCGGTGCCACGACAAAGGATATGAAGTCTTGCGTCGCCTCCGCGATTGGGCCGCCTCCAGTCAACATAAATCGAAGGCTGCCACCAAGCAGACCTCGAGCTTCTGAGAACGCAGCCTGGTCTTGTTCTGGCGAAAATGTGCCGCCTGCGCCAATGGCCGCTTTCTTTGCTTCGAGGACTTCCCAGAAAGTAGTCTGTTTTTCGAGCTTCGTGGAATTAATGAGCGTCAAAATCGTCTTGCGTGCATTCTCCCAGATGGCTGGCACGCCGAGCATGAAAGTCGGGCGAAGTTCTCGAAGGTCACCTTGGCAGCCATGTACAGCAGAATCAAACAGAGTCCGCGGGCTTCCGTAGCCTAAGCAGACTCCCCAGAACAGACAACAGTGCTCGAATGCAAATTCTAGCACGTGTGCTAAAGGCAAGTACGCCAGATACCGATCGTGATGGTCGAAATGCCGGCCAATGACGACGTCGAACCCTGCCACTAGGTACGGACTGTGAGAAGACGAGAAGAAGAGATGGGAAGAGACGATCTTGCATTGCCGTACCTGCAGCGACCACGTTTTTGTGCTTCATGGGCACGCCCTTTGGGTCTCCTGTCGATCCCGAAGTGTAGAAGATGGCACATAGATTATCGGCGCTGGGAAGATGCGCTGCACACCGGTTTTGGCGTCCAATCGAAACTAGATCGTGAAAGTGTATGAAGGCAACGTGACCCATCGTTTGCTTCAATCTGGTGATCTCGGCGGAGGAGCTGTCTGAGTTGCCATCGTACACCACCAGACGCACTTCTGCCACGGTTTGAAGTGCATCTCCCAGTCGAATGAGGGCGTCTTCGTCGACAAAGAGGGCGGCTGCCTTGGTTGAGACGAGGGCATGCTGGAGCCCAGACAGTCCTAGGCTGCCGTATGCCGTGACAGCGGCAATTGATTGAGATGCAGCTCCATGGAACACGGCGAGCCAATGTGAGCTGCGAGACTTGTAAGTCAACCGAATCTACTTCTCTCCTGAGCATTCGTCCCTACCTAGTATGGGCCCAGATACAGATTTTATCATGCCGTTGATGGAGACCCTGCTTAACTAGGCCCGCCCCGATGTCTATGATCAGGCTGTCATATTGCTGATAGGATATAAATTCGTATCCTGTCAATTCTGGAACACTGGCTTCCTTGCTACGGCCATCAGACTCGTTTGATTCAGATCTGATATGAGTCTTGGCTCTCTTTCGCATGCCTACCGCCGGAAGTGAGCCGAACTTGCGTGAAGCTCTCTGCACCAAGTCCATGACCGTGTTGACTCCATCTTCCGGGATGCACCGCAAGCCTTCCCGGACTTTCACGTTGCGGTATGGAGGCGTCTCTCCCTGAACCGTCTGCTCATTCTGAACCGGAAGACAGAAGGGAGGCGCATGCTCTGGAGTTATGGTAAGGCTGAAAGCGTGCTTTCGCTCGCTGTGGTCGTCGCTTGTCATGATCACGGAGGCTTGGGAAGGCGGCTTTTGCTATGCCGACTTTGGAGTGTCGGGGAATCAATATCCCACGCATGCCTTTCCTACGCTAGGTGAGAGACGTGAGTCGTGAGCTTATTCGGGCCTATCGCAGTTGCGATCCTAAAATGGCCCGAGGAGGTTGTTGGAGCTACAATTTGTAACTTGGCGGTAAGACAGACTTCGATGTGGAGTCCCAATACGATCGGCGAGTCAAGAGCTTTTCCATTACCGACACGTTACTGAACCATGGGCTTGCAACGCACACTAAGAGAATGTTTCATTCTTATCTGTTCTACCACGGCACAGTCTTCTAACTGCCTACTCTTCCGCTAAAGCCGCAGTTCTGGTGCTGAGCAACCGCATCGTTCTTGAAAAAGTGATATTTAGGCTCGAACCCAGATCCTTCATTCCATGGCCGTTCTCAAGCTGGATCTGCTGCAGTTGATGTAGTGCTGAGGCCAATCCTCTCAGTTGTTTCACGACGAGGTCAAGGGCCAAGTGTCTGCTTTGTTCTTCGTCAAACTCATATTCTCCAAGCGACATCGACGACGGCAGACAGATCGTTCGGTTCCCAGATGCATTAGCTGGATCCCTGGACCTGGGCTGAGGTCGATCTAGACGTGCCATTTTGATAGCTGGATAATTCACCGAATGTGAAGTTTCAATTCGGGCGGCATTCTCTGCCGTGGTGGATTGGTGTGCTGGGAGCGAACGATATGTGGCAATGGCCGATTCGAGCCAGTCAACCAGCCTTTCATAAACCTTCAACAGTGTCTCATAAAAGCTGGTGGGACAGGACTGGCAGTCCTGAGATTTGCCCCAAAGCTCAAGGCTCTGCTCGCTGGCCGCCATGACAATGTCAAGACCGACCTCGTGGACATTTTGGATGAGTGACCAGACTTCGACAGCCTCGAGGGAACATTCACAGTGTGGTTTGTTCAATTGTCCGATCTGCAAGCTGGCCTTATTGGTGCTGTAGGATTGATGATCTCCTGGCTTGGTTGAGTGAGATGGTGTGCGTCTAGGGCCTCGACGATTCTGATTTGAGAACATTTCGCGAGGAAGTGCTCAGAGAACAATGGTCAAAAGCGACTGGAGCTTTTTTGAAGGGACTGGACCTGCATGCTAATTACCGCTGGTATCAACGAACTCCAAGGTCCTCCAAGTCATCCGAACCTTTGGCTAAATCTTCCAGCGAGCTGTGCATACTCCTTGTCTCCTGACTCAGGGCTGATGCGCTTACGATAGCGCATCAGCGTCGACACCGCGCAAAGCATCGACAGGCGAGTTGGTATGTGGAAGAAAGGACCCGAGAGTCTGCCAGCAATCACCGGTTGATCTCCGCTGGGCTTTGATCCGAGTAAGGGGACTTCCGCTATTCTACCTAAGATGAATCCCGAAACGTGACGCCTTAGCATTCTACCGCTACAAAAACCGCCATAAGAGGCATGCAAGAAGCAAAGCGTGCGAGGCTCCTGAGCAAACCAAGTGACGCTTCATCTTACATTGTTACACCAGCTGCCTTTTTCTTGAGTGTCATCTTCCTGGCGTCGTGATTCCTCCGTCATGCAGGAATCAGTGTCAGCCTCGGTACGGGATGGCTTCTCGCTCTCGTCGTGGCTAGCCGCTGGGGCATTATGCCAATGCCTCTTGATTCAGCTCATTCCGCTCCGCCTGGCCATCATCCCGGCTCTCGTCTTGATTTGTGTACGTCTCGGCAACAGCCTGGCAGCACTGTGCGGTCTCATTCACAACGACACCTTGGATGGCGTGCGTTTTGGACGATGGACGACCAAGATCCATTCCCGAAATGGGTCCCGCGCCGACAACCCGTCGGCTGAAAGAGTGACCGTGATGGTCCTCGGGGCCAGGGTACACCAGTATGTCCCATCCTGCCTGACCCCAGTCATTCGGAGAAATGGATGTTCGCTGATGGACATGATGAATATAGCCCGGCCGGATTTCTGGCCCCCGGCTTGGTTGAGGTCATGGGAGGCATGCAACAACTCTTCAAACAGTTGGATGATGATCCAAAAGAATGGGGCCGTAGGTGTGCCCTCTGAACAACGGCCTTGGAGCTTGCCAGGGAAACATCCTACTCCGACCTAACCATTCTGCAGTTCTCGGTCGCACTTCAGCCCTTGTGGCTTCTGAGGCCTCCTCGAACAACACCATCATCTGGCTGCTATATTGGGAGACACCCGAGGCGCTCCATCACTTTGCCAGCAGCAGCATGCATCCCAAGCTGGTGCAGGAATATCAGGCACGGGCCAAGGATACAGGGTATCACCTCGGGGTCATGCACGAAGTGTACGACGTCCCTGCACGACACTGGGAGACAATTTATGTCAACATGCGTCCATTTGCAATGGGTGGGTTGGCCTGATCCATTTCAAAACAAAAGAGAAACTGACCAGGGTTCCGCTCCCTCCTTCCACGCAGGGGCTTGCACAGTTCCTATCAATAAACCTACCGATGACACCAGCAATGTTTCTGACCGTGTAGGAACTCTCTTTCCCGCCAAAGGCCCACAGTGGAAGACGATGATGAGCCGCCTGGGACGCCCCGAGCCGGGAGGAGTGAGTGTTGAGTGAGCTGCGTCAGTGGACCTGGCTGATTGTAACCGCGGCGTATTTGGCAGTAGAATGCTACCTGAAGTACCTGTTTGAATAGTACGTAAGCATTGCATCCATGGCGGCGGAATTAGAAAACATGGAAGCGGTAACTCTCGTGGAGGTTGCCAGTGATATCTGATTGGCCAAAAGGACTAGGCGAGGCTATCTCCCCTGACATGCACCAGGGTCTCTATCTACCTTAGCCAGGCATCTCTATCTACAACGGATGATGGCTTACCCCTTGCTTACCCCTTTGCAAATGAAATAGGATAACCCGTGCTGCACAACTAGATCAGCACCAGGCAGAGACAGTTGTCCCACCTGCTCCCCGGAAGATCAACCTCGTTCCTGCACGCCATCTGCAAGCAAGCGAGCTGGTGCAGGGTAGTCTGATAAGGCGAGATTGTGGCGCGTCAGCACCAGCAATACTGTGTAACGCAGTCAAGTCTTCACTGTCTGCCATGCAGCGAATCAACAATGTCCCAGACTCCCAGAATGGCCCGAGATACTAGTAGGGGAAAAAAAGGAGCCGAGTTGATAGGCGCTGAGGCGAAAATGCCCGGCGGCCCGCGGTGGCTTCCTTCTGCGCACTGCTTCGCGCCTTCTTTGTGATCAGCAAAAGCCGCCGGGGAAGTTGCGAAATTCGGCCATGGCAGATGCACTCCTCATCCTCATCCTCATCATTATCGCCGATTCCAGTACTCTGCTGTTGCCTGGCCGCAGTTCCACATGATGGAAATGCGGTAATGTACGTCCTGCGTTGTTGTGCCATCGCAGTAGGTGTTGTTTGTCGTGGTTGCGAGTCTTCACTCAATATGCACTGAACTGGAGTCGAACCTGTGCAACCGCAGTTTCATCTCAACTGATCTCAACTGACCATCAGCCAATTCATCTCACACCCATCACTCAACAGTCGATCTGATCCTAGTCCTCGCTCTTATCACCCTTCACTCTGCAGCTTTACGTCGCTATGGCTTCCTCCGAGCTCAAAGACGACGGCACCGAACTCAAGTCTTACCCGCCTGCCACCGCACAATCCTCAGCAGCATACCCTACCGCCGACAGGCCTACAACGCCTGGAGAAGCCCCCAAGCCAGCAACCGGTCCGCCCCCAGCCTTCCAGATCTCCTATCCCAATGGCCTCCTCCAGGCTGTCATCCTCGTTGCCCTGCTCTTGGCTCAGTTCCTTGTGGCTCTGGACATGGTACGTACATGTAGTTGTGCAGGCCCTTGGGCCCAGAGATACAGGGTTCATACTGACCATAGCCCTATCTCAGAGCATCATCGCCACGGCAATCCCTACCATCACTGTCAAATTCCACAGCGTCGATCAGGTCGGATGGTATGGCTCCGCCTTCTTCGGGTGTCTGGCTGCCTTCCAGGCCTTCTGGGGCAAGGCATACAAGTATTTCTCGCTCAAAACTGTGTTCTTGACCTGCACCGTCATCTTTGAGGTGGGAAGCATGATTGTTGCCCTGGCACAGAACAGTACCACCGTCATCGTCGGTCGAGCCATCCAAGGGTTAGGCGGCGCAGGCGTCACTGGCGGCTGTTATGTCATCTGCGCTTTCATCACACCCCCAACGCGCCTCCCAGCAATTATGGGCATCTTTGGCACAGTCTGGAGTTGCGCCTCTGTCCTCGGGCCTGTCCTTGGAGGTGTCTTCACCCAGGACGTGAGCTGGCGATGGTGCTTCTGGATCAACCTACCCATTGGCGCTGTGACCATGCTGGCTATTGCGATCTTTTTCAAAACCCCTGCTCATTCAAGACTTGCAAAAGCCAACCCGAAAGACATCCCTCTTGTCTTCGATTTTCCTGGAATCGCATTCTTCTTGTGCTCGCTGGTCTGCCTCTGCCTGGCTCTACAGGATGGCGAAGTCACAAGACCTTGGAATTCCAGCGTACCTATCGGCTTGCTGGTCGGGTTCGGACTGCTTCTGATCGTGTTTGCCCTGATTGAATGGCAGCAAGGTGATAGAGCCATGATCCCATGGTCTATTATGTCACGCAGAAGCATTGCTGTCTGTGCTATCTTCAGCTTTCTGTGAGTACATGAACAAGCCGGAATTGGATTGTACAAGCGAGGCTCTTGCTGACATTTCTTAATCAGCTCCAACGCAGCCGGTTTCGCCCGAGTCTACAATCTTCCCATCTATTTCCAAGCTGTGCAAGGTGTCTCTCCTTCGGCCAGCGGTGTCCGCACATTGCCATCCGTTTTGTCCATCTGTATGATCCTGGCTAGCGCCAGCACATTTATTTTCGGCCTGTCGCTGACCTTCTTTTAGCGATCTCGAGTCTTGTTTCTTCCATACTCCTCGGCCGGGTTGGCTACTACCAGCCTTTCCTTTTGATTGGTGGTGTTTTCATGACGGTCGGTGCCGGTCTGATCTACACGCTCGCAGTCCACTCTCCAGCTTCCCAATATATCGGTTATCAAATCGTTGCTGGAATTGGCATGGGTCTTACCATTCAAGTCCCTGCCATCGTCGCCCAAAGTATATCTGAACGTAAGGATTTGGCGGTTGCGGTCGCCATCAGCTTGTGTAAGTTCATATTCCTATAGCCTTGTGAGTCACCAGTTGCTGACGGGAAGTCCAGTCTACCAATTCGTAGGAGGAACAATCGGAGTTTCTGCAGCTCAGAGCATTATGACAAACCAGCTACTCTCTGATCTCCCTCGCCATAATCCAGCCATCTCGCCCGCCAGGGTGTTAGCTGCTGGTGCTTCGGGCCTCCGTCGAGCCTTTCCAAACACAAATGATTTGTCAGCGGTGGTCAACGCTTACCTTTATGGTCTCAAGAAGGCTTGGATTTGGAGCATCGCATTAGCAGGCCTTGCTTTTTTGGTTGCGTTCCTTGCTGAGTGGAAGTCTATCAAAGCCGAGGATGTCAATGCCCGCAAGGTGGCCAGGGCTCGGACTGAGGACCCTGCATCAGCGTAGCGCTGTGTTAGCTCCTTCCGCTCCCAATGCAGAAGAATAGATGGGCCAAAAGAATGTCGGACTCATACACCGTCCTTGTATCAGCCGCATTCCGATAAAAAATGTGGCAGTAGATCACAATAATTGACATGGGAGCAGAGCGGATCTGTACAAACTTCAAAGTGCCGGACAGGTACGAATATCCTGAGGTCGGGAGTGACGATGGTAGTTGGGAGAAGCCATTTGAGTATCACAAACAAAGTAATTACTGACATGGTTATTTCACCTATAAAATCCTCATGGAAGATTCGAGATTACCACGCCAGCCGCAGACCTTCTGCAACAGCCCAGTCAACTGCAGCCCAGAAAGCTCTAACATCTCTAGGGTTCCGAGGCACATCGTGCGCCCCTTCGTGCGCCAGGCTACGTACCAGAGTTGGTTCACACACCTTTTCCATCAGCCGGGACAATGAAACCAAGGCTGGCTCGTCTCTGCGACCAATCACATGGACTGTCGGGATGGGAACTTGGTGCAAAGGGAAGAGGAGACTTGGATGGATGATTCGGGGAATGCATGATATTGCTTCTTCAGTTTTTGGTGCGAGAGACTGGGTGAAGGCCTCCAAGCCAAGGTCAGTGTCTGGGGCAATGAATCCGCCGGAGAGCGATGTGTCGAGGACCAGACCCAAAGCATCGAAGAACAAGGCCCGCTCCTGGGGTTCGGACATTGACTTGTAGTCACGCATCTCTGTCTCATAAGGAAAGCCGTGCAAGATGGTTCGGTCATCTGTCGTCAACGTCGTAAGCAGATCCAAAGCGAACTCCTGGCGAGGAGAGAAGGCCACGATGGTGGAAAGGAAGATGGCAAACTTAAATGACGGCCTCGGCGGTGACGTGGAGTGCGAAGATACTGTCGATGAAGCAGCAGGTGAGGGAGAAGAGCACGAGGAATGGCCCTGGGAGAAGTCCAAGGACTTTGTCTCGGCATCTCGCAGTAGATACGACAAGGCCAGCGAGCCGCCCTGGCTGAAGCCCAAAATGCCATCAAATGGACCCTCAGTCTCGATGAAGTCATCTAGATGGTCAAGCGAGGATTGGATCTCGTCCGGTCCAAAGGCTTTGTTGAAGCATAGTGTCGGGCCGTCTACTGAGCCCCCGAGGCCTGTGGAAGAGAGATGACAAGGTCAATTGTGTATCTTCTTCCGATTGTTGATAAAGCCTTCACCACTAGAGGTCTTAGACATACCTTGCGCAGGTGGACACTCATACTCGCCATCGAGGAACACGAACTCGTAGCTCGGGTCGGCCTGGCTGATTACAGCGTGCATCTGACTCCTCATGATGGCACCAGAAGTGCCGTATCCATGGAGGCAGAGTATTCGCATCTTGATGGACAAGTCAACTGCGAATGCTGGTTCGATTGGTATAGTTCAGCCTCGCTGCTGGCTTCCCTTCAAGTAGTGAAAGGTGGTGTGTTCAGGGCAGTGGCAGTATGATTTGCAGACGCGCCTCAATGAAGGCCCTTGTTAAGGGTGAGTCTTTTCCGGACAGCCGACAACTCTCATCAGATGTGCAATCAGAAACACATTACGGCCCAAACCTGAGATGATTTCATCCTGGTGTAGCATGAAAAGGGCCGCCGAGAAAGCCACCGTCCACAGGTTAAGTACCTGTATATAATGCCCGATGAGCCAAAAGGCACCTCAGGGGAGATTACTTCTACCATTGCGGCACAGCAAGTCACATTGCATGCTCCGATACTTATCTAAAGGCCCTTATTTGATCCAGAACGACTGCAGGAAAGCCAAAAGGACCAGGAGGGAGTTATTCTGACACTGCATCTTGGACGAGCCTGAAGTTGACTCCCGCACAAATGGGCAAATCCACGTTTACTATCCTGGCGGAGAAGTTGCTGGAGGCCAGCAAGTTGCTTGACGCTCACAGCGAGTCCAGTGGTCTTCCCCCCGCCACCTTTGACAACGAGACTTTCATTGACCTACCGGATGAGATTGAGAAGCACCGCAAGGCAATGATAGATGTGGCCCAAGATATCAAGCGGCTCGCTCAGGGCCCACGAGATCTTCTCTTCGAAACCTGCAATACTGTAAGGAGAGCCTCAGTCTTGACTCTTGATCAGGACCTTTCGAATTGACAAGCTACCATAGTTCAATGATCTAGCGAATCTTCATTTCATCTACCATTTCCGTATTCCGCAATGTGTGCCTCTGCAGGGGGGCGTGTCGTACGAGGAACTGGCGGTCACGACAGGGCTCGATACGGTTCTGCTCCGGCGCATGATCCGCCACTCTATCATCAACAGAGTACTCGCCGAGTCAAGCCAGGGGCACGTCAAGCACTCAGCAGCGTCAAGGATCCTCCATGAGGAGACAGGCTCAATGGATGCCATAGGATTTTGGCTGGAGGAGCTGTTCGTATGCGACCCTTGCAAAATTAGAGGTCCATTCAAGCTAATGATTGAAGCCTGCGGCTCCCAAAATGGTCGAAGCTTTGAAGAAGTACTCGGGGTCCGGTGAGCCTAATGAGACCGCGTTCAACCTGGCTTTCAACACTAGTCGACCATTCTACCTGGAGCTGGAGACTTCACCGGAGCGAGCCCGCCGTTTTGGTAGCGCCATGCGCTGGATGTCCCAAGGCGGCCGGTTCTCTCACGATTACCTCGTCCGAGGGTATTACTGGGCTGCTTTTGACCACACGGAGGGCCTGATGGTTGACGTAGGAGGAGGCCATGGGGCCGTTTCTTTGGCATTGGCCCGGGCAACCGCGCAAATGAAGTTCATCGTCCAAGATCTACCGAACACAGTTGAGCAAGGCCGGACCCTCCTCCCCAGCGAGCTACAAGGCCGCCTTTCCTTCATGGAGCACGACTTCTTCGACTTGCAGCCCGTCAAAGGCGCTGACATCTACTTCATGAGATACATCCTGCACAACTGGTCGGACAAGTACGCCGCACGTATCCTGGAAAACATCGTGCCGGCGCTCAAGGATGGTGCCAGGATTGTTTGCTGCGAGTTTCTGCCTGGTGACGAGGCCACCACCAGGTGGACCGACAAGCAGCCACTGTAAGTTCCCCCACTGCAGCTCCAGCTCATTCAGAAGCCGAATATGGGGGAAAGGAACGCTGACTTTTGTGCAACAGCAACATGGACATGATCCAGGCGATTGGGTGGAACTCGATTGAGAGAACGGCATCGGACTGGAAGAGGTTGTTCTCCTCCGTGGACAGTCGTCTTGTGTTCAAAGGGGCCTGGACGCCAGAGGGCTGTTCCGTGTCGTTGATTGAAGCCCAGTTCCAGTCTCAGCATGTTGCAACTCATATGGGCGACCACGATCGTTCCCCAGTCGATCAATCGAACATTTGACTTCAGGATGGAATGATGGTTGCTTCACATCCAATCGAATCGAAGCATGGGTAGCTTGCCGAAGGATTGTGGAATGCTAAGCCCCTGGCCCTGGGTAAAGTGCCATTCAGTGTCACTGTCACCCTGAGATAGCAAAAGGCCATGTGGTTTGTACCTCTTTGCTTATCTTGCATCTGCGCCCTGGCCAGTCAGCCTGTTCCACCACGAACCACAATGCCCGGTTTTGGCCATACTCTTCACCAATGACAGAGTCCATCCTTGTAAGATTATCCGCAGTCTTCATGAGATATGGTGGGTAGTAATAAGCTGCACGGTATCCCGTCTGTACCACAGCATAAGCCGAAGCTTGCCTTTACAGCGGACCCGCTTTAGTGAGCAGGAAGCGGTGACCTGACAGAATTGCATGTTGACTGTGTGACAGTAGCGGATAAGAGACAGAGTCTATCATCATTGTGCCCCAACCAAGCACTTATCATTCTGGGAAACAAGCAAAGAAAGTTCGTGTCGGGTCGAAACGCACCTAGGCACGGCTTCTGGCACCCGTTGTCGCAGCCGGTGAAGGACAATCAAAATCTACCAATGGCTCACGCAGCACCATGGGGCTCATTAGGCCCCTTGCACCCGGTTGCCAAACGAAGCATCCTAAATAACCTGGCGTAGTCAATTAGGATCGAGCGTGAACATGACGAAAGCTGAGGGGCATGGTTGTACGTATTTCTTACCTGCGTCTTAAGGCGACCAACGATCAAATGGACGACCTATTCTGTGGCATGGACAATCTCAACGAAGCCAGACCATGTCTTCTACTTCGGCCGCGGGAGACTGTCCATGGTGTACCTGCGGAATTCGACTATAAGACAATACGAGGTTAATCAGTATCGTCGGAGGCCCAGTGATGATGGGCACCAGCATTATCATCATCGCCGTCATCTTTCATGTTGTTCGTCGACTATGAAAGCTTCATCCAGTCTACGACTGTATAAGCACCCTAAGCCTTTGGGCCTTATCAGACATCTTCGTTGGGCGACATGGTTATGCCCCATGCTCATGCCTACGCCTGTGTGTGGATAACCACCCAAGGGGCATGTTACGAGCGGCGGTACACCGATACCGATCACTATGCGAGGGTTGACACTGATGTTATCCTGTGGCCGACATGAGATGCTATCCAGACATACCACGGAGCCGATGGCGTCCTGGGATAGGCGAATCAGCCTTAGGAGGAAGATCGATCTTTGCTAGGCTGGGCTGTGAAGTGCAGAACCGGTCAGCAGTAGCAGTACTCTGGTAGTCTGACATGTGCCAGGTCCGTCCGTGTCCATGTACCGAAGGATTCGTGGCTGGCCCCCAAGTGTTCACATGAAACCTTACGCATGTCGATGGGCCGGGCCCTGCCCGTTCAGTCAAAGAGGTGGTGTAAGCAACGTCAAGCTCAGGCTAAGCATAATGCCCAGAACGTCCCCTGCAAACCGTGACCCTGCCAGGATCGGTCGGGTCGAAGTTTCTCTGCGCCGTTATTGGAACTACCGACAGGAGAAAAGACACGGGTTCTCAGCCTTGAGCCCTTCCTAGTTGACTGGAAAGATACCCTCCTAATCAGTATCATATGGTACTGCCTGGGCAGGAATGGTGGGTGAAACAGCGCGAGCCTCGTCCATGGCACAATGCCAGACTTGAGATATCGCACTTCGTGTGATGCATGCCTCAATTGCAAAGTCAAATGCAGTCAAACAAAGCCGTCTTGCGAGCGCTGTGCCCAGCATGGGCAGCAGTGTGTGTATAGCCAGTGTCGAAGGATCGGGCGGCCACCGAAGATGGGACAGCCGGCTACCTCTCAGCTGCAACAGATGCGGAATGGCGTCGTCTTGAGGCAGAAAGGCAGTACTCGGCAGAATGATCAGGAGCAGGACCAACCACAGATCCAGCCGCGCGCAGAGAGTGACGAGTTGCCGCTCCTGCAGCGCCATGACCCAGTCCAACATGGTGACGGTATGATGGACGTCCAGACTGATGAAGGAAATTCTTCTACGGTGGTCGCAACTCTAGGCAACTTCACAAGCGATGTGAATACGGCCAACAGTCTGAGTGACCTCGATATCAGTGAGCACGACCACAGCAACTGGCCAGCCGGATTGGTATGGCCACAAGGACTCTCCATGCCCGGAGGAGACATACTTGCGCCGTTCGAACCTATGCCAGACTTCGATCCTTTCGACCATACCAATATGATGGTGCCAGAGCTCCCAGAGCTGAGCAATATCTTTGACCCTGAATTGATTGCTCTGCCCCTCACGTCCGGCCCGAACAATGACTTTTCATACCTTGCCATGAGCCCTGTCGCCAACCTTGACGGCGATGGATATGGTGAAAAGAAGGCCGGCGAGCTCGCGGAGAGGACAGAGGTGGGATACTCTGCGAAAGTGAATCCTGAGGTGCAGCCTGCAAGATTTCCGGCCTCCAGTACTTTGCCAAAGGGAGCCGTAGCCCCATCGATACCAAGGCAAACAGCTCGGGCTTCTGCATCCGCATCTGCACATTCGCGTTCTTCAACAGGTGAACGTGCTGTAAGTTTGCGGAAACCCAGCATGCACCGTCAATCAGGGCCACCTGTTGCCCCGCGGACCGCAGGCTTCTTGAGATCAGAAAGTGTCCTCTCGGCCAGTCGCGAAGCTTACAGTGGACGGCCAGGCGGGAACTTGAAAAGATGGCGCAGTGAAAACCCCGAGCCCCAGAGGAGAGGTCTCAAACGAGCACATGGGGACCATTTCGGCAGCCGCAGTGGGAAGCTATCATCTCTTCTTCTTTCATCGACAAGCATTAGTGCCAACAGCGGCGACAGCTCCCGGACGTCGCCGTCCCAATGTATCGGGCAATGCTACGCCAGCTTGATTGAACAACTCAGTGAACTCACGACTTATTGGTCCTCACAGGAGACCATACCACTCGACAAGTTGCTCGCACTGGACCGTGACATCCAACAGCAGCGCGAGAAAGTCCTCCAGTGTCCTTCCTGTATGCGCGGCGACAGGAACTGCTCGCAAGCCCAGACGAAAACGCTGATGTTTGTCATTATGGTGATAGAAAACTTGCTAGGCCTGTTCGAGAAGGAATGCAGCCTTCATCAATCCGCCACGTCAACGTCTGGCGGGACAAGCGCAAGCGAAGAATTCGATGATTCATTGGAAGACATAGAAGAGACGACCGATCACCGCGATGAAGACGAGGGATTCGACGAAGACGACGAGGACACGGCCAACTCCTCGATGTCATCATCGCTGCTGTATACTGTGCTCCGTCAGCGACGGCAAAATGTGAAAAGACCTGGAAGCCGGCGGCGCCGTGGCCATCTGAGCCAGCTCAGTGAGCCGGTCGATTTCGGCCAGACCACCAGAAACGACGGTAACAGACTTCATCGTCAAGCGAGGAGCAGGAGCAGCAGCAACGGGTCCAGCACGAAGTTGTTGTCAACGTCAAGGTGCTCGACTATACCACCATTGTCTTCTCTTCCTCAGACAGATGAGCCGCTCTTGGTCGGGGTCTACGAAGTCGACGACGGCGTCAGGACCTCTTTCTCACGTTATCTGTTGCAGCTGCATTTCCAGAGGCAGTTGGACGCCATCCAAGAATTGGACCGCATTCTTCTAGAGACACAAGAGCAAAAGGGCGGCAATGGCTCCGGTGCTGCTGCGTCGGACGTCAGCCACCGCATTGCATGTGAGACGTTGGCCGATGTTCACAGACGGGTTGAGTATTTCCTGGGTTTCATTGCATTCGTGGGATAGATCAAGGCCCGGATGGTTCAGGTCAAGATTACGATAGAGCTTCCCATAGACGGTCAAAGTTGTCGGAACAACAGCCCGAGATGATTAGATGAGAAGGATAAAGGACATTCCTTATATACAGGTACGTCTCAGTCAATGAAAGGGGGAAAAGGGGTTGCGGAGAGGCTCCATAACCGCAAGGCAACCAATCTGGGCAGCTCAAACTGGTCCAGCAAGGCTCGGGCCGTGGCTTGGCTCAAGGCTTGCGATACTTTTACTTTGGACGTCGACCGAGGCTGATCCTGATCAGTCGTGCTGGAAGTCATCAAGATTTGGCTATTGATTGTCAGGCTTTGGGCCCCGTTAGTCTTCGCTTTCGTGGTCTATCGCGATGGGAGCGACCTGAATCTAGGCACGAACAAGACCCGACAACAGTGCCGAGTAATCATATATCTAGCCTAGCAACTCCCACATCTGTACCAGAGTGGAGTTTATGCTATCTTTGGATGACGCAGCTTCGAGATCCCATGCTATGACTTACGATGTTTCAGGTGTCTCTCTTCCATTTTGATGACTTCAGGTAGTCTGTCTCCAAGTCCGAAGAGGGCCTCAGGATGCACGAAATTCACATCGACAACAGGCTCAAACAACTCGTTATCGAAGGATTCGTTGCCCCTCCTGTCAGCATTGTGCTGCGACCATCCGACCCATCAAGGACAGGCTGGGACTGGCGATCGAAGTTTGATAGTCTCAAACCTCTTTACTGACTGGATTTTCTGCAGATTGACTCAATGGCTTTTCTAGTTGTGTGGGATGTTGCCAACCTGAACGCCATGGCATCAAATCCAGAGCATTGAGGAGTCCGCCCACAATAAGCCAGATGTCATGAACCTTGACCTGGATAGATTGAATTTCCAATGGTTCAAGTGCCCCCGCCGGTCGTTCACTTGCTTCTTTCCGGTGGATACCGCTGTCAGGTCGGCGACATTTTGATTATGCCCCGGGCAGACCTTAGCAAGCAATACTGGCCGGGGAATGGTTCTGGTTTCCACCTGAGTCCGCGAAAGGACCGATTGAGTATGCTGCACAAGGACTGGAGCTACGATGGCTGCATCGGTAGGCTTGTTCGGTAGGCTTTTGGATCTGCAGCATGTCGACCTCGTCGTCGCTAGAACGCTGACATCCGGAAACACCTGGGCTTGATGCAATTTGATGAACCATCTGGTTACCGCTATCAGCATTCTCTGGTGTCAGAGTATTCCTCCAGCCAATATCTAGTCTCAGAATATTCCTTCAGCCATTACTGCAATCATGGGGAGCTTGGCTAAGCCAGACACCAAGTCTACACATCTCGTCCCCATCATCGACATATCACCGTTTCTCGGCGACCCAAAGTCTGCAGAGGCTGGGGCAGTGATCGAAGCCGTCCGGCAAGCCTGCACAACGAGCGGGTTCTTCGCCATCACCGGCCATGGACTGTCTGAATCCTTGCAGCAAAACCTGCTGGCAGCATCACAGAGATTCTTCTCCTTGGACTTGGCGGAGAAGAAGAAACTAGACGCCGCACAAACTGTCGGCCGGCGAGGCTACGATGTGCTCGCCACTCAATCATACCATGCCAACGTCCGGCCCGATCTCAAAGAGGGCTTCTACATCGGTCACGACCTGCCGGCAGAAGACCCTCAGGTACAGGCAGGACGGTTCTTCATGGGCCCGAACGTATGGCCGGACGGGTCGGTGCTTCCTGCCGATCAGTTCAGGGCGCCCGTCGAAGCGTACTTCAACGCAGTACACGCGCTGAGCTTGAAGGTTCTGAAGCTGGTGGCGTGCACGCTGCCTCATGGTGCCGGAGTCTTTGACGAGTTCACCGCCGGCGACCACACAGTGACCGTATTGCGGCTTTTGCACTACCCGCCAGCACTGCCAGGGGTCGCAAGCCGAAGCCAACAACGGCCGCAGCAGCAACAGTTAGGTGCGGGAGCACACACTGACTTTGGCGCGATCACGTTGCTGCTCCAGGACGATCATGCAGGACTGGAGGTACTGGACCCGAAAACTGATGCATTCGTGCCGGTGGATCCAATCCCAAGTGCGCTCGTGTTCAATGTGGGCGACATGCTCTCTGTCTGGACGGACGGACAGTACAAGAGCAGTGTGCATCGAGTGATCAACAAGGCACCGACCGATCGCTATTCGGCAGCCTTTTTCTACGATGGCGCTCTAAATTGTCCGTTGACACCGCTGCATCAGGGTGGAAAGGTTGACGAGGGCCAGGATGTGCTGACGGTGGAAAAGCATCTGTTGAGACGGATCACGGAGAGTTATGGGCAGACTGGCAAGAAGTGAGAAGTAGTGAAAGAGTTGTCGACTACATTTCGGCTTCTGATACTCCGATATTTGCAATGCAATGAGATTCTATCCGCCTTGTCTATAGTATTTCAGATCGATCTCCTGATTTGAGTTCAGGGCATATGGCAGCAGGACTTCAGCAGGCAAGAGATGTCGGGCGCCTTGGAGCTATGAGAATCTCCAGACAGCGCTCATTCCAGTCGTAAGAGCTGCCGATAACACCAGGCACTAATCATGAAAGAAATTAAGGTTGTAGCTGTTATTGCACAGATTCCGCGACGGGAAAGCCTTGCGCGAGACCGCCCTGCAGACATTCTAGGAGACAACTTTCCCGTCAACGATATGATCCTCTATCCAACCAACCGAGATACTAGTGTCGTCGATCTGGTCAGCGTCCTGTTTGACTCCTACTACACATCTTCTGTCTTTTTTTCAAAGGTTGTAACAGCGAAGGTCCGCAAACTTACAATACTCTGTCCGGATCGGTGAAGCGATCGTGGTCCGGCATGATCTTCTCCACATAGAAAGGGTCGTTTCGGAAGCTCACGAAATTGTCAATCTCTGGAAACCGGATTTGAGTGACCATGTCATAGGCGTTGTTGTTAGCAAACTGAGAATCTTGGATCTGAGGCACCAACGAGCGCGTATGTGTCGTGTTATGGGTCTGTACATTTTCGATTCGTCAGCTCAAGGTTGGCTTCTGCTCAAGATTGAGGCAGATTCGTCACGAACGCCTTCGCCGGGCAGAATACTATTGTGCAATAGAAGTCAAAGCAGAGGGAAACAGGAACAAGCAAGACAATCTGGACCACAGTACCATTGAGTAGCGAGTGATACCGTGTTTGACCAACAGGTCCCGGATCAAGGGGGCGTGAATCTCGCTCATGTAGTGGTGAAATTCATCTTCCCCCATGCCCGCCTTGCGGAAGGCACAGATCGTTAGGACCAGCATCTGGGTGGTTGAAGGAACAGAGGTAGTCGTGGGTTGATGAGAGATGATGCGCCGTGTCCACTAGACAACAAAGCGCAGGCCGTTAAGGTATGATTGGCAGCGCCTGGGAGAGATAGGGATGAATGTCCTCAGAAGCGAAAGGCGGCGCCGACACTGAAAAAGAAAACACTGTGCCCGAATATCAAATGCCTGGTTCGACTCCTCTGTTCTCTCGGATGGCCTTGTGCGAATCAACCAGCCTTCCTGATCTTCCAGGTAGATTCTTTGCGGTAACAGTACGTTTCTTTTGCGCCGGAGAGATGTCACCGGCATGGGAAAGCCATTTGACCCGGTGCCTTTGGGAGGGTTCGGTTCTATCGATGCCAACCTTCAAAGAGGTTCAGCCTCCGCCAGCTTCCATATTGTGATACCTTCGTGCTCCCGGCTGCCCAGGGGTTAATCTCGCTGCTCACGTTCTGAGGAAGATGTACCAAATGTCCCATGTCTGGAAGTTGCCGATCACAACCGCCGAGCAAGAGTGACTCCTGCTCCTTCCTGGATCTGAACTCGGTCCGTTAGCAACTCAAGTCGGGTTATCGACAAAAGCAGCCGCAGCAGCTCAGCAAGAGCGAGGCTATATGTCACATTCAACCAATGGGGATGATGACAACCCTACCTTGACCACAGCCTCACAGGACAACGCTCAAAGTCCACGGGTCCACATCTAGAGCCAGAAGTATCTCCAGAATAGCCGGGGATTTTGTATCCAATTATCCAGTCAAAACTTCCATTGGAATGCAAGCAGAAGATGTCCTGCAACAAGGAAACCAGCTTGCGAGAAACCCAATCACGCGGTTCCCAGTTCAAAAGATGACCCGGCAAGTAAGCCTCAAAGATACATGGTCAAAACCACCGGCAATATGATGAGAACAAGCTACAGAAGATTGGTGCAGCTTACAGGCCCTGTTGGGTACGATTGGTTAAAGCTGATACTGTAGGCACTGTTTCACATCCATTCTGATCAGTCCTGGTCACGCAGTCAACTTCCCCATTCTGTGTATCGTAATGGTTCAACCCTGATACATATCACGTACTCACCACGCGACTGGTATTGAAGTCCTATCTTAGACCAAGTCCAAGCCAGTTACCATGGCTGACGAAGCGAAGGAAGGCTTCCCAGCCTTGCCTTCACTCATCGCATTTGGTTCATTGAACATCTTGCCGGCCGAACATCAACTGCAGGAGTTGCGAACAGTTCTGCAACATCAGATATGGTTGAAGCCAGTCAGCGAGGCCATCTACGACCTGCCAGTGCTCTGGAGGGCGTTGGCGGCCAAGGAGACACGTTTAGACACAGTCGTCGGAAAATCTTGCGCGGACCAATTAGCAGAATGGCTAAGCGGCGGCGTTGTCATCCAAGAGTCTTTCAGAAAGCAAAACGCAATGACCATGACCATCACAGTCATTTCCCAGGTAGTGCAATACTTCACCTACCTTCAGCAATCCGATAGGCCTATCGACCACTCCTCAGTCTTGAAGAGCGTTACTGCTGGCGGAGGGATTCAAGGCTTTTGCGCCGGCTTGCTCACTGCTCTGGCAGTGGCCAGTGGGCAGACCGAGGGCGGAGTGGGGAAGTTTGCGGCGGTGTCGATTCGTCTGGCCTTCTGCATAGGTACCTACGTCGACCTTGATCAAGGTTTGACCGGTGAAAGCTCGAAGTATTCCACATTAGCGGTAAGATGCAAGGCTCCAGCAACTGTGGAAAGTATCGAGCGGCTGTTGAACATCCATCCTAACGTGAGTGAGCCATTATCTCCTTCCATATGTCTGCTGTTCTGATACTCACTGAATGACTGTTCAGACTTACATAGCTGTCGACCGAGATGTGAGAGATGTCACCATCACAGCCCCTACTTTGGAGACAGAATCCCTGCTTTCAAAGTTAACCGGACATGGGCTCTCTGTGCTTGATACTGGCCTCAGTGGGCGCTACCATTCAATCACAAACAAAGACGTACCGGCAAATATTCTCGATGTGATCCAGAGGTACCTCACGGAAGGTTTTGGCAGCCGAGATCTCGTCAGATCCAACACTGATGGTCAAGTTCTCTGCGACGATAATGTCGTCCTCACCATTTTGAAGTCGATTCTTGTAGACCGGGCGAAATGGCATTCCACCATCTCGATAGCTGCGGATTCTCTGAGGTCGTTACACGGGAAGGCATTCATACTCGCAATCGGCGCCGATGCCATTCCACCATCGATTGCACGGGCCTTTCCCGTGACCAAGATCAGCCTGAGTTTGACACACAACAGCCTAGCTAGAGACAGCGACATATCTGCAGAACACCCAGTCAACATACCAGATCAGGATGCCTATCCCGAAAATGCCATCGCTGTCATTGGAATGTCCTGCAAGTTCCCAGGGGCTGATTCGATCGATGAGTTTTGGGCTATGCTCACAGAAGGAAAGTCTATGCTAGCACAAATCCCATCACAGAGATTCAAAGCTAAAGGTCTCCCCAGGGCCGGTGATAACCTTCGGTTCTGGGGCAACTTCATCAGCGACATCGAAGCATTTGACCACAAGTTTTTCAAAAAGTCTGCACGAGAAGCAGCATCGATGGATCCTCAGCAACGTCTCCTGCTTCAACTCGCATATGAGGCTTTAGAGTCTTCCGGGTATTTTGCGGACAGTTCGAGACCTCGCGATATTGGCTGTTACGTGGGTGCCTGTTCAACAGATTATGACAACAATGTAGCATCCCATCCCCCGACTGCATACGCCACCACTGGCACCCTCCGGGCATTTCTGAGTGGGCGAATTTCCCATTACTTCGGGTGGTCTGGTCCGTCTCTGGTCTTTGATACGGCATGCTCATCCTCTGCAGTGGCGATTCACACTGCATGCAAAGCCTTGCAGTCGGGCGAGTGCTCGCAGGCCCTAGCTGGCGGCGTCACTTTGATGACGAGTCCGTACCTTTATGAGAATCTGTCCGCTGCTCATTTTCTTAGCCCCAGCGGAGCCACGAAGCCTTTCGACGCAAAAGCAGACGGATATTGTCGAGGGGAGGGTGTCGGTTTGGTCGTCCTCAAGAAGCTTTCTGATGCTCTGACTGACGGCGACGACATTCTGGGTGTCATTGCCGGCTCAGCCATCAACCAAAACAAAAACTGTGTATCCATCACAGTGCCACATTCAGACTCTCAATCCGAACTGTACAATCGTGTGGCAAAGCAGGCCGGAGTGGCCCCTCAAAATGTCACTTTCGTGGAGGCCCATGGAACCGGCACCCCAGTCGGCGATCCCATCGAGATGGAAAGCATAAGGCAAGTATTTGGGCGCAACAGAAGAAGTTCTCCATTATTCGTCTCCTCGGTGAAGGGGAATATAGGCCACCTTGAGGGAGCATCTGGCGTTGCCGGGCTCATCAAAGCCATCCTGCAAATACAGTACCGAACGGCATGCCTCCAGGCATCATTCCAGAGCCTGAGTCCGAAGATACCGGCGCTAGAGCCTGACAATCTGTGTATCCCAACATCAAACCGGACTTTGCCAATAGACCGATTGACCGCCTGTATCAACAATTATGGCGCAGCTGGCAGCAACGCTGCAATGATACTTCTGGAGGGACCTCGCAAGGAAAACCCAGTCCATGATGTTGTTGATTCCAGCATCGGTTCGATACTTCGAAGGTACCCTGTTCAGATCACAGCTTCTTCCGTTGCCAGTCTACTCGCGTACTGCCGCGAACTAAACAAGTTCTGTGAGGAGAAGCTGTTGCCATCGAGCGAGGCACAACTTCTTGCGGACCTGGCATTTCGCCTGGCAAGGCGCCAGAACCAGGAGCTGGGATATATGCTCAATTTGACAGCGTCCACTATCGGCGACCTGCAAAGCCAGCTCCAGAGACAGTCAGAAGGTTTTAATACCATTATGCAGCGTCCGAAGGCGAAAGCCACGGTTCTTTGCTTTGGGGGGCAGGTCAGCGACTGCATCGCTTTGAGCAAACGGATCTGGGAACAATCCGCGTTGCTGCGCTCTCACCTCAATGCTTGTGACAACGCGCTCAGATCCATGGGTTACCCAGGTTTGTATCCGGGCATTTTCCAGCTCGAGGCATTGACCGATGTTGTTGCACTGCATTCGGCGATCTTTGCCCTACAATACGCGAGTGCCCAGGCTTGGATTGACTCCGGTCTGAAGGTCGATGCTCTTGTTGGCCATAGCATCGGTCAGATCACTGCTCTTTGCGTGTCAGGACAGCTGTCCCTCCGAGATGGCCTGACGTTGATCGCGGGGAGAGCCACGCTGATGCGGAATTACTGGGGTACCGAGTCCGGAACAATGATCGCCGTCGAAGCTGATGAGCAGACCATCGAAGAGCTCACACGCACTCTCACGTCAATTGACCCTCTGTGCAAATTCGAAATCGCATGTTATAATGGACCAACATCTCATGTCATCGTCAGTGACAGGGCATCAGCCGATCGCCTTGAGGTTGAGCTTGCCCTGCGAAAGCTGAGACACAAGAGACTGAAGGTGCCGTACGGCTTCCATTCCCGGTTCACGGACCCTTTGATCCCGCATCTCGAGGAGCTGGCTTCAAAGCTCAAATTTCAAGATGCCAAAATCCATTTGGAGACGTGTTCAAAGGATGCCAGCTGGGTAAAGGCTACACCACAAGCAGTTGCTCAGCACACTCGCGATCCGGTGTTCTTCGGTCAAGCTGTTCAGAGATTGCGCACCCGCCTGGGCCCTTGTACGTGGATTGAGGCAGGTTCGGATTCAAGCATAGTGGCAATGGTACGGAGAGCCATCGGGCATACACCAGATCTGCCGGACAGTTTCTTTCCGGTGCAGTTGAACAAAACAGATTCCCTGGAGCAGTTGGTCGACACAACACTGGGGCTATCGAACTGTGGCCAGCAGGTTCAGTTTTGGAACTTCCATAGAAGTCAGGCGTCGGACTATGGATTCTTGCGCTTACCGTCCTACCAGTTTGAGAAATCCAGACACTGGTTGGAGTTGATCACCACTCCCCTGAAAGATGAAGATAGCAAAATCGGGACGGGCGTTGTCGCTCCGATACAGCCAACAGTAGAGCCTGCCGTCCTTTTGCGACTGGTGCGGTCGGATTCTCAGGGTCACAGATTCAGCATCAATCCCACAAGTGATGAGTACCAGGCAATGGTCAAAGGGCATGTCGTACTAGGCACCCCTCAATGTCCTCCTGTCATGTACCTGGAAATGGTGACCAGGGCTCTGCATGTGATTGGAAAGCCCACTCCACACAGCTTGCTTTCCTTGACTGACTTCAACAATGGAACGCCTTTGGGCATCGAGACGACTCGCGATATTGACCTCCATGTTGAAGCTCATCTTGACGGCAGTTGGAGCTTCAAGCTCACCAGCAAGTTGGCCTCGGCAAGTCAATCTGGCCAAACAGACCCAGAATTTCATGCCTCGGGTTCACTTTCGCTAGAAGACAACGTCAAAAGCGTCCAGGACGAGTTTGCACGATATGAGAGACTGATCGGGCACAAGAAGATCAGCACTATCTGGGGCGACGACGGAAGCGAACGCATACAAGGCACCATGGTGTATAAGGTCTTCGCTGAGCTTGTGCAGTACGCCGGATGCTATCGCGGACTCAGAGGCATGGCAGCCAAGGCTGGAATGGTTGCTGGTAGGGTTTCTATGCCGTGTCAAGTCTCCGGGCCCACGAACAAATCCAGTGTCCATGCCCATATCTTGGACAGCTTCTTCCAGATCCCTATGTTGCACTCAAACTATGTGATGGACTGTGTCAAAAGCGAGATCTTCCGGCTTGAGAAGGTTGGTCGTCTTCAATGGGGCCTTGGGTTCGTGTCTCATGACAATGGACCTCCTCCAGAATCGACCTGGGACGTGCTCGCCTTCAGCTCGACTGAGGGTGAGGATGTGGTATACGACATGTACATCTTCAATGCCGCCACTGGGACTCTGGTGATGCTGGTTCTAGGCGTCGTGCTCATCAAGGGTCCGTCCAGCTCGGTTGCCAATGTTCTTTCGCGAGATTCCAGAACTTCCACCGATGTGTTCAGTATGGGACAAACAGCTGAGAACTCTGACAGAAAAGCAGAATTCACTCATAGGACAACGAGAGCTAAAGTCAGTCCATCGGATGGCGACAGCTCCAGCACGACGTCCACCAGCCCTGGAGGATCATCAAAAGCATCTCCAGCCACCAGTGTGATGACAACACCATCGACGACGCCATCGGCGGCTCGTATCATGGAGCAATTGTCCAGGTTGGTTGCAGAACATCTCGAGATTGAGGGGCAGGTCTCGATGGACACCAACCTCGTGGATCACGGGCTCGACTCTTTGCTCTCCATCGAACTAGGAAGCGATATTATGAAGCTTTTCTCAGTTGAACTGGACATGGAAAAGATCCATTACGACTTCACATTCGGGGACCTCCTCAAAATGGTTTTGAATGATGGCGAGACCCCGGAAGATTTTTCAGGTAAGGCGGGAGCACCTTCAGTCGCAGAGCCGAAACAGCAGACTCTCGCGTCATCCACAATATCAAGTGCTCGAGTAGCGCAGGACGAGGACGGACTACTCAAAGACGCGCACCAGATCTTCGAGGGCATTCGCTTCGATTTCGACAAATACGCTGGCGAAACCGGCTTCAAGGACTTTTGGACAAAGGTGTATCCTATGCAAGCGAATTTGGTCGTATGCTATGTCGTGGAAGCGTTCCGTAAGTTGGGCTGCAACTTGACCAGTCTGAAGACTGGCCAAAGATTGCCAACGATCAAGATTTTGCCAAAGCACAGTCATTTGCTGGAGCAGTTGCATAACATATTGGTCGATGAAGGCCTGATCGAGCATCGCAGCGACTCGACATATGCAAGAACAGCGAGACCATTAGACCCGAGGCCAGCTGCGGAGCTATTCAAGGAAATGCTGCTGCTGCATCCGGCCCATGCTTCAGAGACGAAGCTTCTCAATGTGACAGGTTCCTGTCTCGCGGAGTGCATGACGGGTCAAGTCGATCCACTCCCACTCCTCTTCGCCAATAGATCCCACCGGGAAATAGTGGCTGATGTTTACGACCAAGCACCGATGTGCCAGGCATCAACCCGCCTCCTGGCAGACTTCTTGGGGAAAATATTCGCGAATCAGCACGGCGTCTTCCGCATCCTTGAGGTCGGTGCTGGCACTGGTGGGACTGCCAGATATCTCGTCGACTTTTTGGCGGCTAAGGGCATCGACTTTGAGTATACCTTCACCGATATCTCGCCTTCACTGGTTGCCGCAGCAAGGAAGAAGTTTGCCGGAAAGAAGCAAATGAGATTTTTTGTTCTGGACTGTGACCGTCCCGCCACAGCCGAACTTCACGACCAATTTCACGTGGTAATCGCCACCAACTGTATCCATGCGACGCCGAATGCTGGGACCGCCGCGGCAAACATTGCGCCGATGCTTCGCGATACGGGTATTTTCTGCCTTGTCGAATTCACTAGAGGGTTGTATTGGTTCGATCTTGTGTATGGCCTCTTGGAGGGCTGGTGGCTTTTCAGCGATGGCCGCCGCCATGCTCTGGGAGATCAATGGTTCTGGAATAAAAGTTTCAAAGCTGGTGGTTACAAGCATGTGTCCTGGACAGATGGCATCACCAACGAAGCCCAGACCATGCGCCTCATCGCCGCCTTCAAGCACCAGGCCCCAGACAGTATCCCCAGGCCATTGGCAGGCAACCTAACGAAAAGAGCGGGAATACCGACAGAGACCTTCACCTGGAAGCACGTGGGGAAGCTTTCACTTCAGGCCGACGTGTATTATCCGAAGACTGCCGACGAACCAGGAAAGAAGAGACCCATAGGTCAGTACAATCCATGATGGCCTTTACACGTGAACCAACTGACGCTGGAAAAGCCCTCATGATCCACGGTGGGGGACATTTCCTTTATGGCCGCAGAGACATTCCCATGAAGCATGTCCGGGTACTCATTCAGCGAGGATTCCTCCCTGTCAGCGTCGACTACCGGCTGTGCCCGGAAACAACTCTGCTACAGGGCCCGGTGGCAGACTGTTGTGAAGCACTGTGCTGGGCTCGACGAACCTTGCCATTTCTGGAGCTGGGCGGGCCTGCCGTCACCATCGACCCTGGCAAGTTGATTGCTCTGGGCTGGTCCAGTGGTGGGCATCTGGCCATGACACTGGGTTACACCGCAGCGAGTCGGGGAGTCAAGCCTCCCGAAGTGATTCTGCCATTCTATTCTCCCACAGATTTGGAGTCGGACCGTGAGTATTGACAGAGGAGAGTAGAGGAGAGTGTCCTTCACATGCTGACTTGACCGGACAGATTGGGACAAGCCCATCTACCCAAAGGCGGCTGAAGAGGAGCCAACCGATGTGTGGGATTTTCTTGATGGCGTGTGTGACGAGCCGGTAAGTGGCCTTGGCTGAGTCCATTGCAAGCGTGAGAAAAGTGATGTTGATCCGGTCATGGCAGATCCTCGACTATACGCCCGTCACCAGCAAGAAAACCGCGTCCCTGTCTCTCACGCTGCAAGACGATCGAGCCAGGATCATCCTGCACCTGAACTGGAAGGCACAGACGCTGCCAGTCATGTTCCACGGCTTGCCGAGCAAGAACAAGGTGGTCGAGGGCAACACGACAGACTGGAAGGCTCTACCCAAGCCAGCTGTTGAGCAACTCAGAGCCGCCAGCCCTTACTGGCAGATCCTCCAAGGCGCCTATTGCACACCCACATTTATGGTGCATGGCAACCACGACGACTGGGTGCCCTGGCAAATGAGCCAGCGCACAATCGAGGCTTTAAAGTCTAAAGGGGTTGAGGCTGACATTGAGATTGCCGACCGATGCGGTCACGCTTTTGACTTATTCACGGTAGAGGATCCCTTGGGAACCGGTTGGGCAGCTGTTGAACACGCGTATGATTTCGCTTGTCGCGTGCTGAGTCCTGGAGAGGGCACGGCGAATGGAACAGTGGCCACATAGATCTAGTAGAATATAGATGATCGACCTGAGTTCATGTTTGGTCAGGTGCATTTCGTAGACTTATTTGAGGTGTTGAATAGAATGATGTTGGGGAATCGCGTCACTTACCTACCTACTGACGGGGAGAAAGACTGTGTGCTTGCACCATCAGAAATGGCATAGCGCGTATCCGTCTAGCCGCACGGGCCGAGCCGAAGCCATTGTAAAAGCGGCAGCACTGCGAGTTCCAAAAGGGCACCAGGGTCCTTTCATTATTTTACTCTGTACGCAGCTTCATGTGGCGTCCAAGTGCAATCACCTACAGTCAAGCGAATACCTGGTAGCGACCAACTACAGACTTCATCGACTAATCGTTTCGGACTAACCATGAAGTCCATTCCGCGCACGTTCGAGGCAACCCGGGGTCTCGAATTCGTTCAGAGGCTGCCCGCTCGTGCGTCTAGGAACGGCTTCCACAGCCTGCATCGAAGTCGGCCGCAAGGCAGCAATCGACCATCCCATAAGCCTTGGATTTCGACGAGGACGGCAAAGACATATGCACGGCCACCCAACCGATTCGAGCAGATGGTCATCGATGCACGGTTACAGCATCCCATACTGTTCCCTACGTTACTGATCGGTGCGCTGGGCTCAGTCTCGCTGTTCACTGTGATGGCGTATAACGAATACATGAGGGGGAAAACATCTGCATATCCACCGGCGGTCGAAGAACAGTTGAGACAGGCGCTACACTATTGCCACGTGAAGCCGGATCCCGAGGCCTCAGCGCAATACTTTATGGAAGCGATCAAGAAGGCGGACGAAGTCGGGATGGACCCTTTCGGTAAAGAAGCAATGGGAATCCGGATACGCTTTGCACAAATGTTGGAGGAATTCGGTCATGTGAAGGCTGCCATCGAGATACTCGACGGCATCACCAAAGATTTACAGCAGAAGCTGGCCGAGGTAGACGAGCAGTTGTCCCTCAAATCCGACAAGCCATCTGATGGTGACGTTGCCAAAGCTGAACAGCGGAAAGCTTTGGTTAAGGGCATCATACAAAATAAGGTCAAGGTATCATCATTGTACGAAAGCGATTATATCCAAGACCGAACAATGGCAAAGCAGACTCTGTCTGATGCAGTGGCATTGGTCGTGAAAGAGACGAAGGATCCACAGCTCAAGGGCTTTACAGATGACAACGGCGCAGGTCTGACGACTGGTGAAATCGCTGCTATGCTGTCTCAGATGGGCGATCTGTACGCCACTACGGGCGAGGAAGCGAATGCAGTGCAGGTCTACATGCTCACCTTGCAACCACTGAGGGCTTCATGCGACGGCAGCAGGTCGTGCAAGGAGGTCCAGGTGCTGAGTAATATCGCCTCCACCATGGGCGTTGCGCTGAAAAATCCTGGCGCCAAGGTCAACGGGAAACCAGCCACCAAAGAAGCGTTGGCTGCGGGAAGGCGAGCCGCTTTGAAATGGGCTGACCAGGCTGTTGCCACTGCTGAAGTTGTTAAGCCTGAAGACCGTGACGAGATATGTGATTTGGCGCTTCTGTCGGCGCAAATGACACGTGCAGACCTGCTGTTAGCGAATGGTGAGAAGAGCAAGTCCCGTGAGGTGTTCCAGAGTTTGTTGCCGACACTGAAAGAGAGGAACATCGTCCCTCTGGTCAAGGTCGCAGAGCAAGGATTGAAAGCCGCCGGTGGTTGATACCTAGGTTTGCTCGATCCGCCACCCGGGCATGGGAAGAGTAGGAGGGCTCCGGACAAGACCATGCAGTTCAGTCTCTCCTCCCGCATGCTGACGCTCAACTGTCTCTGAATCCGGACAGTCCCTCCTCATTGCCATCGCAGATTTGTGGATATCATGCCAAAAGCCAACTTGTGCAAACATTTAGCCAATTTCAGCCCACATTAGGCGTTGCCTTGACAATGCATCATGCAAGCCTGGAAAGATTCGACAAATCCAGAAACACCATGGCTCAGCTGAGACCTTTGATGTGCCCCAGACATATTGAGGAGTAAGCGCTCAAAAGAATAGGGACAAGCTCTCAAGTACGAACAAAAGCTTTGAGCTCTTGACTCGGAGTAGGAGATGGAGGGAGGTGTCTGCAGCCTGGCCTGTTGGTATCCTCTGATGGGGGCATTATGCGAGGAATGGTACATTGTCATCTTTTGACAAGGAATTAGCCTCATCTCTCTCGACCTTTACCGGACTGTCAAACGGATGAATACTGTTGGAGCATCCCCTGAGGCTTGACAGTGCTCACGGCCAGCCCACGAACCCGAGTTCTGGCTCTCTCGAGCATCTCTAGCCCGCACTAGTCAAATTCTCAACTCCAACTATCGCCAAAGGGTTCCATTCTTGAAAGCGGGCTGCTACATGGAGGTAGCTCGGACCTTGCCATAGTGACCTCGGATTGTGTTCGCATGGGGAAGAGGGCCCGGCTGGACTCTCCCAAAACGGCATAGACGACATAGTCTTCTCTGCCATACCATTGGTTGGTAATTGACCTCAGGTCTCCACCGGAAATGTTCTTCTCAATGCTGCGCCCGAAAAGCGCCCAAAGCGTCCAGGTCGTCCAGAGCGTCGCTTCTTCAAACTCTCTTCTCCTCGCTCGTCTCAGATGCTTTGTTACATTGTTGAGTGTCACCCCCGGATCTGCGAATCTGCTCAGCCTTATGACGATAATGTCTTGCATGGAGACCTCAGCATGGTATGCCAATCATGATAGACACTCATACTTTGAGCCTCATCCCACGTTACAGCGGCGTGCGAGCCTTGGTATCATCAGCCAGATTCTTTGCACAATATGGTCATGACCAGACAATGCTACGTCCTGAATACCACGATTTTCATCCTATGTATAGATATACTCTATTTATGGCATGTTCAAATGATGTATAAGTAGGTAGGCTGTCTGTTATTGATGCAGTTCTGTCCATCATCAGCAACAGCAACAGCAACAGCAACAGTAGCAGCAACAGCAACAGCAAACGCAATCTCCAATTGTCTCCTTTTCTATTCTTTTGCCCTTTACGGCAATCACATATCTAAACTCTGGGTTTCCATTCCATCACTAACCCAAGACCTTCCCATCGTCTCCCGGCGGTACTTGGTCAAGCTGCCGTTCAATCATGTATTCTTCAACCTCATTTTTCCTTGCAGCTCTGGTCACAGGTGCCCTCGCCCTTCCTGTGACCAACACGACCACCACAACATCCAACTACTGTGGCTACGGTACAAACGCCGATGGCTCTTGTGTCCTTCCAACCACCTCGGCCAGCTCTGTTTCTTCCACGACCACTTCGACCTTTTTCTGTGGATTCGGGACGGCCCTGGATGGCAAATGCAATCCTTCTCCGTCTACGACGACTTCAGCCAGTACCCCAACCACCGCATCCTACTATTGTGGATTCGGCACTGCTCTCGATGGGAAATGCAACTCTCCTACCATCAGCACATCGGCCTCCGCTTCGGTCTCTAATTGGTGTGGCTTCGGCACCGCCCTCGATGGCAAATGCAATCCCCCACCATCCACCACCGGCACGAACACCTCAGTCTCGCACTACTGCGGATTTGGCACTGCGCTTGACGGGAAATGCAATCCTCCATCAACGACGCCCACAGTGACGACCAGCTCGACTCTCGTGTCTCACTACTGTGGCTTTGGAACCGCTCTGGACGGAAAGTGCAATCCTTCATCAACATCCACGACTCTGTATACTACCACCACCGTCCCAGTGTCTCATTACTGCGGGTTTGGCACAGCTCTGGATGGCAAATGTAACCCTGCCCCGACCACGTCCACCAACACGGCTTCCATTGTGACGAGCGCTCCAGTTTCTCATTATTGCGGATTCGGCACAGCTCTGGATGGCAAATGCAACCCATCCCCGCCTCAAACTGCCACCACCACAGGCTGCCCTCCTCCGGCCACTGACACTGTAATTGTCACTGCGACCCCAACTTGGACTCATGGCTTCTACTACCGGCCTGATGAGTGTGCCAATTGCCAGACCATCACCTACACCGACAAGTGGGGATGGGCGGTTACTATGGCCGTCCCAACGAACCCGTGGGCAACCACCAACACTGCGACCCCTTCTGCAACGGCCAATCCGACACACCAGTGGTAATTGATCCGGAGCTCGACATTAACTGGAGTGGTTGCAGTACATTTGAACAATAGAGCTTCATTCATTGGTTTGCATAGCACATCATGGTGTTTCATCACTCTCGCAGCATAGCGGGGCGCCCTGTCCATGTGTTTGACATAAAAGTTACATCATTGGTTATGTCCATCTTCTATAGACACAATACAACTACTTCCGCGATTCTGGTTTGCGAAAGTGGATGATCTTGTCACCCATCATATACCATAACAGGCGATTGCCACCATCGGATCTCCGAACCGACCGTGGCACTTGATGACCTTGGACCGGCTGACCAGACAGCTAGACGTCATATCATAGGCCATTTTGAAGGAACAACTAGGGAGGCCCCTGTGGTTTGAATACACCAACGGCTTGGGCGGTCTCAAAGTGTGGCGGGAGATCGAGGAGTCGAACTTGTTCAGACTGCCGATATAGTTTTGGGCAGCACCATTGCACAGTGAAATGAGGCAGTACAACACAATACTGCTGTGGTATTGATGCAATTCCTGAACCCAGGTTATGTATGATACAGATGTACATATCCCTCAGCCTGCTCTTACGTTCCCTTGTATTGGTCGGTCCGCTCGCAGCTCTTGTCATCCGCTGTATCATCTATCAACCAGTCCAACCATCCTAGTCCCGTCCATATCGTGAAGCGTCAAGACTTGAGCATAAGCTCGAAGTGCATGTTTCGAATTCCTGGAAGCCTGCCCAGTAGGACGAAGCTTCGCCCGGATTGAAAGCTATTCAAAACATCGAAACCCGTACTGACCAGTACTCACCCGTCCTTCGATTCCTCGCAACGTCGTAATGCTTCTCCAAAGCGTCGGAGATGAGTGTCGAAGCACCATGTAAGTATGGCAGACAGTAAAGTACCACTAAGCTGCTAAAGCAAAGCCGTAACTTAAACGTCCATCATGAAGTCTGCGTGTTCATTACCACGGTGTGTTCTGAGGTCGGTGTTGCCATTTCATCGGATATAGCATCGGCGGAACCATCATGTGGACCTTGGTCTGTCTGTGCTGTCGGCTTTTCCTCACTCGGTCTCGTGTCCACATGGAACGCATCGCCGAGTGCTCTCCGTGGTTCAAACCAACCTCCGCGTTCCCACTTGCCCGATTGATAAAGACAACTGGACCGCACTTCGGCATCCACAATGCCCCTAAGCAATTCGTCGACTCGTTTGAAGTCGACTGGCTTCAGGATCCAGCCATCGAAGCCACTCTGGATATACTTGTCGCGTTCCCTCTCCACCAACGACGCCGAGACTGCAAAGACGGGTATTCGGCCGTTGGGCCCAGCCCTACTGGACAAGCAGGTGTTAGGATGCGTCTTTTCAAAGGATCGAATCATCTTGGTCGAACTAAATCCATCCACAATGGGCATTTGCAAGTCCATCAGAACAGCGTCAAAGGACACAGGCTGCTCAGCGTGCGCGGATGAGCATTCCTCTCCATTCACGGTCAACCGAACGGAATGGCCCAGCTTTTCCAGCCGCTTCTTCATGATTCTGCTGTTGATGGGATCGTCTTCTGCGACCAGGATCGCCAAATTGTCGTGAGAGAGTGACATATCGCCTTCGGTCGTCACGGACGAGGTGGCGACGGATTCGGGCTCTTCAAAAAGCACCTTGGACCCTATCTTCGGGTCATTCCCCAATTCCTGATAATCGTCTGGCACTCTGACCGGTCGCAGTGGCGTTCCCGAATCTTTAATCGTCCTGACTCCTGGTGATCTATGAAAGGCCGACTTCAATTCCTTGCTCCTGGCTTTGGTGGGCGACATTGGCAAGCCCCCAGCAGAGCATGCTGACCGTTTCCGGCCATGACTCTGTGGCGTACCCGGCGTTTCGCCCGACAGTTTCAAAGGCTCCTGAATTGCGTCGATGAGCCTCTCCGCGTCGCTCTTTTGACTGGCTTCACTTTTGATGCTGAGAGCGCTCTTGCCACTCTTCAAGCTTGTGAGGCTTTTCATGCTCTCGGTACTTGCTTTCCGAGTCATGGTCGTTGACTCGGGGCGCAACGTCGGATTTCTGTAGACCAGAGTTACCTCACCGTCCTGTGGCGCAGGCGAGGACGGGGTGGAGGCCCCTGCAGCTGGTAGTGACCGGACTGAATGCTCTTCAGGAAGTGCAGATTGCTTCAAATCAAGATCGAACGCCAGGACGATGACAAAGCGAGAACCTTTCCCTTCTTCGGTTTTGACCCTCAGCTGCCCGCTCATGTTTCGAATAGTGCGAGCAACTACCGCAAGTCCCAGTCCTAAGGCCACTTGATCCTGCCCAGCCTGGTCTCGGAATGGATCCGCCGAGAGCAATCTCGACTCTGACGCTTCCTCCTCGTAGGTTACTTCTTCAAGCTCCCTAAAGAGAGCATCAACTTTTGCCTGAGACATTCCTGCCCCCGTATCTTCGACGACAATTTCTACCTCGGTCTTACCCTGAGGCTGGGCCGCTGCCAGCTCCGAGACCTCTACCGTCACTTGTCCTCTGCTAGTATGTTGTATAGCGTTGGAGATGAGATTAGATATCACCTGCCGCACTCGTCGATGATCACCCACCACATGGTGAGGCAATTCCTCCGCTATGTGAACTTCGTACTTCAGGTCCTTGCGTTTGGCGTCTCCAACGAATGGCTCGGTCGCTTCTTGTAATGTATGCAGGAGGTCGAACGATTCTTCCTTCACCAGATTCTGGCCACCTTCCGTCTTGGTCAGATCGAGAAGATCGTTGATCACATACACCAATGACTTCGAAGCGGAATGGGACTTGGACAAGTTGTCACGCGTGTCCTGATCCAGGTGACCCTCCAACGCTATCTCTAGGTAGTTGATGATGGCGTTCAGGGGCGTCCGGACTTCATGGGCAGAATTGGCGAGGAGGAGACGAGTAAGTTGTGAGTTCTGCAAGGCCGCCTCCTTCTGTCGCCAGACATCGATGAATTTACCGTACACTAGACACAAGACCGAGGCTGTTTCAACTTCTTCGTCGGTCCAGTCTCGACACCGGCCGACGATGGTCTCGCTCCACGCCTTGAAGCTTTTCCTCGGTTCCAAATAGCCTTCGGTGCCCTCCTTGACGAATTTCTCATAAGGGTTTCCAGCCCACTTCACTTCTTGCCTGACGCCTCTGCGGAAAAAGGCAATAAAATCATTGCCGCCATTTGAAAGAGGCACGAACAGCACACCGGCGAGGAATTTCCAGCCAGGTTCATAGCGCAAATCGGGAAAGTCATTCACAATATCGTGAGAACAAAATACCGAACTGACCCTCCTCATTCTCAAGTACTCAACCATGGCGAGCACCTCTTGGAGGTGACCCCGAGGTTTTCCCAGGATTTTAGTCTCATCACGAATGGACAAAGCACCCACATCCGCATCGAAGAGCTTCAGAAGATCGTCAGACGATGCTACAATATACCCCGAGGGGTTCGCAGCAGAGGAGGTTGTATTGATGAGCTTGCGCGCCTGTAATCTGGAAGCATAGGAGAGACGCTCGACATTACGAGAAGCCGTTTCACCCACCAAGCGGCACATTTTGCGTATAGGAAAGGATACTCTCATGCCTTTGGGTCCATACGAGTGACAGGAAATCAAACCCCACAGTTCACCAAACGCGTTAATCGAGATGGACATTGAAGACCGCACGCCCATGTTGGCGAGATATTTCAAGTGAATAGGCGACATTGCTCGCAAATTGGCGTGTGTCATGTCGAGCGGCTTCTCCAGATCTTCCATGGTCCTGCACACCAGGCGCGAAGTCTCGAGATCCCGATCGTATAGTAGCCTAACTTTGTTGATCTTGTAGAGATCTCGTGCCTGGCTTGGGATGTCTGATGCTGGAAAATGGAGGCCTTTGTAGAGATCTCGTGTTGCCCTTGGGTCCACTAGCTCGGCGACGACACGTCCATTCCACGCCTGATCGAACTGGTAGACCATGACCCGATGGAAACCCGTCAGCTCCTTGACAATGCCGATGACCACTTTCAGGAAGATTGGCAAGGTAGGAGCATTTGCAAGTTGTTCCTGAACCTGTGACATGATGTTAAACACTTCCATCGCTGCGGCTTCAGTCCTTTTCTTGCGAGCGCTTCGTAATATGCGCAGAGGCTTGCTGATGTTCACTGTACTGTCAACGAGCTCCTCTGCGGTAGGTTGACTCCCCAGAGTATCTCCGGGTGCTTCTGGAGTCGTCTCCTCCTTTGGGGCAAGCGGGTTGACCTGGTCGTCCTCGATCTCGAACTCGAGGATGATCGAACCGGGATCAGACTCGGGCATATGCATTGCACACCAGAGTTTTCGTGTTCGGGATCCTGGAGGCCGAAGGGATATCATGAAAACATCAGGACCGTTTCCAACCACGTCCGCACTGCCTTCATCCCGAATGAAGTCAAGATGATCCAACAAATTGTCGGCTTGTTCTTCACTGAAAATGTCAAGGAAAGAATCGAGTCCGAAGAGCTGCTGAGGGGTGTAACCTATGATTTGTTGGGAATTCTCGCTGGCAACTCGAACTACAAGCCTCTCGCCTTCCTCTCGGAGGGCCACAAGAAGCCCAAAACTTTGAATGGCGCCTGGGATATGTATGGGCTCATCCTCGCATCTTTGTAGCGTTTCGCCATCTCTCCCAGTGATGACAGCATGGCCCCCATCTGTGACAACATGCTTGAATCGTGCCGTCACCAAGCCCGGTTCTTGAGGCATCTGGAGGGGCACTCCGCCACTTGTGCTTGAGTAATCTGACTTTTGGGAGGCGTCATCGCGCAGAATCCTGTTGAGTAGTTGACCGTCAACATTGACAGCCTTGGAAATTGCGCGACCATCTGCTGTGGCTGCACCGGTAGTGCCAGCTGATCTGTCTGTAGTCCTTCCACCGGATGGCAGGCGCATTCCCGGAAAACCACTCCCGTCCTCACCTCGGGGCAGAGGGGTAGCCGCAGGGTCAATTGACACCGCCGAGCGTATGGGGAAGACGCGGTTGATAGACCCAGGGCTCATTGGTGGATCATGGCCATCGGGTCTTGCCGACCGTGCCAGTGAAGGAGGCACATCAGACCTCCCGGTGAACATGCTCACTTGTGCCACGGCGGGACTTGATGAAATCCATGATCGTGTACGTTGATTGTCAGGTCGTTTCGTGGATTCTGACTGCGAGGCTTCGGCAGGGAGCTGTGCGGCAGCAGAAGTTACGTCCGTGGCAGCCCTTGGACGATCTGACCCCTGGGCCGAAGGAGGCCTCGACATACTTGTCCCACCGTCCCCAAAATTGTGCTTCTAGTCAGTTCGCGAGGGTACGGGCGGGATGGTGCTCCCTCAGGCGACTGGCTTTGACGATTTGTGTCGAGGATCCCACCGGAGAGGTGTCAGTCCTCGACTAGGAGGAACGCATATCCCGGCCACTGCGTTGTATAGACACTGTTGTTTCCTCTCAGATGCTTCTTCGAAGGGGCATCTGGCCGAATCTCGGAAACGCCTGCGAAATTCCTCACAAAGAATCCAATTCTTACTGAAAGTACAGAACTGAACCGATGCAGACCAGCCAGGAGACGGGCTCGAACGGCGTAGGTCTCAATAGGAAATGTTTCAGCGAAATTGTGTTGGTCCTAGTGAACGTTGGAATCGGTTCGAGAGGGCGCGGCAGAGGTTGGTGGAGTTAGGAGATGGCGGTTGAGGAGTTCGTAGGAGATATGCTAACCCATCCGATGGCCGGACAGCATAGGGAGAGTGAGGGAGGTCGAAGAGTAGATGTAAAGGCAACAAAGAGCGCGCCTTTCGAAAAAGAACTGCGAGGAGTGTGTAGTAGGTAGGATGATTGCGGCGGTGGCGTCGTAAGGTGAAGGGGGAGAATGCGAGTGTGGCGGCAGACTGTGGACTGGACATGGAGATGATGGGATGGAGAAGCAATGACTTTGCCATGGCCCCCGTCATTCCTACCACACTATCATACTGGCAATCTGGCAATCTGGCACCACGATTTTGGGTGTCAAAATGCGCCCACGGCAGAGATTGTGGGCACCTTTCACCCACAGTCCAGCAGCCCAGCGGCCTCTTTAGCCTAGCAAGCAGCCTAGCAGCCTCTGGAGTTCGTACTACTGGTTCTGTAGACCACTTAGAAGGTATTGTAACTGCGCCCACAACCCACAGGATCGTGCCAATGACATTCCCTCCACCGCCCGACGGCTGCCTCCGCATCCCAGTGTCGTCTTTTCCATTTGTCCATCACCATCTCAGCCACTTCTTCGCGTGGAGACGACCACTTGACGGCCCTGCAGAGCTGCGAGTGATAGCCTCCAAAGCCAGATCACCCTTGCCTTTAGACCTCGCGAGCATCTCATTCTTACCGACTCTTCCGGCATTAGGAGGCACCCTAGGCCACTTGGGCCACTCACCCACGGCATGGAAGATCGGCACAGTCTAAGTTACAGGAGAACAGGGCGGATCAACTTTGTCCAGCCGTGTCTGGTATATGTTAGTTTGAGATCCCTATGAGATCCTTGCTTTTGAGTGACTGACTCTTTCCGACATTTCCACTGGCTTGCCAGAAGATGAGACCACCCAACCAGGCACATCAGCTCGTCCCACAACCTCGGAGCCCGTGGCCGAAGCGAAGCATCACCGACATGTTGTTCGATCCCTCTCAAAGCCGCGAGGCAGCCGGTCTGTGGGGTGACGGTGGCTAGAAAGAAACTAAAGAGAACCATCACGGGCACCAGCGGCGAGGTCACCCCCCCGGAGACATGTTCCCCTGCCATTGAGGATGCGAGTTTGGGCGCAGCGTCTAAAAATCCCATCCCTTAGAACATCGCATTCTGGGAAACAAGGAGGTAGCGCACCTGGTCACGCACATTGTATCAGCTGTCATGTCAGAGCTCATCATGTGCGTGATTAGGGTCTCCGATCCCGCTAGGATCTGCACTCGACTCGGAAAGACGATGAACTCGCGTGCATGTTGATCTGGACGCGAGCGCTCATACTCTCCCTACTCTCCCCTAGGTAAACTCTCCTGGCGGCAGTCTGTATCTTCTCACATTAATACAGGCCCACGCCACACCTATTCATTCGCCACAGAAACTATACTCGGTCCATAATCTCTCCCCCCTGCATCCTCCCTGTTGTCATCACCAGTTTCTGCCTGGGTGCGTGGAGAGTGCTAGATTCAACTCAGGCTTGTCAGAAGATCTCTGCTTACTATGAACGAGGGTGCTTTCAAGAGTAAATCAGAACCCATGAGCAACCACAATTGAAAGAGGAAAGAAAGCCTCCAGGGCCTACTCTGGTAATCTCTGGGCAAGTTACAACTTCAGTGAAGTGGACGCTTTGAGAGGGAGGTAGACCACTAAGGAACTTGGGGTGACCAGTCAGGCACTGGGGGTGAGTCTTGGGAATGTCATTACGATTTCGATCTCGGCAGCCTTTCAGGACTTGATACATCCCAGGGCTTTGTATGGACGAGGCTGAGAGAGTGCTTTACATGTGACCTGCATCTGGAAGACAAGCTGACATTGGCGGAGCTTTTTGGCTGAGTTACGCCCGGCCCTTGGTCGATGTATAAAGAGACAGGAAACAGGGTTGGACGACTTCTGCCCACACAGAGCCGTGTTCTGTCAATCAAGACAAGTCAAGAGTCGAAACAACGAAACAGGAAAGTCGAAGGTTTATAAACTGCATATATGAAACCCGTCTGCTTGTTAGGACTCCAATATACCAGTAGTCTCCGGCGATGGATCAATGTACGTCCAAAGCATCATGGTAACGGCTAAGGTGTCGAATGGATGGCGCCGGCCTTGGACAAGGCTGGACGAGGCTGGACATGGCGGGCCGATGTTTTCCCGAATGTCACTTCTCTTGGCGGCGGATGTTGCGATTTCTGCTTTTCTGCAAACACTCCATGCCTCGACGAACAACTCATCCACCCGATAATAGTGCCATTGGAAGGAGCCCGGCCATCCTAGAGTTGCTTGGCGACGGTAGTTCCGGTCTAGGGGCAGCCTGGTCCGCCGCGGAACTCAAAGTCGGCAGATTCTAGCCTCGCTTCGCCAATTTCGGCCGGTAGCTCTTGGTCGTCTGCACCGCTTGAACGTTGCTACAAGTCGCTATGTCCATTGCCAACTACGTCCATCCCAGCACGTATGGGAGTCTGTCCGACCAGGAGATGTCCGTAGTGCAGCAGATACACGACTTTACCGAGAGATATTTCCAGAACCCATGCTTCGATGCGTCGCACGATTTCGAGCACGTGAAAAGGGTGGTCAAGAATGCAGTGACCATTCTTGAGAGGGAAGAGGAAAGGAGGAAGCAAGACGCATTGCCTGCTTTGAATCCTCTGAGTGTCATCCTTGGGGCGCTGCTCCACGATGTCGAGGATAAGAAGTATATCACCTCAGTGAACGACAACTCTCCGCTGAAGCGTGCAATTGTAGAAGCGGGAATGCCTCTAGAATATGCGGCGCAGATGCAAGTGTTGGTCGAAGGGGTTTCGTACTCGTCAGAGATCCGGGACCCACAACGTATCAAGAATCTGATTGAAGCCATTCCAGAGCTCGCCATTGTCCAGGACGCCGACCGGCTCGACGCAATAGGCGCCATTGGTATCGGACGATGTTTCACTTTTGGAGGAGCCAAAGGGGCGCGGAGTCTGGAGCATTCAATCAACCACTTTGAAGACAAGTTGTTGAAGCTCGAAGGTATGATGAAGACAGAAGCAGGAAAGGCCATGGCGCAGGAGAGGTCACGGAGGATCCGTGAATTTATGGTCTGGTGGCGGGACGAGGTTGGGGCCCCCAATTCATGACGAGCAGCCGTTAGCGATCGGTTCGGCAGTTCAATCCTCGGCAGCATTTTTAGGATTCGTCGCGAATCCTGCCGGGTACGGTTGGTCCCCCGTTCTGCGAGCCTGTCGATGTCGACGCTGAAGCAGTGATCGAACCTGTGGCGTTCAATCTCAGGTCTCCTCAGCCTCACCTGGCTCGCCGAGGTCGCCGTGTTGCTCAAAAGGATCCTGCGTTGCAATGGTCACTGACTGGGGGCTAACAGCAGCGGACCCTATTTTCGGAGGGGGTGGTGGTGCCAAAGGTGTGCCTTTACGCGACGGCACGTGGTCTTGCTCTGCACTCTTCTTCTCCCCCTCGGCGAACACGTCTTCGAAGCCAGAGTTGGGGGAGATGCCACCGTGCCGCCTGCCTTTTCGCGTCCTAGAGGCTGCGGCACCGGTTGGGGCGGGAGAGTTAGGGTTGACCATCGGCGGTGGTGGGACGTTCGGGTTCACCATTGGAGGCGGTGACAGACTCTGGACAGGAGCAGGCTGGAAGCTGTTGGCCAACTGTTCGTGCTGTTCGTTCTCCATGCTTTTGCCGTCTGCATCGAACAGTTTCTCTCCCGGAGCCTGAACCTCTTCTCCGAGCCCAACAGGTAGTCGATGGAGCGCCCCGAAGCCAAGGACGGCTCCCAAGGCGCCTTCGCCGCCCCAGCCTCGTCGCGGAACCAGTTCCACCTCCCGGACCACGTCGAATTCCGAGTTGTATACCCAAAGAACCAAGCTTCTGTTCAGGTGGTCTTCCACCAATTCGCCTAGTGCTCCTTCCCCCTTGAGTGCACCGCTTGGTGATCCTAAGATGTAATCGCTGTGTGGGAGGAGGCCGGCCTGGTGTGCCGGAGACAAGGGCGACGGTATGTTGAGGACGTGCCAGATGTTCTGTGTCGAGTTTAGAGGTGCAAGCTGCAGTGTCAAGCCCAACATGGCGGGGGCGGCAGGCACAGCGACGGTAAGTGTATGCGTTCGTTGACCCTGCGAACACCTTGTTAGACGGGATCTAGTCAGACGTGTAGATGCGCATGTGGTCTCACTTTCGCGCTCCATAGATCTAAAGAACAGTATGCACCGGCGCAGTTGCGCAGCTCCGTCGAGAAGAGATTCGGGTCTGGAGAGTCCTAGATGGGGCATAAGGTCAGCATTTGGCTCTACACTGCCAGACAAACAGTTCCGTACTATGTAGTGCCCATTGATTCCGACAATGAAGTCAAACCATGGTTCGAGAGGCAGGTCCTTGTTCGTGTTCCTCAGAACTTGGAAGCCATACGAGTTGTCTGAAGGGCCTGACTCGGTCTGCCGCGGACCTGGCTCGCCGTCAAGACGGGCAATGAAGCGATTCAGAGCACCAAACATGTTGCTGAGGATCCAAACATCAGACGGTGAGATTCGCAACTGGCAGGGACATCTTGTCGTCCTTGTTGAACACAACCTACTACCACGTCGAGACGTCTTTTATGATGGCGCTATGACGCGCCGGACATTTTTCCGGCGGATCACAGCAGCAGATGTGTTATCAACAAGAGTCTACGTTTCTAGCGAAGAGATCACCTCACAACCGAAATACATACACTTGAAACGTCTTCGCGTCTCATCTGACTACCATCAGCCTATTTCCATTATTCTAACCGCTGTTACGCTTTCTGGACCTTGTTCCAACCGTCCGGTATTGACCGAGGCCTTGACAACGGCCCGTTGACGGTCCTGTCGCGGCTTTGGTTTGTGTTCTCTGGTCACAATCTGCCCAAGTTGAAACTCGTTACAACTTGTTCTGGGAGCTCAACCGTATGCCTTTTTGGCTCTCTGGCCCCAGAAGATAAGGTAAGTTCTTCTGTACTATGCTTCGCCCCAATGCTGCTATAAATGATTTGGGACTGTCGCATCACGCCTCAATTCTTGTCCTAGAAAGGCTACCTCGAGGTTTCCTGCAGCTAAGCGCCACTCCAGCTGATGGCCATGGCCCCGTCCCGTTTGGCGAGGGCCTAGTTTCAGCTCTCCTGGCGGCCATGGGACAGCTCAGAGATATATAGTGGCAGCTTTTGCCAGCCACAAAGCAACATGTTTGGCCGTCAAAGGCCCGAACGCATGTTTGCTGGGTCGTACATCAGTATTGCGATTACCGTTGCCCCGGATGTGGTTCCGCCGCCCTATATTCCTTACGAAGACTTTGTCTATCGAGAGCCGTGACCAGAACCTTCGCAGGGATGGACAGCCGCGGCTAAGCAAGGTTGGGGCATATACAACCACCCTGGAAGTCGAACCCCAATATGTGACTCGCAGAACTCGGAGGGAGCCCGGTCCTGCCATATGGAACTCCCTTTGGCTTTCAAGGTGGACATTGACGGGACTTTCAGTGACCTTTGCTGCATGTTCCGGAGCACTCATACTCGTATGGCACTTCAACACTCGAAATTATGGCTTTCATTTGGTGACCACGAACCACTACGCCTGGACCTATGGGCCTACAGCGGTTCTCGTCATGATAGTCGCTCTTTGGCGGCAGGTCGATCAGAATTGCAAGTTTCTCGTACCATGGCAGGTTCTACAGAGAGGAAATGCACCGTCCAGTACGAGTTTGATGCTGGATTATATATCACCGCTCCAGATCGTCAGCCTCTGGACTGCCTTGAGGAAGCGACATTGGACCATTTGTCTGACCATATTGTCTTTTGTTATGCTCAAACTGATAACCCTGGCCACAACTGGTTTATTCTTCACGGATTTCAGGATCCAGACTGCTGGATTGGACAATCTCTCGACCAGCACAAGCTTTGATGGGTCTCTGTACAACGCCACCGCGTACCTCGGTGTTTCTGATTCATCTTTGTTTTACACAGCCTACGCAGTGATGGCAAAGGGTCTCCCTGACGTCGAGGGCACGCTAGGCACTGTGGCCTATCAAGGCTTGTCAATGCCCAAGACTGGTCTGGGTTCCAATGCTACCGTCAGTGCAGTTGTTGATGTCTTTGTACCATCATTCAACTGCGAGAAAGCCAACGTCACGATCAACCTTCAGCCAGCAAACACAACTGCTCAACATCCTCAAGATACTTTGAACCTACTCGCGCCTCGTTGCAAGCTCCTTGAGGGTGCACCTCCGGTCTTCGCACTCAACCCGCAGCTCTATGCATGTCCTACTCGGCAGCTGAGTGGCTTGATGCAACGAGTTGATTGTTCTGGACAGGACTCGCCCATGCCCAGCGGAAATTGGCAACTCCTGACTTTGACAGACATGCGTTATATGCAAACCACCATCAATGGCTCCGACAATACGGACGCGTCGGAGTTCGAAGCTTCTTCCTGGTCTACTGGTGTTGCACATGTCAGCAGCATCTTATGCAGGCCCAGCTACAGCATACAACCGCGCCGCATAACCTATGATCTATCCCAAAATCCGCCCCGTATCCTTCTTGCACCAGAGACAGCTGGTCAGAGTCGATTGCTGCAGAACTTCAGTGACGCTGATCTCGGCGTCATGTTCACGTCTGCGTACTCAGCTTCAGCGCTGATGTTCGGCAACAAGGCAGACAGTGAACTCGCAGAGGAATATCCAGATACCATGTTCAGCACTATGGCGGAGATCAGTGGTGGTCCCTACGAAGTCCTGCTAGACGAGGACATAATGATTTCCACGGCAGAGAAGGTCTTCAGCCACGTCGCCGTGCAAATAGCCTCAAAAACCCTTGTTCGCTCTCAGCAGATCCCTGTCGCTGGCACGATATCTGTGCCTCAGGAACGCCTGTATGTACGAGAAGCGTCTCTGTGGCTTCTTGTCGCTGGATTCTCCGTGATGACCGTGATAGCAGTTGTGGTTGCCGTTTGTCGACCAGCGGATGTCGTGCCTCACGACCCCGAGACCATCAGCAGTTCGGCTGTTCTGCTTGCCAATAGTCCAGGTCTTGAGAATGCTCTACGTGAGTGCAGTGCTGCCCAGGAAGCCCAGCTGAAGAAGAACCTTGACCGCTATCGTTATTCCTCTTTCTCATCCACGAATGCGCGTGGCCAACAGAAGTTCGTCATCGAGGCCACCGGCAACAAAGAGGGCACTGACAATGCAAGCGCCGACAATGGTATGCCCTGGTGGAAGCCTCTGCTGCTGCGACGCGCAATGATGGCACTTGTGTTGATGTTGCCGCCAGCTTTGGTTGCGCTCTTGGAGGTTCTCCATCATCTGTCTGAGCGAGAAACAGGGATAGCTATGCTCTCAGACACCGAGAGTCTCTCTACAGAACTCTGTACCAGATTCCTTCCGGCTCTAGCCATGCTGCTAGTTTCCACGTCGTTCAACGCGATGGATTTCAACATCGCGGTTTTGGCGCCTTACCAATATCTCAAGACCAGTAAAAGCCCTCGTGGCGCAACCCTGTCACGCTGCGTTGTGGGGAAGATGCCTCCGGCCGTCTTGTGGGTCGCTTTCAAGCGTGGATATCACAGCGCATTCTTGTCTTCAGTTGCAGCCCTGCTTGGAAGCCTGCTGACGATCATTGTGTCGGGGTTATTGGTCATCGACCGCGTCGGAACTTCAAAGCCAGCAGCTTTGCAAATCCTGGACAGCTTCAACACGACATGGACAAACTCAGTGGCAAACGACACCTCTGCTGCAGTTGTCGTAAGCCTCATTGAAGCTGCGAATCTCTCATACCCTGCCTCAACCTACGGTGAGCTGGCTTTGCCAAAAGTACAATTGGCAGAATTTGCCGCCAGAAACGCTCCGCAAGGCAGCAGGCTAGATTCTTCGCTTCCCGTCCTCCGTGGCTCTTTGAACTGCAGTATCCTTGAGCCTTTCCAATTCAACTTCTCGGGATCGTACAATGCAAGGATTCTCTCCGCCGGTGCCACCGTTCAGGCTACAGTGCCACTGCCCCCGGAATGCCCATACGGAGGACCCGGTGGGAACTCAACAGAACTAGACTATCAGTACTTCTTCCAGCTGCCCAGTAATACGAATCGAAGCTACGTGGGCAAAATCCTTGATCTGCATGTCGGACCTTACTCAGGCCCATTCGCGGACAGTTCGGGCGAGATATCTCCTTACAGTCAAGCAGACAATCCAGCGGGCTGTCCATCTCTCGCCTTCATTCATGGTTATGTTGACGTGGAAGACATGACCAGATCGTTTATGTCCACAATGGCATGCTCGCAACTGATTGAGCGGCTTGATGCCAGAGTGGTGTTAGATGCCAACGACCTTGGAATCCCCCTCTCAAGCGCGCCTGTCGCCAACATATCTACCGCAGTCTTTGTTGCCAGTGGTCCGGACAATCAGACTTCGGATGGCCGTACAACACCGACCGCATTCCCGTTCAGACTGCAGGTTCACATGGACCAAGCACTTTCGATGTTCAATCAGACGGAATACTCCTCGAGCAGCCTGGCGAGTCAGCCACCTGTGGACAACTTCTACCAAGCAGTCCTGTTCGGCCGGACTCCGGTTCCTCAGGAGCTCCTGGGTAAGCGTGACGAAGATAGCCAGAACCGAGTAAGACAGGGGATACAAAGCTTCTACCGAAGATACATGGCACAAGCCATTTCCGCAAGTATGCGAGTCAATGTGTCTGGCGCTACTGCTGCGACAGTGGCCGGAACTGGCGCAGGAGTGACCGCTCCAGCAGCCGATGTGCCCGCCACGCTTGTCGATGTGCCGGTTTCGGTGCTCCGCGTGAACACCGCGTCAAAAACCGTCCTGCAGGTCCTTCTGGCAACGATGTTCGTCTGCGGCTTAGCAGCGGTGCTTCTGAATCCTACCAGGAAAGTGTTGCCCCGTAATCCGTGTACTATTGCTGGGGTAGCTAGCTTGCTCGCAGGGAGCAGGTTAGTGCAAGAGCTCGCCAGGGCAGAAGAAGATGAAGAAGCCGAGTTGGTGCTACGTAATGAACCTTTACGTTTGGGCTGGTGGGATGAAGCTAGACTGATCGAAACACCCAATGAAGAAAACACTGCAGGGGCTGTGCGACGCCGGTATGGTATTGATATTGTGAAGGAGGCTGATGAATGGCCCATGACATGTGAAGATGGAGTTTATCTTGGAATTTTGTAAGTATAGGTATAAACATGATATGTTTGGGTTTATATTTGGCAGTTCCAGTTCCAGTTCGTTCTCTGTTTACCTCGTTGGTTTAGAGATGCGACAGAAGTCGTCTATTGCCCATTGAGTGAACCAAAAGGTAGAGAAGAAATGGTTGTGTTAAGACGATACATTGTTTTCAACGCTGGCTATGGCATGAGATTGCTCTTCTAGAAGGCAACATATCAAAGTTCGTATATCATCTTCGTCATCATGAAAAGGGATTTTTCACGTGCGAGGCGTTGACGCGTTTCTTTTGTACCTCCTGCTATGTCTGTCTAAAATGCTTGCACGACCGTATCTTCGAATATCATAGATCCAAACCCGACCTGAGTGGAATATCTCTCCAAGAAAATAGCCACAATTGTCCCAAGGTTCCAAAATTTCATGCACATAATCCCGGAGAGTTACGGCGGTGTAGGACCTTATGATACGTAGGCCTGGCCGACGGGGCTGGAGACGGAGTTTCCATTGACCAAAATGCCATCGCTGCACATGAAGTAGGCATAGCGCTCCACGGCGGCCTGGGAATCCAGCCATGGAACGACCTGGCTCAAGAACGAAGCCACGTCGCTGTCGGAGCCGGTGGCGCCGAACTCGGTCAGCCAGACCTTGCTCACACCGTTCTTGGCCGCGGTGTCGATGACATCCTGGACGTGAGACTTGAAGTAGTCGACGTTGCTCGCCTCGGCGTACCAATGAAACGCAACGAAGTCAATGTTGCACTGTCCTTCACAGGCGTCGAAAAACTGTTGCAGCCACGTTGTGCCCATGGCCGGGTTGGATCCCGCACCGTTGGTGATGGCGGGAGAGCCGATAGAGACTTGGCCGGACAAAGGGGCAACGTTGGCAATGTGCAGTTTGGCGGCGGTCGCAGGGTCCATGTTCGATTGACTGCTCAAGTCGGGTTCGTTGAACGACAGCACGTGTTTAGAGCCGCTTGAAATGGCGGACTGCACTGCACTCGACCATGACGAGATGGAGCTCTCTCCCCACAGCAGTGGCACGTACTCGGCGCCGGCGAGGATGCTGCCGTCCGGTGAAGCACCCCAGTTGTAGGCCCAGCTGATTCCCGTGCCTGCGAAGGCCGAGGTCAAGGAGGCGTCGTTGTAGGACAGGCCCTTCTTGCTGCCGCTCGAAGTACCCGTGCTGGGGGTCGAGCTGGCACTGGAGGACGGGACAGAGGCGGAAACACTGGCTGCCACGCTCGAGGCAGCAGAGGAGGCGACAACGCTGGGCACAGAGGCTGAGCCGGCCACGGTTGCAAAGGTGGTGGGAACGACAGACTGCACGGACGAGTCAGCTGCGTATGAAGGCCTTCCAAAGAAGGCTCCGGCTGTTGGTGTGCTGGCGAGCAGGCTGATCGAGGTTGATCCGGCCAGGTCTTCCAGCCCACTGTCAGACGGCGTTGAGGAAGATGCTGCAGCAACGCTTGATGAAGCAACGGCAGCGGCGCTCTCGGCGACGCTAGCCTCTGCCGTGTATGTGAAGTACTGGACCGACGTAGCTGTGATGGTCGAGGTCAGGCTGCTGCAGCACGAGCTGCTGGATGCAACTGCAGCATTAGCAACAGCGACGCTTGAGACGGAGTCGAGAGGGATGGCGCTGACGGTGACGGTCATGACAGCAGTGGCTGTTGCAGTAGTAGTCACGTTGGCAGAACCTCCAAAGTCCGTACCGTTGAGAGCAGTGCCGTTGAGGGGGAACGTGCCTCCGGTGGGTAAGGCAATGCCTGAGCCTCTGCCGGTGCCGGTGCCATAGTGGAAACGTTGGTGTCGCTGCGGATGAGCCCAGACCGCGGTGGCAAGAGACAGGATGGGCAAGATGTTGGAAACCATTTTGGACTGTGATATAGATGTTGCTGATGGAGAAGGGGGGATGTTGAGATGTCGGCACACAGAGGGATTGGGTATAGTCTGATCAGCCCGCCGGGGGTAGATCTGTATAATGATAACGATTCAATCAATGAAAGAATGAGCTGGTTGGCGAATGAGTGACCACGAGCGTAGCTCTAGTGAGGAAGAAGGCGAATCGATCAAGGGCTAGCCTTGTCGTGTGGAAGGAAGGGCGAAGTGCTCTGTGTCGCACAAACGTGTCAAGAGCCTGTAGCTGGCGAAAGGATTGAGTGTAGTGGGAAAGAAGGAGGAGAGAGGCATGAAACGACAAGAACTTCAGAGATATAACTCCAGACACAGGAGGAGGAGTAGGAGGGAAGCAGATGGTGGGGATGTGCCATGCCAGTGGGAGAGGTGAGGGTACGGGTACGGGTACGCCTTGCAAACCGAACAGGAACTGGATCCGTGGCACGTTTCATGGTGGACATTTTGTGCAACGGGGAATCCTTGTTGCGCGAACTCCAGTGGAGGCCGGAGTCTACTCTGTGAGAGCGACCGTATGGCAGCGCGTCTTTTCAAAGAGATGTAGCCCCTGTCTCCTTATGGCCAGTAGAAGGACGGCAATTGAGAGCAGCTGAGACCCAGAAGCAAGAAGTAAGAAGTCGGCCAGGCCAGGCCAGGGCCATAGACTGGTGGAGTGTACAGCAGAGTAGTGGTTGACAGCCTCGAATGCAGAAAAGGGGAAAGGTGGATGACCGGCTGCAAGCCACATGGAAATCGCTGGAGTCCGTGAGTCCGTATCGAGCCCCTGATCAGGCTACTGTCACAGGCTGAGGAGGCTGGCGGTGAACAGGCCAGTCAGCACCATCCAGATGTCGCCCTGAAACAGACCCATGGTCGGATTACTGACGCGGCCAATGCAGGGGGCGGCCAGGGGCGCCGGCCACAGGCTGAGGAGGCCACACCGAGAGGAGGACGACAGGACGAGAGAGACGGCGAGACAGGTGTCGCTCTCAACTTGAAGGCCGCTACTGTCAGGAACCCGAACTTTAGTGTCTGTGGCGCGTTGTGTCTAAGGATGTTGTCCGCGTTGGCGCGTCCTGTGTATGGCCGGAGTGGCCCGGAGGAGACAGATAGAGGTGGTTGGGTCTGGGGACTGTGAGACGCAAAATCCCTTCCCCATGGCCACGGAAATGAGATCGAGGCAGAACGGGACACAGCAGGGTTTTCCTGGTTCGGTTTGTCCATAGACGACCAGTTGTGCGACGATGTAACATGTATATCCGGTAAGCCACGGGTCTTGGTTTTTTCTCTTTTGTGCGTAGATTTTTATATATAGGATTTGTACCCGGTGAATCTAGGATGAAGAAGAGAGAGTATGTATAATGACAGAGACACCGTGCATAAGCACAGGCGATCTGGCAGCCGACAGTCAGCCATCAAGTGTCTGTCTCTCGTCAATAGTCGTGGACACTAGACAGTATGGAAGCTGTGGAAGCCTCGCTGGCTTACGTACCTCTTGGAGCTCGTCGACTCGTCATTTCTCTTTGCCTAGGCCCCTGCTGATGGATTCCTGCCAGACCAGAGGCATTGGCTCCATATGCTGTTTAGTATTGTGTAAAAATGTCACCGTGACCAACTGTGTAATGGAGCCGGAGGAAGAAAGTGACCAGGACAGTCTCAGCCACCGACTACATAGTGCATAGCATCCCAGTACCACACACAGGACAGAGTCACACATCAACCTCGATATGGCATACGGTGCGCAAATGACAAGGACAAGGGCAGGGTTTGTAGAAGCACAGCACTCGTCTCGGGACGGGTTGTTGCAACTCAGGTACCAGCAAGCCAGCCAGGATGTCGACCTCGGTGATCACAGCAACATCCATGTCTATAGACATCCATCCCTACACAGTAGTATATCCTATCCATATCCATCCTGTCACCTTTCAGCCATCGTCAAGACCGTCCGCTTGCAAACGGACTTCCACCCAGTCGGGATGCTGTTGTTCTTGTCTGGCCTGGTCTGGTCTCATCCGATCGATATTTTCAGTCCCATTCAATGCTCCACGACACGGACAGAAGGGAAATTCGGATGATGATCCAGAGGCCAGAAACCAGAAGGGAATCATCATGAAGCCCTCGTTCATGACTTGTCCTTCCGTCGTCCCTCCAGCACCGCCATCACATCCTGCACACTATCTTTGTCACCCTTGCGCTTCTTGGGTCCACGTTTCCGTCCAGGCTTCTTGCTACCCGCGTCGCCCTCCTCCCATACAGGGCCATCCTCGTCATCGTCGTCTCCGTAGCGACTCTCGCCGAATCCCAGATCCAAGTCCGCCGCATCGGCTTGGTCTCGCTCCTTCAGTCGGGCCAGCAACTGCCGTTGTTTGGCTTCCCGGTCAGGATCCGAATCCGTCGCATCATCGCCTCCCTTCTCGTCGCCCCGCCGCAAGGCCGCCGCCCGCTTGAGAGCTGCAAGGAGCGTAGGATCTTTGGTGATCGGGTTGCTACGATCCTCCGCTGGGGCCGGTTCGTTATTTGTCCCAAAGTAATTCCGCGGCTTGTCGCTGGCGGCTTCAACCGTCTTCTCTCTGGTATGCGAAATCTCTGCTGCTCCTTGTCCTTCAACATCGGAGCCCTCCGAGTCGCTTTGGATGCCAGCCAAAGGATCGTAGTCCCCAGCCCCCTGAAAGATGTCGCCATCATCAGCTTCTGTCTCCTCCGCCATCAATGCCTGCTGCTTCGCCTGGAACTCGGCTGGCACGTCCATTCCTAGGGGCTGTGTTTGTTTGCTCCCTCCTGCGCTGTCCTCGGGGTCAAGCCATCGAGTCTTTCTCTTCGTAGTCCCATCTTTGTTGGTGATGACCAGGACTTCCCTCCGTCGTCCATTCACCACCTCGACAAACTTTTTCTTGTTGCTCGACTTCTCCGAGGATACCTTCTTGAAGCGTTCTCCGAGGCTGGGCGCAACAGGGGCAATCTCATGCTTGCCTGTCCGACTTTCCTTCCACCGACGTAAGATTTCGTCCCTGGATATTGGCTGGGCTTCCACAGCTCCTTCGGCGGTATTTTCTGACTCTGGTGTCGGACTTGATTTCTTAACCTGAACCTCTTGGTCTAACACCTGGTCCAGCTCGTCGTCCACATCAACTTTGCTAGTCTCTGCAGTTGCCTCTTGCTCTTGGGAAGGTTCGCTATTGATGTCTTCTCCCCGACGGACTTTTTCCAGCAGTTTCCAATCAAGACCTCTTACCAAATGTGTGCTGTTCAGGCTCCCACCAATTCCAATCTGGCTCTTCAACGCTTCAAACGTAGCTTCGTCAATTTGTTGTAGTTTGTACATCTCTTCTAGCGCCTTGTATCGCTTCTCTTTATCGTCTTGTGGCTCGGCATCTTCTCCAACCGCTCGTCTCTCGAGTGTGCGGTCATGATACCCTGAAGCGAGTCTGGTGCCTTTGGGCGCGGCGTTCGATTTGAACTTTTTCGTCGGAGGCTGTCCGTCCTGTTCTCGCCGGTGCTCTGCAACCTGTCTTGCAAAATCCTTGGAACCACTGTATCCTACTACCGAGCGAGGAGTCATGGGGATCGAGGCGCGTGCTCTGGAGCCGAGGACAGGCTTCTTGAAGCCGGAATCCGAAGAGCCCGACTCAGGCGCCTTGCGGCTGCCGTCACCCTGAAGGAGGTTTCGGAATTGGGAATTATCCATGTTGCCGAATGTACATCCGTTGACCTCAATGTCTAGTTGCTTGCATCTCGAAGGGGAAATAATGGTGGTGAGCAGGTCAATCAAGTTGGAAACGCAATGGATGTCAAGCGGCGGGGGATGAACATGCCATGTGTTTAATGTGTGGAGAGACGGGGAAATTTAATATGGAAATTTATTGTCACAATATCTGTGATATCAACCGACGTTCAGCCAGTCGCTGAATGTTCACTCTACATCGTACACATCCAAAGGGAAATCTTGTCTATGCTAAGTGTGTATCTCTGTGACCGACAGCAGGTGTGATAATGGGCCGTAAAAGAAAGAATGCCGACCGCTTCCAACAGTCTAGTGAACCTCCACGGAAGAAGCGTGTTCCTACCACTCCTCTACCCGAAGGCGTCCATCATTACCAGTCTGTGGAAGAAGTGCCATGGGACCTACAAAAGTGAGTGACATGGACCCTCTGCTCTGCCATCTATTCCCGGACCTGGACTCACCCCCAGCAACAGATACTGGCACCAGGGCTATTCAATCTTTTCCAAGTATGACGATGGAATTTGGATGACGGACGACGCTTGGTTCGGGGTGACGCATGAGTCGGTTGCAAAGTATAAATTCCACCACATCGAATACCCGGTTTACTGATGCCAGAGACAGCAAAATCGCCTCCCATATGGCAGCAGCAGCCCCTGATAAAAGATCCATCATCATTGATGCATTTTGCGGCGTCGGTGGAAACACGATCGCCTTTGCCCTCTCCGGCAAGTGGAAGAGAGTCTACGCCATCGAGAAAGATGCTGCCACTTTGGCCTGTGCCAAACACAACGCAGAAGTCTATGGCGTAGCTGACCGCATCACTTGGTTTCACGGTGACTGCTTCGAGATACTGGGTGCCAGCGGCAAGACAGAGAACACTGTGGAAGCCCTGACAGCGATTACTGGTCAATTCGGGGTCATCTTTGCCAGTCCACCCTGGGGAGGTTCGTTGTCTGTATCCCGGTGGCAGGTTGTCATGGCTAATCTTGGTGTGCAGGCCCCGGCTACCGCAATGCGGATGTCTTCGATCTCGAATCAATGCAGCCATACAGCTTCAGCTACCTCTACGACTCCTTCAAGAAGTTGACTCCCAATATAGTGCTCTATCTGCCCAGAACAAGTGACCTGCGGCAAGTTGTTGCGAAGCTGGAATCGGGCAAGAAGACTCAGATTGTGCATTACTGTACGAATGGCACCAGCCGAGCCTTGTGTGCATACCTAGGAGACTGGGCGTCCTTGAAGCTGTGAGGGTGCTTGAGTTGACAGCTGTGACTTGTAACATATGTAATGAGCGACGACAATGATATCCTGGCTGCAGTGTCCATTTTCATGGATGCCCATAGACATGTCATTCCTAAATACCCTCTTCAGCTGCTGTTGCGGTGACACGACGAGGCTGACTGACTGTCGTACCAGGCGCGGTCGCGAGTCATTGACAACACGCCAAGCCCCATTGCGAGTCATGTGCCTGCGCTCCGCCGTTTGGTCTTCAAGTTCAAGTCCGACTTGATCGCAACCTCCAACACTTCGTCTGTCATTTACGATCCCCATCGACTGACCCGTTCACAGACGCGGTCACTACAAGAAAGACGCTGCTCTGCTCTCTCGGTCGAACGATGGTCTCTACCTGACCAGCTCCATGGGACGCGCTGGGCTGCGCAACAATCACCTCCTCCTGCGGGGTGCCTCCAAACCGGTCTCACTCCATTCTTGATCACCTCAACATGGCTACCCATCTCTACCAACAGGCCGGCGACGACCTCGATGCCCTCTTCGACGATGCGGCAGAGACCGAACTGAGATCTTCGGCCGAGACACCGCTCGACCAGAATCTCGGTCTGCCTGCGGAAGCCAACGATGAATTGAATGCGCTGCTGAACGAAGCAGGTGGCGGCGAGGGCTTGAACTGGGATGAATTGAATTCAAGAGAACTCGAAGCAGGCGAGAAGGCAGAGGACGCGGTTGACTACGAGGACATTGGTGATGACGAGTCTCTACCAGAAGAAGAGCCAACGCAGGCACCCCAGGAAACTCGGGACGTTCAGGACGCGCGGACCGAGTCTCCGAGTGTTCTGCTGCCTGGCATCGAAGACAGCGCCCTGGATGACTTTGATGATGATGACTTGTTTGGCCCCTCTAGTCCGATCTTGACGGCTCACGAACCCCAGCCTGCTGTTGCGTCTAAGAAGCCGCTCGACAAGCCGACACGAGATGCCGATCAGGAGTCAGACCTTGCCTCCGAGCACGGCGATGACGCACATCAAGACATATCGATGTTGCAGCCGGAACTGGACGAGGTTGAAGATGCGGAATACCGGACGCAACTGGCTTTATTTGCTCAGTCCGGCAGGGGTCTCATGCCTACCACGGAGCAGGAGAATATCGAACAGTGGTTGAAACTCGAGTTCCCCAGCTTCAAGCGAGATGAAACACCCTTCTTCAACAAGCTCTTCCCTCCCAGGCCGCATAAATGGCCCGCAAAGACTCCTCCGAAGCCCCCCAAGCCGGTCCGTCCTACCAAGGTAACTCTAGACCTCGAACAAGAACAGAAGACATCCTTCAACTCAGCAGCTGGTGTAGCAGCACCGGGTACTGCCGCGGACATCGTCAGCACAGAAGAGCCCACGGTGGTGAATGAAGTGGCAGAATCAGTGGATGAGTCTGATCTGGACGAACCCCTTCCTGGCAATCTTACATTGAGCGATTTGGAATTCATGTGTGCCGATTTCGATACGTTGTCGTCTGCCGCCCACTCGGAAGATGATGTTGTCGAAGTCCATCCTCGCGTGGTCGACAGTGACGATGACATGTTTGGCTTTGACGATTTTGAGCAACCTCGCAAGAAGCGTCGTCTCGACCTTGATCCCCACAATATCGTCACAATACGTCAGATCGATCTCCCTTCGTTCGACAATCCCGAGGACAAAACGGCCAATTTGGCCCAAAAGGTGGTTCTGGACCTCAATGACTCTGGCCTGCTAGTTGAAGAGGTCGATCCCGAGGCTGTCAAAGCCAAAGCGCGAGTGGGAGAAAAGTCGACGACGACGGTCAAAACAGTCAAGGATCGTCTGCAGCAACGTTTCAAGACGTCGAACGATGCGGAATACGAGCTTCTGAAACAGAATCATCAGCATAAAGTTCGTGGTCAGCTCACCCACTTGAACATCGAACACTCGGTTCCAGCCATCCGTCTCCAATACCCGTACTATCAAGTCCGACTCTCACTACAGGAACTCCGGAACTTCCACCGCAAGAAAATGCATTTCAAGTATCCCATCGCCTTTTCCAAGACAGGCATAAGGAAGAGAAAGCACGTGAGAGGCCGCAAGATCGACGAACTATTCAAGGAGACCAAACACCTTTCTCTGGCTGACAATTCATCGATGATGCTTCTGGAGTATTCGGAAGAACACCCTTTGATGTTGTCCCAAACTGGAATGGGCAACAAGGTCGTCAACTATTACCGGAGGCGCACCAAGGATGACACGTCGAGGCCGAAGAGCGACATCGGCGAGACTTCTGTACTGTTGCCTGAAGATAAATCACCCTTCTACATCTTTGGACAAATCGATCCTGGCGAGACCATCACAGCGCTTTACAATTCCATGTATCGGGCGCCAATCTTTCCGCAAGAGCCGAAGCCCACGGACTTCTTGGTCATTCGGGAGACCACAGCTGCGTCAGGACCGGTTCATTACTTGCGCAACCTCGAGAATGTCTATGTGGTTGGGCAAGAGCTGCCCTCCACCACTGTACCAGGAACCCATTCTCGCATGGTGACCACCGCCGCCAAAAATCGGCTGAAGGCCATCTCTTTCCGGATTGCCCGCAAGAAGAAAAGCCACCGCATCAAGGTGGAGGATGTCACCAAACACTTTCCCGATACCACCGACATGCAAAACAGACAGAAGATGAAAGAATTCATGGTGTTCAACAAAGAGCATAAGGAATGGGAGATGAAGCCCGGCGAATCTGTCCCCGAGGAAGATGTGATCCGCAACCTGATCCGGCCAGAAGATATTTGCCTGCTCGAGTCCATGCAAGTCGGAGCGCAGTACTTGCAAGATGCTGGCTATGCGGACAATGACGACGACGATGACAAAGAAAAGGAAAACGACAACGATAGCATCGAGCAGCAACTGGCCCCGTGGCGCACAACGAAGAACTTCCTTCAGGCCACTCAAGGCAAAGCCATGCTCAAATTGTACGGCGAGGGTGATCCCTCTGGCCGAGGGGAAGCATTCTCCTTCATCAAGACAAGCATGAAAGGGGGTTTCAGACCGATTGGTGGTTCTGCTCAAGACGCAATTACTCTGAAGAGAGAACTGGGTGGCCACAGCTACAACGTTGCTCGACAGCAGAAGTCCTACGAGGAATCCATCCGCAATATCTGGGACAGGCAAAAGGCGAGTCTTGGATCCAAGATTGAACCGTCAGATCTGGACATGGATGGCGACGTGGATGCTCAAGAGGACAACCATGCGGCCCGCTCCAATGTACGAGCCACGCCAATGTCAGGCGCCCACACCCCAGCGACGTCGCGACGCATGGATGATGAGACGGCAACCTCCTTCAGCCGACGCAGTGTCAACAGCCAGAGCCAGAAGGCCCTGAAAATTCTTCGGACCGTCGTCAGAGACGGTGACGAGTTTGTTGAAGAGCATATCGAAACTGATCCGGCGGTCATCAAACAGTACATGAGAATCAAGGAAATGGAGGAGGCCCAATCGTTCAGGTTTGTTTTGCGTGTGTACAAGACCTTCATCATAGCTGACTTCCCTTTAGCTTGACCGATGTCGTGCCCACTGGCGACGCCGAATTTGATGCGAGGCAGCGGAGACGGCAAGAAATGATTCTCCCCAGAATAACAGCTCATGATGGATTCGCTAACATGGAACCAGTATCGAGGAAGAACTTGCCAAACTCGAGAAGAACTACGCTCGCCGAAAACATCGACCCAAGAAGGGTGCCGCCGCCGCCGCAACATCCCCTGGCGGAACCGCCATGTCTCCCGACGCCGATGGAGGCGGTGGTGGTGGTGGTGGTGGGAAAAACACACAGCCGACCCAGCGGAAGTGTGCCAACTGTGGTCAGGTTGGCCACATCAAGACCAATAAAAAGTCCGTTAAGTGCAACAACTGCAATCTTTCCTTCACACACCAGGTTGGGTCTATGCTTGCACAAGCGCCGTCCTTTGACGACTAGGCGGTGAGCGACAGATGAGATGGCCTTATAACCCGCCATCTTGTGGTTGTCTACTCCCCGTCTGGCTGTCAAGCGGTGTCGCTGTGTGCACTGAAGCATTTGACCCAATGTGACTCCCATCTTCCACGTCCGACTCGAGGACACGGTTTCGTATCAATATGGCACCCACACCTGGCTTCTTCATGCGAGACACCAATTCGACTCTCGGCGTGGAGAAGCATGAAGCATGAGATTCCCAAATGCTAACGCTCGGCGGTGTCGTGTCCTCGAGATCGGGAGCCACGCACAGCCCTCGCCCTTCCCCCCTTTCCCACCTCTACCCTGTTGTCTGTTTCATGGTGATCCCTCACTGACATCTCTCCTCACGCAAAGGTTATGTCCTCTGCTCAACGGCACCATCAAGCAGGAAGACGGCTTCAACAACTCTGCGTTCATGGGTGCACCGCCCACGATGTCTTAGAAGGACAACGCCGCCAGATGGAAGCCCTACTAGCCATATGCAGCGGACTGCGCTACTTTCGGCTGCAGATGAGATGGGAGAGGAGTCAGAGAAGGAGTATACCGGTTCGACATGGAAACCAATGCTTGGGATTTCTACCGCATCATTCCAGAGAGTCACTGCGGGCGGAACACGTCTCTCTTCCACCGATTCGAATATGAACGTTGCAATTTGCAAATGAGTATTGCATAGCGTCGGTGGCTTCGGCGTACAAAAAGAACCAGTATCCATCTGGTTGCGGAGGGGGCGTTCTTGTGACTTTCAACCCATCATGGTGTGCATTGCGTTCCTGGGGGATGACACGGGTCAAGCTTATATTGGGCGTGACAGGACACGACTTCAAGGCTGGCCGGGACGTTTCTTCGGTCCTTCGCTCGTTTACGGGTCGCCCTTTTCGAACAAGATAGTATTCAAGTCCAGAGCCCTATGATGAATGAAAAACAGAACTTGATGCCCGTGAACATTGTACATGGTCTTTCATTTCATGGGTTCCCATTGAAACGTAGGTATAAATGTGACTTACCGCCCCAAGTGTGAAAAGCCTTTCGGAAGAAACTACGCGCAGGAGGAATTCTATCGTTCGGTAGGTCAACAGTTGGCTATCTAAGCTACCTGACCAAGCATGGGTGGGTTGTCTGTACAGTACAAAAGCTGAATGGATATTAAGCAATAATACACACATTGCATTGACAGTGCAAGACCCGAGAAACCCTCTTGTGAACTCAGGTGAATGGTCACCGGTGCAGAGGCTCGCTCAGGAACTTTTGAGAACCCTTTCTCCAACGCCTGAGAAGATTGAAAAGGAAAGCAATGAACTCTTGTCTGACACATCCCTGGCCATGATCCCGAGGAATCCTCGTTGCCAGATGCTCCGTCGCGAGGAAGGCACTGGCTCCATTCCAGGCATGAGGCCGTGAGGTAGATGGCCGAAACTCATTCTCACATGCTGAACGTGGCTCGCCTCACGTCCACCGTCTATTTGACGCTCAAGCACTTGATGTCGAAGGTCAACTTGCTGTTCTTGGGAATACCAGGGAGAGCCTTGTTGCCGTAGGCCAAGTGAGGAGGGATGACCAGGCGTCGCTCGCCGCCGACCTGGATGCCTTCAAGACCAATGTCCCAGCCCTTGATGACCTCACCGGCACCGAGCTTGAAGCTGAACGGCTTGCCGGACTTGTTGCTATCAAAGACCTTGCCGTTGTCCAGCTTGCCAATGTAGCGCATCTCCAGACGGTTTCCCTTCTTCGCAGCCGGGCCGGTCCCGACCTTGCGCACGTCGATCGTCACTCCATTGACCTCCTTGACACCCGTCGGTTCGCTGGCCTTGTCGGTCTTGCTGTTGGCCTTTGCAGGCGCCGTGCCGGACGGAGTCGGTCCCTGTTCGAGATTCTTTGCGAACTGGACCTTCTTCTCAGAGGTGCCGTTGGCGGTTTCTTTCTTGGGCTCGGAAGCAGCGGGAGCGGCTTCACCATCGTTCTTCTTCAGTTTCTTCAGACGCTTCTTCTCCGCTTTGCTGAGCTTCTTCTCTTCGCTGTTGGCGGTGGCTGCCTCGTCCTTCTTCAGCGACTTGGCCATGATGTCGTCAAGGTTGGCCTCCTCGTCATCACTGTCTTCCGCGGGGCGCTTGTTCTTGCCTTTGCCGGCAGCCTTCGCAGCCGGTGCCGCCTCTTCGTCGTCAGTCCCGACTTCGGTGACGCGAGGGTCGGCGAGGTTATCCAGGTCGTCGGACTCTTCGTCGGTGTCTTCGAAAGCGTCAAGCTCGTCCTCGTCTGGGGACAGGTCGTAGTCATCCTCGTCTTCATCGTCTTCGTCGTACAGAGAGGCCTGGCCGTCGTCTTGAGGGATCACGTAGTTGCCGGTGAGATGGACAGTGTGGGTACCGGAGACCTTGAAGAAGACCTTCTCGCCTTCGCCGACGACAAAATCAAGAGTTTGTTGGTAGTTCTGCCAAGAAATGTTAGAAAGCACAATCAAAGCACGGGTGGTCGGAAATAGTGAACATACTCTCTCAGGGTCGAGCGTGCAGACAACAACCTCGTCCAACTCGACAGCCTCATCGTCAGAGTCCTCCTCATCATCGTCCTCTTCCTCGCCGTCGAGGGCCTTTCCTTTGCCCTTAGCGTCCTTCATGAGTTTCTTCAATTGAGCGATGGCCTGCTCGTCTGCCAGGGCATCCTCGTCATCCTCGTCTTCGCCGTCTTCCATGTCCTCATCATCATCATCGTCATCACCTTCTTCTTCCTCCTTGGCAAGCATCTCGAGAAGGGCCAGTTTCCGGGTCTTCTTCTCGCTGGGGCCACCGTTGACTTCCTCATCGTCAGAAGATCCGTCCTCGTCATCATCCAGGCCATCAAGGTAGTCTTCATCATCTTCAGAGTCGTCATCAGAGTCGTCGAACAGGGAATCTGGCACGCGGACGACTTTGAGGGTGGCTCGAGCGGGTCGCTTGTCGTCGGCATCTTCAAACTCGGGCTCGGCGCTGGGGTCGATCGCGGCCATGGTCACACGGAACTGCAAGGGCAGAACGTCAGCACGCCGATTCAACTTGGAGGAACTTAAAAGACCTACCATAGCAGCAAACTCGGGAACGGCGGGGACCATGATATCCCCAGGAGGGACTTTCATGGCGTACACCGCCACAGGTTGAGTGCCGGACATGGTGAGAGAGGGGTGGTCTGCTTGATTACGGCTTCGCAAGGGATGCTGTCTGGTAGGCGATTGGAAGATGTGTAGGTGAGGGCTGAAGATCTTGAGCACTGCGAGAAGGAAAGAGAAAAAAGTTCGAAGAAAGATTCCTAGAAGCCTTGCAGTGGAGGGAGTGATTTGATTGTCCGCTGCCTCAGAAACCGAAACCGCTAAAATAAAAATTTGGGCTGAAATTTTTGGGGCGTGACAATCGATAAGGTCCTTTATGCCTTTAGCAGCCCTGTCGTTGCCGCTTGGAGTTTAGCAGCGCCGGGCCTTCAATTTTTTCCCATCCGCCGCCAATGACGCACGTTGATCAGGCTCTAATCCAGTTGATGGTGCCCACTAATTGGAGAGCATCTCCAGGCGGAAGACTGCCCCTAAAGACCCCTCTGTGGTTCGGCCAGTAGGGACAAGGAGACACTTTTAGTAGGTCTTGATGTTTTAGTGCCCATTTATAAATTGTACCACGCTCCAGCGGCGCGTTGACCATGACGCGCTCCTCTGCCTGCGATCACCATTTGCCTCCTTCAACGACGACGCTCATAACTTCCATCATCACGTTTAAACCCACCGATTCCCTGGGCGTCAGTCGACAAGAAGACTCCTGAAGATGAGATCCGCTGGCTCGTTATGATATTGTACCACAGCCCACCATGGGCTCCCGGTTAGAGACCAACTCGAGCCTTGTGCGCAAGCGCATCGAGAACCACACCTTCAGCGATGAGCAAGGGGAGGAATATGAGGCATCCAAGTTCGGCGGGTTCGCCGACTACATGCGCAGGAAGAAGCTCAAACTACAGAACCTCGACGCCGAGATACGCTCGAGTGCCACCGACAAACCGCCCATCTTCCGTGGAGTGGTGGTCCATGTCAACGGCTACACTCAACCGTCGCTGAACGATTTGCACACTCTTGTAGTAAGCCATGGAGGAGGGTTTCTTCAATATCTCGATGGCAAGACTGCCGTCACTCATGTTGTCGCCAGCAATCTCACCCCTAAGAAGACGGTCGACTTTGCCCGGTACCGCATCGTCAAGCCGGGTTGGATCGTCGACAGTGTCAAGGCAGGGAGGTTGTTACCCTGGGACACGTACAGACTGCTCGATGAGGGTGTTACACAGAAAATACTGCGCTTTGAGCAGGGGCAGATCGTGAGTCAAACGAATACTCAGCAGCACGGTTACAGAGATCAGACCGAGCACAGTTGGTACACTTCTCAATTGCGTCAAGGGCAGGGAGGTACGCCGGGAGAGTATCCGAAGAGCCCACACCATCAGGAACCAAGTCCTGCGGCGATGGGCCAACCTGATGAAATTGAGGAGGATGCTTCAATTGATCCTGCGCCAGGAACCGACGACGAGATGCAATCCGCTCAGGGCGCAGATTGTATCGTAGATGTTGATGACAGAGTTTCAACCGTGGAGGGCATCGAGCACTCTCCCTCTCGTAGTCATCAACAACTCAGGGAAGAGATTCTGCAGCAACCCACCTTGAATCCAGCCCAGGATACAGCTTCGCCAGGTGAACCATCAAAGTTCGAGAAACGCCAGTTGACTGCAGAAGAACACAATGCTATCCTGCTATCGAATCCGCATCTAGCCAAGTCCAGCACCGCCAACCCAGACTTCCTGAATCAGTATTACCGCGAATCTAGATTGCACCATCTATCGACATGGAAAGCTGAGTTGAAGGCTCAGATGCAAGCACGCGCCCAAGAGAAGTCATCTTCCCAGGGGTCAAGGCAGAAGCGAGCACCAGGATCAAGGCGCTATATCATGCATGTGGACTTCGACAGCTTCTTTGCTGCCGTATCATTGCGCAAGCATCCTCAACTGGTCGAGAAACCCGTGGTGATTGCGCATGGTAGCGGACCAGGCTCCGAAATAGCAAGCTGCAACTATCCGGCGAGGAAGTATGGCATCAAGAACGGTATGTGGATGAAAACTGCCCAAGGCCTGTGTTCCGACCTGAAAGTCCTCCCATATGACTACAAAGCGTACGAAGAAGCGAGTCGGCAGTTCTACGACTCCATCTTGGCCATCGATGGCGTTGTACAAAGCATCAGCATCGACGAGGCGCTGGTGGACATCAGCGAACAGTGCATCAAGGCCGGCGGCTCAGATGGTAAAGGGATTTCGGAAGGCTCCATCTACCGGGAGCAAGAATGTGCTCAAGGGCTGGGACACGCACTGCGAGCCTCAGTCAAGGAAAAGACCGGCTGCGACGTGTCTGTTGGTATAGGTGGCAACATCCTTCTCGCCAAAGTAGCACTTCGCAAAGCGAAACCGGCTGGACAACATCTCATCAAGCCGGAGGAGGTCCTTGACTTTCTCGGCGAGCTGACCGTCACGGAACTGCCTGGCGTTGCATGGAGCATTGGCAACAAGCTGGAGGAAATTGGAATCAAATACGTCAAGGACATCCGATCATGCACCAAAGAACGCCTGGTCAACGCCCTGGGGCCCAAGACTGGTGAAAAGTTATGGGATTATTCCCGGGGCATCGACAAGCAAGAAGTGGGTGATCAAATTGTTCGCAAGTCTGTGTCGGCTGAAGTCAACTGGGGTATTCGATTCGTCAATCAGCAGCAGGCGGAGGAGTTTGTGCAAAGCCTGTGTGATGAACTTTCTCGGCGTCTGCTGGAACAGCTGGTAAAGGGAAAGCAGCTGACCATGAAGATTATGCGCAAAGCAGCAGATGCAGGTCTGGATCCTCCGAAGAGTCTGGGACACGGCAAATGTGACACCTTCAACAAAAGCATCGCGCTTGGTGTTGCTACTACTGACAGTGCTATCCTGGGTAAGGAGGCCATCTCCATCCTACGCAGCTACGGCTTCCCTCCGGGAGAGCTCCGTGGGCTGGGGGTGCAAATGCAGAAACTGGAACCTTTAAAGCCTTCTGCCCCTGGCAGTGCCCCTCTGCTGGATGGGAGCCAGCGCCGGCTGCAGTTCAAGAAGCCGGCGACGCCCTCCTCAAGGCCACCCGCGCAGCCAGATACCAGGACCACGCCTCCGCCAGGGTCTCGCACGCCGAGGCTCAAGAACACAGTCGACCCGATCGAGGAGATACCCACGCCAGAGAAGCCGAAAGACGATGGCACGATACCCAGCGCCCTCGACGCTAACAGTGCAGTCGACAACGAAGAATTGAATCGCAGACCTCTGAATATCAGTGGTACACAGTTCATCATTCCTTCACAGATTGATCCCACTGTGTTGGCCGAACTGCCCGCAGATATTCGGACCAAGCTGGACCCCAAGCAGAGGACCATATTGGACAGCATAAGCAGCATGGGCCGCTCGGCGACTCCACCGGTAGACTTGCTGTCCAGGTCTGCATCGCCCTACCTGAGCGACGGCGAGGCAGGGCTGCCAAGGGAGAGCCAACTCGACCCTGAAACTCTGGCCGCATTACCCCCCGACGTTAGGGAAGAAGTACTCGCTCAGTACAAAGCGCAAGGGAAGACGGATAGAATACCACGTCACCAGGGATTTTTGCCTCAATCACCGCAGAAGAGCAAAAATCTACCCCCTTCAAAGAAAATGGCGGTGACACCGACGAAGAAACAGAAGACGACCAGTCTATTTGGGAAATCCCGATTAAAAAGGACCGGCGAGTCATCATCATCGACACTTACGCAATCGAATTTTGTGGCAATGCCCAAATCCCATGCAGGCCTGGACGATGCGAATCCGTATGACTCCCACGAGATATCAGAATCTTTCCTTAGCGAATTGCCCGAAGAAATTCGCCTGGAAATCTTGGCTGAACAGAAAAGAAACCGACTGAAGACGAAATCTGGCTTGAACCTTGACAATGGTAGAAAAAGACCCAAGGCGACAACGAACCAAGCCGACGCAGACCTCCGGGGTCAACAGAGACTGCAGCTTGCAAAGGCCTCCGAGAAGCCCACGTTCACATCTCAGAGGCTCAGTGCCCTGCCTGAACTGCGAGATGCCATCTCTGCATGGGTGAGAGAGTTCTCTGCAGATGGAGAAGGCCCTGAGCAGGAAGACGTCGGTGCCCTTTCCGATTACCTAGGCAAGGTGGTCTCCATTGAACGGGATATGGCCAAGGCGGTTGCGGTCGTCAACTGGCTTGGGCTGATGATAGAGTATGAGAACTTCAAGAGGGACGACGTCCGTCAATCATGGGAAGACGCCCTGGCAGCATTGAAGACAGACGTGCAGGCTGCTGTGATCAACAGAGGCCTCCCAGCAGTCGTGTTTGATTGCTAGATGCAGATGTGATGGATTCCATATACAGAGAGCCCCTATACCATCTTCCGTTGCTCAGCCTCTGCGGTGGTGTCGGTCTGTACGTGTGGCTGTAATGTTCCAGTGTGTTATGTCTCTATCTATATCGTGTCGCTCCTGCACCCTTCTCCGTTCTTGCTCTGACCGTGGCGAGCAAGACAAATCGAGGCAAGTTCGCGCCTGTTATTGTTGTCGTCGTTGCGGCCGTTGCTGTTGCTACTATCGTTCCTTGTCGTTCATCCTCATTCTATCCTCAATCTCATTCTTCCAACACTCACCACCATCATCCCCAGCTTGGGCGCAGCCGTGTTGCAAGTCCATCGTTACGCGATGTATGCATACCTAGGCTAGGTTATCCAAGGAATTCATCACTCTTACAGTGCCCTGTCTTGCTGCGCCCATGATGCCGTTCATCAACGCATTCTCCCGAAAACGCCGTCAATCCTCTCAGAATGAGTCTTCCACTCCTGCGCGATGGCCGACTCCACGACTCTCCAAGCTTCCAAAGCTCGATCAGCTCCTCTTCGATGGCACGGCATCTCATTCGATAGAATCGACTAGTACGGGGCGCTCCAAGGCCAGCGTCAAAAGCCAGTTCAAGAGAGGGATGTCGAGTATCAAGACAATGCTGGGTATGGGAGACAGATTCAGCGAATCTAGCATACGACATCATCCTGAAGCCGTCTATGTATCAACCCAGGGCTCACACACAAGCCATCTGCCAGAGAAAGAATGCAAAGCCAGCACCATGTACCAGCCTTTGAGGATACGATTGACTGCGCTTGCCGATGCCCCTGCCTCACACCAGGACATGACTGCTTCGACCTCGTATCAAAATTCGGAGAATGTCGACTTCTTCCCATCGGAATGGACAAGCAATCATAAGATCTCACGTCGAAACCTGCGTCGGAGTCAGTCAGCACCTGGACTACAACGCCGTATAACCCAGAAATTCCAGCAAGCTTTCGGCGATCCCACTGTTGTGCGAAGGTCTGAATTACGGTCTAGACCCAGTGTCCAGACCCTGGCACTCGAGGCGGCAGAAGCGACCACGACCCAGCAATCATCCACGCCGTCCACTCTGTATAGCGGGAGTGCCTCGCCCGTCAAGCGGATAACATCTACCCCGATGACTTCGGAACCGGTCACTCCAAAATCACTGGCACACCAGCAGAGCATGAACTCCTTGGATATCGATCGCCAGACCTACTTTGCGGAAGCACGGTTGACCCCCATTCCAGAAAGCGCGACCCTACCACCTGTTTCAATCCGGACGGTGGAGTCTGCAGCTGCTGCAAAGGTGTTCTTCGAGATGCATTTCAACTCGCTGTTCAACGAGAACGCCCCAAGAGCGGTTCGTCGACGGGTGTTGGAGTTGAAGCTCAGAGAACATCACCTATCTCCCAACAGTCAATACCGAGCTCGCAAGGCGTGGGAACGCGCCGAAAGCGAAACACTCCGCCAAACGCGGGTTCTGAAGAACACGACCAACCAGGCCCAAGCGGCCAAAGGGGTTGCGGTCGGGGGCTTCAAGGTTGTGACTGTCTTGGGGAAAGGCAGCTTTGGCGTTGTCCGGTTGGTCAAAGCCAAAGGTAGCCCGGAGGAGCCGACGGCTTCTGAGGCGACGAAGGAGAAAGGGCCTGAACTCAAGTCGTCGCGAGTAAGTCTGAAAGCTTCTGTCAGGGCATTGCCTGGGTCGGTTGTCAACAAAAGGCGCGAACTGGCTAAAGGCAGGAAAGAAGTGTTTGCCATGAAAGTGATTCGGAAGTCCGACATGATCCGCAACGGACAGGAAGGCCACCTACGCGCCGAACGAGATTTTCTCGTGGCGGCAGAAGGGTCGAGATGGGTCATTCCACTGATAGCCGCCTTCCAGGACAGGAAGCATTTGTATCTCGTCATGGAATACTGCATTGGAGGCGACTTTCTTGGTCTCCTCATCCGAAGGAATGTCCTCAGCGAAGAAGTGACCAGGTGGTATGTCGCGGAGATGATTCTGTGTGTGGAAGAGGCCCATCGGATGAAGTGGATTCATCGAGACGTCAAACCAGACAACTTCCTCATTGCAATGGACGGACACCTGAAGATTTCCGATTTTGGCCTGGCCTTTGACGGCGAGTGGTCTCATGATCAGAAGTTCTACCAACAATATCGGACTTCGCTGCTGGAGCTACTGGGCATCGACCCGGAGGGAGATGAGCAGGACCGACAGGAAAGGGAAGAGACAGAAGCACAACAACGGCAACAACGGGTCCATTGCATGCCGCCAAACGGCGGCTATCTCAAGCACGCCCAGGAGACCTCAAGGTCGAGGGATGAGCCGGCCATCGGCGAACCAGTCCTGGATTGGCGCAACCGCACTCAGCGTCGTAGACTTGCCCGATCGGTTGTGGGGACGTCGCAGTATATGGCTCCGGAGGTCATTCGTGGCGAGATGTATGACGGGCGCTGCGACTAGTGGAGCATTGCCATCATCATGTATGAATGTCTCTTCGGGTTCACTCCTTTTGCATGCGAGGATCGCCATCAAACCAAGCTCAAAATCCTGCAGCACAAGAAAACTCTGCTGTTTCCCGAGATCGAGACGGTCGCCGGGCCAAGTATCGAGGCCATGGATCTGATGATGCAAATCCTCGTTGAAAAGGAGAAGCGACTCTGCAGTCGTCAGTACGAGCTCAATGACTTCACTCGGAAGATTGTGCGTGGTCGGGTAGTCCGGTGCACAGCGGACAAGACCCATCAGAACTATCAAGGTTACTTTGTCTACCCCGGCGATGCCGAAGACATCAAGCGCCATGCGTTCTTCCGGGACATCGACTGGGATACAGTCCATCTCCGACGGCCACCCTTTGTGCCCCGCGTCCGAGATTGGGAAGACACCAAATACTTTGACGATGAAGAGCCGATTTCAGACATTGACAGCGCCACCACTTTGGACGATGAAGAGGTGGGAGTGGGCAGTGAGAACCTAGAACCTGATGGTCCCAGGCAACTCCTCTGTCCACATCCCGCCGCCACAAGCTCACAACTGAGCCACCACCAAGAAGGCCAGAATATTGTGCCGTCGAGAGCGATCAAGCTCCCGCACACAGGTTTCCCCGGACTCAAACTCGGTTTACCGCGAAAAGACAGCATGGATGACTTGAGAAATCCGCTGTTGGAACCCCGGGATCTGGAGGCACCGCTCATTAATGGTGGTCCAAGTCCAGCAATTACGTTGGTGGAGAACGGAATTCATGTTGATGGGCCAACCGAGACTGTCGCTGCCGCCTGGGCGAAGTCAGCTCCCAGGAAAAAGGAGAGAAAGCGTCCTAGAGACATGATATTGAGGGACCCAATCACCGGGTCTGAAGCGTTGGAGATTCGCAAAGCCAGTGCCTTTCTTGGCTACGACTATCGCCAACCGATCCTGGTGAAGGAGATCGTCGAGCAGATCATGGCCGAAGACTTCGCAAGCAGTAGACCAAAGGACAACCGGTTTGGGATGGACCATGGAGACCTCGATTTGATCTCCGAGAAACGGATGTTTGTTGAGGCGGGAGGACAACTGTCACCTGGTCGAAGGACTCCAGGACTGCTGTGAGTGTTGTGGGTAGTCAGGAGGATGGATCATGATGGCCGGCTGGCAGTATAGCCGGGGGATAGAAGTTCGTTTGGGTGAACATCAGATGGACGTGAGGCAGGGACCAGAACTGTTAGACACCCCCAAACTCGTTATCATTCTGTTCTGTGTAAACGAGCAATGGTGCTTTGTAGAAATGGTTGTGCCTGTGGACGACGTCGATATACGGACCAAAGTAGACCCTGTCCCGGAAAATAGTTTATCCGCGCCAAGCCAGAGCAAATCACGTTCCTCTCCCTTCCCCTCCCCTTCCCTTCTACTACCACTTCCACTTCGTCTTCAGATTCAACGCATTGAAGATGAAGGAGTAGGATCAGAGAATCAGGGAATCAGACTCCCCTCGTCAACAGGTGCCGTGTCTGCTCAGTTTCGCCCTTACTGGCCCCTCGGTCTGAGCTGCGGTTTCGCTCTTGCTGTGGTGGGCGAAATACCGGAACAGCCTGGTCGGATCGTCCCTCACCTGAGCCCTGGTGGAAGGACTAAGGATCGAGTCTAAGATCACGTCGTCTCCCACCAGCATCGAAACACACCACCATACGATAGTCTTGCACGGCAAACCACACGGCCGCACTCCGAGTCTTCGCCGCATCTCACAGTACTCCTTCCACGCTCGGAAATGCATGACCCCAATCTGTCGGTGGCCGGCAAGGTACTCTGAGACTGCCAGGAAGAGAAATGCTATCACGTCTTCGTCACTGGAGTCCCCATCAAAAGCTAGTGCGGAGATTCTGGATCGAGTGCGAGCCAGAATGGCGTTCTGTCTAGAAGCCAGATATTGGTTTTCAGCCTCCATCACCATTTCGTCCAGCAACACCACGCTTCCCCGGTGGTGATACGCACTGTGCAACAGCACCATGGTTTCGAAGCACCACTGGCTGCACAGGGCAAAAGGGATGAACAATTTGAGCACAGGGTCATGTTTCTCGACGATGTCAGGATACCGATCAAATCCAAGCATTGTACAAGCGTGCGAGGCAAAGTACCGAATCAAATTCCTCTCCGGCGGCTCCAGGGTAATTGTCGTCTTATCGGCAGAAGTGTCGATGCCCGGTGAGAGATGGCTGGCAGCTGGTGTACTGGGCAGTGAGGATGATCTGTGCACGTCGTTTGTCTGTACAGGTGGGGTGTTGGCAATGTTCAGACACGGCAAACCGAACTCCAGGTCCCTCCGCCGCTTGGGATCAGGTGTTGTGCTCAGACACTCTATCTCTGGAGTGTTTGGGCTTGACTGTGGAGACGCTGGCGAATCTGCCGACCTGGCTTCGTTTATCTGATCGCCACGTTCTTCCACGGACCGACCATCATATCTGCTGTACAGTCGCTGCTCCGCACAATCATTCTCTTTTCCGATCCTCTGCAAGGTATCGACTTGTATCCCGCTATTTAGGCGTGGTGATACGGACCTTGGGTTTGTTGTGAGTGGTAATGATTCCATGTTGTCTTTCTGGAAATCGAACACTGCAGCATAGCACGTGATGGGATCACGACCGGAGTTCACGTTGTCCTGCTCGGGTGCCGCACACACAGACCCTGGTGTCCGCCCACCATTTTCCTTCTTAGGCCGCATCCCACGCAGAGAAGAGGCCCGATTTCTTGACAGCCAGTCCAGTCTTGCCTCTCTTTTGGACCTGACACGATCCTTCATCAAGTGTGCTCTTGCAGACTCGGTGACACCACGCCGGTTGATGTCATAGTCCACAAAGGTAAATGTTCTCCTTTGCTGTTGTTTTTTGGTGGCCATGGAAGCGGTTTTTTCCTCTAAGGTAATGGGAGCATTCTCGCCTGCCACCCAACCGCCTCCCTAGTATATAGTGAGCCCAATACCTCCTAATCTCACGGTCAGAGACCGTTATCTATGGGCATGCGCGCCCATTGTCCACATGCGACAGTATTTGAAGTTATCCAACATGCCGTTCCCGGGCTACGCATATCGCAACTGTGGGAGCCGGCCTGGCACGTCGGTTAGCATGAAGCCAGTCAGGAACGCTAAAGCTTGACTTATGAAGCGAACCGGAAGACTCCGTGTCTGGACAAAGTCGGCGCTTTACCTGGTTATCACAATGTGAGAGGAGTGGCATTCGACTAAACCTCTTTTCGAGAAGAAAAAGATTTCTCCGATTGGCTACAAGATCCTGGTCAAAAGGTAGGGGACCATCAACCCTCTGCATGTTCTCGTTTAGGTCCATCCTCGCACTACCCAGCCGGTTGTGCTTTTCAGGGGTGAGTCGCTCCTCGGCTGGCAGGCTCAACATGTGTTCATGTCAATCAGCTTCGACACTTTGATGGTTGGACACCTGGGCGGCGCACGCATCTAACATCTCGACGTTGTGCGAAAGCGTCTCAGTCGTGTTCGCTTAGATGAGAGGCACCCTTTGTCATCCGCTATGAGATCCAAGAGTCTTAGTCATGGCGGGCATGCAAAGATATTGGTGATCGAACAACATACGGAACCCGTTTTGCCCAGTGGCCTTCCGCGTTACAGGCACAATCCGTCCACGTTGAAGCTTTCTCAGCGACAGACTAAGCCCCTTGTGTGCGACTTGTTGGCCGCCAGTGTCTCCCCGGATGGGCGAGGATTACCCACAAATATGCTTCGACAAAGCCCGCCGGTAAACTGCCTGTGGGTGGACAACTAGCTGTCCATTGCGCCGTGCTGGCTAGATTCCAACACGGATCCCATTCCCAATCATGAGCTCGATTATCCCACGGAAACCTGCCTACAGTACTTACGTACGTTGCTGTCTCACGCTAACTCGGGGCTCACAGTGAACTCTCGCTCTAGTCTGGCCGCCTTCATATGGTCTTTACTCGCATCAGGTAAATACCGCTGATAGAGTCAACCCCGGAACCATGCCTTCGGTTATGTCGCTGTTCCCACTACAGATGCGACGGACACCGGGACTTCCCAATCGGAGATCAAAGTGGACGACTACAGACTATCTTGTCCTCGAGTCTGCGCAACAATCTGGCCAGTCCTACCTGTTCTGACTGGCACGTAGTCTTGAGCCGATCCTGGCGCATCCCCACGCAACCAGCCACAAGGATGCCGACACTTGCCAGCGTTGTTGGTCAGTATCTAAGACAAGCATTGCGGGACACAATTCGAAGAAATGCTTAGCTGCACCCACAGCAAACCTAAGCGAGCCCTGCATTGCCTGTCGTCCACTTATCGTCGATTGCCTTCATCCTACGGGTCACCATCAGGACGGTAAGGGTGCAGAAGCGATATTGTGCATAGCCTGGTATGAGTAGTATATGTATGTGCCGACCAGGAGGGAGATGTTACCGCTACAGCACAATGGGATCTGAACCTGGACCGAGGCCGACCGGTTTGCTTGTGCAACGGCAGCTGTGCTTCGATCGACCAGTGCAGTCCGTTTCAAGGGTCCTGTTTCCAGGAGCACACTATACTTGATTGCGACAATGAGCTGACACCTCCCACTGCAGCATCCGAGCACAATCACTCTTTTGGCATTACGGCAGGCAGAGAAAGCATGATACAGTCGACCGAAGGTGAAACACGAGAAGGCAGGCCGTGGCATTGTGAACCCTCTTTCTTGACCAAGTCTTATCGCCCAGCACTCCCGCTCATTCCAGCATGTGCAGTGACTTGATGGACATTCATGACACGATGCTTCGAAAAGGGCCCTCCGAAATACCAGTCGCCTAACTTCACTCCTCGACGACTGGTCCGAGCATGCATGTATAATAAATACGATAGGGATGTGTTGACACTCACCTTTGATCCCAGCCTTGCCAATCTTAAAGCGGCATCAATGTATCAAAAATGTCTGGCTAGTTAAAAGCGGCAGGACGGAACACATTACTCTGCACATGTAAGGCTCGACATCCATGGAAGGAATATAGTCAGCACGGAATCCATGCGTGGTGAGACTATAGACAGGCTCGACATGTCAGTCGTTTTCAGATCGACCTCCAATGTCCTTGGCAAGAATCAGTTCATAGACATCCACTATCACTGTTTCCCGAGATAGTGAGTTGTAATGAATAGCTCTAGATCTAGACCGTATATCTAACTTATCCACACAGCTGCAGTGTCTGGGATCCAGGATCATGCCATCTCACAGCATTTGTCTGAGTATCTACTATCTAGTATCTGGCATCTGGCATCTGGCATCTGGTATCTAGTATCTGATGTAGCTGGCATTTGGTATCTGGTCTCTGGTACCTTGAATCTTGCAGTCCCAGATCCCAGATCGAGACATTGGACCACCACCACCCCCGTCTGGACTCTTCAAATAGTATATCTGAAATGCACATTCTGCTTATCCGTCAGATCATCGAATCCCTCCAACAGCTCTTCCTCTTGTCGCCGGGCGTGCAGTCCTCTCTTGTCGCGACGTCTGTTCTCGAGGACACACCACGTCGTATAGATGACCTGGAAGAAGATCAGGGCACAGTAGGTGCCCAGTAGGCCCTTGATGGCGGTGAAGTAGCGCGGGACCTCTGTGGCCAGGAACAGATGAGGACCTGCAATGTTGCCGGCACAGTAGAACCTAGAAGGAGGAGGCAACGATGTTAGCGATCAGTTGGTAAGTTTTCAAAGAGTCGTTGGATACGAAATAGGTCGTTGCACATGGTGGTGGCAACCCGAAACAAAAGGTAGGTGATGGTTGAGGGTTGAGGGGAGAAAAGAAGAACCTACGCAAAAAAGATGCCGATCACAGTACTCCGCTTGGTGTGTCCGGCTACATTGACGCCTGGGATGGTCCAGCCCAGAACGATAGGCGAGCCCAGCACATTCTGGAGCCAGCAGCAAGCGACTAGTGCGTAGCGATGTTTGATGTCGATGGTCAGGAGACCGATCAAGCCGGCGATACCGGGCAAAGAGGCAACTGGTAAGATGATTAGTTAGTTACTTGCTGGTCTTTCTTTGAATGGAAGAGCAAAAAAGGGAGTGAAGCTCGTGTAATGTGCCACAGGTCCCGACTTACCGATGATAGTGAGACCCAACAGGTTCTTCCTGGTGGCGATGAAGCCGAAGCCGATACAGCCGATGATCTCAAAAGCACCGCCGGGGGTTTGGAGCAAGCTGGTGCGGAGCGGATCGAAGCCGAATCCTTTGATCAAGGCCGAGGCGAAATTGGCCACACCGCCGTTCAAGATGCCGGTGCACGCTCCCATCAGGAACATCAGATAGGTTTTGGGGTCGACCATGGCCTCTTTGATCTGACTAGTCATCATCTTGTGATGCTTGATGCCCATCTGGTTCTTGGAGACTCGCCACACGGCAACCATGCGTTCGTACTCCGTCAACATCTTCGCGTTGTGTGGGCCGTCTGGGAGGTAGAGCAAAATGACAAACCCCCATGCGAAAGTCATGGCGCCGACAATCTGTTGAAGAAGTTAGTTGCGATGACGACACGACTGGCATTGTCTTGTTTGTGTATGCATAGCTGCCTGTAGACGTACCAAGTAGATGAGTTTCCAATTGGCAACGGCCAGGTGGCCGGCATGGCCAGACCCGTAAGCCAACAGGGCTCCGAGGATGGAAGAGACGCCGTTTGTCGACAGCCAGAACGAAGTGCGCAAGGCCTGCTCTTGTCTTGTCCACAACATCGAGGTCAGGATGACAAAGGCCGGTGAAATACACCCCTCCAGCATTCCCAGGAAGAAGCGGATGGCGAAGAAGCCGGCAAAGTTGAACACGGCCGCTTGCAGCATACATACCGCGCCCCAGACGAACAGCATGTAGCCGATGATTTTGCCGATCGGGTAACGCTGAAGGACCACGTTCCAGGGATATGCGCCGGTGAGCCAGCCAAAGTAGAGTGCCGATGCAACCCATGAATAGTCATCTCCTGACATATGTGTATCCTCTTGAAGACCGTACGCATTGGAGTAGTTGAGTCTAGAGGACATGAAAGTCAGTTTATGAGATCGCGAGGCCAGGAAAGAGCTTCACCAACGTTTGTTTGTCCAAGAAACTCAACATGTAGGTTGTCATCATCTATTGGCAGTGATGGTCAGTCTAGGCTCAGCGAATGTGGTGTCGACTGGGTAAGGTTGGTGAGGACTGACCATTGGGACAACCATGAAATCCAGCTTGCGCCGGACCTTGATCGAATCTCGCTCGAGTTGATCCTCATCGAACTCAAGAGCCTTCTCCAATAGCTCTCGCCCCAGTATGTTGGGGTCATTGATATTCGTGCCCTTGAGAAACTGTAGAAGCTTGCCTTCCTTGGGCGCCTCTGGTTCAACCGGAGGGATGGTGATCTGAGCCGGGTTTTTCTCCATGTCCGCCATCTTGTCGAATTGGTAGATGGATGAATGGTTCAGCAGACTTCGCGACAGTGCCCGAAGCAGATATATACTTCAAACCATGTTATCAGGTCCACGGGAGGCCAAGGTCTTTATCAGGACGAGACCGTCATCCCTCCAACCCCTCAGCGCCGTCTGGCTGGTGGCAAGATGGTCTGAGATACGGTATCAACCTGCCTCGGGGGGATAAGATATGCCCGTGAAGGCTCTCGTCCGTGTATGATGCAGCATCTCATTCGCTTGTTTCTCTGGTTATCTACCGTTTTGGGGAACTGAACATGCGGAGTTTCGCGCATTGAGAACAAGAGCGCAGCAATGAGGGACGAGTCGTCGATCCCAGTCTCTAAGACCATGCGGGGGATATCAACGCCCGGCGGTATTTCGTTTGATTCGTGCGAGGTGGCAGGAGGGAGGGACACGGGAGTTCAACCGTGTTGAGAGGAAGCTGTCTCTGACATGTCTGGGCACAATTGAAGCATCTTAGGCCTCCTTAGCCTCTCGTCGTTATCACTTCCTTCCTGATAGCGAAGGAGAGAGATAGCGTTATAGCTGAACGGATCCACCCAGGACACGGATCCGGTATTTGGCCTTCCCACAGCTGGTGGACCCTGTCTGTATCTTGATGCATCCAATCGTGGGTCAGGGTACGCTATCAGTCCAAAGCCGCTGGCTGGGGCATGGGGATGACTTCTGTGTAGACGTCCTTCTTCTACCCAGGGCATGTCTCGATAGCATTTGTGGTTTTTAGGCGAGCTGCTGATTGATCCGCAACATGTTTTGATGCCCCGATTGTATGGCCCGGTCCAGGTATGCTAATTAGATCGACCGACGGACGACTGAACTCCGTGATATTTCGTTGCGTAAAACGATGTTGTAGACCAAGGGCATTTTGATTCCTTATAAAGGGGATTTCGACCCAATGTGATTCTCGGATCACTTACAACTGCTGCAGACGGGATACAAGCCTGCCCCAAGCCTTTATTCGGAATCCAGTCAGCGGGTGGACAAGGTCGTCGCCATCATGATTGCAAAGGAACCCGACACGACTGGCCTCGAGCAATGGGAGAAGGTCCATGCTGCTAAAAAGGCTGAACAAGAATCCAGGATACCCCAAGAATGGAGGCTCAAGCCAGAGGACTTTCCACCGGCGGGTACCGTCGACCTTCGACCTGTTGTCGCTACTTGCGGCATTCTCTCGGACAAGGAATTGTTAATCACTGGAGAACAATATGACGCTACCTCCTTGGCCGCTGCGATTGCGGAAGGCAAGTATACCGCCGTTGAGGTGGTGACGGCCTTCTGCAAACGAGCAGCAGTGGGACATCAGCTGTGCAACAATCTAACCGAGATCATGTTCATGGACGCAATCGAAGATGCGAAACAGTTGGACAAGGTATTCGCAGAAACTGGAAAACCGGTCGGCGCTCTTCACGGCATTCCTATGACATTCAAGGTGAACAGGGATCTTGCGATCCCATGGCGCAAACAGTACTGACCAGCCGATGCAGGAATGCTTCCACGTCAAGGGATACGATGCCAGCGACGGCTACATCTCGAGGACGTTCGACCCTTCAACATATACCACTCCTCTGATAGAGCTGGTCAAATCCAATGGTGCCGTTGTGATCTCGAAGACAAACACACCACAGACCATGTTGGTGGCAGAAAGTCACAACAACGTCTTCGGGCAAACCAAAAACCCCGTGGTCAGCCACTTGACCTGTGGAGGGAGTAGCGGAGGAGAGGGCTCGATCATGGCCTACCGGGGGAGCGCCTTGGGAATCGGCACCGATGTGGGTGGTTCCATCCGGTAAGGAGACCGAAGACCTTTGCCAGGATTCGGCCGCTGACATGATTAGCATTCCTGCCGCTGCAAACGGCGTCTACGGCTACAAACCTAGCTTTGGAATTCTGCCCATGATCGGATACGCAGCGTCGGGCTGGGTGGGTGCAAACACTGGAGTCCCAGCTGTCTGTGGTCCGCTAGGTCATTCGGCGCGAGACCTGGCCTTTTTGACTCGTGTCGTCCGCAATGCTAAGCCATGGAAGTTCGACCCGGCCGTCATTCCCAAGGTCATGGAATTTGGCGCCGAGTCCCGAAAGCCCATCATAGGTGTGATTCATCAGAGCGGAACGACGCCGCATCCGCCCGTTCGACGGGCCATCAGAGAAGCAGCAAACAAACTCTCCGAGGCAGGTTTTGTGGTCAAGGACTTTGTGCCGCCAGATTTCAACGAGATTCGTAAAGTCACCAAAGAGCTCTTCACCCTAGACGCCTTATCATACCCACGAGGACAGTTGGAGAAGGCAGGAGAGCCAGTGGTGCCTTCGGTCCAGAAGATCGGCTTCTGGGACATACCTCGAAAGACTCATGAGGAAGCATGGGCCCTGAATGCGAAAAAGCTTGCGCTTCAAAAGGAGATGCTCGATCGTTGGCAGGAAGCCGGGATAAACGTTGTCCTCGCTCCGGCCGGTCCTCACACCGCTGTTCTGCCCGGAGACTGGACGACTGACATGTATACAGTTGCATGGAACGCCATGGATGTAAGTTCAAGCCTGGGATCGTCTGGCTGATCATCTGGGAAAGATTAAGACTGACTTTGTGCCACTACCGCAGTACCCTGCGGTAATAATCCCCTTCACCAAGGCAGATCCAGCCTTGGACCCCAAGGATAAGATTTTCGTTCCCATGCATGAACTGGATGAGCAAATTCAATCATTGTGTAAGTTGTCCAGTCTGGTCCAACAGAGCATGGGACATGGTCGGTTTGCTTTTGTTCACTCGCTGACGTTCTGAACTAGACGACCCTCAGCGCATGGCGGGAGCACCCGTCGCGGTCCAACTGGTAGGACCCAGGTTGGATGATGAACAACTCCTGAAGGATGTGCAGGCCATTGACGCGATTTTGAACGCTTGACCAGAAAAAGGGCGAAGAAGAAGGCATGTTCGAAACGCACTCGTGGTATGATCACTTTGTAGCATCCATGGCAGTCTTGCTTGATATATTTCATATAGGGAGCAACTCATCCGGGTACTGTTGCGATAGCATCATCCAGTTCCAATCATCCCCTGAATCTCTGGCGGCCCAAACTCGGTTGACAACAAAGTCTCTTGTTCGAAGGGCGGTGACGGTTTTGCGGCAATCGCAAATCACACCCAGTGACTGCGTGGCGATCATCCGATCAGCATCACTGTGCAATTCACATGATGCCAAGAAGAGGGGCCACAGCGACATCTTCATGTCCTCCTTGGTCGTTGTCGTGTGTACCATGACCTCGTAAGCCATCACCAGAGCTGTCTGGTCGGCTTCCAGGGAGCATCCTGCAGGATGGATCAGTCGATGCAGGTAAAGCAAAGCACTGTTGCGGTAGGCATAAGCGTGCATGAGAAACCTTCGAGAGGTCTCAAAGGAAAGTAACGGGTCGAGCGTAGGATGCCATGACTGAAGTTTGCATTGCAGTTCAAAAGCTTGGTCAAGGACACTGACAGACTGTCGGCGAGGATTTGACCAAGTCGAATCCCAGACAATCCCGCTCGGGCTATCCTCTTGGATGGACTTCAGAATGTCCTCAGCCAACGCAGCCAGCTCGGCGAGTAGAGGCATCATAGGTCCAGTATATCCCATGAACCGATCAGCATGCTGCATGGCGTAGTCATCCAACCAATAGCCGGTAGGGATTCGGGGGCGATGAAACCTCGTCAAAGCGAGCATCATGTCTTGTCTCGCTAAGGCACGGACAAAGTATTTCGCCAGCTGAGTTAGCTCGAGCCCTTTATGGAGGTAGTGCTCCAACATCATGGCCAAATTCTCCATGAGGGCCGGAATGGCAGAAACATGTCCATTATGGCAGTTGACATCAACAAGCTGAAAGTCGTTAGTGGGCGAAATGTCAAGAACTGGGAGTGGGCGGTTACCTCCACGGCACAAAGCCCCAGGATGGTGGTTAGTAGAAGCTCCAAGCTGACACCAAGACTGTCCATGTTCCGCAGCCGCGCCAAAATCCTTGCTTTTCTGTTGGGGACGAAGCCTACAATAGGCAGAGAATTGTCCCTTAGGTATGCCTCTCCGATGGCGGACAAAGTATCACCCACGGCCTGCGGATTATTCTGGAAGACTTGCAGAACATTGTAGTTCATTTCTTGGACGAACTCGCCGCTAAACACCAAATCCGCCGGATGACGCATGAAGTATACTTCGATGAAGGGTTCATCTGTGGGTTGCACTGCTCCGGGAGGGATGATAGCCAGGCTTCTCAAGAGAGGTGGCGTTGGCACTAGAACCGCACTGGAATGTGCGATAGGAGAGACCGGGGCGGCTGAAGAGGCGTCTGATTCGATAGCATTGAAGGGTTCGGAAGAGTACAGAGCAGCATCGTACGTCTGAACCCTGTCCGTGGCCGGTTCCGTGACCGGAGACAACAACAGGCCCGGTTCCCGAGTATTGAAAGGAGAAGAAGTAGCAGCCAGAGAGCTTTGTGCGGCTGTTGCCTCAGGAGCTTTCCGGGTTTTTGCGACAATGTGACTGTAACCACTACATTGACGACCTCGACGCTTGCAAGTACCACAGGCGGGATGGACCTCATCGCACTTGACTTTGGCCTTCTTGCAGTCGATACAGCCGTATCTTGATCGCGTAGCCATGATCGCAAATTCTCACCGAGGATTCGGAGTTGTCGCGAGCATAGTTGAGAGAGGATGGGCAAATGATAAGCCAGTGTCTGCTACATGAGGTAGTAGTAGGCCAGGACCGGTCCCAGGCAAGCATAATCTTTCACAAGATGGGAGGAAGAAGCCTTTGTCTCGCCCGTCTCCTTTGCCAGAGACAGCAGAATCTTGGACTGGATATCACTCGGTATGACTGCAAGGGATCGATGGTGTGTGAATTGGGAAGATGCGAGAAGGATGAGCCCGATACTGTGATGGTGATGCGGAGGTCGACGAGAAAAGGCTCGGCGATGGGCGGTCATATGATCAGCCACAGTTCAGCCACATTTCATTAGATGCGTTAGTCAGCAAGTTCTCCAGCCACAGAGCCACGAGCCTGCGAGAGAAATTGACCCCAACTCCCACTGCAGAGCATGCATGATACGTAGTCCCTAACGTACCTACCTAGGTACTTATGTCCCATAATGCAACAGTCGTTCTCCGCAAATTGTTTGATCTGCGGACCTCGTTCGCTTTCATTTATTTACATCCTTTCCACAATCTCAGATAGGTATTGAAGTCCTTGATTGACGGCCCTGCCGTACCTAGCACAGTGGTCCCGGATATCATCCAGCTCACCGGCACAGGAGCAATCGGACTCGGTCAAGTCCGGCGAAATGGCAGGCCTCTTCACCTGGCTATGGGACTGGCTCTTGTGGGTGTTCTGGGCCACCGAGATGGACGTGACGATAGTCGGTCTGCAGAACGCTGGCAAGACAAGTCTGGTGAGAGTACTAGCAGTAAGTCAGAGTGATCGTGCAAGACGGCACAATGCAAGACGCTGAGGTATGTCCATTAGGGCAACGAATTCGCGGTGGACTCGCTACCCACGGTCGCTTTCAATAAGAAAGAAGTGAAAAAGGGTCACGTTTCGATCAAATGCTGGGATCTTGGAGGTCAGCCACGGTTTCGATCCATGTGGGAGAGGTATTGTCGAGGGGTCAACGCGATTATCTTTGTTGTCGATGCTGCCGACAGAGACGCCATCCCCGTGGCGAAAGAAGAGCTTCACGCCCTCCTCGACAAGCCCACTCTCCAAAGCATACCTTTGCTCGTCCTGGGCAACAAATCAGACCTACCCGACAAGTTATCGGTAGACGAACTCATCGATCAGCTTGAAATGAAGAGAATTGTGCACCGAGAGATCAGTTGTTACGGGGTCAGTGCCAAAGAAGAGACCAACTTGGAAGCCGTCCTACAATGGCTTGTTGCACGGTCAGGAAAGTGAGCGAGGCACGCTGACTCGACAACACATCGCTTCTTGCGCAACAACTGCCGCCTTCTGTTACGACGCACATGGCCACAGGCGTAGGACACTGAACATCTTGGATTGTAAGAGTACGGCACGGCATGGGAACGAATTATGGCACAGGCGTTTGGCGTGAGGGTCGACTATTTGAGTAGCACGGCATTTAGTTGTTGTCCCGAGCCAAGCGGGCGACTCTTCTAAGGTGGCGAGCAGCAATGTAAAGCAGCCTGTGACCCTCCAGACCATACACTGCAGTTTGAGCAGGCAATTACCTAGAGACTTGACGCGTGGCCAAGAGCATCGCCTCGCTCGATCACGGAATCGAAAGTCATGCCAAGCGTACTATGGAGGTTCCAAGCTGAATCGGCGACCCAGTAGTGGCGATAGAAGAGGCGCAGAGGACCGGAGGTGGAATAGGACTGGACTGGGCGAGGTGTCGAACGTTTCCGCAGTCGATATAATATACAGTAGCTGCAAAGCCACAGAGACAACGCTGAGCACTTCCAAAGAGCAGGCTGAGGAGGCTTAAGGTATGCCTCGGACTGTGAAGACGAACATGAGATGGTTAGTGATGTGGTTTCCAATAACCGGAAGCACTGCCTGCAGCTGGTCATCCTGAGAAGGAGAGGAGCCTCAGAACTCTAGGTAGTATGGAGGCGCCGCCGATGTCCAGGCTGTCAGTGGCTTTTCAGTGGCATTTTGACTTAATTATTGGGCGCTGAAGCCAATCGAAGCCCCCAAAGAGCTGCTAGCTCAGGCTAACTAAGGCTAAATATCTACTAAGAACTACTTAGTAGGACTAAGCCCAGAGGGCCGAGGGCGCCTAAGATTCCCCATACTAGTAGCCTCCCGGTTGCTGCGCCACTACTACTAATTGGGGTCAGGCAACGAACTCTCGTCATGATTTCAGTACGTGCCGTATTTGGATTTAATCATACAAACTCCAAGTCCTGGCATCGTTACACACTCAGTCTGTATCCCCATCGCCGTTTCCAACTTGAAAGCTTGATTCCTCAACACCATCATCGTCGTCGCAATCCTCGACTTGTACAAAACTCAACCCAAGACCTTTCTCGACCACATTCATCACTAGTCTATCCATACAGATCCGTTTGGCATCCTCAAAGCCACACCCGCCACGTCTTCCACTCGTCCTTCCTTGACATCATACCAACCTTGACATACTATTACCCACCGCATCGTCCATGATGCCAGACATTGACACAGCCATGACTCTGATCAAGCGATACTCCGTGTAAGTCAGGCGTCCGCGTCCACCTAATCGATTCTTATATGCGATCCCCTCATCACTCATTCGCATCTTTCCTCCGGCGCAAACTCCCAAAACTTGGAATTGCCCCCAACTGACGCTTTTCAACTATGGCCAGATGCTACGACGCTTATGGACGAGCCTACCGCTGTCGCTCATCATGGTCCAACTGGGGCAGATGGCTTGTGCTCGCTCTCATCGTTGGCTTCGCGCTCATACTGTTCTTCATAATTTCGTGAGTCTACAGCCCAGATCCTCTGTTGCTCGCTACTTTGGCTAACAACAGTCGCAGCTGTATCAGCTCTCGCCGAAGACGTCGTGCCGGAAGAAGACCTATGTACGGCACGGGATGGGCCGGACAGGTACCCTGGGGACATGGAGCGGCTACCTACAATCCCAACTACCAGACACAGCCAACAAGCCAACAAGCGCCACCCCAGTACAATCAGGCCCAGAATAATGGAGGATACTATGGTCAGAATCAAGGATACTTTGGGGGAAGACAAACAGACGTTGAGATGCAACCGCCCCAGAATGTCTACAGAGGAGGAGAGGACGTCTATCAACCGCCTCCGGGACCGCCGCCGGCGAAGACGTGATGCGGCTGCCGATGCGTTGTCGATACACCCTCCCTATTCAGCTCTATGGTAGCTGCGCGATCTGCGGGCGTATTGTGGTTCTTGGAAGGCAGCAACAATGCGACAATCATTAATAAATGAGCGGTGCATGGCGGCGTTAATAAGCAAGGTACGATGGTCGTGCATGAGTCCGTCTGTACCTTAGAGGTGCCACGGAAGGTACTTATGAGAGGACCTGGGAGGGAAACCCGGCTGGCGGTGGCCGGGCATGCTATTCACTACGAACTACTACTAATCGGCAGATTACGCTCAGCAGTCAACAAGCAGACATTGAGCGCTACGTACATTCTTTCTTTGTAGATTGTGTGCGGCTCTCCCCACAGTAGCCAGTATCAGTAGTATGTCATTTCTGGCGCTGGTTCTGCCTGCAACAGACCTTGCATCATTTATGTCCTAGTAGTATGGCAGGCTTGTGTGACTTGCGCCGGCGTTTCAGCTGGGGAGTGCCATCCAAGTGCCACCCGCAAACGCAGGATAGAGGGGCCAATTGGGAGCCTAGCCAGGGATGGATCGCCTGTTGGTGCCCCTTATTATTAGCCTAGGGACCCCTAAGAGACTCCACGCCTGCACCCGCGTCCTGTTCCTCTTATAAGCGACTGCGCGACGCTTGCTTCGACTTTGTCGCTGCTCAGCCTCTCTGGTGACACAATCCAGGGCGTCGCAACCACATTCCCTGGTATTACCTACCACAAGCACACTTCCACGCTCTTTTTGCTGTGCAAAGAGAGACTCAAGCTATATGAATTCCTCCCTCGGTCGCTTCATTTGCTCTATCGATCTTACCAGCCTTGCCTCACGTCACTCGTTGTGCACTGTCCACCGGTCGGCCTTCACTTGGTGACTGGCACCCAACCACCCAGCCAGACTGAACTACTGCTGCGGGATAAAGTACTAGACTGTCGACTTGTTGACGACTTCCTACGACGATTCCTTGCCCTTTACTTCAACCGGGTGCCTCTGATATCTACGAAATTGCCGAAATCAAGAAAGGCCATTTGTGCTTTCTCCATCCAAGAATGTCTTACAGTCTGTTCGCACGGGATGTGCTCAGTGATGTGACCAACGCTCGGGGGACATTTACCAGCTGGGATAAATGCATGAGCAAGAATTACTGCAAGTATGTTGATTACATCCAATTCGTGGCGTATACCTAACACTCTCTAGATGGCCTGCCATTGTTGGAATCGTCGTCGGCTCTCTCATCGTCCTGTCGCTTATCTGGTGTTTCGCTCGATGCCTCTGCTGTGGAGCGGAATTCTGCTCTTGCTGCAATTGCTGTCGACGTCGTGATCGCCCGCCGAAATACAAGGACGAGTACTCCCGTGTTCCTCCTGCGCCTTACGCAGGATATCAACCCGCTCCTGTCCCCATGTCCTACGGCAACCCCAATGTGCCGCAGTTCGCTACGTTTGAGGATCCCAGCGGCAAGAAGATCAACGAAGACAGTCTTCCTCCCATGCCCAGTTGGGATACTGCGACGAAGAGACGCATCGAGGAGAGAGATGCACACGCAGATCTGGAAATGGGACGGCTTGATACACAACCCGAAAGGAGGAGAGGTGACTACAACAGCGTTCCCAACGGACCAATTTCTCCGACCTTGCCACATCCAGAAGGAGGTTATTTCCCCAGCAACGACATGACGCATTCATATCACTCAGATATTGGTGCCCAGCGATTGGCCTCGAATGGGAGCGGGTATAACAACCTGGAATCTGTGCCCCTGAGTCCGCCTCCGACCTATCGTTCCGCATCGAATGCTCCATCTGCCATGTCCGACAGGTTTATTGCCGGCGCCACCAGTCCGAGCCCGAACGAATACAGCCACCAACCACACCAATCCTATCACCAGCAATCTGCGTCCTATGCCCCAAGCAGCCTAAGCACGAGATACGAGTCGCAATCAGATTATGGTTCAAGCAGGATCGGCGTCCCTGCTCCTTACAATCTGCAGCCGGAGTTTCAGGCTCGGCCGTCCAGTTTCTTGCAGGTGAGGAGAAATCCCGTTAGCGGAAGTTACAGGGAAGTTTGAGCACGAATAACGGTGCTCATGCATTGAGTGAGATCGTCCTCTACCTCGTTGCTCTGCTCCGGCTTTCTCTACGAGCAGCCTCCCCCGCCGACTTCGCCAGCTCTCGGCCCTAGTGGGTGGAGGAGTTTGATGCGGCGTCCTTGCGCACATCTCGACAGTGCTAGACCCGGCCTACCTTGATTGGGCGCGCGAGACATCGAGAAGGATTAACATTCATCTGGCCGACTCTCCCGAAGCCATAGGAAGAGCATGACAGGGATGGTGTAACCCGTTGTGGCAATTGGATGGGTTCAATCCGACTTGTGTGCATTGGCTGTTTTGACCTCTCAGTTATGCATGACTTGCATAGCAAAGCTTGCTTCATCATGCATATTGGGTCACCGGCAAGGATATCAGCGCTTGCAAACCTGTGCCAGCTTTGGCCACGCAGCATGGACTCGGCCTATTTTTGAAGCGCCGTGGATCGAGCATGCAGGCATGAAGACGGCTGCGTGTGTACACTAATGTATTATACGTATTGATGACAAAATAGAATGAGAACGACGTTTGGACACCTCCTGATCACCTGTTCAGACTCTCCCTTACTTCCCGCTGGTCGATTTCGCTGCTCAACCACTGGCTTACACTGTATGGCAACGAAGAGGAGGAAGTACATGTGTCTCTCATTCCATACCTCAGACGATAGTGACGAACAATAAAACCTGTAACTAAAAGACTGCAACTACTAGTATGGCGGATAGAAGTGCAAGGCTGGGGTGTGTCATGTGACCTCACGTGAGCGATCCCCTAGCTGCAAAGGCGCCAGAAGACGCGCATCTTCAGCGTCACCTTGGGTTGAGCATCAAACATCACCTCTGCCTCGCTTCAATCTAACTCGATCTTCTTCTGCGGCTCTTGTCTTGTACTAACATTTCTTCTCTCTTTGTCTTCTACCGGTCCCGCTAGACTCTCTCTACTTGTTACATCAGCTGTTCATCGCGCGATTGGCGGCTTAATCATGGACACCCTCGTGGCCCAATACACTCAGTCTCCCCATGCCAACGAAGGCATCACGTCGGAGGAGCAGGATGACTACACCGATACTCTACCTCCCCTCTCCCTCAAATTCGCTTTGCCGCCAGTCTCCCGACCATCAGCTTTCCTCCGTGCCGCCACAGATGACTACTCCAACCCAAATTGCCCGATCAAAATTGCCCACGGTACCACAACGCTGGCCTTCAGATTTAAGGGGGGAATTATTGTCGCGACAGATTCAAGAGCAACTGCTGGAAACTGGATTGCCTCGCAGACTGTCAAGAAGGTGATCGAGATCAATCCGATGCTTCTGGGAACCATGGCTGGAGGTGCAGCTGTATGTCAGACTCAGACCCTCAGTAAGCTGCGGGCTGGCTAACAATGGCTAGGATTGCCAATACTGGCTCGCATACCTCGGTATTCAATGTCGGCTACACGAGCTACGGCACAAGCGGCGGATCTCGGTGGCTGCGGCGTCGAAGATCCTCGCAAATCTGGTATACTCGTATAAGGGCATGGGATTATCGATGGGTACCATGATCACAGGGGTCACTCCTGAGGAAGGTCCTGCACTGTACTACATTGATTCCGATGGAACGAGATTATCCGGCAACCTTTTCTGTGTGGGATCGGGTCAAACGTTTGCCTATGGTGTCCTTGACGCTCTTTACAAATACGACTTGGAAGATGATGAGGCTCTGGAGCTGGGAAAGAGAAGTATTCTGGCGGCCACACACCGTGACGCTTACTCGGGTGGTTATATCAACCTCTACCATGTCAAGGAAGATGGATGGGTGAAGCATGGTTTCATGGACACCAACCCCATCTTCTGGCAGACGAAACTTGAGAAGGGCGAATTCTCCAATGTCACAAGCGAGCTGATTTGAGGAGCCGATACAAAGATTAAGCATGGGTGCATTCTGCTTCTGGAGTTATCTTTGGGAGGGACATCGGGGAGGTTAACCAAGTGTACGAACATACTTGACCAGTGTGTAACAGAAGGCCGTTCTCCCACTGTCTTCTAGACTCGGCTGGAGACAGATTGACCACAAATACTTCGAGATGCAATTGCGTCGGGAAGTAAAAAGGCATTCATCCTATGACCCAACCACTCAGCCTGGTTAGCAGGCACATCGTATATCTACCTTATCTGGCAGACCTCACTTTCCATCCAGAGTAGTTGTTGCATGGCGAGACTAAGAACTCCGCCGTAGATGCCAAGACTCCGCCGAATCATTCGCGTCTCCAGCCGAACTTCCAGCCGCAGTCGCGCCTCAACTTCAAAGTCCTTCAAAGTTGAAGGAATGCGTCCATGAAATCTTTCATAAGACAGTAATAGCGACACCCACCCTTGGTGATGCTGTGAAGAAGATCGCCTTGATCCATCATCACCAAAATGAATCCCGTGCTCAAAGATCCTGCGGCTGGGATTCCGGCCCCGCTGGTAAGCCTCCCGTTCTCATGCGCTCCAGTCCCGACTAACAGTATTCATTTAGTTGCCGCATCTACATCTCGTTTCCAAATATCGATATCCCATCACGAGCAATCCTTCCTTCGAGACGATAGTTGGATATCTTCTAGAAGCTCCCAAAATTGTGCGCGACCTACAGCCCGTGCAATGGCAGTTCATCGAAACACCCCCGGACGGCACCATGATGCTCACCTGGCAACCCCTCGAGCACATGGGGACCAACTTCGCAAGCGATGGGTATATCTGGGCGGATGCGGAACATGTCTTCAAGTCAGAAGTCAGAGGCTATGTGGGTGTAACGGTTCCATGCGGCTGCGCCAGCTAATATGATTAGATCCTCGAGATGTATCTGCAACGATCAGGGTATCGGGCCTCGGGCGAGCAGGTAGCGTGTCATAGTAGAAGACGATATCGACTTCTCCCAGGCAACCCGAACCTTGGACTCCCGAACCCAGATCCTGCCCTATTTCTCACGCACTATTCCAAAGCCTCATCGCGCGACCATGTGGCAGCTTCGTCCATTCCCGTGATGCCCGCGGTGCATGCACAACTGCAACAACGACGAATGATCCAAAGCCAAGGCCAGTTGCCACGAAAGGAATTCATGTTGCATGACCGTTCAAATTGGCCTGCCATTCACCTCCCTCCAGCAGTGGCCAGGGCTGCCGCTCCGGGCCCTGTCGCCCCAGCGTCGGGACACAGAAGGGGCCTCAGCATTGCGCCGGACCCCACGTTAGAAGAAGAGGAAGATGTTTCTCGCGGCGATCTGCTTGATTTTATGAGTCCTCGAGACATTAGTCGCCTCCGCTACGAGCAGCACCACGAATGGATGGAGGAAATCCTCGAGTCACCGTACCCGACACTCTCTATTGTCCCGAGCGACTTGGGTCTCGGCCGGAAGGGGGCCCTGGAAGAGCTCACCAAGGACTTTCTTGCTGCACCCATCTCTGCAGGCCGTGACTCCGCTAATGGTCCGCCCCAGCGTGTGGGCAAGTTGCCGGACGGTAAAGCCGAAGAATTCGCCCAGCGCGCTTCCGCCAAATTGGCCGACATGCAGCTAGAACTGGAAAGAATGAGGAAGAGACATGCTCGGCGGATGGAGAAATTGAATCAGTCGACTGCACTGAAGGTTGCCGAGAAGAAACTCCGGATGGCCCCAACTGTGCCAGAGAAGCGCCGTCTCTCCAATGAATCTACTGAAGCAGGAGAGTCCAAACCGAAGGATGCAGTGGAAGAGATCATGCATGAAGTCGAGTCGACAACAGGCAAAAAGCTTTGCGAGAGCACCGGTGTGAGATTGGTGGCCAAAGGAGGCTTACAGGAGAAACCCAAGCCTCCGCCTGTCAGCCAGGCTCCCGCAGCTCCAGTCGCCTCAGCCCCTCCGCAACCTGTGAATCCTCCGATCGCCGAGACGGAGTCAAACACCCAGCCACAGCCTGCGGCAGCTGCTGGAGGGGAGAATGTCGATGAGAACAAGGCTTCTACCACCTCCAATGAGCAACAGGCCGTTACTACAGGCGCACAGCCTCCACCACCGGAGCCAAAGCCGGAAGTCTCTAGCATCTCAGGTCAACAATCTGAAGCCGATGGTGGACAGCATGACGGCACGGCCCCTCCAGCTGTCGGCGATAGTGGTGCGGACATCCATATGGACGGTCTGGATGACAATGACCATGGCGATAATGGCAATCAAGAGGGCAACGAATGGGTCATGGTTGACCAAGATGGTCAAACCGCAGAAGAAGTGGCCCTTCCAAACCCGACCAATGTCGGCCAACAGCCTGAAGCTCAACCGGTAGCGGGTAATGCCACAGGTCAGCCTAATCAAACCACGACAGATCAGCCAGCAACGACGCAGACGCAACCGAGTCAGGAGACAGCCCTGGATACGCCCAACTTTGACATTGGCGGTGATTTCGACAATGTGGATGTAGACACGGCTGGCGATGCGCTGGCCAGTTATGGGCATGATGAGGAGCTCAACCTCGACGGTATGGAAGACTCGGCGTTTGGCGATGCATTCCACCCGGAAGAGGATGAGGAGATGTCTTGAAGAGCGGATGAACGGTTGTGGGATATCTGGGCTGGTTGTCATTAGGTGTTAGAGCACAGATGCTTTGGACTTTGGTCGTATTCTACCTCAGCTGATATTCATCTCCTGAGGCATATCTTGACCAAGCAGAGAAACACCCGTAGACATTACTACGTAACTCTGTGGCCGACCATGATAAGTGTTCCTTGTAGAGAGAGGATGAGATATAACAACTTCAATCCAGTGCTGGCCATCGACCGCGCCACGTGCCTCTTTGCTTCTGCCATCAACTGGAAATGCAAGAAATTTCTGTGACGATCGTTGTCGCTTCCATCAATTCTCCCTTCTCCATCTCAGATACCGATCCTATGTTTTTGTATACGCTAGGACAGGCAGCAGCTTCTCTGTGGATGAGTTGATACTGTTGCTGAATGCTGAATGCTGAATGCTGAATGCTGATGGCCATGTTGCGCACTCCGTCGCCGAGCAGCCTGTATGGCCTGGTCGATATGGGAAGGTATTCCATATTTCCACATCTCTACCTCTTCCAGCTCTATCTTGACTTGGATCAAATATTGACTGGATTCTTCACAGTAATGGCATCCGCTTCTCCATCACCGACCTCTCCCCCGCCACAGCCCGCTGCCTGCCCACCGTCTACCAGGACCGGGAGGGGATTTCCTTGTTCGACGCCCAATACTCCACCGGCGTCAAAGGCCCGATCCCACAAGACACCATCGACGGGGTCCTTTCGTCCCTTCTGAAATTCAAATCTGCCTGTGCCGACTTTGGCGTGCCCGAGTTCAACATCCGCGTCCTTGCTACCGAGGCTACTAGGAATGCCATCAACTCCCAGGACTTTCGCAAGCAAATCAAGGATGCCACGGGCTGGGATGTGGCCATGTTGCCCAAGGAGGCCGAGGGGAGGATAGGTGCTATGGGCGTGGCCAGCAGTTTCGCCAGTGTTGAGGGACTAGTTATGGACTTGGGAGGTAATCTATGATTGCATTCTATGCTATCTTGTGGGATTTGACCGACGAGCTCATGCTAATTTTTGGTCTTTCATCCAGGAGGAAGCACTCAGATCACTTGGATGATAGCGAAAGACGGAAAAGTCCAGACCAGCCCCAAAGGCAGTATCAGTTTCCCCTTCGGCGCTGCCGCTCTCAGCCGCCAACTCGCCGAGCTTTCAGTGTCAGGCTCTGAATCGGCGTCACCTTCGATGCAGAAATCGAAGAACGGTCCAGCAACGACTCGCGCCGGGCTGGAGGCGGACATGAAAGCGCAGTTCCGCCAGGCCTACGAGGATCTCGACCCGCCGGAATCGCTCCGAGAGAAAGCCAAACGCCACGGTCTCACGCTGTACCTGTCCGGCGGAGGCTTCCGGGGCTGGGGTTACCTCTTGATGTCGCAGCACAAGGTGTCGCCATACCCGATCCCGATCATCAACGGGTTCCATGTCACGAAGCGCGAGTTCCAGCAAACATCCCAGATCTCCGCCCTGGCCGCCGAACAGAGTGTGTTCCGCATCTCCAAGCGGCGCGCCGCCCAGGTTCCCGCCGTGGCTTTTCTCGTCAACGTCCTAGTGGACGCATTACCCATGATCACGCAAGTCCGCTTCTGCCAGGGCGGGGTGCGGGAAGGGTTCCTCTTCGACACGCTCGACACGGCGACAAAAGCTCTGGACCCTCTCCCCGCGGCCACCGCCCCGTATGGGACAGCATGCGCCGGAGATCTCGCGGAGCTCCTGTTCGCCGGTCTTCCAGGACAGAACGACTTGGGCAGGACACTCCCCGCGTCGCTCAACGCTGCACTGATCCGCGCCGTCGCCGACATGATGTATCTCCATCTCCCGCTGCCGAAGGAAACGCGCTCCGTGGCCGCCCTCCATACGTCACTCACGGGTGTCCTGGCCTCGGCGCACGGCATCTCTCACGCAGACCGCGCTCTGCTGGCTCTGACGCTCTGTGCGCGTTGGGACGGTGACCTCCCGCCGCCGTACAGTGATCTGCAGACACGGCTCCAAGCCATCCTGACGCAGCAGGAGGTCTTCTGGGCGAAGTATCTAGGCGTCCTGGCTGGACTGGTGGGCGCCGTGTACCCTGCTGGCCGGGTCGACGTGGCTCGGCCGAGACTGCAGTTCGCCGCGCGCTGGGCTGATGGACTCGGCAAGAAGGGCTTGAATCAGGGTGTCGTGCTGCAGATCAACTGTCGTCGCGAATCCCATAACGATGCCATGACCGCTCCGGCTGCGTTGAATCCGCTTGTGCATGAACTGGAGAAGGTGGGCAAGAAGAAGAACCGTGTTGGCGGGGAGCATGGGTACGGCGTTCCCATTCAGGTCGAGATTGAGAGGGTGCTGGAATAGACGAAATAGGATACAGCCGCTATACGGTTAATATGTTGTTATATCTCATAGGAGTCTAGATAAGAGCAGGCGGCTATATAATTGACTAACTCACGAGGCGAGGTTATTCGGAGTCCATGACCCACAGACAAGCGAGCTTGTACGCGTGAGCTGCGAGGAGTCGGTGAAATGAATGACAGTATCATGCACGAACAGATCTTAAGCCCCATCGAGGTCAAGAATCAAGATGAAGAGGGAAGAAAGGTCGTCGCAATTAGTCTGACCCGATCAAATTGTAAGCATGTATCAGTATAGATGATATACATATAGATAAGTATAGATACATATGTCCGTCTATATCTATGTACGTAAATTTGTATACACCCACACGGGATCCACTTCGGTTCAAGCCTGAAGGTCTCCTCAAAAGACAACGCGAATGGAAATGGCGCATTGGTTGTTGTCGATCCATGGTAAGATTCAGTACCAGAATGATGACGGTAACATACGAAAAATATTGAAGAAATGGAAGTTGATGTGGGAGACGACGACGTCGGCAATAGAGAAGATAAATGTGTATATTACTATATGTATATGTATATGTATATAATTATATGTTGGGGACTTCAACCTCTTCGCCGGCTTCAGTCTTGACTCTGGTCTAGCAAAATATATGATTGAATGAAACGATGCTGTGTCCTTTCATGTCATGGCGGTCCCCAGTATATTCCTCGCGATGTTATGATGGATTTACTAGGAGGATGTGTTGAAGTGAAGCATTCGACAAGGTCCAAGAATGAATGCCAGTACAAGAGATATGGCAGTCACTAAGCGGTATCCCTAGCCTATTACGCGTGTATTTAAGCCAGAGATGAAGATGGTTAGGTCATATTCAAGGGTGGAAGTCATTATCATTTCGATAGAATGTAAGATATACCTATAGGTATATATTTAGGATAAGGTAGACATCACATCACGTCCACCACATGAAGCGAAGAGTTGACTGTTGCTGTTCAGTTCGTACTACACTTTCCCATTTCGACCGGTTTGTCCAATCCAACACCGGCAACCCCTGTAATATGTAAGGAACCTCCTGTATCCTGGTCCTAGTCCTGGTCGCCATCGATCATTAATCCAAACGCCGTCGAAATGCTTTCCATGCTCATGACAAATGGGGAGGGAATCCATCATTGAATCTCTCCCGGTAACCCCAGGGAAAATTGGTTGCTCATCAAAGGGCATAAAGGGGGTATGTAAGAAATTAAGTAAAGCAGGACACCAGACACCGGACACGTCGTGGTCATGATCTCGGACGACTGGCCCTAGTTCCTGGTTCCTGATTCGTGGTTCGGAGAACGAGTCATGCTCAAAGCTCATCAGAGAGAAGCCCCGGCCATGGGAATGTCCGTGGACCTTTTGGTGGTACGCTTCATCTTCCGTTTCCGCAGATCATCATCGTCGTCGTCGTCGCCAAAGTCGTCGTCATCGTCGACTTGTTTCCGCGAAGGGGCCGAGTATCGATGCGGACTCATGACGAAGACCGAATCTCTGTTCGGCTTTGGTTTGGCTATGCCTCCCTGCGACGACGACCCCGGCGAAGAGTAGCCACTGCTTCCGCTACCGGCACACTGGCACAGGCCGCCGCAGAAGGTGTCCATCGTGCTGTCGTCGCAGTATTTGTAGCTGGGGCACGAGATCCGGCCGTTCTCGCAGGTACATGTGGACTGGCAGGTCTGGAGGGTGACGGCGGGCCCGCCGTAGCAGGACATGCTCTGGCGGCTGACTCGGCAGACGAGGTTGTTGGTCTGTTGCATGGGATTCAGCTTGTGCAGGGCGTTGTTGTAGCTGTCTGTGACTCTCTGGGGAGGCTGGGCATGTGGAATCGGTAGCACAAATGACAATACTGAGCTGGCGAAGAGGAGCAGCGTGAAAGCCGCGCGTGTCGTCATGGTGTAGGATGTGTCGGGAGCTCTGGGGGATCGTCGGTTGGGTTGCCCCCTTTGGAATCTCCTTGAAGCTCAAGCTGCTCAAGAGGAGGACCACTGCTGTACGGCTGAACAAAGTAGAGAGTCGGAGGGTTGTTGAAGTTGAAGTTGAAGTGGTGAAAAACTTTCGACCTTTGCGCGAAGATCCGGTCCCGTCGGTTGTAGTCTGTAGTGGATGTGGAATTGAGTTCACGGGGGGTGTGGGAGAGGCGAACCTTTATCGAATGTCGGTAGGATTGAGGGAAAAAGAGGTCGACAAGGCGATGCACGAGCCCTGATGGTCATGAGAACGAGGCTTAGCGCGTCGAGATTGCGACCTGGAGAAAAAGGTAATCTGGCTTCCCTTTCTGAAAGTATGGGTGCTGCCTATCTGGCTTGGGCTGAGCGGCGGGCCAGTCAGACGGCCCAAGATGGCAGTGTGTTGGAGCTTGGGCTCATAATTGCACAGTTCTGTCTTCCCAAAGGGGGAGGGTCATACGTCAACCGAAATCAGCGGCGCCGTACCATTGGCGCAACCGCCCACCATGACAGCTGTCAGAGGAGGTTTGGCAGCCGTTGCAAAGATGTGACCAAGGAAATGCGATGGTCAGTGTGCCATGGCCAAAGTCCTGGGTGGCTGCTAGATAGTAGCTCAATAGACTCGATAAATAATGGGGGCCCCTTTGTGCTCGTCTTCTACATCTCGGCCTGTTCAGTCTGGACTGTGTCGCAGTGATGGGATGCCATGGGACTGGAGATAGTAGAGATGGTGAGATTGCCGAGGGAAAAGCGAGAACCGAGAAGCCAATCTCTGGGGAATTGCCTCAATAGCACGTTCAAAAGATCTGGATCAGGCAATATGTCCTGTCCAGTGTATGCAAGTAAAAGTGTACAGAGTAGACGTTGGTATGTGCGATGCATTGTGTACATGAATGGCCGCTGATCACAAGGCTGCCAGTCTGTAGACACCTGGACGGGCCACGCTTGGCCGATCAAGGAGGGTCGCGCTCACCTCTTTGGGCTCGGATCTTTGGGCCTATATCTTTAAGCTCACCTCTTTGGAGCTAACTTCCGTAGACTCACCTCTTTGGATTTAACTTCCGTGGGCTCACCTCTGTGGACTTGACTTCCGTGGACTCACTTCTTGGAACTCACCTCTTTGGACTCTTTTCCAAGGCCTCACCTCTTCAGGGCCAATGGTCCAAGCACATGATCCAGGCTGCGGTTCGGTGAGAACACGACCTCAATGCGACGTTTGGCATGTAAACACAGGGACCCTTTGGAGCACAGTCGTATGGGATAAGCGAGTGTGGTCTTACTGTGTCTTAGGAGCGAGATTGTGAAGCCTTCAGTAGGATGATCCGTATGAGCTTGAACAGCACATGGACTGCATCCAGCCATATGGGCAAATTGTGTTGTTGCAAAAGACGTGCCAGACAGAAGAAAGGGGCAGGCCTGTAGAAGGACCGTGCCGAGGTGAAGGAAGACCAATCTAGTTGACAGCTGGGACCACCTTTTGGTCTCAAAGCGGAAAAAAGGGGGGAAGTTGGTCTCTTAGAGACCTTCAAGTTGGGCAGAGCTGCCCTATATCATATGATGGTACATATGATTTGATCAGTAAACCTCACCTTCCTGCTCTCAGGGGGATGATTCAGCAGTAAGTTCCATGTTGTTATTGGGTTCAAGTTAAGCATCACGGGAGCCAAGCCTTTGCACAATTGCTACATACCTACCTTACCTAATCATGGATAAGCATCTTATGCTTAACTTATTCGGGGAGGTTAAACGCACATACTAACCCTTAGGTACCTATATACAAGTTGACGTCTACCAACGGTGGAAATATACAGAGTTACTCTATACAGGATCTATGATATCAATGTCTGCTTTACCGGTGGTATGCCGACGGAGTGGTGTCCGCCCGCCCGCTCTGTACGGACACCAGAATTTCCCTCTTTAGTATCGCGCTTGAGAGACCCAGGACCACGATCACCAGTAAGTAATCGACGTGTGGGACCCCCTACTCTCCTCTCTACGATTCTCCAGACTGTCTCTACAGCTGTTGGAGGATTCCCCAGCTCTTCCCCACAGAACATCCCACCCTCCAACCCTCCAGCCTGTCAAGATGGGACACCTGTACTTGTACCACGAATCATTCCTCCTCAATCCATGGCTTGTGACCCCGGGCTACCCCAGGTCGGTGTTGGAGTGCGTAAGCGAGTGATGGATATTTATATTAGGGCGCACAATGCTTTTCTCTTTTGCTGTCTTCCCGCACACTTGTTGAAGCGTCGTGGAAGGTTTTCACTCCCTCGCCGGCTTCCATAACCAAAGCACCACCCCGCCAACGTGTTTTTGTGTGCAAAATGGCCATTTTGGGGACCCGTGCAGCACCAACCGCAGTCAACCATGACTTGAGCGAGCAGCCGGAGCCGGTGATCGCTGATGATGTCGAAAAGGAAGGGACTACTGTTCAGAAGGAGTCCGCTGGTGGTAATGTGCGGATTGACCCTGCTGTGGAGAAGAGAGTGGTGCGCAAAATCGATTTGCACGTTACTCCGCTGGTAACATTCCTGTGTAAGTGAATGCGAATCCCCCTTTTACATGCAACTGTCCCCGCTTACCATATCCTGTTGGAACCGATAAAACACCAGAGCTGGATTTGAAGTAACGTCTTATAGTCCTACTCTCGTTCTTGGATCGGTCAAACATTGGCAATGCCCGTATTGCGGGCATGGATAAAGATCTGGACTTGGTTGGCGACCGGTATGACTGGTTGTTGACTATTTTCTATATCTCGTACATTGTGTTTCAATTCCAGGCCTTCATGTGGAAGATACTGTAAGGATTGGGTCCCTCTGGTGATTGAGAGATGTCACTAACAACCCCAAGTAAGCCTCATACGTGGGCTTGTCTGATCACTCTGGCATGGTTGGTCAACCCCCTCCACAAGTACAAGACTCAGGAACTTAACCTTTCGTAGGGGTATCATTGCAACCTGTCAAGCTGCGACACAATCTTGGGGTGGAGAAATGGCCCTGCGATTCCTGTTGGGAGCGGCCGAGGCGGGCTTTGGCCCTAGTATCCCTTACCTCCTGTCCTTCTTCTACCTGCGACACGAGCATGGCTTCCGCAGTGGTATCTTTCTGGCTGCAGCGCCTCTGGCCAACACGTTCGCGGGGGCATTGGCATACGGGATCACCAGCGGTCACTCCACGCTGGCCAACTGGAGACTCCTCTACCTTGTGGAGGGCATCCCGACCATCTGTGCAGCTCCGTTGGCCTGGTTCTTCCTCCCCGACAGTCCCACCAGCGCGCGGTTTCTGACGGGGGAGGAGAAAGAAGTTGCGCGAGCCCGGGTCCTGAGACAACATGGCCCTCAACCAGAAGGAGGGGAGAAAGTCAGTTTCAAGGAGATAGGCTTGACTCTCCTCGACCCCAAAGCCTGGTTCACGGCGGTAAGTGGAGTGTCCGTAACACCAAAGTGGCTGTGGCTAGGTGCTAAACCATCGCGTAGTTGATGTACTTCTCCTGCAATGTCTCGTACTCGTCATTGCCGGTGTTCTTGCCCACCATCCTCAACGAGATGGGATTCTCGGCAGTCAGTGCGCAAGGCTTGTCAGCGCCGCCGTACTTTGTGTCGACCATTCTGACCGTTGCCACGTGCTGGATCGCCGACCGCACCCAACAACGTGGATGGATGATCGCCTTTTTGAGCTGCATCGGCGGAATCGGCTACATTCTTCTGGCTACGTGCACCGCGGTGGCTCCCAGGTATTTTGGCACATTTCTCTGTGCGGCCGGGGTCTTCCCGGCGATTGCGAACATCTTGCCATGGGTGGTGAACAACCAAGGGAGCGACAGTCGACGAGGCATGGGGTGAGTGTCCTTGTTTGATGTGGGATTCCGGTAACTGGACTAACACGGCTTACAGTATCGTGCTCCTCAACCTGGTCGGTCAATGCGGCCCTCTTTTGGGCACGAGGATCTTTCCCAAAGGTCAAGCTCCGCGATACGTCGAAGGGCAAAGCATCTGTGCCGCCTTTATGTTCTTCAATGCCTTGCTTGCCTTGACCCTGAGGACCCTGTTGGTGTGGGAGAACCACAAGCTCGACGAAAAGTATGGCCGGGTGTATGGGGGCCAAGGTCAACAGGCTGAGGATGGCGATGGCGATGGCCAGGTTGACACCAATGTTGGGGAGGAAAACTATGGTGCAGCATTTAGATATATTCTCTAGAGAGGCCGAACCAAAAAGATGTAACTCGGTATGTATCTTATGGTAGCTAGTGCTTACCCAAGGTACCTCGAAGAGCCTATCAGCTATCCGACAAAGAGATACTGCGTAGAAATAAGCCTCAGGCCGGTCGTGGGCCAATGCCACTCAGGCCGGTATACAGTGTAAAGGGATCGCTCCGGTTTCAGGGCGGGTCTCGTATTTCTCGGGCCGCGTCTTGCAGCTATTCAGGATCAACCCTCCTACATCGGGCCTCCACCGCCGCGAAGTCGCTCTACCAACGCGATGTCGACGGACGAAATGTTCATTATTAATTGGTTTTGACCTAATGGAGAATTTCTGTGACACTGTGTCCACTTTGTCTATAGCAGAGAATTATCCTTAAACGCTTGTACAACGGCAGTAACAGTATCTCCACGATAAATCCGGCCGGAGAAAGCATTTGCTGAGATGAGATGCGGAAGAAGAATGGATGCCGGCCAGGTAATCAAACGTGGGGACAGTCAGTGCAACTGCAACGTAGTTTGTACTCTGTAGAGACCGGACTGCCAGGACCGGTGGTGAGTGCAGTTGAGACGAGGGGACAGAATCACAGCGGATTATTGATCAGGACAGTAGCAATAGCAAATGGCAGCAGTAGCAGCACCAGCAGTAGCAGCACCAGCAGTAGCAGCACCAGCAGTAGCATAGTGGTAGTAGCTGTGGTGGTCAAAGAGCTGCAAAACTCCCTCAGCACATCGTTCCACCCCACCACCAACACCAACAACCACCTGCGCTCCATCCATTGAGATAGAAGGTTGGCCTTCTTTCTGGATCCATTCAGAAACCCACTACCATCTACGGTTGACATCCATCTCTATCTCCTCTGTAGCAATCGTCCATTCACAAGCATCCTGCCCCTGCCCCTCCACGGCCGTGGATCGGCTTACCAACGCCACCTTCTCTGCCGACTGACCGACCGATCGACGGGCAAGCTCACAGACACTACTGATAATATCGGATTCACGATTATGGTTACTGCGTCGCTGCGTAGATAAAAAGCATCTTAGGCCCCTCCATCTCAGTCACTTTATCGGTCATTCTATTTCTCTTCTGGCATACCATACCCACGACTGCATTCAGAAGCCGCATTTGCCCAATACCCAGACTGCTCTCTCATTGCCGCGGTTAGCACAAGAACAAGAACCAAAACAACCCCCCTGCAATCATGGCCTCGAACCCTCCCCAAGCATGCTGCTACAAGGGCGTCAAGCACGAAGGCTCGCCTACCGGAGAGCTCTCCACCATCGGCGACTTTGAGGTCTACACCAAGTATCCCGAGAACAAGTCGACCGACCTGGGCATTTTGATGTACGTGACCTTCCACTGGCACTCTGCCCTTCTATACCTGCCCCCACCCCAACCTGCCTGGCAAGTCCGTTTGCCGAGTCTTTCAACTAACTCAAGATTTCCATCACGAACAGCATCACCGATGTGATCGGCCACAAATTCACCAATGCCCAACTTATCGCCGACCAGTTCGCCGCCAACGGCTACTTTGTCCTCATGCCCGACCTGTTCTACGGCGATGCCATCCCGCTCAACCGACCTGGCGACTTCGACATCATGAAGTGGATGCAGGGCGAGTATAACGAGACCAAGACGGCACATCTGCCTCCCTCCGTCGACCCCATCATTGACGCCTGCCTCGTCGAGATGCGGACAAAATACAAGTGCAAGGTACGTCCACCGAGAAAAGAAGAGAAAGAGCAGACACTCCCCAGCACATAAACACATAGCACATGCCATGAACATCAATCCCTGGTGGATCAAGAGATGGGGAGAGAACAGCTGCTCCTGCACATGGGGACGATACCGACCCAGGGCCGATGAAATATCAGTCCTGCGAGTTCAAAAGAGAGCAGTGCTCCAAAACTCACTCATTCAGGACACCTCTGCTAACACATTCTTTTTCTCTACTCCAGAAAATCGGCGGTGTAGGCTACTGTTTCGGCGGCAAATACGTGGTCCGCCACCTGCGGCCCGAGGCCGGCAAAATCGACGTCGGCTACACCGCGCACCCCAGTTTCGTCGACGCCGACGAGCTCAAAGACATCAAGGGGCCCCTGGCCATCTCCGCCGCCGAGACCGACTCCATCTTCCCTCCGGAGAAGCGCCACGAGTCCGAAGTCATCCTCAAGGACGTGGGCCACCCCTACCAGATCAACCTGTACTCGAGCGTAGAGCATGGCTTTGCCGTTCGCGCAGACCCGAAGAACAGGCCCTCCATGTATGCCAAGGAGAATGCCTTCTTGCAGGCCATCCAGTGGTTCCAGGAGTACCTGAAGCAGTAGATTGCAGTACATAGTCACAGTCACGTACAGCGAGAGACTCTGCGCCCACGAAACATGCCGCATATGCAAGGCGGGGGTGGTGGTGCTGCGCCGTGTATATATCCTGGAGAAACGGACAGACGTGGGGGTTTGTATACAGGAAAAGGGGGACAAGACGATCAGGTAGTCTCTTACCTGAATAGGATGAATAGAAGATGTTGAAGCTGATGGCAAATCTCCCTTACAGTGGACATGTGGTATCAACCGTCTGACCGTGTTTGGCTGGGTGCAGTGGTGTGTAAGTCGGCGAACCACACGGCAAGGCTGTAATCAGTAGGGGATGACACGTCTTGATTCGGCGCAATCACACGACGAGCCCAGTAGCTGCCGTAAGCCTGTCAGCTCGAGTTTCTCTTGTTCAGGCCGCGCGAAGTGAAAGTACCTTAATCTACCGCCTTACAAACTACTACTATTGTCTTCAAAGTTGTGCTTGTTGAAAAAAGGATATTTTAGATTCTCGGCGCTACACCACTCGCATAACGCAGACCTGGTCAACCAAACGCGTGAGGCTCGTCAGAAGGTCTGAAACCCTCGCCTCCCATCGGTCTTGTATCCTGGATGCTCGAAAGACAGCGGTGACGAAAGTGCAGGACTAGATGATGCTCTGCTCTCGATCCTGCTATGACAATGAATGGTTCTAACCGGCGTGGACCATCCACTTGGGCTTGAACTTGCGGCCTTGCCGGACAAAGGACTTAGTGCACGCCCATCTTTTCCGCGGTTCGCATGAGCGCACCTAGCATGACGTTAGCATTTATAGTTGGAAAGATGGCTGAAGATGAACGGGATTGTAGGCCAGGGTCGGTGCTTACCAACAAAAGTGGTCACCAATCGGGCGCGGCCTTGCACGATATCATCAGGGAGCAAGTAGATAGTCGAGCCTGTTGCATCGGTTAGCGTCTGATTCAACAATCGCCAAAGGTAGGTAGAGGCAAATGGGGAGTAAACATACCCATCTTTCTGGCAATGCTGATGGACAACTTGGCATTGGCATAAGCGTCGTCGGGCGTCTTTCCAGGCGTCACCAGGTCGTAGTCAACGTAACCGCTCTTCATGCCATTCAGCACATCCAGCAGGAAAATGCCACTGGTAATGGCCGGATCCCGGAACGACCTGACCGACGAGTTCTTGCCGCCCTTCCGTGACATGTCATTGGCCCATTTGATCATGTCGGAGTCGGACAACTCGCGTTTGCCCATACGTTGGGCAAGACCGGACAGGGTGCTGACGATATCCCGCCGCATGAGCTGCCACACCAAGGCCAAGGTCAACGTTCGTGAGCCGTCTGTGATGTCGGCACCCTGGATGCCCACGAGAGAGAAGTGAAATTGTTTGCCCAGTTCGACGGCATAGTTTGTGTTCTCCACCATCTTGAAGCGAGACATTTCGCCCCCGTGAGCTGGAGGTTTGTTGACATGGCGGAGGTTGACGCTGCCGGGGATGACTTTGTCGTAGGCTTGGAGGAGGGCGGTGCCGTCGCGCAGATCGTCGAAGAAAGAATGCACCGGAGGTTGCACGTCCAAGCTGTTCAGCCAGAGGGTGAAGACTCGGGCTTCCCGCTCGCCCTCGGCGTCAAAGTCTTCGATCTCGGGCTTTTCTTCTTCCGTCAAGGGATCCAGGCCGGGGTGGGTGTTGAACAGGTTGGCGACAAATGCGAGATTGAGCTTGGGGTTTCCAGCTACGAGAGCAGTCGGAGTCAGGAACTTCCGGCAGTCAATCTTCTCGGCATTCTGCAGAACCTGTTCAGCACGTTGTAGAAGGTCTCTTGTCTGCAAAGGAGCTCTGGAGCACACGTCGGGTTTCAGCTGGTTGAGTAGAACAGTATAGTTTTCGCCGTCCTTGACATCCCCGGAGAAGTTGGTCACTCTTCTCTGCCAGCCGGCGTTTTTGAGATGATAGTTGAACCATCGGAGCAGAATTTGCTCGGGCGGCAGGCGCAGGAATTGCTCCAAAGTCTCGTCCTCCTCCAGCAGTCGGTACAGTTCCGGGTGTAGCTTGATGTCAATCTTACCCAGCAGACCCCGACGGATGATCTGCCAGATCAAACCCAGGATCAAATGCTCACGGACTTCAATGATATCCCCGGCACCAATGTTCACCACGGAGCAGCCGATACCTTTCGCCGACTCGATCACGATGTTGTTGTTCTCGGTCATGTGGAAGGCGTTGAGGGTCTTGATTTTTCCGCCTTGCCTGTTCAACACTCGCTCGTCGATTGTGTCCGGCACGCTGTCGTTGATGAGCTTGGCCAGTACCAGCCCATCCTTGCAGTGGTCGAACATCTCGAAAGTATCGGTTGGGAAGGGGAGGAGGTGACCAATGTCCGGATCGCCGGCAAGGACCGCGTTGATATGAGTGGTAAAGGCGGTACGCTCTTCTTCGTTGATGGTGTGTCTGACGTTCGTCGAGGAGCCTTGCACCTGAATCCTTCCTCCATGATTGCCGCCCAAACTGGGCTTCGAGGTCTGACCCGGCGACGACAAACCATTGCCTGCAGCTGATCTCTGAGGGCCTGTCGAGATGCGCTGTTGTTCCGGAGATGACTGACGAACTTTGGCGATCAGGTCGACATAGTCTTCCAGCTCTACTCGTCTGGAGCTGTCCAGGTCCACCTCTTTGAGCGCCTGTCTGACCACATCGTAAGACTGTCTTTCGGACTGCTGAGTGGCTTTGATGACGGTCGCCTCGTCCAAGTAGCCCTTGTCATCCACGTCGAGTTTGCGGAAAGCATCTTGAAGCTGGAAGATCTCGCTCTGGGGGAACTGGGGATATTTGCGCTGGAGTTTGAGAATGCCAGCCATTTCGAAGGGAGGGGGCGGGGGAGGCTCCCGTACAGGATGATTATAGGGTACGGCCGGATGATGGGTAAAGCGTAGACGCAGTTTGAAAGAGTCCAACAGATGAGACGGTCGAGAGCAAGTAAGGCTGCAGTGTAATATAAGTAGAATGCAGTGTGGTTGTGGTTATTGTGGTGCCTGTTGGACAGTTCACGAGCACAAGCAACAAGCAACAAGGCGGGTCGATGGGCACAAGGCAAAAGGCCATAGAAGGTGATGGTCAACAGTGAGGTAGGTGCCTTAGGTACCACACAGTGGCACAGTATTACTAGTAGTATGGGGAGCATTCCAAGCCTAAAGCCGCGTCCTTGGTTAGGCCCCTAAGCCTCGTATAATATTATTAGGTGCCAGCGAGCCCAGGTACAGAATCCGCAGCTGCGGGAACTTACCTGCGCTGCGCCTCGCGACACACTGGAGCCCATTCATCCCACTATACCTTAGCACACTGCAGTTAGGTGCCTGTACCTACTGGCAGTCGAGTAATAAGCTCACGTCATAGGTATTTTCTTGCTGCAGCGCGATTACGTACTACCCCCACTAGTACTTTTTAGCTGCAGGGCAGAAGTTCAGGCTACACACGTGACTATGGCTTGACATAGTGGCTGGAGATGTGGCTGTGGCACAACCGCGTTCCGGCTTCATCCCTGCTCTGACCACATACCTGATTTACTCCCTACTACCACTCGCTATTACTACCACGACGCTGTAATCAAGAGCCGTGGTGTGTTCTTCATTCCCCCATATCGTCCTGTTCTCTGTACTCCATCCTACACTCGTGTGGTAATTCCTTTGTGGCCCCTCTGTTCCGGTAGGACTGCTCTCTTTAGAGCCTCAACCAGACCCGTTCTAGGGACAACAGCCTGGTACATGCCATCATATTGGAGCGCTTTCCGGCCCTCGTCAGGGCCGTCCGCAAGGGCATGGCTGAAGCCTCTCGATCGTCTTTCCTAGGTTCGATCTCGGCATGGAGTAGAAGCAGCACTCCGCCTCCCAAGTCTCCTCTCCAGAAACCCAAAGAGGACGGGCCGGCCCTGAAGCAATCGACCGGCCTCGATCACACCATCAGCCTCAGACCTTCCCCAAGTCTCCGCAGGTACCCTAAAGATTGTCCTCCCCTCAAGACTAAATGGTTCTACGCTGTGGATGTGCCAAAGCGGAAGCCCTTCGCTTCTGAGGCGACAGTGGAAGAAAAGACTAAGCCGCCCCCGGTTCCTAAGAAATTGGTGCCCTTCTCCTCCAGAGACTCCCAGGCCATCGAAAAAGCCTTCCAGTCTCTTGATAAGGAAGACTGGAGTCAACATGACAACCCAGAACCCACCTCTACCAAGGTGCCTGTTAACGAAGACTTCTTGTACGACGTCCACATTGAGAAACGTGAGTTAGAGCCCGCATATTGGTTGGGTCCCGTCTATGAAGTCCGCAGAGGCAGCTGGTTCTATGCGGAGAGCTCGACCCTGAAACCTTGCGATGAGAATCTTGCCAATCAACTCGAGGAGGGCTATCTAAAGGTAGCGCCATGGAGAAGATTGGGCATCTCGTCCTCACGTTCGAGTTCGCGACCCAGGAGTCGACCAACCTCCGCAGTCATCGACGGCCCGACAGGACCAACAGTCAGCAATGCTCCTTCTACGCAAGACGATACCCATGCGGCTGGGCCAAACACCTACCGACTCTTTGGGACGCATATGAACACGACGGTGACCTATCAGGATGCAACTGTTGCCTATCTTACCACCGATGATCTATTCTCGCGTGTGAGCAGCACGGTATATGGCAGATTCGTTGGTTATGGAGGCACCAAAGTCGTACGAGGCTGGTCCGATGCTAAGGCTGCAGACACCAAGGCCGGATCCAAGGCGGTCGAAATCAACGACGCCAAGGAAAAGCGAAAGTCTACCAACTTGAATTTCTCGGCCGAAGCTACACCAGACGCTGCAGAAGCTAGTGACGAGTCGATGTCATCTGAGCAAGATGTCAGCAAGCCCCGCCGATCAGCCTTGGAACGGCAGCTCTCGTCCTTGGCAGGCATGCCGGATGTTCAGGACTCACAGAACCTAGCCGAAGAGGAGGCGCGGGAGGAAGAGGAGCGGGAAATGGAAGACGCGAGAGAAAGGGATGGCGACGACCAGGCGAGGCAGATTGACCACTTGGTCCTGGTCACTCACGGCATTGGTCAACGACTTGGACTCCGACTCGATAGTATCAACTTCATCCACGACGTCAACACAATGCGCAAGACCATGAAGGCTGTCTATGGATCTGCTCCCGACCTCCAAGCTCTGAGCGGTGACCCCAAGAACTGCAAGATCCAAGTCCTTCCCATTTGTTGGCGGCACCTGTTGGACTTTCCGAAACAGAGCCTCAAGCAAAACCGCAAGGAATTCGATCTCGGAGATGCCGACGCAGGGTTTGACGATGAGTATCCGTCCTTGCAAGACATCACTGTCGAAGGGGTGCCTGCCGTACGCAACCTGATCACGGATCTGGCCATGGACGTCCTCCTGTATCAAAGCGCATACCGAGAACATATTGCCTCCATTGTTCAAAGAGAGGCAAATCGTGTCCACCAGCTTTTCAAGGAGAGAACCGGCTTCTCTGGGAAGGTCAGTTTCTGTGGTCATTCCCTCGGCAGTGCCATCCTGTTCGATCTCCTCTGCCGACAGGAGGAGACTGTCAAGACTGGACCTCGTCGCATATCTAACAGAGCATCTCGAGAACATGGCGCCGACCATACAGATCTGCATTTGAACTTTGACGTTGAGAGCTTCTTCTGTCTCGGCTCGCCAATCGCTCTTTTCCAAATGTTGAAGGGGCGGACCATTGCTGGTCGACAGATGCTGGGTACAAATGCATTTGGAGCGTCCGCTGTTCCCACTTCTCCATTTGACCCGGATCCAATGGGCAGGGACCCCTTCGATAGCTCTCTGAAACCCGGGTCAGGTGCAAGCTCCAACAGTCTGATTCCAATCACGGTGTCCTCGCCAAAGTGTAATGAACTTTTCAATATTTTCCATCCCACCGACCCAATTGCTTATCGGATGGAACCACTGATCTCCCCAGCCATGGCGCAGCTCAAATCACAACCTCTTCCATACACCAAGAAAGGCCTCTTTGCCGCCCCTGGCATTGGTAATATGACTGCCAGGGTCGGCCAGCAGGTCATGTCGAGCTGGTACAATCTGACCTCAGGCGTGGCGTCCACTCTGATCAACAGAAGCCTGGGCATTACAGGCGAAGAGCAAGCGCTAGCGCAAGACAAAGCGAAAGCAGCGAGCAACAGTGGTGGTGGCAACAGCGCGACAGGTGGCCATCCGCCCAATCAGCCACATGTTCCAAACAACATGCCCATAGCTGATTCAAAACGACAACAAGATCTGGCGGATGCTGCCAAATCTGCGCCGGCCACCGAGCAAGCGCCCACGCTGATCGATTCCGAGATCGAGACACTCTTTGCCGGCTTTCAGAAGCGCCGACGCTCGCGTGCCTCGAATGCGGATACCTCCGAAGATGACGCCGCCTCGACGTCTGCCGAGTATCAACTGTCCCTGGAACGCGCGAGGAGACTGAAGCGCGAAGAAGCCAAAGTGCGGGCCCTGAACAGCAACGGCCGCGTCGACTATCATATCCAGGAAGGAATGTTTGACGTTTCCCTTCTGGCCAGCATTGCCAGTCACTTGAGTTATTGGAGTGATGAGGACGTGAATCATTTCATGATTGGACAAATGTTGAAGTCCCGTGGCCGAGAGAAGAATAGAGATAAAGAGCGCGGGGCTTCATGGTGATACGAATATGAACTAGACACTATGCTGAGATTTGTCGAGACCTTGAGAACCGATTGTCAAGATGTGGACAACAGACGGTTGATGGTGAGGTGGCAAGACTAGCATTGGAAAGGAGATGCAGGTGGGAGCATCAGCTTGATTTGGACTGTGGTACGATCCCAGCCAACATTTCCTATAGAACGACGTGTATGAAATCCCTCTCTTATTCAAAAGCGCAATCACATTTCCTAGATCTCATTGACTAACGCTCCTGTTGAAAAGAGGAGTAAAAGGCGGAGAGAAACAGGGGTCAGGATCAAGTAGATCGCGCAAGTTGTTGATGAATATATTCATATCCCTGTACCCAGACCTGCATTCGGTCAAGAAGCCACCGACGTCTTGCCGCTCAATTGTCAGTTGTCAGTTGTTCAATCTGTCCAAACGTCGACAGGGTGTCACGGTACGCTCCGTACAGGGAATATTGAGGGCTGAACATCATTCGCATTTTTGTCTCGCAATCCGGAAGAATACAGAATCCATTGCCCAAGCCAAAAGATACCCGATCCAAAAATGCTGAAGCTTCACTTGTGGAACTCCGTCGCTAGATGGGCCGGGCAGTACTGAACAGAGGAGGGTATATACCAGATAACAAACCATTTTCCACCGCAGGACTTCACGTCGCCGTCTCCACATAATTCGAAGGAAAGATGCCGATTCGACCGTCTTCTGTTCGACCAGTCCACCAGTCCGCCTTGTTCTCCGTCCGCTTGAGAATCGTGATGATGTCGCCTTTCTTGAATCCAAGGTCGCCTTCTTGGTCTGGGTCAAAAGTGAACAGTGCCAGAGCTTGGTCCGGTCGAAGGGATCCCGTGCGCTGCTTGAACACTGGCTTGGGCGCTGTCGGCCTGGTTGGTTTACTGTCCGAGTAACTGTATTCGTGCTGCAGTGTACTGGACCTGCTTCGGCCTGAGTAGCTGTTGAAGGAATCATGGTTTCGTGCAGGCGGACGGTCGTAGACGTCGTCTTGCCACGTGTTGGTGCGGCGAGGGTTATCATGGTACTCGTAGTTGTCATCTCGGGATCCCAAAGTCGACGAGCGGTTTCTGCGCGCGCTGGCCCCGTAGGCTTCTCCGGTTCTTCCCTCCCAGACGAGATCATCATGCTGGTCGTCGTAGATGGGCACGTCGTTGTACATGCCGTCATTGAATGCAGCGCCTGAGAATACTCGCGTGTTCAGTATCCTCATCAATGGATCCGCCGCTGGAGGAGGCCTGATGGCCCCTTCCAGAAGTTGCTGAGCAGTCACCCGACCATTGTACATTTTCTCGTTGGCATCTCTTCTCTCGACCAACACACTGCCTTCCAAGCTGACTCCTGCGAACAATCCTTTGGTTTTGCTGTAGGCGAAGATGCCGGCCACGCCCTTCGTACTGGCTGCGCCTGCGGCCTCGGCATTGCGGCCAACTGGACCGGCTGCAATGCTGACGTTGCCGCCCAGTGTAACTTGCGCCGATTGGGAGAATGATCGGACCGCATTGTAGTCGTTCAGGATGAAGACGAAGTCGGTCAATTCGAAACCTATTTGACCTCCGAACCCTCCTCCTGCTGTTGCTATCGCGGAGGGAGCGGACCACGTCCCATCTGCTAATCGTGCGACCACGATGCCAGAGCCGAAGCGACCAGAGCCGAGGAAACCTGCTTTCAACACTGTGAGAACGGCCAGGCCCTAAGAGAATGTTAGCCTCGCGCGGTAAGCTGCAGCCATGGAGGTCCGACCTTCGCATTGGCAAGAATCTGAGGCGGGATGATCTTGTCGGGACCAAAGCTTTGTCTCGGGTCAACAAACGATGCGAGAATCTTGCCTGCCTTCTTGCACTCGCCTGCGCAGCGTCAGCTCCTGAACTCTTGGTGTGAATATGGTGCGACTCACTCCGCATAGACGAGGGCAGTGGGCTGTTGATTCCGAACGGCATCTTGTTCGGCAAGCCTTGATTTTTACCGCGCTACTAGTATCATTCAATCAACCGCTTTGCAGAGTCGGGCCTCAATTGCGCTCATGCGACGATGTCGTAAGTGTGGTGTGGGCGGAATCGGAAGTAGACGGCCTGATGACAAGTATTGGTGGGGGAGTTGTCGGACTCGGAGGCTGGGGAATTGCGGGCTACAGTGCAGTGGTGTGTGTCAATTGCTCTAGTCTGTACATAAGGATGCGGCGATGGAGAGAAGCAGGTACAGAGTAGAATTGAAGAATATATTCAGGCAGCAGAGTAGAAGATGAAGAGGAAGACGAGCTTACGGACTGTACAAAAGCGTATTTCTACGGGCTTCTTGCCTTGCTACTACGACATCATACTAGTAGTAGTACAAGCCACTGAGCAGTCGCCAGTTCTGTGATATCGTGACTCTTCTGGCTATTGCGGCCCGGAAGGCGGGATCCTCAGGTCTTGGCTGTGCACGCGGCGACCTAGAGCCTTCGACGTCAACGAGGCGCAGGCGCATGCATTCTTTCTATTCTGTGTTCTCCAGGCATTCTCCATCCAGTCGGACTCCCTCACAACTCATTACTAGGTACCTACTGCTGGCTCCACAGGCTCCAAACAACGTTCCCCAGCGAACTCATGCAGCTTCCATACTGCTCTATAAGGCATTGATGCTATACTGCGCAGTCAAAGACCTGCGAAGCTACCACTAACGCGTGTATGGCCATGCGAATACGCGCCTCACCGCAGTCACCATCTTCTCAGTTTACCAACACACCTCAATGGCCACGGTCAGAATATGCGTCTGCGGTGACGAGGGCTGTGGTAAGTCCAGTCTTATCACGTCTTTGGTGAAAGATACCTTCGTCAGCAGCAGGATCCAAGCAGTCCTTCCCCAGATCACCATTCCGCCGACCTTAGGGACCCCGGAAAATGTGACGACCACCATCGTGGATACCTCTGCCCTCCCACAAGACCGTGCGAATCTAGCCCGGGAATTGAGAAAATGCAATGTGATTCTCTTGGTCTATTCCGACCACTACAGCTATGAAAGAGTTGCCTTGTTTTGGTTGCCATACTTCCGTTCCCTCGGCGTCAATCTGCCTGTCATATTATGTGCCAATAAATCCGATCTGGTAACCAGCAGTACCCCGGCTCAGATCATGGAAGAAGAGATGTTACCGGTCATGTCAGAGTTCAAGGAGATCGATTCTTGTATTCGCACCAGTGCTCGCAATCATTACAATGTCAATGAAGCCTTTTTCCTCTGTCAGAAGGCTGTTACCCATCCAATCGCACCCTTGTTTGATGCCAAAGAGTCCGCCCTCAAACCCGCGGCTGTAGCTGCTTTGCTGCGCATATTCTATCTGAGCGACAAGGACAAGGATGGCCTGTTGAGTGACAAGGAGATGGAGGAGTTTCAGATCAAGTGCTTTGACAAAGGGCTGAGTCCAGTGGATTTGCAGCATATCAAAGAGACCATTCAGAGCCAGATACCTGGGGCAGCTTCGGACCGCGGCATTACTGCGCAAGGCTTCCTTCTGCTGAACAAGCTCTACGCTGAGAAGGGTCGCCATGAGACGATATGGGTCATTCTCCGCACATTCCAATACACAGACAGCTTGTCCCTACAGGAATCATTCCTCCACCCGAGGTTCGAAGTCCCAGAATATGCATCGGCTGAACTCTCTCCTGCCGGCTATCGGTTTCTTGTTGACCTCTTCCTGACGTCTGATCGCGATAATGACGGCGGTCTAAAGGACGAGGAACTCGCCTCTCTCTTTGCCCCGACACCCGGAATCCCCCAGCTTTGGATCGACAACAATTTCCCTTCCTGCACTGTCCGAAACGACGCCGGGCATGTCACACTGCAAGGCTGGCTGGCCCAGTGGTCGATGACAACCTTCACGTCGCCCAAGACTACTCTAGAATATCTGGCGTATCTGGGGTTTGAATCTCCCGACCGGTCAGATCCCGGCACCACCGCCGCCCTCAAGTTGACGAAACCGCGCAAACGCCGGCGACGGCCAGGACGTGTTGGTCGGAATGTCATTCTTGCTCACGTCCTCGGCGCTCCACATTCAGGCAAGTCAGCTTTGCTCGATGCGTTTCTGGCCCGTCCTTTCAACAATTTATATCTGCCGACAATCCAACCTCGAGTGGCTGTCAATACCGTGGAACTGCCCGGGGGCAGGCAGTGCTACTTGATATTGAAAGAATTAGGCGAGTCGGAGGCTGCGGTACTGGAGAACAAGAGCAAACTGCTGGATCAATGCGACGTCATCGTCTATACCTACGACTCGTCGGACCCAGACTCCTTCGCGTACATCCCCAATATTCGAAAGACTTATCCACATCTCGAAGATTTACCTGCGTTGTACGTTGGTCTGAAGGCGGATCTCGACCGGACCACACAAAGGGCAGAGCATCAACCTGACGAATATGTTGCCCACATCCAACGGATGCCCCAGGGGCCCCCTATTTCCACGAGCGTAACCTGGCCTTCAATCCAGGAGCTTTTTGTGGCTATCTCAGAAGCAGGACTGGAGCCCGTCACAGCATATCCCCGACCGCTTGAAGCAGACGACAACGGACAGCTCATGCGATATGGCCTGGTGTTAGGCGCGGTAGTCTGCGCTGCCGCCGCAGCTGTGGTCATATGGAAAAGGTCAGCCACTCCAGCTGGATGATTCTACAACCCATGATCCGAACAAGTAGGCACGGACGAGTTGTGCGTGGTTGTTGCCGCTTCACTCCGGCATAGTAGACCTCTACCGGCTCCATACCGCAGCTCGAATTCTCTCCCTACTGTAGCTCCGCGCTAGACATGTACCATAGACCAGAGGATATGGACTTGTGTACTTCAACGACAAGAGAGATGACTGCACGTTCGAGGTGTTTATATGTGCAAGAAGCGTATTGTGGTCTGATTCCATGACTCTAGATCTTGTCGTCACTGAAGCCCTGATCAAAGGCAATAGGATGTCCCGGTACAAGAGTAGACAAGTAGCAGAACGAGCCTTATTGTATCCATCGACGTTGTCTGGTTCATCATATCTACAATATAATAATCAGTCGCAATGATACCACTTCCTTGACATCGCTGTCATGTGCAAGCCTCGGCCTTTGAAAGAGGAAACCTCGACGACCCTACTTCTTCTCTTCCTTCTTCTCTTCCGGCTTCGGCGTCGGCAATTTAAACTGTTCCGGCTTTCGATCCATACCCGTTCCGACTTGTTCCCAAGCGCTTGAAGCACCCTCGAAATTTCGGTAGGCCTGCGTCATCTCGAGTGGTTCGACCACAATCCGTTTCTTCTCCTCGTCATATCGAATCTCCGTGTAGCCAGTCAAGGGGAAATCCTTGCGCAATGGGTGTCCATCAAATCCATAGTCCGTCATGATCCGTCGCAAATCAGGGTGGCCTGTGAAGAAGACGCCGAAAAGGTCGTATACCTCTCGCTCATACCAATTGGCTCCATCGTAGAGAGGGGTAATTGATGGCACAGGAGTCGCTTCGTCTGCATACGTCTTAACCCTTATTCTCGAGTTGTGCCGTACACTGAGGAGGTTGTAAACGACTTCGAATCGATAGTTCTTGGTAGGGAAGTCAACGGCCGTGATGTCCGCAACCATCGTGTATTCGGCCGCGGTGTGATATTTCAAGAAGGTGAAGACCGGGATGACACCGCCGGGAGTGATGTAAATGCACAATTCGTCCTTCCAGACCGAGAATTGCTGGATGTATTTCGGGAGGCAGGACATGAGGTACTGGCCATATTCGTGGAGAGGGAGAGCTTTGTCGGCATATTTGTCGGTATCGTTGACAATCGGCGCGGAGAGCTTGCCTGCGGCTGTCTGAGGGTTAGTCTCTCCCATTACCACTCGTCAATACTTTGACTCACGCAATCGAGGTGTCTTTCGCAGCTCGGAGAGCAAATCCGGAGGTGGTTTTCTGAGTTCCTGCGCATCCTCCTTCTCGGCAGCCCGTCTAGCAGAGGAGGAGAATGCGGCGCGCTGAGCGCATCTCGCCGGCTGACGAGCTGCACCGAGAGAGCGCTTGGTGGCTAGGCGCAGCATTGTGTTTGTAGCCGACATTGTCAGCGGCCTATGTATGAATCGCACAGGCTCCGACTCTTACTCTGTAGAGAGCGTCTCTCATCAAGTGAAGGTGATCCAAGGTGTAGTTGAATGCGGTTACCTCTACGCTGGAGCATGTCGCCGGTTGAGCTCAAACCCGCCAAGCCTGCCGAACTGCGACTAAACCCAATCGGGCTCTTAGGCAGCGGCGGCGCAGGTCGCGGGCATCTGGCGCTTTCGATTTATATCCCGTCTGGACACCAGCAACCTTTTGCCTCATCTTCCATACAACTTTCTACATTCTTGCCATCCATCTCCCACGCGCTACCATCCAGTACCTTAATCACCCCATCGCGCCCTTTTGCGCCTGATATCACTTGTATATATCCCGGCGCTCTAATCATAATACCTCAGACCTGTCCACCAGTGCATGGAGGACTTTTCCACCCTGCAACGAGAGGTGAAGGAGTTGAAGTGGTGGAACAAATCATAGCGAGCCTATCACATCCACAGACATGAACAGATCGCAGGATACAGTCATCGACGATGACGAGGAAACTTGGTATGTGGTTAATACATCTGCCTCGCGGCTGTTGCATAGATGGTGTGCTAACTCTTTCTAGCCCATTATGTATCGAAGAGTTTGACCTTTCGGACAAGAACTTCAGACCCTGTCCTTGTGGCTATCAGGTATGTACATATTGCTGTCCAACTCCCTGTCGTAAATTCCCTAGCCATCCCCGGAGTCACTCAGCTGCGTCGCTCAACTTATGACGCCTTTACTAACCGTGAATTAGATCTGTCAATTCTGCTTCAACAGTCTCAAGAACACATACGAAAAGAGTACCTGTCCAAACTGTCGACGACCATACGATGAGAAGACAATACAATATAAAATACCCACTGCAGAAGAGTTCAAGCTCGATCAGTTGAACAAAAACAAGAAGCAGGCCGCGGCGAAACGAAAAGAGACAGAAAAGCGTGAAGTCGAGAACTCTTCCCGTCGAAACCTAGCTGGTGTGCGCGTCAAGCAACAGAACCTTGTCTATGTTATCGGCCTGATACCACAGATCAAGGACGAACAAGCTCTTCTCCAGACACTGCGGGGTCCGGACTACTTTGGTCAATATGGCGAAATCGAGAAAATCGTGGTCAGCAAGGCTAAACCGGGAGCGGCCAACCAAGGCATCGGAGTCTATGTCACGTATGCGCGCAAGGAAGATGCTGCACTTTGCATCAATACGGTTGACGGTTCACTCAACGGCGATCGCGTCTTGAGAGCGCAGTACGGCACTACAAAGTACTGCTCGGCCTATCTTCGAGGGGAAACGTGCAACAACAAGAACTGCAGTTTCTTGCACGAAACAGGCGAAGATGGACAGCATACCTCCTTGCAGAATGAGCCACATGGTCCACGAAGAGTGACCGCCATATCGCAACCAACTCAGGTATCTGCCCCGGCGCGACCCCTATCAGCGGCACAGAATCATGCGGCGACCCAACCGATGGCTCGGCAAGGTAGCAAAGACGACCATGACAGCAGAAAGAACAGTCATGACGGGTCCGCCTTGCCCTCGACTGCAAGTTGGGCCACTGCAAATGCAAGCATCGCAAGAACAAGACGTGCGAGCCAGGCAAACAGTCGAGCAACCCCAAGTCCCCAAATCGCTCATGCCTCGATGGCATCCAGTTCCCAGAAGGTGGACGAACCCAAGGCCAAGGAAATTGCTCCCCTGGCATCGACCACGCCCGCGTCCGCGCCCTCGCCCTCGTCTGCACCCAAGATTGCCACACCTAAATCATTCCCTTCATCATCGAAACGCCCGAGGACCACTGCGGAGCTTGCACAGCAGCAGTTTGACGAAGTTGTACGGAGGATCATGCCTAATTACCGATTCGTGTTCGATGAATCAGCTCTCACCCCCGAGATGCGAGCGGAAATTGAACACATGCCACGATTGATTGACCCGTACGGTGGTCTGAAACGCCTCGCCATGCGTGAACGAGCTGAAAAAGAACGAGCCAGGCTTGAGGCCGAGGCAAAAGCCAAACTCGAGGCACAGGCGACCTCTTCCGCAGAGGAGACACTCGACGAAGATCATATGGTTGCCGGCAGCCTTGCTCTTGGTGGCGAACCTGAAGACGATCCCAGAAGTTCGTCCGCTCGTGGAGCTATCGGTCGTCCATCGCAATCCGTGGCTGACCAACTCTCTTCGCTAAGTTTGGATTCCCGCAGCCTGACTCCTCAACAGCGGCAACAACTGGCCTTCCAGCAAGCATCTGGGATCGGTCAATCAACCACGCCAAACACCGCTTTCGAAATGTCAGACTTTGATCGACGAGGGCCACAGTACAGCCAAGCGCAGTTTGAACAGATCAACAGTCATCAGCGCCACGGGTCTCGGTATTTCAACACCGACGCGAAGTCTACCAGTACAGGCCGTTTTCAGGGTCAGGGTCAAGGTCAAGGCCAAGGCCAACAGCAGACGTTCTATTCCAGCGGTGTCCAAGGGCCTCCTCCCGGCTTGCCAACGGCAGGAACTCCTCCTGTCAGCGGCGGTGGTATGTTTGCTCATGGTCAGAACTTCACCAATCCCGGCTTTGGGACTTCCAAGGATGCGAACACCGAGATCTATGCAAGGAATCGAAGCGGGACGAATCAGGGTCATGACATGTCTAAGCGTGAGTTACTCCTTTCCTTGCAGAATAATCCCCTTGGTTCACCCTCACTATCGGCCCCTGCCCCTGGCGCTCTGAGCCCGCTTCACAGCCAGTTTCAAGGAACCTACCAAGATCCTGGGCTGGTCAAGCAGAAGAAAAAGGGGAAGAAGCACAGGCACGCTAACACTTCCTCTTCAGGAGGTGGTGTCGAGCATCTTGCAGACCCGAGCATCGTAACAGCAAGAGTACACCAGGGCGGCACGACAGGGCAGGGGCTCTTTGGGGGTAACCAAGGTGGGTACCAGAACTCGAACCTGATGTACGGTGGCGGCGGTGGCGGGTACAATCGATGGTGAAACGACGATTTTTTTTCTGGACGACGGCTGCCTCTTTCTATCTTTTTTCAACCTCGATGGATTCTTGTTAGGCGTTGGTCGGTGCCAAATTACCACTTCGGAACAGCGAGCAAGCATAAGTTAGTAGCTGAGATGGCGAAAGCTTCGGGGAGTCACGGCATGGGTCTCAACGGTTCTCTTCCCGGGCGAGTGAGGAAACATCACCCCAACTATTCTGTCGGCATCGGGCTTTTCTACTCCAAGCGATATCACGCGATCCATTTCACGGCTATGATTGATGTATGTTAGTACCCTTCTCCTGACCATACTACAAGTCAGGCAGATGAAAAAACGACTTCTTACTCAAGATTCAGGAGTTTGTTTCAAGACCAAATGTAAAACTTGTGCTGGATGGACCGCGCGATACGAAAAGCCTGGTTGCTTGTGCCCTTGCGTGTATTTCAAGAGCCGTCGTCGCGTACCCGCCGCCGTCGTCATGGTTCTGGGTGCCTTGCGTCTGCTTTTTGTCTTTCCAGTCGTTCTATATACTAACTTTGCTATACAGTGGACGACAAGAACTTTCCGCCGTTACCGTTGCGTGCAGAGTCACGCGATTCACCATTACATTCACGAGTGTCATCCTACCATAGTCTCCAAAGTGCGGGATATCGATCAACAACTCCTAGAATTCCACCTGGCTTTGAACTAACCCACGGTCATCCATTGCCGCCCTCGCGACAAGGAACGCCTGCTCGCACAGATCAGACTGTGCGACGCGATACGCCTAGTGGTTCTGCGACTGTGACTCCTGCAGTTCCGCTGGTTCCCTTGGGTCCACGCGCATCTACACCTAGGCTGAAACTATCAGAGACGCCAAAGGACGCCGACGAGGAGCCATCTGTTCTACTGAGGAAGCAACGGCTCGGATCAAGCGAAATCAGCCTTGGCTCGCCCAAGCTGCGAACAAGCCGATCAAAAGCTGAGTTAGACAAGAAGTTGGAGTTGGAAAAGGTTGAAGAAAAGCGGGAGAAGAAAGATGAGCCTCAGACTCCGGTAAAGAGTGGAGATGTCAAAGGCAAGGGAAAGGTTGTCGCGCAAAAGTCTGAGAAGATAGAGTTGCCAAAGGCTCCACCGGAACCGTTTGTTCCTGAGGACAACAAAGACAAACCTGCAACTCCCGTTCTGGATTCAGCAAGCGTTGCTACGCCCGGCACGTCAAGTTCACGCCCAGCGACTCCGGCTGCCACCACCCCATCTGAGGCGTCTAAAGTGTCCATGCCCAGACCTAGGACCTTGCGTTTAACCACTGGTACAACCACGAAACCGGCGGAATCGGTCCCAACTCCTGCTGCCGCAGAGAAGCCAAGCTTTTTACCTCCCATTTCAGCTGCGAAGAAAGGGTCTAGGAGACCTTCACTCTCGTCTGTACAACATAGCAGGCCGTCAACACCTGCAATTTCGGAACGACAGCACTCGCATGACGCCTCCCGTGCCTCCTCTCCTCCGCATAGTATCGTTGGCTCTGCGCCGGAACGGGTGAAGAGCAAAAACCAGCAGAAGAAAGACCGCAAGGAGAAAGCAAAACGATCGACTGAAGTGACTGACGCCGTTGTAGACACCCCACCGCCACCTGCGGTCGAAGAAGTTGCGCCTGTCATCGCTCGGCAGAAAAAGCAAAAGAAGAGAGTCGAAAGCAGTACAACAGCAAGCATGGATGACCCGACGAAGGGTCGAGAAAAGCCCGAAAAGTCAGGGTCGGCCACTGCAAAGCAAGACGCTGCAGCAGACGCTGCTGTGAGCACCAAGAACGCAGGAAAGGAAAAGGCTTTACCTTCTTCCAGCAACACAACGGGAGGGACGGCGATGGCTACTCCTACTCCTCCGCCCTCAACTCCAAAGGAAGAGCAGGCGACCAAGACTGAAGATAATGTGCGTGTACCCTACACACTACGTGATCTCTACAACGATGCTGGCAGGCTTGCTGGGAGCGTGGATGCTTCCAACGCTGTGCAGAAGCTGCTGCAGGAACATGTCTCACCAATGCCCAAGATCATCTCATCCATGATCCAGTCAGGAGATCTATCCAAGGACCACCCTTGGCTCAACCCGCCCAACTTCACTTCCGCGGCGTACAAACTCCCTTCAGACTCCAGGCGTGGCCAAGACTACCTTGATGGAAACGGATACAGCGCAAACGATGCCTTTGGCTATATCTACCTGCCGCTCAAGGAAAGACAGGCGCTTAAGGATGGCCACGCTGTCAGCGTTGCGGATGCAGGAGAGCGGAAAGATGATTTGCTCAAGAGATGCCTTGTAACCCCCAACGGCTGGGTTCTCAGACATCTGAGTGGGGACGAAAGTGAAAAGGTTCTCGAGCTGGAAGAACGCCGGCAGATGTATGTTGAAGAATTTGGCGACGTCGGTGCCATGGACGGGCTTGGTGTTCTCGAACCGGATGACTACACGAACTTGGGTGGCGGTATGGAACGACTGAGTCGCCATGGCGAGCGGCACGGAGTGATCTGGGTCATGGGTGATGCCGATCAGCTGGGTGAAGAAGATGACTTCGATACATTCGATGACGAAGACGATGAGCTTGCTGGTGACGTCGGCGTTAGTGACGACGAAGAGCCAATCTTGGACGACGAAGGTCTCATTGAGCCGGACGAGGATACGCTTGACCATCATCCGAGTGCCAGTAGCCCTGGTACTTGGGATCTCCCACCTCGCAGCTCAAACAAGCAGACCGCCGGACGCGCCACCTCTCTGCCTGCTCTGTCAACGCAGCCAAAGTCTCAGGCTCCAGCTCTGCCAGGTAAAGGTCGGCCAGAAACCCTTCCCCAGCCTCGAACCGGCGGGACCAACAACGCCACCGCAGCTCAGAATCCTAATGTGAACCTTCGTGCCATGGACGCAGACAGTCTACAGAAGCGCGTTACCGAGAAACAGAAGGAGCTTGAACAATCGCGTAAAGAGATGGAAAAGATCGAGAAATTGTGGAACAAAAAGTCCAAGGACATTGCACGATGGAGAGAAGGATTGGCGAAAGGCTAGAAACCGACACACTCATCGGGGTTCAAAAAGAAACCAACGACGGCCGGTCATCCCAGGAAATGGACCAACGACATCCTGTTTTTCCAACGGGGTCTCTTTCCTGCCGATCCTACAAGGCTCCGGACCTGGACCGTTCAATACACACGGGAGCAGTTGAAGGGCAGAGGCAAAGTGAGCTCCTAATATCGATCACTCTCAGAGTCTGGGTTGATTTGTATTGTACCTCTCAGACGGCCTCCGCTCGAGGGATCTATGGTTTCACGTCAACCAGAGACGGAGAATGGAAGCAGACATCACTTGGAAAAGGAGAAGTTCTTTTTTTTGTATCACTTGGAAGTTTCTTGCATGGCAGGATGGCGCATACTTGTTTTGTACCACTCTCATTGATTCGGCTTGGGCTTTGGGCTTTGGACTATCCTTAGAGATAGGGCTTCCCGTGGCCTTCGAAGCCGGGTTACTTACTTGCAAGCGCAGTCTGGAAGCCACAGTCAGGCAAGGCGGTTTGGTCAGGATCATGAATAGTAAACAAGCATTGGAATCAAACAATGACGTTCATTGCCTCTCTCTATCTCTCCCTCTGTGTGTCATCCAGGAGTAGAGTGGCATCTCGTTTCATCCATCCCCTAGCTCAATCCCGCCATGTTTGTGTGTGTGTGTGTGTGTGTGTGTGTGTGTGTGTGTGTCTGTGTGACCCCAGCAAAAATTCCGCCATGTCTTCCTTTCCAGCTTGGTTCCTCCAGTCCTCCATTCCTCCATGTCGTTGTTGTCGTTGTTACCAGCTCAATACTGCCATGTCTGTCTCTGTCCAGTTTGATTCCGCCATCTCTGCCTTTCCAGCTTGATTCCTCGTTTCCTCCATGTGGTTGTGGTTGTGGTTGTTGGCAGCTCAATTCCTCACATGTGTGTTTGTTTCCAGCTTGATTCTGCCATGTGTCTCTGAGTGTTGTGTGACTTTAGCAAAATTCCACTGTGTCTTTGTCTCCAGCTTGGTTCCTCGATTCCTCCATGTGGTTGTGGTTGTGGTTGTTGTCAGCTCCATCCCGCCATGTCTGTGTGTTTCCAGCTCGAATCCGCCATGTTTGTTTGAGTGTGTGTGACTTCAGCAAATTCCGCCATGTCTTCGTCTCTCATTCTGATTCCTCAGTTCCTCCATGTGGATGTGGTTGTGGTTGTTGCAAGCTCGAATCCGCCATGTGTGAGTGTGTGAGTGTGTGAGAGAGAGGGGGAGAGAGAGAGAGTGTGTGTGTGTTTCCAGCAAAAGAATCCGCCATGTCTGCGTCTCCAGCAAAATCCCGCCATGTCCATGTCCATGTACCAGTTGGTCAACGAGCGCGCCGCATCCGGTCTCAGTCAGCTCGCTTTCTCTTGTCCCCAGTCATCGGACCTGGGGCTGGCGCCGGGGCAGGGCCTGCTGCAGCGGTCGCGCCATCGGCAATCACACGCTGCAGGCGTGAGCTCAGGTCATCCACATCTAACCTCCTCGCATATAGCGAGGCCACTGGCATCGCCGGCGGAACCGGAGCCGGAAGGGCAACAGCAAGACCAGGCTGGGCCTGTGCCCTCGCTGTGACCAACCGGTCGGCGACCTTCTGCTCACGATCGCGGATGGCCTTGTCCCTGGCGCCGTTGAGCATGCTGACTTCGACCTTCATCTGCGGAAGGACGTCGTTGACTCCGGTGACAGGAGCCCCATTCGCCTGCTTGAACACCCGTAGCGTAGCCCGGACGTTGCCGTCCTTTGGGTACGTCTTCTGCTTGAATGTGTCAGGGATTATCGCGTCAATGTGACGCACAGGGCCAACGCCAGCAGCGGGCGGCCAGAGATCGATCATGCGGATGATACCGCTGGTTGCCGGGTCCGGCTGTCCCGGGGCCACGGCGGCGTAAAATTCGATCGTCATGACCCCCCGCTGCCGATCGAAGTACAGAGACACCAGGTGCCTCAACACGTTCTCCACGTGAAACACCACCGGCGTCTGTCGCCCGTAGGCGTTCGGATCTTGCTCGTAAGTACGAGCGAGCCCTGGTGGCCATGACGCCGGTGGTGGTGCCGTCAGTGGCTGCTGTGGTGGTGGTGGTGGCAGCTGCGCCTGCGCCCGCGCCAGCGCCTCCGCCAGCAGCACTGGCGTGCTGGTAGGAGGAGAAGGGATGGAGGAGGAGGTCGACATGTTGTCGTCGTCGAGCCCTTGTCTGGCTCGAGGAGGGAGAGGGAGAGGAAGAGGAACCGTCAATGCAAGACGGCGGCGGAGGGGGAGGGTTTGGAAAAACTCGGGCAGTCTGCCCAGCCGCTCGATCTGAGCTGTGAACGCTTCAGGAGCGAAATAATGAGGAGGCGCCATCTTGGCAGTGATTGTGCGTGGGAGGAGGGCGAGGAGAACGAGGAGTGCGAGGAGAAATGGTATCGCGACAATGAGGAGAAGAAGTTATGATGGTGCGCGAGAAGGAGGAGGAGGAGGAGAAAACCTGCCGCACCTCTGTGTTGTTGTGGTTCCATGACCGCACAGTGAATTTCAAGTGAGAGGAAGGTCAGGTGCATTCACTGAATGTGTATAGACAAGGCGGTCGTCTTGAGCACAAGGCTGGATGTGACTTGGGGTATAGGGCAGCCGCCCTGAAGGCAGAGCTGAATTAGGCTTGGATGATGGACGGCGGCCCCAGGTACAGTATCAAGTTCAGCTTGACTGAAAGGCGAGCACCCAGATGGTAAGGTAGAAAGCATTTTAAATGATGGACGGCCGCCAGAATGACAAGAGTGATCACAGCTTGGGTAGAAAACACACACCCGAAACATAATATAAAATATAGCTCTAAGATAGGGAGAGCGCCCACAGTATAAAGCTGGAGATGATCTTCAAGAGAGACGTGCTCCCATAAAGAATAAATACCAGGTAGGAGTTTGATGGGGGTGTTCATAAGAGTCAAACATTGTTGTGAGGATACTTTCAACCGGGTGCTTACCAGGACAATATATTGCTGTCTTTCGCACAGGAGGTCATCAAAGGGACCATGGAGAACAAGGTACACCCTTGAAGACATGTAAGCATTTGTCTTCATTGCATTCCCTACCTGTCTTGACAATGGACTGTCCCTGTTCACACCTGACAACCATGTATTGTTTGGATGAAGAGGAACATGCCAGGGGCAAGGCTGTGTGATCAGGAGAGTTGAAGTTGGGATTGACGTCTTTTCCAATAGGGATCTTAAGTCTAGCGGTAGTCAGCTATTAGACATATTTTGCTGACAGCCACCACTAACTCTTTAAGAATGCTTGGCTAATGTTTTGGCTGGATGCATCTGGAAATGATCCAACTTCAAGTTGACCATGTGGCATTCAACGCCTACACGCCGAACGTACCGTTGCAACACACTTATATTGGGAAGAGGTTGAGCCCGAAGTCGTCCCCGACCAGAGGACAACTGACGAGGTCGTATCCTCTCCCTCCAGCCATGTCGTACGCTGTCGAGACCAAGAAGCGGAAGTTCGACCGCATCCTTGAGGCCTTGACCGACGGAGCAGCATCTCCCGTTCGAAGTTCACTCAATTCGCAAAACAACACCTCTACCACCTCCCTCTCTCAAGATACAGCCTCAGATTCCTCCAAGCGGCGTCGCATAGCGAGCACTTCCAAGACAACTGTCACGACATCCTCGACCACAACTCTTATAGGACACTACCTGCCCTCAAGCCGGACGGCGTTTCTACAACGACTGGAAACATTCCGACACGTCACTCAATGGCATATTCCCTCGACAGAACCGATCAATGCTGCTGCCTGGGCGAAACGGGGATGGATATGTGTGGACACGGACACGGTGTCTTGTGGTGCGTGCAAAGAACGACTGCATATCGATCTAAGTGTGGACAACGACGTGCTGCAGTCAGAAGAGAACGATACTGAAGAGGACCGTGACGTGACTGGGGCAGATGATAGCTTTGCAGTCGCGACAGATGTATACGACAGCATGGTCCGGCGGTACCAGGACTTGATAGTGACTGCGCATGCTGAAAACTGTCTTTGGCGCCGGAGGGGGTGTGATTCATCCATTCAGCGCATCGAAGGCCTGTTGAATACGAACTCGGCCCTCGCAGGGTTGAGGACTCGCTACGACAGCATCATGACGCGTCCAGAAGAAGTCCCGGAAGTTCTTCCCTTGCCTGCTGCATCTGCCATGGATCCCCAGGAACTGGGGCAATTCCGATTTTCCAGTGGGGATCAACCGAATATCAACGCTCTGCGACTGGCGATCTGTGGCTGGGAGAGGAAAAGCGAAGATGTGATTGAGTGCCGACATTGCTTCCGATCCTTGGGCCTGTGGTTATATCGAGGTGACTCACCTGCCGTGGAGAACCTGGACAGCGTGGAAGATCATCTCGAGTACTGTCCATGGCGGTCGGCCGAGGCGCAGGATACGGAGCGCACTGTCGGGACGAGTCAAGAGAGCGAACAAGAGCCGAAGAAAGAGCGAGTGTCTGGTTGGATGTTGGTGTACCAAGCGGTGGTCAAGGACAATGTCAAGAGAAGAAACTCGACACCATCGGCAGCAACAGCAGCAGCCAACCCCGGACTTGGTTCGGAGTCCGAGACAGCATCCGTCAGTCAGACTTCAGCCCCTTTGACGCCGGAGCAACGAGAGAAGAGGATGAGGGATTTATTACGCAGGATTAAGGAGATTAAGAAACCGTTCAACGTCAAGGGGTTGTTGAAACGGAAGGGCAGAGGATAAGGGCAAGACTTGACCGGATGGCGTTTGTTGGGCACGCCTCAGCCCGGTATCACGAATGTCTCCCTACGAACAACATTTCTGTAGCATCGTACCAGAAGATACTAGCACTAAACCATGGATTCATATTATGATGATCAGTTCACGTGTGCGGCTCTTGTCCTAACAGTTCGGAATGGTACTCGGGCAGAAGACGGCAGCCGTGGAAGCAAGCCAGGTCATCGGGCCGAGACATACAAGGAGGGACGGGGTGCAATGCGATGGCCGGGTGTGACTCGGAAGCTGTTGTAAACCGGCGCTCTAGGAGTCCACCATGTTCAAGTAGCCTCATTTGCTACAGAGTTTATTTTTCAAAGCTTTGGACGTGGGGGTGCGAAGACTTGAGGCCGTGGGAGATATGGATCGTGTTGTCAAACTAGTGCAGGCTTCGGCCGCGGGCGATGGACCGGTGGGACATTTGATGCTAGAGGAGAAGCAAGGCTGAGATATGTACGTGAGAGAGGACATCTCAGACTGCAAACTGGGAAGACCAGTGGTGATATGGAGTATCTTGACAACTCGAACGTGATAGCAGATAAACAGGTATCATCTACCTGACAATTATGTACCATCATGCCTCTCTGTGACAATGTTGTCCACAGTACAAAAGATGGCTGTGGTTAACAAATGCCGGGACCTGTAAGTACGGTTAGGGACGGATAGGGTGGGACTAGTAGCTTAGGGAGCTTATCGACCCGGCCTAACCCCCAGCACCGAAGGAAATAGCGGGTGCGGTGCCCCAGATTGACCCTTAGGCTGGGAAGCTACTGGGCAACTTAGGCCTCCTTAGGCTGAGTCCCCCACATCGGGATTGACATGCCCACCTCGGCGGGGGGCAATGCTATGCCAGTGGTGCCTGATCTTCTTCGCAACCACTTGAATCCCACGCCTAAGGCTGAGCCTTAATGCAGCTCATCCGGCCGAGGCTTCATCGACCGAGACTCCTCCGAAGCACACAGGCATATGCCATCTCTTGAGATGACTACCGGTACCTACGTACACACTACACACATCATCCATGGAGGGAGATTGAACCCACGAAAAGACCGGCAATGACTCCTTACTATTCGTCCACACCCTGTTCCACCAACTGCGGGAACATCGACAACTCCGGTGACTTGGTATCTCGTTCCTCACCTGGCCACGACGATGCGTATGGGATTGGGTTCCCCATCCGAATCTACCCGCTTCCACCCAATAGTGTTGCAGGCTCTATTCCGATGGACGAGGGAGGAGAGAACTGCGCCTTGGTATCAACCAGATTGGTATGGGTGGGAAGGGGACCAGCAGATCTTACGGGTTCAAGTTGGTTGGGGCAAACTTGAAGAGCAGAAGTCAAAGAAGGTCTGTGGGAGACATGTGACAACGAGACATTACTTCTGCTCTACCACTGGCTCAATACTGTCAAAAGCATGGAGGATGAACAGTGGTGGTGAAGCTAGTTCTGTGACCAGTGTGGTATAGCAGCAGGGATGCGTCAGAGGCTGAAGCTGCACCATCCGACAGCACAACGCCTTCCGCGAGGAGTTTCTGGTGCAATGAGCCGGACTGGTAGATATCATATGAGTAGGTAGAGATGATATAGATAGACAGGCATACTCATCAACAGGAGAGAAGGCTGTAGGGTTGCTGCCATAACCTGCACTGCTACAGCATCTGTCTGTCTATACCACTGCATCCTCAAACTTCCCCGCATCTTCAGCGACTGCGCTTCTCTCTCTCATTTCCGACTCTAGAAGCCGTGTATTTCCTCGTGGTCTCCTCCTCCATCCAATCCACGGGCCCCCATTACCCAGGGTTCCGGTGGAGGCAGCCAATTCCATCCCGAATTCAGTGCCAGGGCCAGGGCCAGGGACCGTGTCCTTGGTCAACTGCCCGGTTTGTCCCAATCCATCAATCAGACTCAAGCCGCCAACGGGAGAGCATCCTTCCTCCACCACACCTCAACCTGTCTCCTCTTCACTTTGCGGAGTTCCCTACTCACACCGACAGCCATCTTCCGATCGGGCCTGTGGCTGGTGTTCCCACTTACCTTCATCAGACAGACTTACCAGTATACTTCTTTCACCATCTTCTCCTTTTGGATGTCTCGATACCCATCTGTCGCCCACTGACCAAGTTGGCCTCGACTCGAGAGAAGAACGACCACAGCCTCGTCCTCACCAACAGCGCCCGTCTCGGTCTCAGTATCCAGATCGCTCTGAGCCAACCACCTTCCGGACCACCGCTGCAAAAGGAGATTCAGTGTCGAGGCTTGTTGTGTCCAACTGGTAAGTCCAATGCAGCGTAGTGACCTGTGATACTTCAACATAGGGACATCTTCAGCAGTCTTGCATCTTCTGCAAGTCCCACTGTCGAAAACAGAAATCTTCCAGCCATATGTCGGGATATGCTAACGGGGGTGGTGTAGCCTACCTAGATACACTCAGTTCTCAACCTCGCTCACCGTCCGGTCGTCTCCTCCTCGCATCCCGCTACAATGTCAGGTAGCACCGCCAACCGCATCAAGGAAAGTGCTCGCTCTGCAGCCACGAAAGTAGAGGGCGCTGCTCAAGAGGCCGTGCATAATCCGGCCCAGGCCAAAAATGACTTTCTCCATTTACCTGTCACCCGAGCCGCCCTCCCTTTTGTCAATGGAGGTCTGGCTGGCATGTTCGCAACGGCTTGCATCCAGCCCATAGACATGGTCAAGGTGCGCCTGCAACTGGCAGGAGAAGGTGTCAAGACAGGACCCAGGCCAACGGCTCTGGGCGTCACAAGGGACATCATCAGCAAAGGAAAAGTGCTCGACCTGTACACCGGTCTCTCCGCAGGTCTGTTGCGGCAAGCCGTCTACACCACGGCAAGATTGGGGTTCTTTGACACTTTCCAAACGAGGTTGCAGGCAAGGGCGGAAAAGAAGGGCACAACGATCGGATTTGCGGAGCGAGGGGCTGCCGGATTGGCGGCGGGAGGACTGGCTGCCATGGTAGGAAATCCTGCTGATTTGGCTCTGATTCGAATGCAGTCCGATGGCCTGAAGCCGAAAGAGGCCAGGGCCAACTATCGCTCCGTCTTCGATGCTCTCACGCGCATCGCGAAAGCCGAAGGCATCAGCGCTCTGTGGGCGGGCGCTTACCCCACCGTCATTCGGGCCATGGCCCTCAACTTTGGCCAGCTCACCTTCTTTGCCGAATCCAAGGCCCAGCTGAAGACTCGTGCGCCAAATCTCTCGGAAAGTGCCAATCGATTCGGTGCTTCAGCGATTGCCGGGTTCTTCGCCTCGTTCTTTAGTCTGCCTTTCGACTTCATCAAGACTCGATTGCAGAAGCAACATAAAGGTCCCGATGGCAAGTTGCCGTACAATGGATTCCTTGATTGCGCCAGAAAGGTCATCCGCGATGAGGGTGCACTCAGGTTTTATCGTGGGTTCGGTACCTATTATATCAGAATCGCACCGCATGCGTAAGTCCACTCCCTCTGCTTTTTGAGGACAAATAAGCTGACCCGAAACAGGATGATCACCTTGATTGTGGCCGATTATTTGAAGTTGATTACGTCTTGAATATGCCCTTTTGGATACGATATGTGAAAAACTCGCCGTGAAGAATGCGTCGACTGCGAAGGTTGGAATAACGCACGCGAAAGGCGCCTCATGCTTGACTGAAAGTGAATGGCCACAGAGTGAGCCAGGGTGTGAGTTGTCGCAACAAGGTGGAAGAAGATGAGGTACCGCCAACTGACGGCGGGATGTTCTCCCACACTTATATCAGGGGTGACTCGGCGAGTGTCTGGTCAGCTCTCAATGGCAGGGATATTTATACCACTCGGTAGATTTCCATGTCACATAGTACATAGTCATGCACAAGCAGCCCTTTGGATGGTTTTGAATAGTTTGTGTAGCGCACAGTCTTGACCAGTAGATGAACATCACAAAGGATGGAGGACAGATCTGTGAAATGCTTCCATGGAGAAGGAAAAGGCCGGAGATCTGGCCGCTTTTGTCCGTCCGTCTTCGGAGCAACTTCAGCCGAGGCGCCATCGGCGTTATTGTCTAATTCTTCCGATGAGCCACCGCGTTGGAGGAAAGTCTGCCGAGTGCTGGTTCTTTTGTTCTCACGACTGGAAATATGCATCGAGGGTGGAAAACGAGACATTCAGCCTCGCCACTCTCCTACGACGAGTATGATCCTAGCGGAGAACCACCATGAGCGCCTCACTTCTTCTACAAATCGTCCTCATCGGCACCCAAACCCACTACGAGTCTCGAGGACTGATCGATGACAAGAGACTGGAACACCTGTTGATCGCCGGGAAACAAATCTTGTACAAGTCACACCAAGAGAGCGATGTCCGATCCTCGTTAGGTTTCAACCCCCGAACATGGGAGGGTCTGACGAGGGTGTTGACGGTTGCCATTCCGTCGTTGGAGCAACAATCTTTTGCCTGGAAGAACCCTACTGCGTCAAGCTTCAATGGCAGTAGTTCTGACCTGATCGCTGCACACTACCTGTCCCTTGTCAAGGACATTGAACGATTAAACGATCTTTGCACAATCGCCAGAAACCTCCTCGCGACCACCAAGAAGGCGCAAAATCTCGCGGCCGAAAAGGGCTTCGACCAGCAGATCCTCAAACTGATCGACGTGTGCGTGCGAGTGACGGCTCGAGGATTCGATGGCGAGGCCAACCCGCGAAATGAAGAAAGATGGCAAAAGGTGGTGCATCTCTACAAAAGATTGTTGATCACCTGTCTCCAGTTCTTGCATAATTTCATCATGCACAACGAACAGCGAAAATTGGTACTGTGGTTGGATCTGTTCGGACAAGCGCAGACGCACGAGAACGAACAACTGATCCAAGAGCCACCGGCCAGTCAGGAAGATAAAGAGCACATGGCCAAGGAAGAGAGAGTCAGGTCAACCGCAGAGCAATTGCCCCAAAAGAGTCGGTCGGCGTCGAATGATGCATTGGGATACAACATTGACGACGTGCATGCTCTTTTCGATCTTATGAGCACAAGTAAAGAATCGAACAAACATGCTCAAGCCGCCGCTAAAGTGTTGATGGACAAGATTCGCACGGATATGGAGAAATTGTCGGGGATGAATGCCACTCAATTGGATGCCAACCCAGACGCTCTCCTCAAAACAGGCGCCGACTTGCGGGCGCAAATGCCTAACAGAGAAGAATCTGCGCCTGCGTCTCAGCCGGAAGGGACATCTGAAGAAACTGGCCCAGACGGAGTCAAGGCTACCGGCGAAGCTCGCCCAACGCACTGGAGTCATCTGCCGGATCTCGGCTCATATGGTGATCTGGGCGAGTCTGGTCAAGAGTTGACCGAGGAAGACAAGACCATGCCTCGGACCGCTCAATCAGCGGCTGCTACGTTACAGGAGGCCAAAGATGAGTTGATGGCACGCTTGCATGAATCCACCTCGGCACCTGTCCTCGACGAAAACGGTGATCCCGCGTACGATGAGGATGGAAATCCTGAAGCAGAACTGGAAGATGACCTGGTCGATAGTGTCGAAGATAGTATGGAAGAGGAGGAGGACGACGATGACTACTATCGTGCGACTGGGGATCAAGAAAGAGGCCTCCTGACAGATGTGCCTCTGGTCCTTGGTCCGACGGAAATCGAAGCTCTTCCAATGATCATCCAAGCAGGGATTGTGGACAATTTCGGAGCAAAGAATGGTGACCGGCAAGGCATCAAAAATATGCAAGCCGTCCGCTGTCATATCCTCCTGGCACAAGAAGCTGGCCGCAACGTCTTGCGGGAATTACTCATCTTTATCGCTGCATGGGATTTGCCGGATGATGAGTTCTATTTTAAGATGATGGTACAAATCATGGAAGCGATTCTCAAGAATGGACTCATGTCCCATGCTTATTCCGACTTTGGCCAGCCGAAAGATATCATATCCCCCGCCCAAGCAGTCGTCATCAAGATCCTCACACACATTTTCCGCGCGAAATACAGTCCAGCCTCTGTGGCGGCAAAGTCGAACGAAAAGGCTTCGCCGAAGCCTCGAGTACCGGCAGCTCTAAGCAGAGTTGATGTTTTGACCGTTCGGTATATCTTCATTGTGTTCCGTGGCAACATCATTCCAGAGACTTGCGCTCTAATATACCTGCAAGGGCAGATCCGGGCTGGACTGGCTTTAGCCGAAGATTTCCCTCTCAATCTGTGGGACATGGAACGCGTGTACGAGGGCGTATACCAGTTCCTGGAATTCTTTGCCGTCTTGACCGAGAACAACGAATGGAAGGAACTTTTGGTCAAGTGGGAGATTGTCTACGATCTCGTTACGTTGCTCAAAGAACTCGACCACAGTATCGCCAAAGTGCCACTTACACAGACGATACCTCCAGCCAGGACAGATGGCACTGCGAACGGTGCGGCTACTGGCAAAGCCGACTTCAATACCCAGACCGCAGCAGCTGTGTCTGTCGAACGGCCTTATGACGCCTCGACGGTCGACCCCATGACACAGCAATCTCAAGGTCAAGCGACGGCCAATAAAGAACCGGCGCCCGCTGCATCCAATTCGCCACCACCACCAGCTGTGACGGAAGAACCGGCCGATTTCGAATGGCGCAATCTGAAGAAACTGATAGTGTTGGTTCTGTCGAGTCTCGTCTGGAAGTCTCGAACCGTACAGGACCAGATTCGACAATACGGCGGAGTTGAGACGATCTTGAGCTGCACCCAATATGATGGTGAGTTTGCCTAACTGTCCACAACCCTAAAAAATTCCGTAGAGTTTGCGTGACTGACTCAATATGTTAGCTTGCAACCCATACATCAAAGAGCATGCAGTCATGTGTCTCAAGTTTCTGCTGGAAGACAACCGCGAGAACCAGGCTCTCGTGTCCAATCTCGAGGCGCGGGAAGTCCAGACGGAACCCGCGCTCAAAGACAAACTCGACCAGATGGGCGTCAGTGTCGAGTTGGGCGAAGACGGCAAACCCAAACTGACCGGACGTGCGCGCGGAGGACCCAGGAGAAGTTCTTGGCTGGCCAATCTGGCCGCGGCCGACAAGGAGAGGAAGAAGGCGAAAATGTATGCTAGACAGAGCAACGGGTTTGTCGGCAACGACATCGACCCGGACGGCGACCTGTACGGGCCCGATGATGTCTTTGGGTCTCATACGGAGCCTTTGAAGCTTGACAAGGGCAAGTCGAGGGAAATTGTGCCTGACGACGAGGGTGAGGATGAACATGAGCGTGAGCGTGAGCGTGAGCAGGCGCAGGATGGTGAAGATGACATTGAGTTCATGTGAGTTGAGGCAGGGTGGTCGCTTGCTATCTGATGGGTGGCCGGGAAGATATCATTACGCTTCAACTTGAGCTACAAGTTGTAGATAGGCAGTGAACAAAGACTACTCCAGCAAGCAGATGCTACACAAGTACTATTGCTAAGGATACCCTGCAGGATAGCAACCGTCTAATTACGGTGGCTATAGAGATATTCTCCGAACAAGTGCTCTCCTGAAACATCATGACATGCGTAGGTACGACTATCGTGCAGTGTGGCGATGAAGGTCCAAATCCAGGAGACAATAAAGATGCCTTTTTTCTTTGAGCCATAGTCATGAATACGATAGAGGATATGGTAGCTGTTGAGAAAGGAGTGTATATATATATAGATATATATTCGAAATTCGGATACACACAAGACAGAATAGTATATTTGCGGTTCTATACATCTAACCAAACCAAAAGCAACAAGGAGAGGGAGGGAGAAAGAACTGGAATGAAATGATTGTATACCGCAAGGCAAAGCAAGTGTAAGACAAAGTCGGGAGAGGTAAAGTAAGGTAAGGTTCTCTACCCTACCCTTACCATATCCTATCCCGACATTCATCTGACCTTCTGGATCCAGCGTTTCGTATTCTGAAAGATGCCATACATCCCATAGAATTTCGACTGCAATCCAGGACAAACCATATGTCTCGCATCACAGAGATCATGCGCCGTCGGAGTCTTGCCTTTCTTTCCATTGTTGTTTTTGAACCCTGCTACAGCTCTGACTTTGAGTTCTGGAGCTGAAGCTGGTGCGGCCTCAGGTTCAGCAAGTGCCTCAGGTTGAGGTTCCGGCTCCGGTTCGGCCATCGCTTCCCGTCGACCAATTTTCCCTTTCGGTCGAGTCGTCTGGACGACAGGCCCGTGGCCGAACCCGTATCCTTTGGCGAAATGCGACATTATGTTTCCCCGCTGGGGAGCTTTGGAGTTAGTGTCAGGGTGGATGGAGTAGAATGGGTCAGCAGCGCGTTTCAAGACATCGTTGTCGTCGTCGTTGGCATTCCTGGGCTCGATTCCAGCGCCAGAATGGTGAGTCCACGCTCCATCGCCGTCGCCACCGTAACCTCGATGATCGTGTCTGTTTCCGTTTCCGGAGGGGATCACGGACTTGAATGTATCGTGGTCCAGGTCATTCCCGGTATGGGGCTGGTATGGTGCCGCGGAGGCGAGGGTTGAAGCCAGTGCGAGGACTGGGATGAGAGTGGTCACTTTCATTTTGGGGAATCTGTGAGTAAGTAAAGATATGCAGGAGTGCTTGTGTTTGTGTTTGTGTGCTTGGTCTGTCTTCAAGGGCAGGTGAAGGTGCTATTGTCAGTGATTGTAATTTGATTGCTCGTGTAGAGTGTGAGAGTGTGAGAGTGCTGGTATACTAGTACTAGTACTAGTACAAGTATGTGTATGGCTGTACTGATCAGTTGAGTATCAGAGTAAGGTATATACCTGAAATGTTTTATGGTATTCGGTTTCGGGAGTGTTGGTTCGGGGGAAGTGTCAAGCCAACTTCCGCTCCCGGTGAGATAAATATAAATGGCCAATCATCTATTCAAGCCCATTTCGAGCGAATCCTTTGTTTGTAGTTTTGCCGAGATGGTCTGGATAGGAGCGCAATAGGTTATTTTGCTTTGTTTGGCGAGAATCAAGTCCATGTGCTGTTCTTTGTTTTCAGATGATCAACAAAGGGAAAATGCCGACCTTGATACAGAGGTGTGAGTTCTGGAGACTGGAGACTGTAGAGAATAGAAATCTCGGGCAAAGGGTGCAAGTGCTATTTATATCAATGCAGAAGTGGGTGTTGGTGTTGGTGTAGGTGTGGAGTCGTTGGACGAGGCTGTGGGTGAAAAGGGGCTCGGATGGATTTTGCATACGTACGAATAATATTTCAAGACGTTTGATCACCACAGAATCGAGATGCTCTCCGTTGGACAAACACATCACAACGTCTGAGTAGCAAGCTTATCCCCAGCCTCGTTCTACACTCGCGCTGTTTCGATGTAGCAGGAATCCAGTAATCCTGATGTTCGTCCCGGCAGGGATGCTATTATGGCAATTCCATCGGTTGTGTGCACGGATGGAAGAACATTGATCGGAGGTTTCATGCGGTCTATCTGTCACTTAGTAAACTCTCCGTCTATTCTTCTGGATCTTGCGGCCCATGGGAGGTGAGGTTTCGACAGTCGTGATTATCCTTTTGGGGTTCGTACAGATTGAAAGACCGTTACGCGGGAGATATCTCGGATGCATTCGCGAGATCCTGGCCAATTTACCAATTGAATATAACACGTATACACGGTTTATGGAATCGGTTTGTGGAGGGGTTGGTTGTGCGATGATGTCCGAACAGAGCCTTGTTACCAGCTCAGGCTTGTTACGGAAGCGTCAGTACTGAGAGAGGATGTGCGACTATGCTGAAACCAGAATGGACGGTGAGTACAAGCACCCTTCAACCTCCCTTGGCCAGTTCTTCTCCATCGCTTGTGGTTCAATCATAATATCTCGCCTTGACACCTTTGATGATGGACTCCTCTTCTTTGCCCACTCGACTGACGTTCCGAGCCACTCGAGCCTTGACCCATTCGCCGGCCGTAAGACCGACCGTCGCCGAGTCCAAGGTCTGATCGTATCCAAGACGCTTGAGGACGGGGCTGTTGTCAAGCGGCACCAATTCTGTATCATCCTCCGGTCGCACGAAGTACAACACTCCGTAGCGATCGAGATCAGCCTGATCCGGCGGCGGCGCAACAACACGGTGGATACTGCTCTTGAGAAACCCATTTGTCAGGAATTGCAATGCATCGGCGATGTTCACCGTGATGCTTTCGGGATACGGTTTCACGTATTTCCATTGCCCCTCTGGGGTGCGGACTTGAAGGGCAGCCACGGGTTGTCTACAAGACACAAAACATATTTGATTAGCCTGACGAAGACCAGAGTACCGCGCAACGCACCCTTAACTCTCATCGTCGACAACGCGAGGTCTGCGGGACTCGCAAGGGTGGGTTGAGACTCACCGGAATAGAAGAGTAAGACTCCCGAAATCCGTGTGGCCCTTAGCCCAGACATTATCCAGGTCTGCATTTTGCTGAGCAGTGCGCCTGTGGTATTTCATGTACCGGAAATGACAGTCGCTGTTTTCTGGATAGCGATGGATATTCAGAAAATGGTCCTCCGGCAGTTTAAGCACGAGTGCAAACAACACCAGCAACTTCCGCACGATTTCGAAATGGACGTGTCTTGCAAACCGCTCGATCTCGTCCCAATGCTCGCGAATCACGGCTGGGTGGTCTCGAGCATACTCGGGCGTGAATTTCGGAATGTTGTAGATCTCGGTATTGTCCTTGATGCCCGGCTTCAGCTCACGCAGTCCCGCCGGCTTGTACCCATTGTACCCTCCATTCTCAAGGTCCGCGCGATACCGGATCTTCTCGGTCTCGGGCAGGTCGAAGACTTGTTTGCATAGGCTGAATTGCCTGTCGACTTGCTCTTGTGTCAAGCCAAAGTGAGTAATGTAGAAGAATCCTGTGGTAGTCGGTCAGCATGATATCCCAGCCGGGTTCTTTTTCTCAACACCTGAACACCTGTGCTCCGGTCGCTCATTTCACCTACCGATCCTATTCACGGCATCGGAAAGTTGCTGGGCTAATACCTCCTTACCACCCAGAGTGTCGAACTTGGAAAGATCCAGTGTCACCAAATCAGCCCAGTCCACTGATACAAATATGTTAGAGTTTCTGTGCTAGGAGGCTGTACCTTGCCTGGGTCGTTACCGTACAGTCATACTGGGTCTCAGGCACAGGAGTCCACTGGGGAATCGATAAGACCGCCGGCGCTGTGATGGTATTCGTTGCCATTGTTGCTGGAGGCTGGCCTGGTTACTTCCTACAAAGTTCTGGTAACATGAGGCCCCCTCCAGAAGTTCAAGTCATGAATCGGCAGATGGTTTCGATGGCGCCATTCTTCTCGAGGGTTTGATATCCTGAAAGCGGGGTTGACTGATCCCCACAATGAGGAACACGAAGGGGACAACAGTCGCCAACTCCAATGGCTGACCTAGTCCAAGTTCCCAGGAACGGCTTTGGTGGAGGCCTGAGTATCACATGGCGTCAATGTCTCGGGCAATTCATGGGTTCGCTTGATAAATCAACCAGCTTCATCCGGGGAAAATAGGCGGAGGATTGTTCCAGAACACAAACTCCAATCCTTACCTGCTGAGTCGGCAGAGATCAGAGAGCAGAAACTGTCTCTACATTCGATGGTTTCTTAAATACCTGTTTTCAGGACCGTCGTAAGACACTACACCGAGAGATAGCCTGGTGGAAGGGGTTCATGTCCTGCTGATTAAGAATCATATCTGACCTCACGTGAAGCCCTAGAGGTATAGGAGAGAAAGGCTTGCATCAGAGTATCCCAAGAAGCCGCTTTCGGGATCACGTTGAACAGTTAGTTGTGCCATCGCCCTCAATCCATAGACTGTGCTGCTCATGGACGCTCCAGGAGACTGGGACAAGAATGAGGCCGTTTTACTGACCTGCGTTAGAAGCGAATTAGCATTTTGAGTGCTCAAACCTGATAGAGTAGTAACCACCGGAAGTTGTCGCATCATACTGGTCGCAAAGGTACATACTGGGAGATAGTCGTCCTAAGCCTCATTGTTCGAGCAGGAAAGGCAGAGCAGGCTGTAAGCAACTTAGTACTACTTACTAGTAGTAGAGGTAGTTGGTATAGTGAAGCTGAAAGGCTGAGCCAATGACGTGGGGTACAAACAACTCTAATTCCACCACCACCAAATCTGCTGTCACGTGCAGACTTCTTCTCGCGTCGAGTCGCTTGTGATGGCCATCTGGGCCTCGCTCGAAAGATCTTTCCAATACCTTTAACACTAGGAACGCCCCGTTGACCTCTGGGTGATGTTCGGATGAGGTCGCTCAACTTAGGATCCGCGGAGGCTGGTATGGAAGAAAGATCCTACCACAGCTAACGCCTACGGTGATACTTTCGTAGCCTCATGATCACAACGCAAGCATTCACAACCGTCAACCTCAATCCGGCCCGAATCCACTGAACGGCGAGACGAGGGGACCGAACCCACTACTCCAAGATGCAAGGCTTTAATATGGGACGTTATGTCCCACCCGAGCTAGAAGGCACTGTATCGTTCAACGTTGCCTCCGGCAAAGGCCATGCACTGGGCAACCGCGCTCGAAAGCTCAAGACCGAAGGCATCCTCACCGTTCGATTCGAATGTCCCTTTGCCATCTGGTGCACTCACTGCAATCCGGAACAGATCATCGGGCAGGGCGTGCGGTTCAATGCGGAGAAGAAAAAGGTGGGCAACTACTACAGCACGCCGATCTGGAGTTTCCGCTTCAAGCATACCGTTTGTGGTGGGTGGATCGAGGTGAGGACAGACCCCAAGAACGCAGAGTATCTCGTCGTGGAGGGTGGCCGCAGGAGAGACACCGGTGCAGACAAGCTACTCGATGGAGAAATCAGGATCGGCGTGTCCGAGGAAGACAAAGACCGACTCGAACGTGAGGGCGGGTTCGGGTCGCTGGAAAAGAAGGTCGAAGACAAGGCATTGTTCACTGGTCAGAAAGAAAGACTGGATCAACTATTGAAGGCCAGTGAACGGGATTGGGCCGATCCCTACGAAAGGAGCAGGAAGTTGCGCGCCGAGTTTCGCGTGGGGCGGAGGAAACGGCAAGCGGACGAGAAAACTGGGGAGGCGCTCAAGGACAAGTTCGGCCTCGAGGTGGACATGTTGAGCGAGCAGCCCGAGGACAGCGAGCGCGTCAAGTATATTGAATTTGGCCAGCAGAACGAGGCCTCGAGTTCTGCAAAACCCTTGTTTACTAGTCCGTCTCTACAGGGCGGGCTGCCGGCGAGGTTCAAGCCGCATGCGAAACTAGGCAAACGAGAAATCTTGCAAAGCCAGTTGGTCGGTAATACTCGAATCGCCACAGATCCTTTCTTGCGCGAACAGGATGTCTGGCAGCCCAGAACTAAACGGAAACGGGCAGAGGAGGACCAAGAACATGAACACAGCAAGGCTGTGAAAGCGGGAAACCTGGCGTTGGTGGCTTACGATTCTGAATCATCATGATACCCCGGATTTTCAAGTAAAAATTCCACAGCAATGGTCATTGTCACATAACTCGTTTCTTTCTTGCATCTATGTCGATGCTCGGCTGCCTATTTCTGGGCTGTTTGAATATCTTGACCGGGCTTGCTCGATGCCTCCTGAAGGGATGGCATAGTCCGTCTTTGAGCGGCTGCAAAGCCACCTCTTGGAGGCGGCGGCGCTGGATTTCGGCTGGCCCATGGCGCCTTGGTGACGCCGTCAACAAAGCCCTTAGGACGTTGAGATGCTGTCCCGGCCCAGGGAGCTGCCGTGCCACTGCCTGGCGGCGCTCCTCCTGGCCGTACTGTAGTTGCCGACTGCGCACCCGTAGGATCCCGCAGTGGCTGGCTGGCAGAATGAGTCGATGTTGGGGGAGGCCTAGCCTCAGGATCCTTCTCCCATCGGAACAGGGACCCAAATGGGAAATGTTGCACCACGGGGAATTTCGCCAACACCTCTGCGTTGTACATTTTGATCATGCCCTTATTGATCTTGCCCCAACCACCAGCGATGCCAGAAATGTCGTACAGCATCGGGCTATGTTCCCAAAAGGGGCCTTTCTTGACATCGTAGATGAACCCAATGGCCGAAAAGTACAGGTTTTTGTCTTTTTCCTTTGCGACCAGATTCGACTTGCTAACCCAGCCCGGCTCGGGAGCGTCCGGGAGCGAGCCTTCTGTTGGAGTGTCATCGGATTCTGTGATGGCCGGTGCCAACTGGGCCGAACCGAAAATATATGGTAGGAAGGAGTTGTCATCGAGACCCCAGACGCCGTGCGACCCAGCCGGTTCCAGGGTGTAGGTCATGATGAGTTTTCTGATCAGGAAGAGATACATCTCAAAGACACCCAGAACAATACCCCTCTCTTCCACGCCTGGTTCTGTTGAAGCAAAGAAGCCCACCTTCCACAAGCCGCCTAGGAATGCCAGAAAGCTGAGCTCGTGCCCGGTGCCATAGTCCAGCCGTTGTGCACTGCCGAAGCTGCCCAACAGGTACGCCCCCAGTTCTTCGTAAGCAGGCACGAGCCATTGAGGAAGACAGTCATTCAATAGTTCTTCCAGTTGGTCTTCGACGAGTTTGTACCATTTGCGAAAGCTGAAATTGCCGAACCGTCGCGGACCGGTGTCTGGCGGGACATCGTCGACGAATTTGGTCAGCCTCGTCAAGAGAGCACGTAACCTCTCGACAGCATCGGAATACGTAACGTCTTTCGACCCCAGTGGCCATGTCACCACCTTCGTCGTCCCATCGACGGATTGTTTCCGTGGCACGACAGATCGGTTGAGTTGTAGCGTGAATGTCACAATATCTCGGTACGCCAGAGATGTCAGGAAGAAGGTGACATCGGACCCATCATAGATCCTCTTGACAGGCTTCTCGAAGTGATGGCTCTTGATGTCGTTGATTTTCTCGAGACTAGGAAAGCCTGGCATTGTCGGTTACTGGATCTCCGGTTTTCGGGTTATGTCGAGAAATTGATGAAAGATCTCTTTCGTTCTTGTGATGGAAGCTGTAGCTGAATCAGAGTGTATTCGTGTGGGATGATATGTGAACAAGGTGCCTGGATTTGTTATACTGCCTTTGCCATATTCACATATGACGTTGTCGCCGCGGTGAGAAACTGCACTATGGTTCAGATACTCCGCTCGACTCCCGTCGCGTCGCAGCGTCACCGCAGTTCAGTCCGGTTCAGTTGACATGGTGATACGATTGCGATGATACAAACCCAAGAACATTGTTCCACTGCCTGAAGTCCACGACTTACCTCCATCTTCGTCGCAAATCTGAGTCCTCAAGCATGCACGCCTCATCATGCCCGTATCTACGCGCCGATCTACCTTGGGAGCGGCCCCGGTGGAAGACCGCAGTGCCGAAGCTGTGACCGCGATCCTCAACGACGAAGCGGGGAGCAAACCGAGCACTTCCAGCCCTAAGCGCAAGCGGCAGTCAAATGTTGACCTCACACCACGGAAACGAACGGTTGTAGAGATTCCGATACACGTCGTGCAGTCTGCCAGACGACAGTCTGGACGACTCAAAGCTCGAGCCTCAATCTCCGCCCCGTCTCTTGCGCCTAGAGGCGACCCTTTTCCATTTCCTCATGACCAAGAAGAAGCGCAGGGCCAGGGCCAGGGCAGTCAGCCGGCACTCTTGAAAAAGCTGAGGCGGTTACATCGACCCAGGTCTCCAGAGAAGTCTCCTTTCAAGGGAAAGGGTGTGTTGGAGACGCGGAGCACTGCGCGTGTGAATCTCGGCGATACCCCTTTCCGGCAGGCTCCCAGAGATCTCAGCAAGTTGCAGAAGTCGCTACTGAATCCTCGCCGCACAGCCACCAAGTCAAAAACTCCTGTTCCTGCAAACGCAGCTCTTAATGTACCGTTTCAGGGGGAAGAGATCCTTGATGTGCAATTTGGTCGAAATGGAGCGCCGCCGTCCACCTCGCCTTTCGTGGAGCCAGGTGTTGATCTGTCTCTACCTGATCACACTGCGAATGATGCACCGAATGAAGCTTCCCCCGCAAGATTCGTGAACGAGGCCAATCTTCTAGACGAGACTTACGGTTCAGATCCTCCTGCCATGGAAATGACCCGCGAAGATGAGCCATCTGCAGCACACTTCCCTTCGGCTCAACCACTCCCGCCTCCTCGTGACGAAGAGTCTCCGGCAGAGGCCCAAGAGGATGTTGAAGAAGAGAGGGAGGAAACCGATGTCGATCATATAAATGGGGTCACCAATCCACCTGATGCTCAAATGGAATCAACGAATCGGCGTCCTCAAACCGAGGCTGAACAAAGCAGAGAGGAGCAGGCGGCGGCTGAGGAGGAAGCTAAACGACAAGAACGGGCGAGGAAGGCGTTGCGGGGCGTTGAAGAGGCAGTCAAGATTCAGGGATGCGAGAAACTGTGGGAGGAGGCTCTTGTCGGAGGTCTGCAGCTTGCCGAAATCGGGAATCCGAACGAACCGACCTCGACGGTTGGTAAAGCGACGTTGCGGGCGTTGAATGACTTGCACAGAGAGTACAAGAAGCTGGCAAGAGCGCAGTCACCAGATTTGCAAGAGTCCGAACAATCTCTGCGTGAACACTACCGTATCTTGGAAGAAAGATGCAAACACCTCGCTGGGTATCGTGGCCGACTGGACATGTCCCATAAACGGGAGAGATCGAGAATGATCAAAGATGTCTATGGCCATCTAATCCCAAGCTCTCTGTCGCTGAGCAGAGCAGGACTAAAAGTTCTATTTAAAGACAAAGATCCTAGCGTCGACGCATACGAGCGATTATATGAGCTGCTGATGATTACAAATATTCTGGTGGAAACAGCCACGAAATGGCAGCCGAGACCTGAACTGGACAAAGGGGCCAAAGCCATTGTGAAGCATGACATCGGACCCAACATCAGCCGGCTTATAGGACGCTACAAGAGAGAATTTGAGGAAGCAATCAATGATGCACGAAGAAGTCAGTACCTGGACGACCTGGCAGCGCGACAGAAGGAGGAGAGGGAGACCATTAATCAAATGGCTCAGCGAAAGAGGGCACAGAAACTGGCGGAATACCGCGCCAACATGCAGTCCATACCCAAGGTCCCGTACACTGGTATCCCAAGTTCCCAATCCATCGTTGATATTGACGACGTGATCGTGGATGACCAGTCAGTGATGGATGTCGATACCAACAGGTCGACACGGGCCCCTTCCCAGCATGTCACTTTTGCAGCAAGGCCTCGACTGAGACGAGAAGCCACCGAAGACATACCGCCTCCTGTCCCGACTGAGTGGAAGGACGCAGAGACCGAGATACTGCTGAGGGGACTCCAGAAATACCGAACTAGCTCAAGATTCGAAGACATCGTCTATAAGTACGGAGCGCCTGGTGGAGGGCTGGAAAGGTTTGACATGGATCAGATCATGGCAAAGGCCAAATGGGCCAGGCGGACTATGGCCCAGAAATTCCAGGAAACCGATGATCCGGATTGGGATTGGTTGAGGACTGTCCCGGCATGATGAAGCAGGAGAGTTTAGCAACAAAAGATGTCGGTTTGTTTGAGAGATACCCCAATTGCCTGGCAGTCATGATGGGAGCGGTGTATGGGTTCTTGATGTATTGAGATATAGGGTATTGGGCAGCAACAACTACAGGCCAAGCTCGACGCCACCTTTTGATTCAAAACACGTGAATTAAGACATTTCAAGAACATCTCAGACCCAGAAGAGAAGGAGTGGTGAAGTTGTTGTTGTTGACTGTCTCGCTGTCTGTGAAATGCATCTGTATGTCCCTGTACTCTGCCGTATGTTTGGGATACGCGGTTCAACTGCGAACTTGAACTGCAGACGCATCTTGTCTGGACTACAACATCAACTCGTATACAACTGAATTAGTTGCCCGACTGTCTCGGTCGTGTCTGTCGTGTCTGAGTCGCGCAGACAAAGAACGAGAATCATCAGCATCATCATCATCATCATCATCATCGTCGTCATCACCGTATAAAACTGCCAATCGTTTGAGCCAATGGTTCTAACAGGCATTCGTTGATCCTGTCACCTGCCTGTCAATACTTTATTTCCCTTTCCTATTCATGTGCTTCTACTGCCCCTCACGCATAAGCGATACATTGTACAGAGGTCATCAATACCGCCGATATGGACAAACACACCACAACACGCAGTGGTGTCGCCGACGAAACCAGAAGCAGAACAACACATGCGTCCACCAAGCCATTGACGAGGCCAACCGCACCGAGACTCTCTACCAGTACCCGTCCGAGTACGACCTCGTCCGTGGCCAAGACAGTCGGTGGAGGGTCACTCAGTAAGCCTCCTGCGCGCCCAGCTACCACCGCCACCACCACCACCACCACCACAGTGCGAAGACCTCCTAGCTCAACCGCATCTTCTACAACTGCAGCACATCAGAAAAGACCGTCGGTGAGCTCGGTGGACGAGAAACCCTCCGGTGATGAGAAGACGAGAGCTGGCATATCTGCGAGGCCGAAGAGAGCGTCAGTGGCACCATCGACCAGTGCGGAACGTAGCTCGACTTTGAAAACAGTTGCTGCCACCCCTGCTCGGCGTACAACGATCGCCCCCGCCTCCTCAACGAGACAGAGTGTTACGAGTCCGTCCGGCGCCCGGAAAGCGCCTTCTACCCCCAATACCTCACGGAGCGGTATCACACCTCGGTCGAGACCACTGGTGTCATCTACTTCCAGGAATGCCGTCGGCGCTGGCGCCCTGGCCGAGAAGAAACGCTTGAGCACAATCCCCGCCTCTCCAGCAGTCAAGATAGACGTGGAGGAGCCTGAAGATAACAAGGAAAATGCATCATCACAAGGGGAAGAGAAACCGAAGGCCCCTGTGCGTCCTGCACTGGGGTCGAGGCAGTCGACACGGTCCGTTATGATCGAACAGAAGATACGAGAGTTTGAGTTGGTGAACACTATGCTGCAGGCCGCCATGACTGCCGACGGAGTGGAAGATGAAGAACAAGAATTGATCAAACAAGAAGCTTCATCTACCATTGCAAAGCTCAAGTCAGACCTGGCAAAAGTGCGCGAGTTTGAACGGGTTCATGGACGGTTGCCGACTGAAGCAGAGCTGGAGGACGCCCAGTCTGCAAAAGAAGAAGCTGAACCCACATCACCTACTGATGAGCAGGAAGCGGAGGCTCCAAGCGCCGAAGGACCACTTGTAGCAGAATTGCAGCATGAGCTGGCTCAGTCTGAAGCGCATGCCGAAGCCTTACAGGCCGAATTGATGGGCTTGAAGACGAAACTCGAGGACTCCAGCAAGACCGCAGACGAAGAGAGTGGCCGCGTGCAGGAGGTGACCGAGGCCATCCGAGCCGAGTATGTTGCGAAGATCGCCGAGATGACATCCCTCCACGAGGAACAAGTCCGGAAATTGGAATCTACGCATCAGAATTCGGTGCAAGAGTTGCGCAACACTCAAGAATCCGGAACGGAAACCTTGAAAAAGTCTTTTTCTCACCAGCTCGCGGAAAAAGAATCCAAATTTGAAGAACTGAAATCTCAGCTGGATGAAGCCCTCAAGGCTGCTTCCGCAGTTAGCTTGTCGAAAGAGGCCGAAGTTGACAAACTGCGGGCCGAATTGGAGGAAATGCGTACAGCTACTGCGAAGGATCAGGCAGCGAAAGATGCTGAAATTGAAGCACTCAAGCTCGACTTGGAGACGAAGAAGATCGATTCAGAGGCAGCCAGCCAAACCTCCCCGTCTCCTGCTTCATCACCGGCTCACAATCAGGAGCTGGCGGACGCCCAGCAGAAACTCGCAGCGGCTAAGGCTAGACATCAAGCGGCGAAAGAGAATGCAAAATCCAAGATTGCGAGGTTGCAAGAAGACTTTGACAACAAGGTGAATGCACTAGAGGGAAAGCATAAGGAGCAGATCGGCGAACTCCAGGACAGACAAAAGCAGGCGGAACAGGACGTAACCAACAAGCAGAAAGAACTCGCTCAGCAGCAGGAGGAGTATGCAAAGGTTTCGGAGGAGATGGCACGCCAAAGCCAGGTCATGCAAACGTTGAGGGACCAAGTCCTGGACTTTGAGCAGAGCAAGAAAGTTGAAAGCGACGCGCAGACTGCCTTGATTACTCAGCTCCAGGATGAGATCAATCATTTGAGACAAGAAAAAGCAGACGAGGCTGCTACTGCCGCCTCGTCACTCGCCGCCGCCGAAAAGGCACACGTCGAGAAGATCCAGGCCACTGAAGATCGATTAAATCAGGTGCAAAAGGACCTGAAGAATGCCGAGGCTTTGCATGAAAACAAGCTTCAAGAAGTCCTCAAGAAATCGGCTGACGACCTGAGTGCGGCGAATGCCGAGCTTGAAACGTCCAAGACATCACACGCCGACAGGCTTCACACGCTGGAAGCAGATGTGCAGAAGGCCAATGAGTTAGCCGCAATGAAACAGTCCGAAAATGACGGAGCACTGTCTGACCTGCAACATCAGCTGGACACGGCAACAACTGCTCTGAAGGAAGCTATGACAAAGCATGAATCATTACTAAAGGAGCACGAATCAACGGGCAGCGCCGCCCAAGATGAACTGGCTGTTCTCAAAGCCACCCATTCTGAAGAACTCGACCGACTTCGGACCGAATACCAGATGAAGCATGACGAAGAAATTGCTGCCTTGGAAATGAGGCATGCTGAGCAGGTCCAACAACTCGAGCAGAAGATCCATTCGTCTCAGAAGGAATTGGCCACCGTCAAAGAAACCCACGCAGGCCAGATCAAGCAACTGGAGCAGCAGACGAAAGCATCTCTCGCAGATCTGGAGACTCTGGAAGCGGGACATCTGGAAGAACTCGATCGCGTGAAGACTGAGGCGGAGCAACTGCGGCTGAAAGCTGCCGAGGAGGCGGAGCTGAAATATACCGAAAAGCTTCAACAACTGGAGAAACGGCTCAGTGCTGCTGAAGCAGAACTATCAGAGGCCCGATCAACATATGCCAAGCAGATTGAAGACTTTGAGAAGCAGAAAGGGTTGGACCAGGAAAGTGCCCTAGACGCCCTCAAAGAGTCTCACTCTATTGTCCTCAAAGATCTGGAGGAGCAATTGAGGCTCGCTCGAGAGGCTGCAGAAACAGTTACGGCTGACCACGCTGAACGGCTCAAGCAGGTAGAACAACAGCTGTCGGCTCGCCACGCCGAGGAACTTGAGTCCTTGAGAACAGAGCATGCCACAAAGCTAGAGGAGGCCGAGAACCTAATAGAGCAGGCTCTGGAGGAAGTCCGGTCGAGCCTTCTCGAGGAAAACCGTCAACTCGTATCACAATCGAAATCCCTCCAGGCGGATCTCGACGGCACAAGATTCCAGATTCAAAGCCTGAAAAGCATCCTGCAGTCCATGGAGGAGGAGGCCGGAGAAAAAGACCAAGAGCATGCCGTTACTGTCGAAAAGATGGAACAAGAGTTGTCAATGTCGGTCATGAAGCTGGCAGAACAATCCGCTCGGATGATGGATCTTAAAATGCAGCATGACCAAGCTTTGGCCGAGGCAAAGAAGGTTCTACAGGATCAGTCTCGGCAAGAGATGGAGAATCTACGAGCCGATCATGAAAAGGCGCTGGCAGACCTTCGAAGTACTTTGAAGAGTGAGCATAACCAGCTGATTGACAAGATTCGAGGGGAACATGCCACATCCGTCGAAGCAAGCCAAAGCGAACGTCAATCTGAACATGAGGAAATCGAGAAGAAGCTGAAGGAAGAACACGCCCGGCAACTAGACGAGGTCATGAAAGCCTTGGAGACTCAGTGGAAGGCCCAAGTTGAATTGCTGGAGGAACAGAACGCGGCCGCTGGCGCCCGCCTCGCACAAGCCATAAAGGATCATGAGGAAGCTTTGCAAGCCACCAAGTCGGAGCACGACGCCACGGTTGCCCGACTACAATCTCAGTTACAGGATGCTCACGCCGCGACGCAGGACACCACAGAGCTCGAAGGGCTTCGCGGTCAACTCTCCAACGTGCAGACCCAGGTCAAAGAGATCGAGCAGAAACACGCGGAAGCAATGATACTGATTCAGGATCGAGAATCCACTCTGGCTGTGATGAAGCAAGAGCTCAATGCCGCACGTGAAGCAGCGGAGAAAAGACGTGACCCGGCGGAGGTAGAAGAGCTCAACAACAAATTCATTACTGCCCAAAATGCCCTCGACGACCTGCAGGTCCAGCATGACCAATCGGTCCGTGATGTCCAAGCGGAATATGATGGCAAACTCGAAGAACTTTTCACCGAGCTCAACGCCGTGAAGGAGGACAAGCAACAGGCGCAGCTTCCTGACACCACGGAGCTTGATGCCGTCACTGCCAGGCTTGAGGACGCGAAGAAGACGATCACCTCTCTGGAGACCCAACTGGATGGAGCAATGCTCGAAGTCGAAACGCAGCGGCACCTGGCAGAGGATGCCCAGAAGGAGGCCGAGCAAATCAAGCAACTCCAAAAGCAGATGGACGTTGTCGCCCTCCCAAGTCCCAAGTCACGACGAAAGAGCCGCAGTCCGAAGCGGAGGTCGATGAATCCTCTGTCTCCCGGAATTCCCCAGCAGGGTCTCGAATCCAGCAGATGGGCCAGCGAACCAGACAAAGACCACGCCGCGGCAGGTGATGCCACGCCTTCCAGCACTACTGGACAAGCTGTTCCTCCAGCAGACACCGCTTCTGGTGTACAGCAAGGCCAGGGCGCGAATGATGTGGTTGATACAGCCACCGAGACTACATCAGCCGGTCCAGACGGGCCAGCTGCCGCCGCCACCAAAGCAACGACCGGCAAGCGCAACGTTGCCGGCCAGCTGGCGGGGATCCAAGAGCAGATCAAGCAACTAGACGATCTCAGCGAGGATTTTCTCGAAGAACATCAGAACATGGCGAAGATGTTGAGTCGGGTGGACGATGGGACCACCAATGTCAGCACCAGCACAGTCAAGGTCGAAGAGGACGAGAATGATGAGTGATCAAGCTGGCCATGATCGGTCAGTCTCTCTTACTGCATCCGTCACTGTGATGCCGATATCGAACGGCTGCCGGTTCGAACAGGTTCTTCTTTTGCATGCTGCATTGTTTGCTGTCTGGTCCTCCTCCTTTTCGTGGGGAAGGAAGTATAGATGGCGGACTTTCCATTGTCTTTGGAAAGAAGGCCGAAGCAGGAGTAGAAAAACAGGAGTCCATTTGGGGCCTTGCAGCTCGTCTGGTGCAGTGGTTCGGGATGTCTTCCTTCCTTCTGCTTTCTTTCCTGGGTCTCGTCGTTGGTCGTTGGTCGTTGGTTCTTGGGTTTGGGTTGTCAGACTTCTTCTCGATTCAGAATATCCAATACCCCCGACTTTATGTCTTTGTCGTGTTTTTTCCCCTCCTCATTCTTGTGTCTGCGTCTTTCTCTCTAGTTAAGCAGGCGAGCGAGTGAGCGAATTCCAACGAACAGTCATGTCGACTGACTAGTCCATCAGCGAGCATTCGATCGTTTCTTTTGTTCTTTAGGAATACAAAAACAGAAAAGTATCAGTTTCGGGCTCAAGATAAGGGCTCTAGAGATAATACCAGGACAGTTAGGTACCTACCTTAACCTGCTGTGTTACTTCTCTCATGGAATTACAGAGCAAGTTCGAGTACTTTGTAGTATGATTGTGGATTTACAGAGACTTATTCATGAAGGCCTTAGCCTTGGGCTAGAACAATATCATCGTGGTGATGACATATCTTTAAAATTAGAATGATGGATGCCTACCTTAAAACGGAGGTAGCTGGCAGGCAGCCTTTGATAGTTGACTAAGTTTGGCATGATCTGACGTGTTACAAGTCAAGTCAAAAAGCAAGCAAGCAAGCAAGCACTTCGGACCAGGTCTACGGGATACTGATAGATTTCAAGCTGAGAGAGATATAAAGGGGGTTTTTTGCTTCTCCTTCTCCTTCTCCATGGATGATATGTTACTAGTAGTAGTAGGTGACATGGGGTTCTAATCCGGTATGTCCCCCTTTTCCACAAGGCAACATGTTCTATAGTATGAGGCTTCAATTTCCATACCACTGCATGTCCATTATATCATAATCTTAGCAGTCGACCGGCCTAGACTTTAGGACCAAAACAAATTTCACACACTCATTCCATCTCTCCTAGACTGTTGAGGGAGGGGGAGGACCAGCAACAAATCTCCCACACTATCATTCCATCTCTCCTAGACTGTTGAGCAACCATTCCGGCTCGGCGTCTTCTTCGTCAGGATCGTGTGAGAGGAGAGACGTCTGAGACTGTGACCGTAAGCTGGTGGGAGACGACCTTGGATTTGAAGTAGGCGGAGAAGAAGAAGGACGTCTTGGTTCGAGGGGAGCAGGTTGATTGTTTGAGATTGGGTTGGTTTCATCCTTGACAACAAGGCTAGGATCTGGGTTCGCAGTCTTGTCCTCATGCTTTTTGCGTATTTGGTCTTCCTCGGCTGATTGGCGGTGGTTCACTGATGCGGACGGATCGAGGAGTCGTGGTGTGTCTGTTTCGTCATCTTCAAGAAGAAAGCCGCCTGCTGCTGAATCCTCGAAGTCTTCGTCTTTGCCGTTTTTCGTGTCGCCATGCTTCGGTTCCGGTGGAGAGGTCATATCCGTATCCTCTGGAAAGAAGCCGCCTGCACCGGCATCGTCGTTGTCCATCGCAGGGAATGGCGGGTGGTGACTTGGAGCTTGTTGTTTGTTGGTATCATCAGGAATGAATCCTCCGGTCTCGTGTTCATGGTCTTGGAATTGGAAGAAGCCTCCTGCCTCCTGCTCATCGTCTTCATCGATAAATCCACCAGCGTCAGCTTGGTCTTCACCCGCTTCCCCTCCGATATTTGCATCCTCTGGCTCCGGGTTGAGAAGTTCCTGGCTCTCCCATTGATGAAGCTTGTGCGGAGACCTGACCACAACAATAGCTTGATGTACGACTTCCGGTGGAATCAGCTGGTCGACAGGCTTGAGATGTGGTAGTGCGGATATGGCATCGGTGTCCGGTTCGACGTTGACTTGGCTTGTTTGTTCTTGATCAACGTCGGGCATGAATCCGCCGCCATAATCTTCCCCATCATCCCGATACGTCGAGTCTTCTTCTTCTTCGTCATCATCTTCAGCCACGTTCGTAGTGTCTTCTTCTCTGTCGCCATAGTCGCGATGCACCCGCTCACGAACCCGTAATGCAGTAAGCCACCTCTTCCAAAGCGCCAGGATGACTCGGCTGCGTGCTTGTTCTGCCTCTTCTGTTGCCTGAGATTCCAATCCTTCAATCACGTTGATCATCGCATTGCACATGTGCATGCTGACCACCACTCCGTCAATCACGGCAGTCCCTTGTCGCCCTTTGAAAACAAATCCGGTGACTGCATCGGTGTAGTCGATACCGAGGACCCGCGCAGCCTCGGCAGCAAGAGGATGGCGAATGTGTACGGCGCCAGCAGGGATCATTGAAGGGACGTAGACATCGAGATTTCCGTACCCATTCTTGGGAATTTTGCCATCCACCACAGGCGGCGGTTCGTACAGTTTGGTCTGGTACTCGGCGTACAGGGCCATGCCTTCACTGGTCTCAGCGTGATCGTCATCGTCGAGATCTTGATCTTCTGGCGTCCGTCTCCTCTTGGGCATCACCCGTTTGAGTGGCTGTTCGCCTTGCTTGACATCCCTGCCTCGCCGATACCATGCATCTGCGGTCCGACACACATGAACATCGCGTCGACGAAAAACACTTTCGAGCTTTGCATTTTTGCCGGATCCCGTGCTGACTTTGCCCACTTCATGCTTCGGATGGATGACCTCGTTCATCCTGAGATGCCGCTCGAGAACATATACAGGATGTCCCTTAAAGTCCTGCACGTTTCTCGGCATGGCTTCGCTTTCGGCGCGTCTGAGCAGATTCGCGTCTTCGATCTCGTCTCTAAATTCGTCAAAAGGTTTCTGCAGAGCACCCATGAGGCGGGTCCACCACTCTTCTCCGCCCTTGGTGCTCTCCACACGCTGTCTTCGCGTTTTGGCGTTATACCATTGAGCATACCGTCGTGTGACGTCCTTGGCGGAGCCATCGTCCTCCAAGGCAATCACATAGGTCATGCTATTCAAGCGATCGGCCGCTGGTGGCTCGAACCCCGTTTTCGGCTTGTTGATGGTATTGCGCACTATGGGATCCAACGGAATCCACGTCGATGTGGATGGAGAGTATACTTCGACCCAGAAAATCGGATAGGGGGACTCGATGATTTTTCTCTTCTTCTTTCGAGTTGTCGGTGCGGGACGGGAGATGGTTGAGTTCTGTGTGTAGTTCTGAGGAGGGGCATGGTAGTACTGCGACTTCGGCTTTTCCGGCGTCTGGCCTTTGGCAACGCCCGAGAACGGCAGGACTTGGAGCGAGCAGACGAGTCTCGTGTCGACCGCGACCGATCGAAGGAGGGCGCAGAACAGCTGAGCACCGAGATCTCTCGAACCGGACCGCGATCTCGCAGCGGCCTTGAACTCATCAAAATCAATGAGGTCTTCAGTGTCGTCACTCTCCTTGATTGCATCGACATCCTCTTTCCAGTATGCCCGTTGCATTCCTCTTGCCGTAATGGTCCACAGCTGCTTCCAAAGGGCGCAAAGTTCCTCGATCCCTTTCATGAAAGAATGCGACCGCTGATACTGTGGTTGCGACTCCTCCACGTGAAGTAGCGAGATCACTTTGCGTGGTACGAGCGGCTTCAAAAGGCCTTGCACCGACTCACTCTCACACCAGCGATTGCGACTGCTCAGATGTGCCAGTAGACAAACTAGATGCGCCTTGTGCACTTCCAGGCGTATCTTCTTCTCGGCTGGTCCTACTGGTTTGCGTCGTTGAGGTCCTCGCCTTGACGGCTCCAGCGTCGATCTAGACAAGTCCAGCTCCAATGACTGCTGCTCGGGTTTTGAACTTGGTCCGTCTTCGTCGTCTTCGGCCGGCTCTAGTTCGACGTCCTCAAACTCGACGTCGGATTCGTCGGATCCTTCGAAGTCATCATAGACCACTTGCTGTAACTTCGGTGAAGTTCCGTCCGCAGTAGCAGGAATTGGGTCGCCATCTGCGCCAACCTCTGGTGTGCCGAAGAGATCAAAATCGAGTTCGATCTTGGAAGAGGACTCCTCACTGATCTTCCGTCGTTTGGAGGATCTTAGCTGACTCGAGAGGTCTCGTTCTTCAGCCACGGCTTCTGCCACCATCTCACCGTACACGCTCGGGATGCCATCGTCGAGCACTTCTCGGCGACGCGTCGATTGACGCGTCTTTCGACTTGAGCTGCGGGCTGGCAGGTTCTTTTTCGGTGGCATTTGATGTGACGAGTCTGTCTCTTTGAGCGTCGATCATGGCGTCCCTCCCGAAGCTATACTTGATATCTCGATAGTCAGCTGCAAAATGACAATCAACAATGGTATGGCCTGTACACCTGCCCCCTCACCAGCATGTAGATAGAAGCGACTCTCTTTACGTCTGATCAAGCCCGAGTTGCCGCCTAATGTCGCGACTGAAAATGACGTAGTGGCCTACGGGCTGCCACGTGACGCACAAGTTTGCTGGAGGACAGTTTCCACCTCGACTTTACATTCACATTGCACACCCAAAAAGAATGCTGGATCAACTGCGACTGCAACAAAAGAATCATAACCACTTCTGCATTCAAAATGTGGTAGACGCAAAAAGCAAAAAGCAAACGCGAGGGGCTGAACTGGGAATTGAACTATGATGATGTTAGGATGAATTGATCCAATATGGAATTGTGGATCGATGCTTACCCCAGGACCTCTTACAATCAAGATGAACTCCCAAAGCAAGAATTCTACCTCTGAACTATTCAGCCGCGCTGAGTGAGTTGTTTTCCAACTCAGAGACAGTTTGTGACCTAAAATTTCGTGACATTGAACTATAACGCAACAATTAATTAGTGGCCCCACTTGCTTATCTCCACCTCCATTGCACTTGATATAGGCTCTGCCTACTACTTTAGGTAACTCAACGAGCCAAGATGTCAGAATACTAGCAGCCAGAAGCACAGTGCACATTGCCTTGTGCGGCCTACTGTGCACAGTAGATCATCAAAAAGGAGGTAAGTGTGAGGAATACCTACAGGTAACTAGCTTACAGCCGTGGTGTATTGGCCTGCGATGAACACCTTGCACAGCTTTGAATCGCTCTTAATGGACACTTCTGTTAGCAGATTGACTCCTGTGACTCCTGTGCTTCAGTCATTGTTGATCAAGTAATACCGGCAGCTAGGTGCACTGTGGGTGTCAGCCAAGATCCTTGACCTGACCACCGCTCACAAATTGTCATCGACGGCGTCCCTTTAGGCAGATGTGGAGGTGGGGTTTGGACATAACTTATATTGCGAACCCCAACACCCACCTCCCACCTTCCACCTAATGATCAAGCAGCAAATCAGAGTGTTATCGGCAACGGGACACTAGTATTTACCATCTTCGCCTATCACTGTTCTGCCATCCTACCATACTCCTATTGGTATGGAGACTTACATGGCCCGAGTTGACCTCTGTGTTTAGTCTTACGCCTTGAACGCATTTGGTATCAACTTCGCCGGGACACGGGCCGTATACTGATTAGTCCAAGCCATCGAATGGCATGATATGCTTGTTCGCTGCGGAGATATTCACCTCCAGCCAACAATAAGCCGCTGGCTCCTTTTCGACATCGACTAGTATTGTGTCTGGATGACAGGCCTCCTTTGAATCGTGGGTCACTTAACAAAGACAGAAAGCGGTCCGCATGCGCAATCATCGCTGGATGTCCGTGACTAACGATACACCACTCCGCACTTCTACCCCAAAAGACGACCGTGTTGTCGTTGCTTTTGAAAAAAGTTTGCATCAAGCTGGAATGCGGTCAGACTTATCTTGACACTATAGCACCGATATCGAGAGCCTCCCCCTTCACTCCTTCGTGAAGGTTCAGTAGCGACAAAGAAACACGATCGAACCAGCAATGGCTGGAGGGGTTGCTGATGCCGCGAATGGACACGGCGTGGAGAGGACGACCAGCCGTGGCACAATCGTCCACACCGCAAACCGTGGCATGAGTGAGGCCGCTGTCGAGATCACGTCTGGTCCGATGGACCAACATGAAGCACAGACCGCATTGCCGGTTACAAGCGACCTGCGCCGACACTTGATGGCCATATTGACAATATTCGGCAATCTTTTGCAGGTAAGCGGTTGATGAGAAATGCTGGTGGTGTGCCACAGATGCTGAGGATTGCTTTTAAATTGAAGATGGTGGTCAACTTTTCTGGATTGGGCGGCGGATTCGAACTAGGAAAGCTACTCGGGGCCAGTACTGCAAATGCCCAATGGATCGCTGCGAGTTATGGGTGAGGAGTGCTCCTGGACTCCAACCTGTCTTAGCCATCTGCTGATAGCCATGTCTAGCTTGACTCAAGGAGCATTTGTCCTCATCGCAGGTCCAATCGGGGCCGTCTACGGACACAAGAATATGCTGATATATGGCACGCTCTGGCTGGGCGTGTGTAACCTCGTCTGTGGGTTCTGCGACAACTTCATCGCATTTGTTATCATGCGAGCACTGGCCGGCATTGGCGGAGGCTTCATCATGCCGAACGCTGTGGCCATTCTCACCATCACCAATCCTCCTGGACCGACCCGAAATCTGCTGTTGGGATTCTTCGGCGCATCCGCCCCGCTTGGGGGATGGCTGGGAGCACTCTTTCTCGGACTATTCCAGCAATACACGGCATACAAATGGTTCTTCCTGCTCATGTACGCTCCTTTCCATACTTGCACTCTTCCGTGGACTCACATCATTACGCCAGTTTCCTTCTATGCACTGTCACGGCCCTCGCCCTGAACATGCTCATTCCACATGAAGTCCCCGTCAATCGGCATGGAAAGCTGGATTGGACAGGGGCGGGCTTGGTTGTGGCGGCCTTGATCCTATTCTGCTTCGCCTGGAAGTGAGTTCCCTGGCTGCAAGTTAATGGGCCATATGGTGCTAATGCGTCATCATAGTCAAGCCGCCGGCGCTGGATGGTCAGATGCGGCCGTGATTACATGTCTCATCGTCTCCATCGTCTTGCTGGGGTTGTTCCTGGGTTGGGAACAATACGTGGCCCCTCATCCTATCATGCCCCTCAGCATCTTCAAGGCACCATCGTTTGGCGTCCTCATTCTCGTGGTGCTCTTCAACTTCATGGCCGTGGGCATCTTCTGTTGGTATCAAGTGTTGTGGCTGCAGGAGATCTGGAATTGGTCGCTGTTGCATTTTGCCTTGAGTTGGACACCTTTCGTCATCTGTGCCATTGCTGCCGCTTCGCTCTCTGCCTGGCTGGTCCCTCGACTAGACGCCCAGTGGATCCTGGCCATCGGCACTCTCACCATACTCGCTGCCTGTCTGCTGATGGCGACCTTAACAGAGCGGCGGATCTACTGGCCGCAAGTCTTCCCCTCAGTTGTGCTGTACGCCTTCTCCCCCGATCTGGTCTACACGGCTGCCCAGATCATCGCCAGCAACTCCGTCGGTCGCCAACATCAAGGCACAGCCGGTTCACTGATCAGCGTCCTGAATTTGTATGGAGTCAGTCTGGGCCTGGGGTTTGCAGGAACAATCGAGGTCCAAACCAACGATCATGGTCGAAACAAAGTGTTAGGGTTCCGGGCAGCACTGTATTTTGGTGTAGCCATTGCTGCGGTCGCTGTGCTCGTCGATGTATTTTTCATCCGCTGCGTGAAAGACAAGAAAAGAGGCTGGGACGAGAGCGATCTGATTCAGGTAGATCAGGAACTGGAAGATCGGGCCACGACGAGTGGAGCGTCACCCCTGACGGCCAGCAACCGAGTTTAGATATGTTCTCATCAACAAGCAAGCATGCCACAATGAATAAAGACCATTTGTGCCGTCATTCCAACAAGATCGCACGTGTGTATATTTGATGTAAGAGGGAATAGACAAGATACAAAGTACAAGACAAGACAGGCGACAAAGGGAAAAGGGGGCTACACGTGACTCGGCTATACCTGCTGTTCACGTGCGAGCCTCGTTGTCGGCAGCAAGTTGCGGCGAGACGTTCGAGAAATTATTTCGCCCGCAAAAACAAAAAGTTCGAGGATTCAACAGAAGTCATCCGCCGTCGCTATCACCATCACAGCCAACGCCTCACCATGAAGAACCTGATAGAGCAGGTGCGTGAACGAGAGCTGAACAAGGCGAAAGGTACGGAACGAGATCTTTTCGTCTTCCTGTCAAAAGAGGATTATATTGACGATGCATTGCAGATTTCGACCCCGAAGATGATGTTGTGCCCTCCGCCAGCGAAGACGAGTCTGAAAGCGACGACGGTCCCGGAGACGACGCCGGTCGAGAACATTACGAAGCTGTGGGGAAAAGTAGACTGCGAAAACCCGAACAACCAGCCCTCGGTGCGAAATATGGAGGCGTGGCAGTCAGTCGTGCTGCGTTGAACGACCAAGACGACGAAGACGACCCGTTTGCACCGGTGGACGAGTCTGACGACGACGATCCCTTCGCTGCACGCAATGGCGCTGCAGATGGTTCCGAACAAGAGGATGGCTCAGATGTGTCCAACAATCTCGAGGCAGGATCCGTTGGAGACGAAAGCGAAGAGATCGACAGCGACGAAGCACTAGGTGAAAGCGATGTCGAGAAATTCAAGAACTTCACGTTCCGCGGGAGCAAGAAGAACCGCATAGAGCCGTCGCGGGATGATGGTAGTGACGACGATGTATCAGACGAAGAATCAGATGAAGAAGAGTCCGGCGCCACAACGGACGATTCTGACATCGACATGGACGACGACTCCGAAGAAGAAGCGTCAGACAATGGCGACGACTCCTCCTCCGTCTCGTCTGCCACCAGATCCTCCCCGCCAGCATCGCGATCCAGCAAACCCTCTCACAATCCGGAGCGGGAAGAACTGAAACGGCTCGCATTCTCATCTGCGTCCACTGCAGGCCTGGCGTCCGCACTGTCCGCCGGAGCCAATGCAGACGTCCAGAAAGGTCGAGCAGTCAAGCAACAACGGCAGACATTCGACCGATTGTTAGACGCTCGAATCAAGCTGCAAAAGGGTATCACTGCCGCGAACGATCTGGGGTCGGCTACTCTCACAGACGAAGAGGTCCAGCACGCCGCCAAACAGGCCGAAGACGCCGCACTCGCGCTGTGGTCAACGATCGACTCGATCCGATGTACTCTACTCTCGAGCTCCGAGTCAGCGGCCCCAGGAGCCTCAAACACCACGAAATCCCTCAAACGCAAACAGCAGCAACAGCAACAGCCGCAGCCACTAAAAGCGACACGCTCAACGCCTCTCCCAGAAATATGGGAACATAGCAACCTCCTCGAAGAAGCGGCGCGCCTCACACGCCGTCAAATCCTCGATAAATGGCACGCGAAGACCCAACCGGTTCTCGACACTGCGCCGCGCTCGAAACTGCTGCCGTCCAAGTCATCATCGTCACATGGGAATTCCCGCCTGACCGATGTTCTGGATACATATCTCGCGACAGAATCATCGAAATTGATCGCGCAGAGCTGGATTCAGACTGTCAGTCCCAATGCTACTTCGACTTCGACTTCGACTTCGACTTCTACTTCTACTAGCAACGAACCTACAAGCCCCAATCCCAACCCAGCGACCGGAACCTACGACGACGGAATCTTCTACCAAGCCCTCCTCCGCGACCTGATCGCCTCGCGCACCGCCAACTTGAACGCCACCACCAACGGCCTCTCAACCACCACCAACGGCGTCGCTGATGGGCCGTTGCTGCTCCCGCCGAAACTCCATCCGTCCGGCAGCCGGCATAAGAAGGTCGACACGAAAGCGTCCAAGGGCCGGAAAGTGCGGTACACGGTCCATGAGAAGCTGGAGAACTTCATGGCCCCGGAGGACCGGGCGACGTGGGAAGACGCGGCCAGAAGCGAGTTCTTTGCGAGTCTGTTTGGGAATGCTGTGGCGAGGGTTCTGGATGAGGAGGATGAAGATGGGCCAGAAAAGGAAAACGAGATAGATGAGGCTGAAGCTGAGGCTGAGGCGTTGCGCTTGTTCAGGAGTTAGATTGGACGGGACGGTCGGGTCTAATCTCTGGTATCAAGTCTCAGTACCTAGGTAGGAGACATCCAACGATACTGATATATCGCTACCCAAGACAAGCAAGGTATAAATAGGCACCTCTGGTCCACCATATAACCCTTCCCTGCCCCTGCCCATTGGATGCTTGTCAAGATATCAATGTCAGCCAGTGTCAGTCAGTCAGCTGTGCAGTAGTAGTATACTGTGGTATACCCAAGTACCTTGCTTAACCTCCGTATTCCACCGTGACTACAGAACAAGTGGCAAGCTGCTTCTACTGAAAGAAAAGCAAAACACTCCATCCTCCGGATAAAGATTTAGGGACGGACTATTTATGGAACTTACAAGATCTGTTCGAGTGTGACTCTTGTCCTGGTAATAATGGGTATTCGATCCTCTTCTCTACTTCTCATTCTTAGGCTGTGGCTTGTGGCTTGTGCCTATACCTGTCCTACTCTCCTGTTCGATACTGAACGCCAACCAGCACAAGTCAATACAGCTGTATTGATTGAGAAACTTCTCCAGCCCTGTGGACAATCTTTTCCCATGGAACACACCTTGACAGTTCGTGTCCGCAGAAATCGATACAGACTGACACCATTCGAGCGATGCGGAAGGTAGTGCTCGCTTCCTTCGATCCCGTCCTTGCGTTCAATACATTGATCCGCTAGTCCAATCGCCGCTTCGATCCTTAGAGTGATTCAGTGACAGATGCAACCTCCACCAGCAAGCAAATAGCAGTGTTTGGCAATGCACGCTGTGAATAAACTCGAGTTCATCGTCTCCTAGTATACCCCGGCACCTGATAGGGCTGTGGAATGAACCATTTCGGCAAGACCCCCGCCTCGTGCTGTCGATGGATATACGCCGCGGTGACATGTCCGTTCTGCGTGAAATTCGACTGCGTCTCATTGTTGAAACCCGGAATAGGCGAATATTCTCTCGTCAGTTGCGGGGGATTGGGCGAGGAAGGTATGGATATCGACTGAGAAGAGCGGATAGGAGATTGGTCGTCAGCAACGGCACGCTTCTGCGAAAACCCACCAGGGTGCTCGTGGTGGTCATCAATATCGTCATCCTCAACTTGGACATCTGCGGCTTTGTTTTGGTCAGCGCGACTTCCTGCTCGTTGTTGACGCGGTGTCACAAGCTCCTCGTCGTCGTTGATCATGACAAAGTCAGGCTTCTTCGAAAGTCTAAGTGTGGGAGGATCAAGGTCTAGATCGAGGTCGCCCTCCTCTTCATCGCCATCTTCATCTTCTGCAGGATGGAATACCTCGTCAAGTCCCAGATCGATGTTGACCTGTGATTGAGATTGGCCATTATATTGCGGCAGTTGAGTCATTGAAACATGGCATGAACTGGAATCCTTGATAGTGATCTTTTCCGCCTTGTCCTCGTCACTTCCTCCTTCGACGTGTAGTGTAGGGTAAGAAGCCATATTCAAGTAGCCTTGTGTTGGTTCTTGAGTCGACATTTGGGAAGGGCGGTGGAGGGAGGCCGGATGGACTGATCTAGGAGTTGCAGGTTCTGTGGAAAGCAGTGATGCTGAGGAGGAACTGTGTCCAATGTCGTTCAGAGGCAATTTTGTAGTCGAGACATGGGTGCTTGACTGATGTGAAGTGCCATGGTTCGGGAGAGAGATCTCGTCGGATTCATCTTCACTGTCCGGTACCACTTTTGCTGGACTTTTGGCTGTAGATTGTTCGACTAGCCGTGGCAATGGCAGAGGTGTCTGCAGGGGCTCTGCATCCTCAGCCAGAGTTGGCATCGGCATGGCTCTATCCGGTCCGGTTGAGGAAGGACTGTGAATCGAGAGTTCGAGAGCAGCAACAGACAAGGTATCTGCTGGTTTGAGAGGTTCCATAGGTGCTGGAGAAGAAATGCGATACTCTACAGCAACGCTGAACTGCGTATCGTTTGCGATGGGCGAGCCAAAATCAGCATCATCAATATCCTTGACATCAGCTTCCTCAGCACAGATCACCTCGTCTCTCGACGAGTTGCGGCTTTCTGAGGGCAAATCGTTGGCCTCATGAGGCACCCGGGTGTGCCCAATCCTCTCTTTGATCGGAGAGAATGCGAAGTCACGCACAATCGGCTCAGCTGCTGCATCGCGTGTCAGAGTTCCTTGCTGCTCTCCTGTCTTCTCTGCTTGCATTCCAGCACATTCCTCTGGTACAATTGGCCCAAGAAGCTCCACGATATCTGGAAGGGTGTCTTGAGGTTCGGTATCTGGAGGACTGGATTGAACATTCTGTGGCTGGCTGGTTGCCGGTATCTCGGCCTCATTCATTTGTCTAGCGACTTGAACTGGGTTCTGTGCCTGTTGAGGGAACTTCCCCGTTCCAGTCCTATGCCCTGCTTGACGAGGCGATGAGGACAAAGGAATGGACCACAGGTCTATTTGAGAGTCTTCGACTCGTGGACTCCTCCGAGGCTCCGTCCTCTTTGGCAGTTTCAAGGTGACAATCTTCTGCTTCTTCTTAGCGGAACGCTTACGAACTCGACGGGGTTTTCTAGGAGAAAGCTTCGACACTGGTCCCAGAGGAATATTTACCGACCGCTCGGCTAATGGAGTTCTTTGTGACACCGTTGGAAGTTCGGTTGTTCTGCGGTCGGTCCTTCGTGTGCTAGGGGGTAGGCTCTCGGGAGACTGACTTGACAGCACGATTGCGCGGTTTTTCTTGGGCGTTTTTGGCAGCAGCGTTGGCTCATGTGAAGTCGGCCCAGAGTAAATCAAATCGTCGTCGTCGTCGAGCGAGTCCTTGATTTCCAGCGGATAGCCCAGTGAGGCTCCTCTTTTTTCTTTATGCTGTTCATTCTGTGGCGTGGTAGTCCCAAAGGCTTCTTCAAAATAAGCCAGGTTCTGGACAGGATCAGAGAACACCTCTTTCTTCGTTGCCAGGCGCCTAGAGGCACGCCTTGACGAGCTGGAAGGCTCTTCATCTTCAACTTCGACCTTCCTTTTCCTTCTGCTGGGCTGGTAGTCTTGGCTCTCTGTGTTCATCGGCACATCCTTCCTCTTAGCTGGCGGGGCTGCCATGCTTGGTGTTGCTTTCCGTTTCCGCGGTTTTCTTGGACTGTCGTAGGTGCCGTCAAGTTGCGGCAGGGCTCGGATTTTTGGTTCCGCCGGCGGGAGCATGGTATCGTCAAAGTCTGCGTCGTCTGGGGGAGGAAAGCTGAGGAAATCCATCTGCGTGAGAGTCGAATCGCGCTTCTTTAGTGGCCGTCGCCGGTCTGTCGTCGTCGACTTTGCCGTACTGCGTGGCTTCTCGGTTGGTTCTGAGCATACGATCTCCTCCTCTTCAAAACTAGTAGCTGGCGGCGTCAACCATTGGGCTTGAGTCAAGGTTTGTTGACTGTCCCCAGGCCGCCGGCTGCTGCCAAGTTTGCCCTTGATGTCATTGAGTCGGGGTCGTTTGCGCGAGAACGGCGTCGCGGACTTGGTCTTGCGCTTGGTACTCGTGATTGTCCAGGTTGGGTTGGACATGGCGCATGTCGACGGCAACAAGCCGTTGCAGGTGCGATGGTAAGCGAGTGAATGAACCGCAAGTAAACTTGGTGGAAGGCTGAGCCACTGCAAGTCATTCTCAACTCGCTTCTCTGCAACGCGGGGCACGTGAACCGCGTCGTGTCGCGTCGCGTCAGCACGTGATTCAGCCTCGTGGGTTGGGAGCCGTGTTCAGGGGCACAGGTGGAAGAAGGTAGAGGAGCAGATCACCCGAATAGTATTTACTTCTGTTCAATAGACCGGCCTATAATGGCCAAAATATATATGCTACATGAAAAGCCAAGATCGTGGTCATACAAGCCACCTTGTTTTGGGCGAAACGCCGTTCCTTAACCAGTTCCTTTTTGGATATCATCATGACCATTCCCATTCCAACGCTCTGTACCATGCCGCTTACAAAATCACAAACCACAAGCTCTCACACCAATATCTTAGTGTCGTATGTGGCGATGCCTGAGGCTGTCTCCCAGCCCACGCTTGAGTTTCGACTCGAGATGCAGCTTCTCATGGGACTCTGAGCGGCGGACGACGTCGTCTCTCGACCGCGTGTCAAGCAGCTCTTCCAGAGACGTGCGTCTCTTCAGGCCCGACTCGCCTGATGTATGAATGCGAGCTGGGTTGTTCCCCTGCCACGTGGCAAGGCTAGAGCATTCGTCCTGGAAGGCGGTGGAATTGGCGTATGGCAGGATATCTGCTGGTCGCTCGGTGAACTGCAGAGCCAGGCCGCCGTCGACATGCCAGACTATATGACAGTGCATCAACCAGGCTCCTGGATTGTCAGTCTCGAATCCAATCACCGTGTAGCCCGCAGGGTTGCCTGGTCCGGACGAGCCCACCAGCATGGCGGTGTCACGACGTGTTGGGTTGTTGAAATTGAGCGTTGACAGTAAGCTCGTGGTCCACGTGGCACTACCCTGACCCAGCACGCTCATGTCATGTCCGTGCAAGTGTATCGGATGCGAAGCGAAGAACTGGTTCTGGATGATGAAGTAGACCCATTGGTTTGCCACGTTCAGCGTGATTGGATTTGAAATCAGTGAACTGTTGCTGCCATCTGCGAGAGTCTTGAGAGTCGGTTGAGTGTAGTTGACATTGATGGCGCCGTTGTTGATGTACCAGCGGACGACACTGCCATCGTCGCTGGTGGCAATTTGTGCAACCTTGCCAGCAGGCACCGTGGCAGCCGTGGCGGCGAATTGGTCTGCAGAACCAGCAGTCTTCTCCAAGAAGGGCACCAACGAAGCGATTGGCTCGTCCGCGCAGATGGCGAAGTCGCTAGCCGTCTTGTTTCCGTATGTCGATGTCGGCAGAGTAGCCTCTGCACCCTCGTAGAGGATGATGCCATTCGCATTCCCGAGACCGCTGTTCCCACAGCCACTGGGACAGCCAGTCTGGGTGACAGCCCGCAGGAAGTAGCCCGCAACCGGCTGGTTCATCTCGACAATGACATCGTACCGTTGGCCAATGCCAATGTTCAGCCACTCGGTAGTGTACGGGACGATAGGGACGTAATCGGCGGCAATCACGGTCATGACATGATCGTCAATGTGCACAGAGTACATGTTCTGCACGCCCGAATTGATGATGCGGAATAGATGTTTCTTGCCCGGCTGGACCGACCACAGAGCATGCTGACCGGCAGAGAGATCTTGGAGGGTGTTCTTGCCGTTGAGTAGGTAGTTGACGGTGCTGCTTGGACCCGAATGGGCGATTCTCTCATTCATCTGGGCTGCGGTGGCATCGAAGATATCGTCAATCATGACCGTGCCCATGTCAATATCGTAACTGGCGGTGGCAGGGCCGTGGACGACCATGGGGCCACGAATCCCGTCCCCGTATTGGGTCATTGTGTGAGAATGGTACCATCCGGTGCCATACTGATTGAGCTTCATCGTGTATGTGCGGGAAGTTCCTGGAGCAATGCCACATTCGGTAACACCGGGGACACCATCTTGATCATTGGATTCTTTTTGCGTGATACCTGCAAAGCCACATTAGCTGCTGGTCGGTAGCTCAACCAGAAAGCGCACTTACCGTGCCAGTGGATCGAGGTAGCGTTGTTTTCTAGGTTGTTGTGCACAGTTACCTCGAGAATGTCACCCCAGTTGCATTCAATGAGTGGTCCTGGAACCTGGCCGTTGATCGCAAAGGCCATCTTCGGCCCACTGCCATCGTAGTCAATGGTGGTATTAGTGATTGTCAGCTCATACGAGCAAGTCTGCCCCGTTGAGTAGGCGGCGGCATAGTAGTCGGTGCTGACGCTCCTCCCATCACACCACTTGCTTCGATCAGCCGCGGTATTGCACGAACCATCCGAGATGGCAGCTTGAGGAGCCGTCACGTTGGAGGACGCCGAACCGGGAGCTGGCAAGGTCCCATCGTCCGGCACACTGGTGTAAGTTGGTGCCGGCAAGGAAGAGGTGTCCGTGGGAGCATCGCCGGTCCAGGTAAAGACCTCGGCGTCAGTGCCGATCGTGCTCTCTTCGCTGTTCGGGTTACCGGCAGAAGTAGGGTCAACCAAGAAGCTTGTAATCGTCGTCGAACCGCCAGACGAGGCTTCGCTTTCTGCATTCGCAGCGACAACGACGGTAGCAGTCGTGCTTACCGGTGCCAATGTGCTATCAGCCAATGCGCTGGTACTTGGCTCCGAAGGCGCGGTAGATGCACCATTTCCATTCACGGTGACGGTGGTAGTCGCGCAGATAGTAGGCTCAGCATAGACGGTTGACCAGTAAACAGTGGTGGCTTCCTTGAAGATGGTTGCGGTGGTTGTTGTAGTCGTCGTGACAGTGCTAGTAGAACAGGCAGTATCTTCGTTCTCGGCCAAAACCGTTGCTGCCAGCGCTACGGCTAGTAGACCGGGCACCCTTGTAAACCTCATGCTTGCATGCTACGGTAAAGTCCAGCAATATTGGCTGAAAGAGGATGTTTTGTTGAGCCAAAAAATGAAAAGAGTGGCGAGGCTGTTCTTTCGGTTGTCCACCCCAGACAACGTAATGAGTGTATTAGCACAGATGGCGTAAAGAAGGGCTGGCAAATGTTCAAAGACAGGATCAGAATAAGAGAGGGGGGAGTATGTAGATGATGAATAAACAGAGTGCCTGCAGCAGGGCCTGTTGATGAGCATGGACTGGCAAAGGCCATCCATCGACTTTGAGAAATCCATTCTGGTACAGCCCCTTTAACCAAACAAGCAAGGCGACAGGTCGATGACAGGTCGAAAGGCCGAAAAGCCGGCACAACCATTGGCTCGAGGACACGCGTCAAGCTTCGAAAGGAGCATCAGGCGGACTGTGGTAAGAACCGTTGGAGCCGGGACGAACGCCAGCGAGATGTCACACGAGTGTCCCTGGCAGCCATGCAGTCTGTCCTGCATGGTCTCGACCTCCAGCTTCATGAGACGTGAGGAACTGGGAGCAGTGGGGTTCCCGAGCTCGACAGTTTGACGGTTGCTCGTACCTTGCAGAAGGAGGTCGCGTCTTTGGAAAAAAAAAGTGAACATATCGGGCTAGCAATCTCGGATATCGCGGCCTGAGCCTCGCATGAACCAGTCTCACAAGTCTCCCCATGTAGAAGACGATCCATCATGCCGTGTTTGTTCCTCACCAGAGAGTAAAGAGACATACTGTTTTGCTGCATGTCTCGATTCACCAGACCTAAGATGTTTGACAGTTTGTCAGGGCTAGGGAGGCCACATGAGGGGCTGGACGGTGGGCGATGGACGTTAGAGGTCCGAGCTGTCGCCGTCGCTGTCAAGTCCTCTCTCTGTGTACGTACGCGCGTTGTGGCGAGAAAGTCGGGAGCTGTCCGGCCTCGTGAGGAGCTGACGCGTAGAAGCCACCAGTTCCGAGTGCTTAGGATGAAGATCGAGCTTCAGGCTGGTATAGAGATATAACATGATTCTTGTCCGATTTGCTGGGATTACACCCTCGGGTCTCTGTCGCCTGTCAATCTTTCCTGCTATCCTGGAACGTACAAGTCTCGGGGGGCTTTTTGCTCAGGGGTTCTCCAAGTTTTCTTCTCTCAAGGGATGTCAGAAGAGTTCGGTTCCTTTGGCCGAAACTTTCCCATTAGGCTTGGATGGGCATTACGCCTGTTCTCTTTCAGCACAACTGCCTGTCCATTGATGGCCTCGGATCACGCCCTGGGGCGCCAGTTGTGCTTCATTCAACGGTGCTGAATCTCTCGTAATTTCGGGAGTTTATACCTAGGTCTCCTCAAGGTTGCTGAGGCTTGAGCTTCTGGACACGGCTCTGCAACTTCAGTCTTGGAAGCACAATCTGTACTCACGGTCTGTGACCTTTTTGTCGCCCCCTCCGGGCAAAGTGTCTGGACATTTACCTCGTGACGGGTATGAATGGCCTAAGCTCTGTAATTTCGCATGAATACTCTATACGAGCTTGGCCATGAGTGAAGTCTCTCATCTAATCAATTGTGTATTCATTCGCCAGGGAATGGAGATGGATGGTAACCGTATTACCCGAACGTGCCTTTGAAATCTAGAGAAGCGACCTCTGTCATTGTGCCTGTGATGTCTAATGGTTGCAAGAAGCTGAATTGGCATTGTTGTTTTGATTGTGAGGGAGACAAGGAGACGGTGGCACATTCCTGATCCTGTCACATATTTCATTCGGCAAGAACATAGCATGAGGATCTTCGTGTGATGTCCAGACTACCTGTATGGTTCGAATCAAACAGATGAAGATTGAATTGCAGTACCAAGTGGAAAGTTCTCAAAATGATGCGCTCCTCCCTGGGTATCTTATGCATCAACGCCAGATGGACCAAATCTCTCACGGGCTTTTACGGCAGACTTCAGATCTCCCTTGCCAATGTTTCCAAACCACAACTCGGCCATGCCTCTGCTCTGAGGCCTCATTTCATGGCAAAATCAAATTCCTCATAGTCTTCTCTCAAGCCTTGAGCGTCCTCCTCCTCCGCCAACTGCTCGCTTCCATCCTTGCGCAGCAGTGCATCCATCCAGTTCACCCTATTCTCCAGCTGTAACAAGCCTGCCATGACCTCTCGACCGAACCAGATATTGAACTTCTGATCGGTTGGGAGAGGGAAGTACATGGACTTTGTCACTCCGAACTCCTTCTCGCTGTTGCCATTGGTGTGGTCGGCCATCTCGACAGGATCAGACACCCACGTCCAGACTCGAAAGAAGTCGGATTTCTCGGGCAGTTGACTGTCAGGATCACATGGCTGAAATGCAGGATACTCGTTCCGTTCGCCTGCTACTTTGAACGCAGCTTCGACCAGACCTTTCTTCACATGGTCTGCCTGACTTGCCATCAACTGCCAGTGATGGTGACGGATGCCAGTACGGTTGACCTCCCAACAAACTGCGCCGAGTTGACCTTGACTCTTTGAACCGATCATTGTGCTCAAGGCCTTGCGGAACCGGTTCATCTCCTTGAACTCATTGGCCACTTCTTCGTCCGTTCTTTTGCCTTGAGCTGACTCGTCCGCGGCATGGTAATATGGTATGATCATAACATGTCCGGAGAACGACAGCTGAGGGAAGGTCGACGGCAAGGGTAGCGGCCCTCGGGAGGCTGTGACCATACTTTCTTCACCCAGAGAAACCACTAGATGGGTTTTTGCTCCAGCCTTGTTCAGGCACATGAAGCAATCATTGGGGTCTTTGTTGTGGTTCCTGCGCGCACGTTTGGACCGCCGTTCCTCATGCCCACCACTGCCGAAGCGTCGGTATGTGTCTTGGTCGTCCAGAGCCGCTCGCTTCCTCGGTGGCGAGGTCCGGATGAAGGGTGATACCCCAGGAGTCTCCATTGTTGGCGGAGGTCGTGAAGTGTCCAGTGTGAACGCAGTCATCCATTCTTTCGTGGGAGCATTTACGCCCGGGAGGCTTTTGAACCTAGTCACAGCCGTTTCGTCAAGCGAATTGTAGTCCACAACGTGTTTGAAAGGTTCGCGTTCCCAAACTCCTCCAGGACTGCTTGAGAAATGGTACCATGGCTTCAGCGCTTGACACAGATTGGAGATCGATTGTGTGCCCTGGCCACCGTCCAATCCTTCTGGCAGTGGGATTTTTGACCCGTTGGTAATGCCGGCTGGCCATTGATTTGTGACTAGAATGTTGGCAGAGTGTGCGCCATGGAGGCCCCGTGCCTCGCTGTCCAAGTACAGGGCGTCACACTTGCCCAGTTTCTGGGTCAGGGACGCTTCGTTCTGCACAAGTCGACCTCCGAGGTAGACGATTTTCACCCCTTCCGTAGTGGTCATTGTTCCCTTGCGACCGAGGTAGAACAAGTTGGGACAGAGGTCATCATCGCCTTCGAGCTTTTCCTTGACAATATCTGGGAAAGCGGAATCGCCGATCGTGAAATATGTTGGGAGAGGCACGTTGATCTGCCCGTGAAGCAAGGCTTGCAATTCCTCTGAGTTGGCGTCATCATTCTCAGCGGCAAACAAGTCACCGACAACCAAGGCGAGACTGAAGTTTTGCTTGGCTTGCAGTTTTGAGATCTTGCTGAAAGCCTTTTTGAGCTGGCCTTGGATACCTCCGACCACAAGTCTGCCGAATGTTAGATCAGAGTAATGGCAGATTGTCATTTGGCTTACATTTTGGCGATCCCCATCTTGATGAACGTTCTGCCAGCGAAAACCTCAAGCAAAAACCTGAGAAGTGATGAATAGATTCAAGAATGAGCTTGGTTGATGTCCATAGCAAGCGAAAAGAGACAGTTGCGACTTTGTCTTCCACAAGCGAAGGTAGCAGATAGAGGAATAGAAAGAAAAGGAAAAGTTGTACCCATATATATAGTTCGCAGCCCTGCGTTCTCCAGACTGTTAGTGACAATGCGCTCAAAGACAGTGACTGAACATTGTCCAGTGTCCTTTTGCGTGATATTCACCTGGAAGTGAAGAAATCGTGAATGTTGCGGCGTGATATGCTCTTTACTCCACCGTAGACATACGGCAGAGTTCACGACTGCCAGCTGCTGTTCTTATGCGGGGAAAAAGTCGAACTTGACCTGAAATGTCAAAATGTCGCCGCAGCCTCCAAAAAAATAAATCGTAGTCCAACATCTTTTTCGGATTCCATATCGTCCTGTTCCAACACCTGTGGCTGCATTTCCTCACAGGCTGCGTGGGAATTCTTTCAGTCATGGTATGATAGCAATCCACCAAAGGTGAGTTTGCTATCATGTCTCCCATATCCCCCGGAGTCCCTGGCGGACCGCATCGCAAGACGAAGAAGCCTGACGCTTCAACCCATCTACACCGATACGAGTCCTTCACGAAGCGCATCTCGAAATTGAAAATTGACCCTGTTCATACGGTGGAAAAGAGGAAGCCTTCAAACAGCGACACCGATCTGACCCAAAGTTTCTTCCGCACCGCACTGGATGAATGGGCGGAATTGAACTTGTCGCAAACATTCACGAGTTTCCTCAATAAGGCAAGCCCTCTGTCAGAGAACTTGCCCCAGCTGCTTCACCATGCGGATACAATCTTCGATCTGCTTGTACAGCACATTGAAAAGAGAGATGCTCTCGCGTTGGAGCCACTCCTCAGCCTCCTTGCACACTTGGCCCACGATCTCGGTTCGCGGTTCGAACAGTACTTTCCCCGAACGGTGGTACTGGTGGCTCAAGTCGCAGCATCTCACGACAGCGCCGAGGTCATTGAGTGGTGCTTTACTTGCCTAGCATGGATGTTCAAATATCTCTCCAGACTGCTTGTGCAGGATTTGCGCCCGCTTCTCGACATCATGACACCGTACCTATCGGCGAAAAAAGATTACATTGTTCGATTCAGTGCCGAATCCCTGGCATTTCTGTTGAGGAAGACTGCCGTGTTGTATCAGAAGAAGAAAGCTCCTTTGAATCTCGCCATGAAGCATCTGTTGGCGCGGCTGGTCCAAGATGAAACGTCGACGCAGCTCAAGGCATATCAATACGGTGTCATGAGTTTGTGTGTGGAAAGTGCCAGAGGGATAGACTACCAGTTGCATTCGAGTGCTGCGTCGTTATTGCGAGGTCTCTTGGACGCCGCCACACCCTTGACCGGCGAAGAACAAGTGCGGTCAACGGTGGAGGGCGTTTTGATCGCATTGATCCATCAGACAAATGGCACGGGATTCCCACCTGCGTTGGAAGTTGTCCTAGACTATGTTCGCGAACGAGCCATGTCCAGTGATCCAAGCCAGGTCCTTTTCGCGCTCAGACTGATCACCGTGGTTGTTGGCACAAGAAAAGGGACGAGAATTACCAATTGGACGGCGGTGATACAGGCATTTATCAGCCTCACGCAGAGCGCAAGTGGAAGTGCAGAAGGGCAAAGTCAAGCCAAACAAGATATGATTGCCATTTCTGCAGGGATCTTTCAGTTTGCGCCAATGGACCAGTTGCTGCCGTTCTCCCAAAAGTTGTTGGACCTTGCAACGACCCAATTGTCCGCACGAGAGTTCTTCGCCTTCTGTACAATCTGCGCCGACTTGGGGCAGGAGAGATTTACAGACCTGGTGCTGCCACGTCTCCAGCAGTACATTTTGAAGCAATGGCGCGGCGATGAGGTTGGTGTTTACTACTTACTGGAAAGACTACGGCAAGATGGTATCACTGCCAACGGAGTTGGGAGCGGAGCCTCTCTGAACTGCCCCGACTTTGAAGCGTCTGTGATTCGTGAACTCTCTGCAAATGCAGTCGAGGAGACAGCTTTGCCAGTGGAACAATTCGCAGGTCGGATACATTTGCCGGTCAACCTCCGCCATTCTTCCGATCCCAAGGTGGCGGCCGCTCTCCTTGCTGCTTATCGGCCTTTGATTGTCAGCGTTCTGAAAGACACCGGCAATGACTCAGATCTTCGTCGCCGGGTGCTTCTGGGATGGGCATTTGAGACCTATATCGACTTTCTGCCTGCTGGTGACACTGGCATACAGGAGCTCGTTTCCCTGGTGCTCAGTGCGTCTCCTGTCTATTTTCGCCTTCCGTCTTTCCTTCATGCTGGTATCAGTTTGTTGCAGAAGAGTGGTGCCACTGCTGAGGCGCAGGGCAGGAGTCTTGAGAGCGTCCGATACGTGCTCATCCAAAACGTGCTCAGCCCTTCTTTATCATTAAAAGAAGCTTCCATGACGATGCTCACCCTGCTGGCTCCACCGGAGATCAAGGAATGGCTTTCTGAGGCGGCCGATCTGATGCTCGAGATCCTCAAAACGCCTTACACGCCAGCGGAAGTTCGGAAAATCGCTATGTTTCTCAGACGCCTCCCACAACGCCAAAACAGACTTGATGCGGAGTCGTCTTATCAGAATCTAATACCCTTTTTCTGTCTCGGCATGCTCTCCCACTATCACGATCAGACAAGAAAGGAAGTGTGCAACGTTCTGGCTCAGATGGTGGAACCCACGTCAGTCGAAGAATCGATTGTCAACGTTGCTATTCAGTGGCTACAGACGCCTCCTATTTCGCAGGATGCGCCTGAGGTCAAGCCTGATCGGGCAGGACAACGATCGTCAGCTTTTGAATGCACAAGTCTGTCACACATAGACTCCTTGTGTGCCACACTGATGGATGATTTCGTTCGAGCCAACGAGCAACTTCGCAGGTTGGTCGAGCGTGCGCACCAATTGGAGAACACACGAACTCCAGAAAGCGCACGAACACTAGCTCTACACGTCTTATCAGCAATCCCAGCGTCTGCTGAACGCCGCTCCCGTTTGTTGGTGCCGATATTTCTCGCCGCACCAATGAACCGTGGACAGCTACAGAAAAAGCCCAGCTCGGAATCTTCTACCTCTTCACATACGCTAAGCCCGGATGTCGATGATCACGAATGGTCCCTTGCCGACCGAAAGGCGTTCCTGGCACTTTTAGGCAAGTTCGTCAATCCGCGCGTGCTTTTCAGGTCGACAGAAGTCTACGAGAAGCTTGTGGACCTCCTGAGCAATGGCAACACCGAGATCCGAAAACTCGCTCTCCAGGCAGTATTGACTTGGAAGGATCCCGCTCTTGTGCCATACCAGAATACTCTCGTTGAGATAGCCGAAGAGAAAACCTCGACCACAGATCTAGGCGCTTTGCTGAGCGCCGAAGAAGACCAGAGCCCGGTCAAGCCAGATGACCGCCGTGTGGTTTTCCCTGTCCTGCTAAGGCTGATCTTTGGTCTCATCGTTGGTCGCGCAGGCACCCCTGGTTCGCAAGAAGCGAGGAGACGCTCGATCCTGCGCACGCTATTCCGCATGAATGAAGGCGAAGTGGCCACGTTCCTCGATATCGCTCTTGGGAAGTTGAGGGACGTCAAGATTGCCGACTACAATCCCGAATATGTCGGTACAGACCACGAGATGATACCGGAGGATCAACAGTATGGGTTTCTGCGGCTGTTATTGTCGATGCTAGAGACATTGCAGAGCCGCTTTGCTCCCTACGGTCCCCAGGTTGTGGATGCCGTAGTCTTCTGTCTCGTCCGAGCATCTCGGCAGAGCCATGCAGTTGCACAACCGTCCGTCTCATTGTCAAGTCTGGCGCGCAACATCAGACGAACTGCATTCCAATGTCTTGTCTTGCTCTTCGAGCATTGTGAAGGAATACAGTGGCCGTCTTACTTGCCCACGGTCTTCGCTATTGCGATCAGTCCTAGAATGGAAGCGTTTGCTTCAGAGGCAAATCAGGGAATATCGGGTCTGCTACGACTTTTTGCCTCTTGGGTGCATTCCAATGACCTGATCGGCTACCTGAAAGAGTACGATAGCCGAATACCGAATGTCCTGTGGCAATGTCTGACTACACCCTCGACACAAACGGAAGCAAAGGCCTTCATATTGCAAGATATCGTCATCCCTTGGGTGACCATGGCCGACGATAAATCGATTGTGCCAAACAAGGCGGCAGAGCTTTTGAGCACAGAGGCGGATGGCTTATTGAAGGCCCTCATGGTTCTTCTCGAACGCACACCACCCAGAGAAATCCTCACCGCCATCACGACCGTTCTGCCCAAACTGGCACCTTTTGCCACTTCCCCGGAATCCCGGCGTTCTGCAGTCGCTCTTCTGATCAATTTGCTGCGTGATGCCAGTAACAAGGTGCCTCCGAATGTCAAAGGTCAGCTTCTGGCCTCGATCCACAGCTTCGTCGATGCTAGCGTCGATGTTCTGGACGAGAACTCGCGCAAAGAGTTGTACGAATTGACGTCGTCGTTGTTCAACTACTTCAAGGATTCCACTAATCGTGATGTACTTTGTGAGATCCTCGACATCTTGTCCCGGTCAGATGCTTCATTGCAGCAAGCTGCTCAAATCTGCCACGATTTAAACTCCAGCTCGACTCAACGACTCGAAGAATTCGACTATGAGAGGCGACTACAAGCCTTCCATACCATCAATTCTCTTGAAGTCAGCGAGCAGAACAAGGTCATCTGGCGTCCAATTGTCTTCAACCTGCTGTTTTTTGTAAGGACAATGGAGGATTTCTCTATACGGTCGAATGCTCTCAGTTGCCTCAAGCAGTTTATCGTCAAAGCATCCGAAGCCGAGAACTCTGAGCTACATGATCTGATTAGGACAGTGGTTCTTCCAGCCGCTAGGAAAGGCATTAGACATGAATCGGAATTGATACGAGCCGACTTTGTCTCTCTTTATGGTCTTCTCGTACAATACGCTCGCGGAGAACCGGATCTCGAAAACATGAAAGTGCTGCTTGTCGGCAACGACGAGGAAGCGTCCTTCTTCTCCAATGTGCTCCACATCCAACAACATCGGCGTGTCCGAGCGATCCGACGTCTTGTTTCCGAGGTTGAAAAGGGAGCCATCAACGCGCAAAACAATGCGGAGGTATTTATTCCTTTGCTGGAGATGTTTGTCTACGATCCCAGTTCGGATGAGTCAGCGCAGACCACGAAGGGTCAAAGCATAGCGGCGATGGGGACAATGCTGCAGTGGATCAACTGGAAACACTTCAAGACATTGTTCCGCCGCTACAGAAACGACATCAACTCGACGGAGAGCACGCAGAAATCTGCCAGTCGTCTTTTGGCGCACGCAGCTGATGCTCTATTAGCTGCAAGAGTCCAAGAGTCCAATATATCCGAGACAGATTGCGAGAAGTTCATTCCCTATCTGGCCAAGTCCATCCGAGATAAAGAGGTTGTGCAGAACGAGCTGAGGACGCAGTTCATACCGAAACTTGCAGAGATGGTTCATTACAAGGACGAGACGGAGGTCAGCTTCCGGATTCCTGTGGCCGTGACAACGATCAAGCTGATCAAGATGCTGCCGGAGGAGGAAATCCAGCTTCTAGCAGCCCCTATCCTCCTCGACATTTCGCATATCCTGAAGAGTCGTACTCAAGAGACCCGCGATGTTGCACGCAACGCTCTTTGCCAGATTGTCAACCTTCTCGGAGCATCGAGTTTGCAGTTCGTGCTCAAAGAGATGCGTTCTGCGCTCACCAGGGGCTATCAGCTGCACGTGGTGTCATACACCCTTCACTCAATTCTGGTCGCCATCACTCCTCATATTGAGCTTGGAGATCTGGATTACTGCCTGGATGATCTGGTGCTGGTCGTAATGGACGACATCTTCGGCGCCGTGGGCCAAGAAAAGGAAAACCAAGACTATATCAGCAGTATGAAGGAGGTCAAAAGCAGCAAGAGCTATGACTCGATGGAACTACTCGCTCGCTCCACGAGTGTTGGGGCGCTTTCGAAGCTCGTTGCCCCAATCCAGACCATTCTTTCCGGCACCCTCAATTCCAAGCAAGTCAGACAGGTAGATGAGCTCTTACGGCGAATCGGTTTGGGCGTGTCGCAAAACCCATCAGCGAGCAAGCGGGATCTGTTGGTATTCGCCTATCAATTGATTCAGTCATTGTACAAGGAAAAGGAAAGCAACTCCACTACGGTCAAGTCGCTTACGCTTGAGGAAAAGAGTCGGCAGAGGTATCTAATCCAACTGACCTCGAAGAACAAGTCGACCAGCGGACAGACATCGCCATTGTTGTACAAGCTGGCGCGTTTCGCTCTGGATCTGGTGAGGTCTACTCTTCACAAGCACGACGACGTTCTCACGCCTGAGAATGTCCACGGTTTCCTTCCTGTCATTGGTGACGCCATGGTTGAAGGGCAAGAAGACGTCAAGATATCTGCCATGCGGTTGTTGTCCGCGATCATCAAACTGCCCATGGATGAGCTCGACCAGAATGCACCTCTATACGTGCGGGAAGCTGTCAAGATGGTGAAGAATTCGACCGACACGAACGAAGAGGCTGCTCAGGCTGCACTGAAGCTTGTAGCTGCAGTACTTCGCGAACGCAAAAGCGTCAAGGTCAGGGATTCGGACATTGCAGACTTGTTGCATCGCATTACCCCAGATATTGAAGAGCCCGACAGACAAGGTGTCAGCTTCAACTTCATCCGGGCGGTCATGGCTCGAAAGGTTCAGTTGCCAGAGATTTACGAGTTGGTGGACAAGATCGGCATCATGATGGTCACGAACCAAACCAAGAGTGCCCGTGATGTGGCTCGAGGCGTGTATGTCCACTTCTTGCTGGAATATCCCCAGAGTTCGACCAGATGGTCCAAACAGCAGAAATTCCTGATGAAGAACCTCGAGTATGAGTATCCTGAAGGTCGACAGTCTGTCATGGAAGCCATCAACACGCTGGTCGCGAAGGTCAAGGGAGATCCGGCACAGGAATTGATTTCAACCTTCTTTATTCCCATCCTGCTGCGAATGGCGAACGACGAGAACAAAGGCTGTCGAGAACTTGCTGGGGTATTACTAGGACAACTGTTCCGTCTCGCGGACCGAAGCCATCTTCGAGACCTTCTGGAACCTTTGAAGGCGTGGTCTGAACAGGAAGACAACCAGGCATTGCAGAAGATAAGCCTGCAGGCGTACAGCATCCTCTTGGGCACGGGAGCAGCACTAGAGCGTGAAGAGGTCGTACAGATCCGCGATCATCTGGCCAAGATCCTCCAGACGCCGGTCACCGAGGAGGGAGATGAATGGGAACTTCTTTTCCAGGGCTTGCTGCTCTTGTCGCGACTGGTTGAGACTCATCCCGACGTGGTCTTGACTCAGAAACAAGCTCGGCTGTGGCTGTCCGTGTGGAAGTTGTTGAGCCATCCCAATGTCTGGATCCAAAGCACCTGTGCAAGCCTCACCCAGGAATTCTTCCAGCACTGTACCTCTTCCTCAGACCTCGCCAAGCTGCCGTTGGTCTGCGATCATGGTCTTCGCCTAGGCAAAGAAGAGTTCCTCGAGATCTTGAAGGCCAACGTGCGGATCATCAAACGGACCCAAGGCAACGAGGATCTCAGTGGTCTGGCAGTACAAAACCTAGTCTTCATGTGTCAATGCATGGATGTCAACGGGCTGACCATGGAAGTGGCCGACAAAGGCGACACCAACAACGAAGGCGCTTTCGCAGAAGACCCAGATTCCGACGACGAAGCTACAGCCAAAAAGACCAAACAAATCCCCGCCATCCATTATCTTCTGGACCAGATATCGCGCATCTTACGTCTCGAAACCAACCGTCTGACGTCTGCGGCATTGGGTCCGAAGCTCTCCGCGCTGACCTTCCTCTCGACCGTGCTTCCAGTCTTGTCGGACACCAGTCTGGCCGGACACAAGGTACACGACATTCTCCTCCCTCTGCAGCATTTGACGGATCCCAACACGATCCAGCCGCGCTCGGCAGACCCGTCGTTCGCAGCGACTTACCAGACTCTGATCGAGCTCGCTCACGAGGTCATTGAGAAACTGCAGACCAAACTCGGCGACACTGCCTACGTTAGAGTCTTGACGGAAGTGAGTAAGATGATGCGCGAGAGGAGAGAGGCGCGGCGGAGTAAGCGGAGAATCGAGCGCGTGGCGGAGCCGGAGAGGGCGGCGAGAGAGAAGCGTAAGAAAGGTGATAGGAAGAAGGAGCGCAAGAAGGAGATTGGCAGGACATATCAGAAACGAAGGCAGGAGATGGGCATGTAAGAAGTTCCATTTAGGAAGGTTTCATGTCGGGTCCAGGTCGTTGTGCTGTTGTGTTCATCGTTCATGGTTCATGTTTCCCATGCATAGCGTCGGCGTTGATACGATGGTAGTAGTGTTTCTGACTCAAGAATGATGAATGATTACAAAACAGCAGAGGGAAGAACGTACAGCATACCTCCTCGCACAGCGTGCTTGTCTTGTACAGAATATATGCTATATATGCTCCTTTTGAGTATACCTACCCCTGAATCCTTGAGCCTCGCCCCCACGATTCGGTCACAACTAGCAAATGAAGAATGACTGTCGCCGTGGCCACGCTCAGTGTATCATAATACCGCCGGCCCAGTGATCGTGTTGTATCCTAATCATGATCATGATCTCAATTGTGATACCTGTCCCATGTCCTCGCTCCGCTGTTGATGGCTGGCTCCCTATTCGGATCCTGTGCAGTCCCCTGCGTTCTTCACACCACTCTTTTCCCTTGAATGTCCTTGGTGTTTGCCTCCTCGCTCTCCCCCATCTACTTGTCCGCCCATGGTGTGTATCTCATCTACCTACGTGTCTGAGGTGAGAGTATGCATCGTTCGCTATCCATTCACACTCGCCGCCTTCAAATCAGGCACATCCGTCCCCACCGCTGCCGTGGCACCCGCATCGACCGGCAGAATGACCCCCGTCAACCATCTCGCCTGTGGTCCTGCGAGAAACCTCACGGCCGTGCCGACATCCCAGCCATTCCCTTCTGTTTTGAGCAGACTACGGTTCTTTCTCGCTTGACGGGCTGCTTCGGACATTTTCTTTTTCGGCTGTTCTTGTTTCTCTTCTGCTTCTGCTTTCTCCCCTTCTTTCTCTTTTCCTTCCGCTTTCTTTCCGTCTCCGCTTGAACTTGACGTTGACGTTGAACTTCCACCAGCATACATCATAGGAGTATACACCATACCGGGACAAACACAATTGACCCGAACCCCCTGCGGCGCATGATGCGCAGCCATGGCGCGGGTCATGTTGACAATGGCGCCTTTTGACGTCGGATACAACAAATGTGGAGTTCCGCCCTTCAGGCCGGCCACCGAACTCATGTTGACGATGCTGCCGCGATACATCCAGTTTGGATCAATCTCGGTGTATATGGATGTGTCGGGATTAGTGTCGGTTTCGGTTTCGGAGTTGTTGTCGGTGTTGCTGTTGCTGTTGTTAGGACGCTTATATATCATGGCCGGCACAGCGTATTTGGTCATCATGACCATACTAGCCACGTTGACTTGCATTGACGCCGCCCAGGCCGTCATGTCGACGTCGACAGCTGTGCCCGGCGCCCCGGCAATGCCGACGCAGTTGATGAGGATGTCGAGCCGGCCGAAGTGGTGGAGGGTGGTGTCGACGATTCTTTTGCAGTCTGCTTCGATGCTGACGTCTGCGGCGATGGCGATGGCAAGGGGAGTAGTGGTACTCTCTGGTTGGGATGCAGATTCGGATTGAATCTGAGAATGTATCTGAGACCGGTCTGTGTCTGGATCATCCTGGCTTTGGCTTTGGCCTTGCTTTTGTATGTGTGGTGTCGTGCTGGTGGTGGTGGTGGTGGTTTCTCTTTCAGCCTCAATCATCTCAACCGTTCGCTGAGCCAGTTTTAGGTCACGGTCCACGCAAACCACAGCGCATCCGTCCTCTGCGAGCAGAATGGCACAGGCGCGGCCGTTGCCGATTCCATCACCTGCTGCACCGGCGCCGGTTACGATGGCCACTTTGCCGGCCAGAGAGCGTGGCGGTTTGGGGAATTCGTAGTTCATGATAGAGACGGAGAAGTCGAGTCGAGTCGTGTCGTGTCGTGTCGTGTCAACTGGAGTGAAGTGAAGTAGGTATGATCGGGTTCAAAAGAGTGTGCCTCCCATTACTCTTCCTCTGCAAACAAAGCTCAAGACTGTCTCTCTTAAACTACTAAGATTGAACTGACAGTTTCCCACAGCCGAGGTTGCGTTGCACTTGACGTTTAGACGATGGTCTGGTAATATTTTGGCTTCAAGTTCGTACCGCAACGTGTTCTCCCTCGGATACCTGGTACCTCTGAAGACGGCAGTAAAATGTCGTCACACAGTTATATACAGACATAGATGAACAGGATGGCAGAAACCATGGTAACTTAATTGTGGTGTCTCTGTTCACTTACCGTCGGAGAGTCGGCATCACAACACTTACTAATGCCTTGATCCTTCGTCTCCGACGTAGTTGGAGTCCATGATGGATACACAGATGGAGTACAAACTAACGTAGAAGACTCGGATGCTCGGGAAAGGACGAGGACAGTCTCCCACCTCGGCGCTTCTCTGAGTCGAATAGAATAGTAGATAGAATAAGGGCTTTTGTGGGGAGTTGCCTGTAGAGAGTATGTATAGACTTGAGTGTGAGCCTCGGCTCGTTGACTATATTAACCATCCAAGTGCCCTATCCACCCTATACGCCCTATACTGGCTCTGAAGACTAAAGGATAGAGATGTATGCGTTGTTGGCTAGACGAGATGTTGTTTGGGCCGGTTGTCGCTTTGCCTTAGTACCTGAAATGAAATCGTTCAATCCAGGACGACTGTCAACTCGCCTTCATGCCTAGAGGGGACTTTCTGTGAAGCGAGCAGATCGAGCAACCAGCAATCGTGAAAGTTCATTGATCCGTAAGATGATATTCAAGGAGAGAATGATAGATGGATACATGCATAAATATTCAGATCGAGCGTTCGTTCATACACTCAACCCCTGACTGTCCTCGCTCTCTTCGTCAAGCCATGCTGACCGTGATGCTAGAGACCAGTGAAGATATGTCCCGGGTATATATCCACATACTCCAGCCCTGAAAACAACCTCTCTGGTCGATTTGGACACTTTGAAATATGATGGCGCGGATCTGTCTGCCTCTGATGATATAGATATAAGGGCGCGGATCTGGACGTGGTTGAGTATTGCCCAGCTCTTTCAGACTCCTCCTCCATGCCGGGCCATGCCTGTCAACCGCAACCGAGAACATCCATCTCTTGGATCATCTGGTATGTGTGTGCTGGGCACATCCCTTACAGCCCCAACGGGTTCTCTGCATTCTGCTCTTTCCCACCCACAGGTTCTTTCATCCTTTGCGCTTCCGCCTCCTCCTGCTTCGCCGGTCCGCCTTCATGGTTGCCAAAGCCGACGCCGACTTGTTCGCCCCAGCCCTTGCCCATTCTCATGACGCCCCCAATCGTCGGATCCACGAGGCCGCCGATGGGCCCTCCGGCCTTCTGGAGGGCCGGGCCTGTGTACTTGCCGACCGGGGAGAGCATGCCTTCGACCTTGTCGCCGGCTTTGTTGCCGAAGTTTTCGGGTTTTGAGTACCACGAGCCGCTGTCGCCGCCGCCGCCGCCGCCGCCGCCGCTACCTGTAACTCGATCCCCAGGGATTAGCCATCGATCTTCTGCTGAGGACAGTCGCTAATATTCTTCTTCTTCTTATTCTCCTTGGTCTCTGCAATGCTCGCCCGCGGAAGTACTACTCGTCCAGCGACGATTCCCCGCAGCACTCATGTGGTATTACTGTGTAGGGACAACACACCTTGACCGCCCTTTTGTTCGGTTGAGCCCTCGGGAGGGATATTCTCGGCGTTTTCGTTCATCTCGATTCTGTTTTCCTTGTTGTCGTCCGCCATGATTCGACCTGATATGTATATAGAGTCTTTCAATATGATATGGTGGGCCGTCCCGTGAGTTAGCAGAATGATAAACTAGCGATATCACAAAAGGCAAGGAGACATCTTCTTGAGCATAATAAGAGTTTCAGCGTCTCAGCCCCAGAGCAGCCTGCATGCGCCGACATCATAGTCGCCTTTAGGGTTCCCTGCCCTCCAACCGCGCGGTCCAGATTTCAGGGATCAAGGGACTTCTGGACTGGGATTGAGATGGCTTGGTTGGCTGGGGGGATTGCTGGACACCACAGTATGACGTCGATGTTGGAGAGTTCTGTCGAGAAAGATGAGCAGGGATCTTGCCAACCTTGCCCGGAACTTGGTTGGAGATCCAACCCTCTTTTTACTCTGTAAACAAATATACTCGGTATACTGGTGCGACGGCCTCACACACCCGCGCGGCAAGCTTAGACGGTTCTCGACAACCATTGACCTTAACCGGGGCTATTCGATATGCCTGGTCAAACTCGTATTCCGGCATGCTAGAATGTCTGGTTGTTACAGAACCGCAAATCTTTTGAAGCGGTCTCGAGACGGACAACACTATGCATCCTCCTCGTGCCCTTGGAGAATATGTTGGTGGCTTTGCAGACGGGTAGCCGCGTGCAAGGTCGAGAATGCAGTCGATCCGGTTTGTATATATAACTTACACATATATAACGATGTTGATACAGGCGTTACCACGCCCTTGAAGCTTATTTTGACATCCGGTAGCGATGCCAACAAACATGCAGTTGTCACGGCGCTTGCTCTCCCAGAATTTAGCGAATTTCAATGTCCTCCTCCTTCCAGAAATCAGAAACCAAGGCCTGGCCATCCATGAGATTATAGACATAACAAGGACCGACCAGACGATAATGGTCTTCGGCACGTCGAAGAACAAACGGCGTGGGACAGCCTAGGATGATGCAGATATAGTCTCCGTCGTCACCATCTCTCGTCTCCCGCGGCACGCAGCAAGTCAAGTGGCGGTCTTGTGTCAACGCCAGTTTCCGACCGAAGCTGTATCTGAAACTCTCCGACAACATGTTGATGTATGCTGCAAAGTCCTCGTTGAGAGGCATGGTGGGTACGAATTCGTGTTCGACGTTTCGGGCTTTCGTAGACGCGTGCCGGGCTGTATTGTCCACGGCTTCCAGACACAGCGGAGTGATCGCTATGTTGCTCGCTCGGACATAGCCCTCTCCTTCGCGCTCAGGAGGGATGATCAGGTCCGCAGTTGCCGTTTGCCAGCCCTGCAGAGTGAATTGGTGGGGCGGCACTTTTGGTATCTCTTCCTGCACAGCCGTCATCCAATCCCAAGTCTGTGCAAGCCAGGCAGATTGGCCAGCAACTTGCTGGTGCGTGATCGTGTTCGGATATGGAAGATCCGGACCAGTCGAATAGATCTTATCGACGATACAGCCTCGAACAATGAGTAGCCTATCGTTTGGTATATCGGACTGGCTGACTGGACCCCATCTGAAAGAAAACTGAGTGTTGCCACAGGCATTGTAGACCGAGTTCTGAAATTGTCCGGATGGCCTATAGAGCTCAGAAAACGCATCGAGATTGGGTTCGGTAAGCACAAGAGCCCAGGAGTGAACGGGACTGCTTGTTGCTAGGCAGTTGTAGAGGACATACGGCCCAAAACCAGTTTGGATCAGGTGTCGTGCCACACGCATGCCGAGCTGCTCAACGCTCTCGTCTGTGTAGTTCACTGGTATCCGATCCTTACTCTTGCCGCCCTCCAAGAGGCCGAGGATGGCATATACTTTGTCCCTCTCGTCCTTGGCGAGGAATCTCTTTGTTCGCCACAGGAGACTGTGTAGAGGGAGCCCCTTTGGCAGGGCGTCACGAGCATCACGGATGAGGAGAGCCGAAACGTGAGGCTGATCAAAGGCCCAGACGCACTGCGCAAATTCCTCGCTGGGTTGTCCTTGGCCTGGCCCACGACGGCGGTCTGAGTGGTAGAGCCAGACCATATGCTGCAAGGCACGGATCACGCCTTGGGGCAGATATGTCCCAGGACGCTGGTCATCTCCGATCAGAAACGTTGCTCTCTTTGCAAGAGCATATTCTTGGATGATCCACACGCGAGAGAACCACGGCCTCTGCATGAAGCAGACGAGAGCACGCCAGAACGCGTCTCTGACTCCAGGCAGCTGGAACCCTGAAAGAAACTGAAAGCAGTCGTTGAAGCTTTGCGTCTGAACAATCTGGTACGCTTGCTCCCAAGTGTCGAGCGGGATGTTATAGTAACGATCCAATACTGCAAGCACGTCGCTCGAAGATTCACTTCCGAGATCCATCATGACCTGTTCCGCCCGCGAGAAAGTTCTGTCTATGTTTTGGACTTGCTGTGCCTTTTCAGCGAGACCTTGTGGACTGCGACCCTGGTCAATGCAAAGAGCGTCCGTCCACACGAACAGGCTCTTGTCCATTTTGCGGACCCTGACCAAAGCAGCATGGAGGTTTGGCGTTACCCGGGCAAGTCGCCCATCACAATTAATAGCTATTTTGAGGGCATCATTGTCGTCACCCCATGCATAGGAAATGGCCGTGTAGGAATGGCTGGGCCGGAGATGGCTCATGTGAAGGATCCGACAGCAGATTTGGTCCCCACGATGCTGCGCCGGGAGAAGTTCCACGACGCGAATATGGTCATCTGATTCGAGAGGCCTGTATAGATATTCTCCCTCGTCCTGCGGAGAGAAAGGAGCCTGGGATATGCTCGGTCCACTGAGCAACAAACCCAGGGACCGGGGAAAGGCTGAACATAGCAATTTTGAAAGATAGCCGTAGCCTCGTAAGAGGCAATCCCATCTGAACAGGGACATGCCGGTTTGACTTACATCTGCAGTGAAAAGGGTAGGAGACAATCCGCCATTGCCCTCGTCTTATCTGGTCACCTTTCTTCATCTCATGGAGGCTGTGCTGCTGCTCATGGCGGTAAGGACGAAACATAGCCACCTACCGATCAGGGGGGTCTGACACAGATCCATGCTGGCGCCTCCCAAGCGCGACAGCCTTGTTGTCCTCCCAAGCTTGCAGTAACGCTAATGAGCTGAGGGCCACCGGGAGGGTCGCAACTGGCAAGCGGACGGCGCGTAAGCAACATGTTGAAGCGCTTCTTGAAGCATGAAATGAGACAATGTATCAATAAAGCCAGCGAAGAATTGAGATATAGGAGGAACCGCGGCGTGCTTTCCATTCGCAAGCAGATGTCAACATACCTGCTCTAGTTCACCTTGTTTCGACGTACCAAACGCAATGTGCATGGCCTGAATACTGGGCTCCTTAGGCCTCTCCTCTACCATTTACTGCTTTTTCCGCACGAACAACACACGAAAAGCCACCCCATAGTAGCCATATTTCGTAATTTGGCTGAATAGCGGGAGGCTTCTGCATCGGGCCACCAACTAGCATCTAGTGGTCTTGGGGAGTAGACCTGTTCTGCCTGATTCTATCAGATCACGTCGACAATCCCAGCTGACCCCCATTCGTGTGGTTCACATTCCTACAGGGCTGATGTTGCATGTGGCAGAATGCACACCATAGTCATCTAGTATTTGTCCGTGTAGACGCCCACGGGCCTCGTGACAAAGCGATTGCTCCTCCTTCGCGCCTCGTCAGGAGTGGCAGACCCAGTTCCGCTCTCACTTCCGTCTCGGGCTGCACTCTCCGTGCCGAGTCCCCTCGATCCGGCGCGCATTTTGGCCTCGAGCAGAGCCAGCGCATGATCCCCCGCTGCTCTGGCCACCTCGGCTTCTCTCAGAAGTCCCTTCCTCGTCAATTCACGCTCCTCTTCAGGGAGGACAAATCGATGAATGGTGCGGTGATCCACGACTCTTTCCTCTGGGTCGCCTGCTCCCTCCACCCATGTTCCCTTCCCACATCTTCCTTTCCGGCGATACGCGCTGTATTCGGTGGCCGCGGCCGCTTTCTTTCCCCTGCCAGAACGTTCATGGAGTTTGCGCGGATCAGGGTCGGTCTTGGGCCAGGGGAAGCCGTAGAGCATGCTGTGTCGCTCACATCGAGGACACTCGCGTCGAGTCTGATATCCGTTGGGTTGGACAAAGAACCCATAACACTTCTCGTTGTGGCATTGCACCCAGCGATCATGGGGTTGTGCCAGCAGCTTTCGCGTCAAGATGTAATCTCCTGCAATTCGGATTGTACCGGTGACCGGGTGGACGGTTAGCTTGGTGACTGTGGTTGAGGTCGTGGTTGGTTCGATGGACGGCAGCACGTTGGCTTCCCCTGTGGCGGTGTTGGATGCTTCGGATTCGTGGACTTCTCTAGTGACCGTCGTTGTTGAAAGCGTCGACACTGTATGTGGGGTCACGGTATGGGCGGATTCGAGAAGAGTCTCTGTATTTCCAACCTCACCGTTCGCATAGGGGGGATACTCTGTGTTCATCGCGGAATCCTGGCTGGACGATGCCACGACGATGGTATCTTCATCTGCTTCCAGCTTCGTCATCTCCATAGACTCCACCTTGATGGTGATAGCACTGTCACTGATGGTTTGGGCAGGAACTGGTTGGCCAGAAGGCCCGGCCTCATTTGCTGAACCATAACTAGACGGAGAAGTAGGGGCGGGAGAGAGAGGTGCCCGTGAAGAGATCTTGCCGAATAATCTAGCAGTCATCTTGCTTTCACGCAGACTCTTTCCAGACTGATTACTGCCGGGAGACTTCTCCTTCTCGCTCCTTGACTCACCGGGCTCTCCGCCTGAAGGCGTCAAGACCGCAGCCGCATCCGTATCCTCAGCAATGTCTCGCTCTGTCAATCGCAATGGGCTTTGAGGCGGGGACAGCGTTGTCTCCTCCCTGGATATTAAGCTTGGGATGGGTTCGACAACTCCTGACAATCCCAGAGCGGTGGCCTCCCCACCATTGTCGAATGCGGCACTGCCCGGCGGAGTCCACGAATGTTGAAGTTTGGAAGGCGACTGAGTAGTCTTCAAATGTTTGGACGGAAGGGCAGCAGAAGACTGCGAAAGTGATTCCCGCTCGCGTTTGCGTTTCAAGCTGCGTGGCTTCATATTGGCAAGGAGATCTCGCGACGGAGTTGAGGCGTTGCTACCAGGCTCAAGGACAGCGGCTTTCGAGGTCCAACCGTTGCGTTCAAGCACCTCACAGGTGTGGCAGAGACAATCGATATTGCCAGGACCAAAGTAGTCGTCACCGTACGAAACCGTGATTTCATCTCCGACCTCGATGTTCTTCATGGCAACCACTTCCATGCCGTCAGGTCCTCTTGTCACAAGCCGACCGTTGGCATCGCAGTCATGATTGGCAAACCGGGCAGGACCCAGGAATATGGACGAGTTCTTCTTGCGACTGGACACGACAATGCTGAAATTGCGATTCGTCAGGTCCAGATCCGCCGACTCTTCTGTGGTCAGGGGGACGAGGGTGCCGGTAAGGTATTTGACGGTGTCACCTTGTTTGATCCTTCGACGCGCCATCACGGCCGCTTCATAGGTGGTGATGGTATACCGGTTGGTGGTTGACACCTCCCAGGGGCAGTCGGTCTGGTACATGGCGATGTACTTTCGCAGGTGATTGAGGAAATGCTCGTTTTCGGCCTTGGAGCGTAGACTCTTCTTGTATCTTTTCAACCCTGGGAGTGCCAGCAGGGCCTTTTCGGCAGCGGCAAGATCTTTCTCCACAATGACCTTGTGCAGCAGGATGCTAGGGACTTCATCCTCCTTGATGCCTCGAATTGGAATATGCTTGGTGCGATTCTTCCGGATGCGCGACTTGTAGTAGGCCTGTAAAGCGTCAGCACGACCGACGCCCCATGATCATGATTGTTCCGACATTATCTATGAGTGCGTCGGAACACACGTCGTCGTGGGCAGCCAGTTCGGCGAGGGAGAGCCGGTGCGCCTTGTCAGGCTCATTGGCCGACTGTTTTCGAGTCATGGTCGCGTTGTTCACCCGAGTCGAGAGCGACTGGGACGATTAGACAACAGTTTCGTACTTGGCAGAGTTGTCTGAGGAGGTTGCAAACAAGGAAAAGGAAACCGTGGACGCCGCTGATTGCGGGCTGAGAGGATCCAACGAGCGGAAGGGGTCGACGGGTCGAGAATTGCAAGGGACGGATGGTCCACGCGCGGCTAGGGTTCAGTTCAAGCCAACCCGAAAGAGACGGCAGTAAATAGAGAGAGAATGTAGTGCGACATGACGGTCGCGTGGATGAGGCGCGCCAGCTGAAGGAAGACTGAAAGGAGAGCTGCTCAGCTGTGCCTCACTTTTGACCTTAAGGGGAAGGGATAGTCGAGCATTGAGCATCGAGGGAGCAAGAAACAAGAAGGGAGGAGAGGAGAGGAGAGGAGGGGGCTTTTGCTCTGTGAGGCCAACGGACGCAGCGCAGCGCAGACAAAGTCAACACTAACAGACACAATCTGAGCGGAACGACGGGATGGAATCTGGCATTAGTGAGTTTGTTAGTTTGTTAGTTGGTTAGTTTCTCAGCGAGACTCCCGTGCTAGTAGTAGCAATCGCCCTCCTCACCCTTTTGTCGCGTCTCCCTTGAAAGTGCGTGTCGGGGGTCTGGCTGCCTGTCAAATAAAGTGGCCAGCCAGTGGAGATCTCATTCTTCGGCCACAATGCAAACCGCTGTCACTTACTGTCACTACTCTGTGTCCAGCGCTGCAGGCCCACGAATCGGGGACACACCTAAGAAAAGGACGAATTACTTCAAGTTGTGTCCTGTCACGGCAGGGGATGAAGGTACTCTGTGCAGTAAAGATTCACCGTATCGTGATGCGGGCAAGCATAGACTGATGAAGTGTAGCTTTCTTTGGCTGACAGTGTCGCCGCTTTATGGTACCCAAATATCAAAATACTAACAACCCCCTGAAATATCCTCAACCAGCGACACTCCTTCAACGTGCAGCATCACAACAAAACAGTGCAACAGAGAATCTGTTCTGTGTTTCTGATACTGATGGTCAGTCCGCACCTGTTATGTCCTATTTACCAGGCAGCATAAACAGCATCGACATACCAGGGTTACATGGTCGATATGACAAGCGATGCTCTGAGCCTGGCCCCAGTAGTCTTCCTCATACCGGTAACGATGAATGCCATACTAGGAAGACCATATTGGATGCCATAACGGTATGGTCGCTGAAAGCACTGACTATCTTGACGCAACTCTTACCCTATGGTATGTTGAGCAGAAACGTCAAGGAACTCGAGAAGAAAGATGAACCGCACCTTGAAATCGTTGAGACCTCGCCATGAAAGGATCATCAGGTCTTAGAAGATTCCTCCCTGTCGTGAGACAAAGTGTGATTCCCCCCTCCCCTGTGACATATCACGATCATCAACTGGCTAGACTTCGGAAGAAGCCATATTACCGCTTGATTGGACGGGCAGAAGGAGAATTGCTCAAGGGTTGCTCCACCTTCTCCGCAGTCCGAAATGATATTCGACACGACATTTCTGTATAGAGTCCGAGGTGACGACTTGTATCTTCAGCTATGCCCAATATCATCATCATGAGCAGTTACAGCTCACCCACTGCACCTGGTGGGAAGTTCCATCACTCCAACATTCCATCATCGTCATCATCGGCCTCCACTGAACTGAAGCTGGCTCGGCAGGACTATTCAACCACGATTGCGTGCCTGATCAATGGACCCCTTTGTGAGCTCATCACGTTTCATGCCAAGGTGAAGTCATGATGATGAAATGCCTGGCCTCAAAGCAGTTTACCCACAGGTAAGGTATATAGAGGTGAGGTATTCGACTCGCTGTCCTTTCTGGCCTTCAGCATACCGAGACAACCGATTAAAGTCTTCCCACATACCAGCTGCAAAAGTCCAAACCAGACCAAATATTCCAGTCAACAAGACCTAATCCAATATGTCTGGCAATACCAACCCCGGCAACTTCGCCAACCGTCCCAAGGAGGAGGTCCAGGAGATCGCAAGCAAAGGTGGTCAATCCAGCGCCGGCGGCTTTGCCTCGATGGACCCTGACAAGCAGGTATGTTTCTTTTGGCAACCCAATCATCAAGTGAATGAATATTGACGGTGCATGCAGCGTGACATTGCTTCCAAAGGAGGCCAAGCATCCAGCGGCTCCTTCGAACCGGGCAGTGAAAAGGCCAAAGAAGCTGGAAGAAAAGGCGGCTCTGCTACCGGAGGATCGAGCTCTTGAGAAAGTAATGCTTTGGTGCAGTGGTGGCTAGACTGCAAGTCAGATGGTGAATGTGCAGCCGCATGAGAGCAACCCCTGACGTGCTGGGGCAGGATAGCAGTCAAATGTACAACAGAATTTGGTGTTTCGACAGACTTCGGCTGAAGCAATGTGACAATTTATACCACCAGTTTCCTGCTCTGTATACTATTCAGCCGATGGCCGCCAACACCTTTGATCCTCCATATATTGCAGTATATTACAATAAGTGTGGCATGGTCTGCCTGCAGCTGTCTGCCATCCTACCAGGATGTAAAGTCGACAATGGCTCTTGCGCGGTCTCTTGCGGTCTTCAGAACATAATTCCGGCCACCTATTCCCTTTGCGAAGTATCTGCAATTCTTCGAGAAAAAAGTAAACTGTTGGCAGTTAGTGGTATCACACGACGTACCTCTCGCTTCAATTGAATGCCCTCCACTCATAGTCGGCTGCTGATGACGGCGATCTAGGTGCCGACCCTTTCGCCAGTGATGATTCCCCAGTTGCTCAATCTAATCGGCTCAAGGAACACCTAGCAGTCCCTTGTACCTTGCACCTGAGAGAAGATTGATGACCCGCGTCACGCGTCGCCCCCAAGACGCGTCTCCACGTGATGGTCATTTTCTCCAACAAAGTGTCGTTTCTCGCATGGAGAATACTTGTTACTACTACTGGCATTCAGTTGAACTCCATTGCGCCAACATGGGGTACGATTGGAAACCTGAAGGTTCAACTTTTGGTCCAGTCCATGATACACAATGATGCTTAGCCAGCATGGCCCAGACCTACTCCTTCGACGTCGAACCTGTCGCCCGCTTTGCAGGTCAAAACGCCGCAATCCGAAGGCCCAGAGTACTATGCTGCCCGGAATTGTTCATTGACAGAGTAAACTGACCTTGACCAGGAACTCACATTCTTTTCCTACGATGAGGACCACCAACTCCGCCACGATGCTTCAAGTCTGCGCTACTACTATCCTCCTGCCCTACCCTGCGACCTCAACAGAGGGTTCGAGACTTTTCGGCAGCTAGACGACTCGGCCGACGACCATCTGGATGGCTTATTGGACGCGCTGATGCTGTATGAGAAGGAAAAGGGGCAGAAACTCGAGACGGACGTGATAACATGGCGTGGAATGATGACAAAGGTGTGAAGATTTACTCAGCATTGAGTCTCTCTTGCTCATAGGATATGACAGATCATGGTCGCGCCGTACTCCTCGTTCGACGACTGGGAGATGAATGCGACCTGTTTCCAGGGTACCATCTTTATCGAGGAGAACCATAATAAAAAGATTGCTTCTCGTCAAGAACAATTCTCTACACCCGCCCGACCTGGCGCCATGTCCCAAGACATTATGAGTTTCTGGGGATATAAATTCGAAACAGTGTCGCTTCTGCCAGAACCCTGGTCTGAAACGCCAAGGGAGTACATCGACTCTCGCGAAGATGAGATTGTGAGCAACTATGCACAGTATTGTTCCATTGTCCGCACAGGATTTGGAAAGGTGAAAATGATCATAGGTGGTGAGGTCGATGCTGTCATGGACTTCAAGCCCGAAGACAAATCCCAACCGATCAACTGGGTCGAGCTCAAGACCACTGCTGCTGTGACGAACGAGCGGGCACAAGTCAAGTTCGAGAGAAAGCTGCTGAAGTTTTGGGCCCAGTCATTTCTGCTTGGAGTGCCAAAGATCGTGGTTGGATATCGAACAAGCCAGGGGATCCTCGAGCGTCTGGAAGAGCTGGACACCCAAGCCATCCCGGAGACGGTGCGACTGCGGGGCAAGAATCTGTGGGATGGACAGACTTGCATCAACTTTGCTTCAAGTTTTCTTGAATGTAAGTCAGAAGGTTCGTTATTGTCTTCACCCGACTGACAGCGGTAGGGCTGAAAGGTGTCATCACCGAAGGTGGCGTCTGGAGGATCCGAAAGCGAGAGAAGTCTCCCAGACTTGAGATCTTCAAGATCGAAGAGACAGGCCACGGAGACATTTTGTCCCGGGCGTTCGTTGAATGGCGAACACAAGGTCTGTCCGGTCAACAACAGGAACCCGCGACTGCCCTGAATAATGCGAATGGCAATGGCACATGCCGAAACCTCCTTGAGCCACCATGCTTGTAGTCCGAATCATCACAAGGATGCGGTGCTTTCGACAAATATGTCGTTCCTGGTCACCGCACGACCTGGCACATTCACACTTGAGCGCTCCCTGCAGAGGTCACGTCATTCTGGTCGACTTCGTTGGCTTTCAACTTCTTGCCTGCGGCGTGCTGCGGCAGTCTTCTTGTGCCCTCGACTCGCGAGATGGCCGGCCCATTCAGCCTCTGTCATGAGTATCTTATCACAGATCTCGCACCTCCTGGCAACGCGGTCGGGCCTGCCATCAGGGTCATCGGGCGCGGGGAGCATCCGAGTTGCCAAATCAGATAGACTCCGAGGATCGGGAAGCATGTCACCTTTTAAAAAGCTGCCCACAATTCTGGTAGCCGGTTCTTGCACAGCAGACTTCCACTGTTCAAGAGCAGAACAATCAAGGAGGAAGAGCTTGTCCAACACTCCAGCCTTGACCAAAGCGTTTGCCAATCGGATACGAATGTAACGGTTCTGGCGCTTTGCATAACGTCTTGTGCCAGCCTTGACAGGCTCCACCGCTTCTTGCAGCATGCGCGAGCTTCTGGCGGCGTCGAGCTCCTGACGTTGTCGACTCTCCAGCCAAGGTTCCATCTCTTTGTAACCGATCGAAACCCAAATACCCTTGCTCTTGTCAACGGGTGTCCCCTTCCTTTTCAGATCTGCCTCCAGATCCGCCATTGAAGCAGCTTCATCCACAAGTCCGTCTGCGACCATCGAGTCTACCCGCGCATTTAGGCGTTCTTTCAGGGCCTTATCTTCAGCCTCTAACCACAACAGGACCGTTGGATAGCGGAACCCATTTTCGTCGGCCCCAGGTCCGTCTTGACCAACGTTGTCCGGGCCGTCGCAAGTGGCTTCGTTGTGATGGTCTGCTTTGCGTGCCTTCTGTTCAGCATATACTTCGGATGCTTTTCTCCCTGTCTTGAGCCAGATCTCGAGAGACCGCTGGATCTTCCGTCTGTCCCTTGGATGCCATCTTCTCGCCATGTCGGGATCGACCTCTTGTAGCTTCGCAAGAATTTCCTCCGTGGATTTCGACAGAATAGGATATTCCTGGAACGGCTCTGGACCTTCAACTTCTTGTGATTCGCTTTCGGTAGCGTCTTCAGCAAGGGTGGCATCCTTGAACAATAGAGCGTGGGTGTAATAGTGCGTCCCACCGACCACGATAGGCAACTTCCCCCTTGACCGGATCTCGTCGATGATGCGAGAGCTCTCCTTGACGAACTGGTTGACCGTCCAAGGTGTCTCTTCTAGAGCGATGAAATCGAGCAGGTGATGTAGGATGCCGTTGCGTTCATGGTCAGGCATTTTGTTTGTAATGATGGGCAATCCCTTGTACATTTGCATGGCATCCCCGTTGATGATCTCTCCATTGAATCGTGTTGCAAGTTGAACGGCCAGCTACGTTCGGCTATTAGTTTCTCCTGTCTCAGTACTTCTCTCACCTGGAAAATCCTACCTTTGACTTGCCTGTGCCCGTCGCACCGATGATCACGACGATGGGATCTTTGGGCGCATGCGACGCCATGGTGATACCTCGTCTGAAGACCAGAGACATTAACATATATCCTTAGTCGATGTATCCCTACTATAACGCCGTTACGAGCGCTAAGAACAGCATGGCTCTTCAGAATGGATCGAGCATGCCTGCAAGGGTCGTTGCATGATGGCCGTTTTTTCACTGCATGTTGCCCCCAAAGCACGAAATAAGATACTTTCGGCAAGGTGGAATCCAAGGAAGCCGTCTCCGGTGACCAGATCTCTGCGATTGATCATTCATTCGTTGATCCGAAGCAGAAAAATAAGACTCTTTAGCAGTCGGGACTGTTGTGCATTGTCAAAATAAAACTGCGTATCAAGTAGTAATGTTGCACCGTAGTTCAAGCGGCGAAAGTTTTTTGTTCGAGCGCAACTTGAAGTTGAAGTTGAACTTCACGACAGTCAATTCCTGCATTTCAAACAATCCTCTGCCGACGACGACAAGAACACCAGCGCCTTGACTCGCACTCTTCTCACATTCCGGTCGATTGAGCACTCACTCCCCTCCATCATGGCGGAAGTTGTCCAAGCGCGAACAAGCTTCGCACCCTCCGCATCTCCTCCGACGACGACATCTCGCAAACGATCAGCCTCGCCCGACGGCGAACCGTCGACGCCTACAACCCCAACGACTACAAGCAACGCACTCACAACAAGCAACAACGAAACCTCAATCTCGCAGTCCGAACCACCAGCCAAGAAAACGAAACTGATCCGCCGCAAGCGGCGCCCGGCGCGGCCACAAGTCGACCCGTCGACGATCAAATCCGAGCCGCCGCCACAGACCGGCACGATCTTCAACATCTGGTACAACAAATGGTCGGGCGGCGACCGGGAGGACGCATACCTGTCGAAAACGGCAGCGCCGTCACGATGCAACATCCGCAACGACTCGGGCTGGACGCAGGCGGACAAGACGAGCGGGAGTTATTTCTGCCTGTTCTTCGCGCGCGGGCTATGTCCCAAGGGTCACGAGTGCCAGTACCTGCACCGGCTGCCGACGATCTACGACATGTTCAATCCGAACGTGGACTGTTTCGGGCGCGACAAGTTCAGCGACTACCGCGACGACATGGGCGGGGTGGGCAGTTTCACGCGCCAGAACCGCACGCTGTACGTCGGCCGCATCCACGTCACGGACGACATTGAGGAGATTGTGGCGCGCCATTTCCAGGAATGGGGCGAGATCGAACGCATTAGGGTCTTGACGGGGCGAGGGGTCGCGTTCGTCACCTATGTCAATGAGGCGAATGCCCAGTTCGCCAAGGAGGCCATGGCGCATCAGGCGCTGGATAATAGTGAGGTTCTGAACGTCAGGTGGGCCACGGTCGATCCGAATCCCCTCAGTGCGAAGCGGGAAGCTGCCCGGTTGGAGGAACAGGCTGCCGAGGCTGTGAGACGCGCCTTGGGCGAGAGTGCGGTGCGCCAGATCGAGGGTCGGGAGACCCAGGAGGAGCGCGAACAGCGGAGGAATGCGTCGAAATATGGACTGGAAGGGTATGAGGTGCCGGAGGAGATTTGGTTTAATCAGCAGAAACAACAGCAGCAGCAGCTGGATGGCCAACAGCAGGGCGAGAGAGGGTTACTGAAAGCGCCGCCTCAGGGCTTTTCGGGTCCTGCAGAGACTGTCGCTTCATCCTCGAATGATCTGACAGCTGCCGCGACGCAGGATTACAGTGCTAATGGAAATGGCAATGGCAATGGCAACGAGGACAACAGTATCATAGGCAGTTCTGTGCTTGCGAAGCTGAAGGGCTATGCGTCGAGTACGAGGCCGTCAGATACATCGAATCCTGCGCCGGCGGCTGGTCCGTTGGTTGCGTACGGGAGTGATGATGAGAGCGACTGATGACCCGAAATGCTACAATCCCTCAAGTATCTGGAGCAAACCAGCATGGTACAATCAATACATTGCACATGAGGAAGAATCCTTACACCACGAGGTCCCAAAGCAGATGGACTCCAGCTTCTTTACCAAGTCAGATCATCGAGTTCCGTGCATTTTTGTACCCGATGAAACCATTCAATTCCTTGCTTTTGATCTAGCTTTTCAATTGTCCTACACCCTTTTTACTTGTACACTCGATATAAACCACAAGTGTAACTAGGAATGAAGCAAATCACAGCTCGCCATGCTTGAGACCAGCCTCGCCACTGAGATCGAAGCAAATCACAGCTCGCCATGCTTGAGACCAGCCTCGCCACTGAGATCCGGCATGCGCATCATGACAACGACCAGACTCGTCCAGCCCGTGAAATGCTGGGTGCGCTGGCCCTCCCCGGTTTCGGGATTATACTGTTCCCAAGCGAAGCCCGTGCGCTCCCACTCGTTGAAGACGTTCTGGACCAGATTGCGCCTGAGCTCGGAGTAGATTTTCGTGGCTTGAGTCTTGACTTTGGCCGGTGCGGCCGGCGACTGCGCTACAGCCAACAGGTTCTTGAGGATCAGGTAGTTGATGTTGACCCAGATGGGCGAGCGCCAGTAGTTCTCGTCGGTGCCGTAGAACTCGTCGGTCTTGGACAGGGACCGGATCCCGTATGGTGACCACAGTTCGGACTCCGAGGAGATCAGGGCCAAAATGTGAGGCAGGTTCGGGTGCGTCGGGGGTAATAGTCCCGTTAGGAAGGGGAATAAACTGATATACCCTTTGTGGCAGACGTGGATCGAGTCTTCGTAGTCGTCGATCGACACGTCACAATATATTTTGGCCTCGTCGGACCAGTGCAGGTCGTCGATGTTGCGGACGATAGCGTTGCTTTGCGTCTTGAAGTCGGACGCGTCGTCGGGCTCGGACAGAAGTGTCGACAGTCTCAATAGGGTCTTGGACATCATGCCGACCCAGGAGATCAAGTCGGTGTGCAGTTCGCCGGGATGCGGCGGCTGAGGCCGCGGATAGTCGTCAAGACCTGATGGAAGGATGTGGCGAGGGGTGCGGCCTCGCCAGCGGTACGCTTCTTTCGTGGAGAAGGCTTTTCGGTCGTACGACTTGATGTCGCCGAATTGCGTCCGACGGAACCAGTAGTATTGTCGTTTGAGCAGCGGGTAGAGAGACCGGAGTTCGGACTCGATCCGCTCCTTGTCAGCCCCGGACGTGGTGGCGGACAGTTTGTCCATCAGGATGTCGATGATTAGGAACAGGGTCGGCGGGTTGGCGTAGTGGGGATACTGGACTTGGAATTCTTGCGGGACTTTGCTGCGTGCTTCAGGGCCGAGGATCTGCTCTCGGGCAATCCAGCCATCCTCGTCCATGAGATTGAACCACGACTTCACGATATCGATCGTGACATCGAGATCCCACTCCGCAATGGGGACCAGATGGAAGCCCTCGTCCCACAAAAAGCCACGCGGGAAGAAAGGCCTAGACGGGACGCAGCTGAAGAGTTCTGCTGGACCATCTTTCTCGACCTGTGCCCGAGCTCTCGCTTCTGCCGTTTCTTCCCAGAAGCCTTCGTTTTCCTCGTCATATTCCGGAGCATAAGAACGATCCACAAGTGAATCACCATAGAAATACCCAATACCGCCGAAGAGATTCGAAAACATCGACTCGGCAAAGGCCGTGTAGGCAGGCTTGGTGAATGGCGCGAGAGGAGCGAACACTTCCTTGAATTTGGACTTGAATTTGTCAGAAGTGGTTGCAATGGTCTTATCCAAGGTCTCTGTAGACACGGAAGGTCCTGAAGCCGAGTTGAACAGAATATCAAACTCAAAGTCGCCCACAAACACCTTCTGAACCATGTGGAAGTTCCCAGGTCCAGGATTCTGGGGAATAGTGAAGGCAGCCCAGGGCGGTGGCATGTTCTCCTGGCCATATTCTTGCACGTAGGCATCAATCTGCTGCTTCATACTGGCAAAGACAATGTTCTTCGCCTGCCAGATCGACTCCGGCGACATTGGCAGGCTACTCATCAAGGTCCGATCAAGTGGTTTGGCGTCCCAAGATCCATGCGTCCGGTACGGCAGTCGATTCTCCGAGGGCTCCTTGAACGAGATATCAAACTCTCCCAGGTCCAGGGTTTGGCCGTGCAAAGTAACCACCCCTTCGACGTCTGGTTCCTCGCTCGTGAACCCGAGCTCGCCCAACCCTTCCATGCCAGCATAGAATATCAGGGTTGTGACCAAATTAGGCGGTGCATCCTCTCGCAGGGTTCCCTTGACCCTCGTGGCCCAGCTGCCGCCATGTTGTCCTCCAGGCACCTTTACAAAATCAATTGTAAGGTCAATCTTGTTTCCAGTGTCGTGTATGACTTCGCGACCACCATTCCGGGCGTCATATTCTTCCCAGCCGTAGCCTGCCATCCCCTCGTGCTGTTCGCAGGTGTGACGGAAGTTGAGTTGAGCTGTGCCATAGTTGTCGGTATTCGCCCACAGCAACCCCGTCAGGAGACTGTTCGGTAGACGTGGTCGCACGCCGAAGTAGAGATTCGGTCGGTAGGGACCCCATAGGAGGGTGTCGGTGTCGTTCGAAGTTGCGACAGATGCATGCGCCGAATTGCTGTACAACGAGAAAAGAGCGACGATGCATATAAAAAACGAGAGCGGCCGTGCGGCACTCCTGCCACGACTCATCATGATGCCAGATGGCCGACTCCCAGAGCCTTCGAGTCAGTTGACTTTGGCTGCAATAGACATGGTACCCTCGTCTTGAGGACTTGAGTAGGACCTGAAGGGACTCCCTAGACTACGACTACGGAGATACTGATACACTGCCATCTGGCCTGGCGAGTGGGACGACGCCGGTAGGGGTCAAATTACGGTGGCGCATTGAATCAGTGCGTAGTAATAGTTCTGGTAGCGCGGAGCATTTCTCGTCTCAAGCGCAACCTCAGCCTTGCGGCAAACGTGCATCGCCATCTGCAAAGTAAATGGTGGGTTTTAGGCATTTTCACATGTGGTTGTTACTGAACAATGGAGCGAGCTTCTGAAACGATAGGTGGCATACACGCTTGTGCTGATGGTGGCCAGTTGTCCCATATTCAAGCTGGACAGCATACATGACAACGGCGACCTTGTTGAAGGTGGGAGTTTGTCGACCGCCACAGTATTTCTAGTGAAAACAAACAATGTAGTCACGGCGATCGCTGCCACTCAGAGAGGAGTACTGTGGCTACTAACAAGTCGCAATTCTGATATATCATAAGCAGTCGTTACCTTGTTGACGTGTGCTGCATATAACGGTGAGGCGAGCACGATACAGGCGGAGCGTGCTTGCTTGTCTAATGACAAGGACACGATGTTATAGGTACACTCCGGATGGGTAGCTTCGTCAGCACAGTCGGATAGCAGCGGTCACCAAGCATGACGAAGAAGACAAAGACAGAAACGATGGTCGACAAGAGAAGAAACCAGCAAACTCGGATATCATTGACACAACAGCAAGAAACCCCCCTCCCCACGGCAACGCCATCCATCTACCTACTCTTGGCCATTTTCAGGCGCAGGAACGCCACCAGGTCGGCCCCCTTGACCTCGTCCTCCGAGCGGGAGGGACTGCGCACCTTCAAGGTACGCTCGCCGGCCCCTCCCCTCACGATCACCAGCCAGTAACCCACGTTGTCGCGGGATGCCATCTCCAACTCCTCAAGGGAGCGGAACTCCTCGGACAGCTCGGCGCTGAGGCCCGCCGCCCACAGGGACGACAGGACCTCAACGCACGAGGTCTTCAACGTCGCCGCGTCGAAAGAGGTCACCAGGATATCGCACCTGGTGAGGAGTTTGTTGGCATCGGCCGCCGCGGGTCTCGACGACTTGCCGTGCGGGTGCGGCTGGACCTGGCCGCGAACGTAGCCGACCAGGTCCATGATGTTGAGGCGGAATCCCGCCGCCCGCACGGAGCCCTTGTCGGACTTGGTCTGGTATTCTTGGATGAGCGCGTCGTACCGCCCACCCACCGCGAGCACCTTCCGGGTGTTGCTCTCCATGCATTGGAACAGGAGGCTCCCCCGGTACAGGTGGTCGGAGTTGTTGCTCAGCGGCGCCACCAGGACCTTGGTGTGGATGTTCATCCGTCGGAGAAACTGGATGACATCGTCGAGCCGTGCCAAGAGAGGCAGCGCCTTGCTCAAGTGGTCCGTGTCGCCGAAGAGCTTGGTCAGCTTGGTGCGCACCTTCTCCAAGTCGCCGTCGAAATTGAATCGCGACAGGTCCGTCACTGACGTCTCGGCGATGTTCATGGCTGAGCTGCGGAGCTGCTCCCGGACTTGGGTCCAAGTCGTCGTGCCGGTGTTGAGGTGAGAGAGCGCCTGCTTCACCTTGGAGATTTCGTCGGGTTTGATGCGGCAGAAATCGAGGATCAGGTTGATCAGGTCCGCGTGATTGAGATAGATCGTCCAGTTGCGGACAGCGAGTGCAGGGAATTCCTGGAGCATTTCATCTAGGATCTTGATCACTTCGGCTTCTTTGATAGACAGATCTCTCGCACTACGGGAAACAAAGTCGAAATCCACCTCGGGCACCTGTCTCGGCTCATTGCCAGGTACAGTGGCGCGATAGACGACTCCGAAACAGTAGGTCTTGGTGAATTGGCAGGGATTTTGTGCCAGAGTGCGTGCGAAGGGGAGAGTGAGGTCAACGGGCAATTGGACGACCAAGCCAGACGGATCGAGGAACATTGCAGCGTTTGCATAAAAGTCCTCTTTCGGGATGATGCCTTGTCTACCAGCTTCGACGGCGCCGTGTCGACGGAAGATGATTTTGAGCTGATCACAGACATAGATCCACAGCATAGAATCCGCGGGCGACATGCCATGCGCTGTCTTGTCCTCCCAAGCAAGGCTGGATACGGCGTTGTTCGGTTTGGCAAACAGATTGCTGACCCACTCTTGATATTTCTCGGGATTCTCTGCTGCAACCTGGTCAATGTAGCGTTTCAACTTTTCTTCTTCCACCGGTTCCGGGATGAGTCCGCTGTCGAGGAGATCTTTCGCGGTCGGCCTTCGGTTCTGATCCGGATCGACAAGCTTGAGAATGATTTCACCCTGTCGACGATGGACATCCTCCTCGAAAAATTCGGGTAGAACAGGTGGCACTCTTCTCAGCCCGTCCATAATCTTGGCCTTCTCCATGGCGGAGGTAAAGGGATAGCACATTTCGAGAAACATGATTCCAAGTGAATACATGTCTGCACGACTGTCGTAGTGGCTTCCACGAATGTAAAGCTCAGGGGCCGTGTAGCCTTGTGTGCCCAGTCCGGTAGAATCCGTGATCACCATACCTGGCTTGGAAACATGTGATTTGGATGTTGCTTGACCAGCAGTTGCAAGTCCGAAATCACCGATCTTGGGCGTGTCATCAGAGTCGAGAAAGATGTTTTCCGGTTTGAGGTCCCGATGCACAACACCGTGACTATGGAGATGCGCAAGACCCTCGACGATGCGTCGAAATAACCGCCAGACTGCAATCCCATCTGCAGACAGCCCTTGTGCGATGCGATGTCGTAGACTCTGTCCGTCGCAGAATTCCATCTGTATGTACAATATGGACTGTTCGTTCTGAGGTGGTGAACGCGAGCGGAACGGTGTCATGAGACGATTAGATTGAACAACTGGGGAATCATCACTGGCGAAAGGGTCGGCACCTAGATCGCCGTCATCAGCAGTTGTTGATGCGAATGGATCAGTAAATTCGTTCTCTTCCAACACAGCCTCGAGCTCGCTGACGTTGAAGCGATCGTCTCCGTCATCAAAGCCGTATTGCTGGTCAATCGAAGGTGGTGCCTGATAATCAAACATCCCACCCTCAGAGTCGCTGTATTCTGCACCCTGGTTGCGGTAGACCGATGGCTCCATGAAGTCGTGGCCCGTACTGAGAGCTGCAGCATGTGGTAATGGTCGCTCCGGGATAAGGCGTTGATGCATGTCTTCCACTTCGTCGTGTTCAGTCTCATACCACGCATTGTAATATCTGACGATATAAGGGTGGTTTAGCTTTGCGAGCAGGGTGACTTCACGCAGAATGTCTTCCAGCATCTTTGTGGAACTGCTCTCGACCTTCTTCACAGCGTAGTATTGGCCATCGAGTTTCCGTCGTGCACGGAACACTTTGCCGAATCCACCTTTGCCAATTCTTTCTAACTCTTCCCACTCATCCTTGTATCGCGATTTGACATGTTTTTCGCTGTACCGTCTACGTCGGTTCGGTGTGCTAGGCATGTTGGGAGAGTGGTTTCGAAACATAGCCTCTCGATCCTCGTAGAAGAATTGCTTGCGACTCAGCTCGAAGGCAGTCGGACGGTTGTTGGGGTTTGTTTGGAAAAGTTCTTCCATCAATCTCTCGGTACTGGATTCAAAGTCGACTCCTTCAAGCACGTTCGACGGTGAGGTATACATCTCCTTAACCTGATTGCCCAACGCCATCTGCATGATGATCACGCCGAGATCCCAAATACATGTCTTGTTGGTCCGTCTAACGTTCTTGCTGTTGAGCTCCGGAGCAATCCACAATGGGAGGTCCGTATTGGGTTGAGTGGACTGATCACCGGCAGCTTGGACCAGGTCTTTCAGTTGAGTTCCGTAGCCATCAGAGAGCTTAACTGTGAGGCCACCTGTTGGCGATAGAAACAACATGACGTTGCCAGCATGCAGTGCCGGATGCACATAACCTTGTTGATCGAAAAACAGTAGAGCGTCCACCATTTGTCGGGTCCATGACCGTATTTTTGCAGCACTGAGTGGCCCAGCCAGGGCAATTAATGCTGCGAGAGAGCCTTTGTTGGCAAATTCGGACAGAATCGAAAGCCTCCACTGGCCCGGGCCGTCGTTTGATTCCAGATGCTCGATCTTATAGTTGATGAGATCGACAACATTTGGGTGACGATGTTCCTTCGAAGACTCCAACGCCTCTTCGACCTTTTCCAGGCACTTTTGTAGTTCACCTTCTTTGCCGCTGATGGTATCAGGAAGGTATATCTCTTTCAAGAGCAACTGTGGAGCTTGGACACGGTCGGTATCGACGCGTGGCGCAACGATTGTGATCTTCTTGTCTTTGCGTTTGAGAATGACGGATCTTCCGACAACCGATTTGAACTTGAACGGGGCTGTTGTCGACGTATCTCGACATGTCATTGATTGATCAAATCGGACAGGCTCTTCAGGGACATCGTAGAGATCGGCGTTTTCTTCCGCCGTGGTCTTGCGAGTAAGGGTGGTTTTTAGGCGGCGTTGCTTCTCGCTTTCGACCTGGGACTCCAGAAGCTTTCCTTTCATTTCAGCTTCTTGAGCTTGCCGTCTTCGCTCGCTCTCGGCCTGTTCTTCGAGCTGCTTCCTTGCTTGAGCTTCTCTAGCAGCACGCTCCTCCTCAAGACTGAGTTCTGTTTTCTTTGCCGCCTTATCGGAGATGGTTTGTTCCAAGAAATCCATAATGGCGGCGTTGACCTCGTAAACAGATTCACTTCCCTGATGTTGACGCGGAATCGTGGCTATGAGCTGCTCGACTTGCCGTTTGATCTCTGGATCTTTTGGTTGGATCTCAAGGATATTGATCTTAGGGAGGACCTTGGGGTATTCGCGAGGGAACTCAAAGATCAACTTGGCGAAGTAGTTGCGATCCTCGAGAGGTCCAATTCTGACTTTAAAGGCTAGGTTTTCTTGTGTCTGGGGCGAAGTAAGGAAACATGTTTTGCAGGGTGCGCTGAGGGACTCACCTTCCAAGCATCCTTCCTGCCACGGACCCTCTCAAACTCATCAGGGTAGATCGCTCTCGTGGTCAGGAACTCGTTACGCTGGACTTCAGGATAGTCTGCGATTTCTTCCTCGAGTCCTCGATGGGATTGTCCGAAGGATGGCGGAGCAGCAAGTGATGGCTCAGTCTTTGGAGCTTGCTCTTGAGGGATCTTTGCCCGCCTACGACCAGGCATGATGAAGGATCAAGTCAGATCCCTTCAGGGATCTGAAGTCCGCTGGTCGTGCTCGTTGCGTGTGGAGGGAAAGCTTGGCACGTGATCCCGAAAGGGGGAGGTATGCCTAGGCAGCCGCAGCGACAGCCGCGACCACCTACACAGACATCTTGTGTATGTTCTTTTGACGGATTGGTATGTTGTTGTTCGTGGTTTATGAAGAAACAAAACAATGACTGGGTTAGAGTCACATCGATAGTATGAACTGGAGACACACAACTTTATAGCCAAGACATCAAAGCGGAACAACAATATTCCGAGTGGCCGACTTCAACCTTCAATTTGAGGAACCGGCGAAGATGCGTTGCAGCAGTATTTCTCATCCACGATATCTTCCTCTCTGCTCATCAGAGACGCACAGAGAGAGGCTTTCGGTGAACTGAGAGTTCTTTATCCACTGCTTCTTTGTGCAGTGCCGGTGGTTTATGTCCGAGGGAGTGCCTGAACTCACCGATCGTCTGTTGGACACGTTCGGATCAGAGCAGTCAAGATGGTGAACATTACTGAAAAGATCAAGGAGTTCGCCTTCCCCGTTCTTTGTGTGGCGCGGCCCGGAGTCTGACTCGGTTCTAGGATCGAGGCCGAAATGGCCCGAACTCAAAGTGGGTGACTCGAGCTCATGATAGATCGGTTGGACCAGTAGCTGATGGACTCGCAGAAAACAAAGCAACAGGTTCGTGAACAGACTTGATAGTGGCGACAGAGCAACTCTGACAATTCACGCCAGAGTATCACCTTGGTCTGCTGAAAGGGTAAGTCTGATTTGTGATTTCGAGGTTGAGCGCCGTGCTGTTCTGGGCGAGGTAGGAAGAGATCAAGCAGCCTCACAAAGAAATGGCCCTGCACGTGATCCCACACGTGATTCTGTGTTAGTCACGTGCACCAGCCTTGCCCCTGGATGGGCATACAAGGCTGGGCAACATGCCAGGAGCAGCCATCTCCTTCATAAGAACACCATGTTAAGAGGCTGCGATGTGTCGAGGTGCTGCACATCCACATCTGACACCGTGACTAACTGTTGTTCAGCAAACTCGCCCGGTTACGAGCACAGTTACTCGAGCCAGGACCAGGCGCCGGATCAGGCGGTGGTACAGGCTTCGACGTGTCCAAGTCTGGTGACGCTCGAATCGCTCTTGTGGGCTTTCCGTCCGTGGGTAAATCGACATTTCTGTCCAAGATCACCAAAACGAAATCCGAAGTGGCAGCATACTCCTTCACGACCTTGACTGCCATTCCGGGCGTGCTCGAGTACGGTGGTGCTGAAATCCAGATACTGGACTTGCCCGGCATCATCGAAGGAGCCTCCGAAGGCAAAGGCAGAGGAAGACAAGTCATCAGCGCGGCGAAGGTAAAGTGGGCCGCACAAAACCATATTGTAACGGATTACTGATTCAGCTATTTGTGTTTTTCAGACATCAGACCTGATCCTCATGGTATTAGACGCCACGAAACGAGCCGAACAGCGCAAGCTGCTCGAAGCCGAACTCGAAGCCGTGGGGATTCGACTCAACCGCAGCCCGCCGAACATCTACGTCAAAGCGAAGAAAGCCGGCGGAATGAAGATAACGTTCCAAGCACCGCCCAAATATCTGGACGAAAAGATGCTGTACAACATCCTACGAGACTACAAGATGCTGAACTGCGAGGTGCTGGTGCGAGACGAGAATGCGACGGTGGACAACTTCATCGACGTGATCATGAAAGACCACCGCAAATACATCCGCTGTCTGTACGTGTATAACAAGATCGACAGCGTCACGATGGACTATCTGAACGAGTTGGCTCGTGAGCCACACACGGTGGTGATGTCATGCGAGTTGGATCTGGGCATTGACGACGTCGTGGAGCGCTGTTGGCACGAGTTGCGCCTCATCCGCATCTACACCAAGCGGCAGGGCATCCCCCCGGATTTCAGCGAGGCGTTGATCGTGAGGAGTAATAGCACGATCGAGGATGTTTGCGACCATATCCACCGCACAATGAAGGACACGTTCAAGTATGCCTTGGTCTGGGGTGCTAGCGCGAAACACATTCCTCAGCGGGTTGGACTGGGACATCCTGTTGCGGACGAGGACGTCGTGCAGATTGTCAGTGGATGGAAGGCTTGAGCAAGCGATGAGCATATGGCATGGCGTTCATGGGTGGGTTTGGGAAACTTGAATCAGTACACAAATAAGACAGCAGTGCTACTAACCAGCTTGAAGATGGCAGTGAATGTGGCTTACTACCTCATGCGCACTGGTGGTCAAAGTGACACACTGATTCGACAAGATGACTGTATATTCTGTGGTAGCATCATTGTCATATAAATTGTGCTGACGGACCCAAACTATCTCAATACCTTCCTCGGATCTAAACTGCTCACATTCGCACTGAGGGCCTTGCCATCGAAGACAAATTCGCTCATCAACTTGCCTGTGCCCGGTCCGTTTTGGATGCCCCAGCAGGTATGTCCCGCAGCAAGATACACCCCTTTAGTCTTGGTCAGCCCGACCAGCGGACCTGCGCCGGTCTCCACCTGTGGCAGGTAACAAGCCTGGCGGACTAAGACTTCTCCATCGCGCAGCTCGTCAGATAAACTTGCACAGTAGTCCACAATATCCTGACAGCGCGAATCATCGACTTGGACTTCGGCAGTAGATTTCGGCAGGGGCGCAAGATGGTCCCCTTCGCCGCAAGCGTACACTTCATTGTTTGGGCGAGCATAAACTTCGGGACTGACGCTCATTGCCCGCGACTTGGCTCCTTCCTTGAAATTCTTCGGCAGTGCAAGCTGAGTAAACAGACAGTACGCCGAGACCGGACGTGTCGGACGGATGGTGACGCTGTGGGCTCTCAGGGCCCCGATCGGAGTTCCGGGCAGAACAGTCTTGGTCCAGGGGCCGGCGGTCACGATGACATCGGTTGCGGAAAGAGACTGTTGCGAATTTGTGGCCTTATCCGTGTATTTGACCGTGTGCTCTCCCGATGGAGACGACTCGATCTTGTCGACGCTGCCAAGGATGATCTTGACGCCCTTCTCTGCGGCAAGTTCGGCCATGGACGTGGTGAATTGGTAGGGATGGACTTGTGCAGTGTCTCTTGGGGAGCCCATGCTGTCGTAGCCTTGCACGCATTCCTCCGCGACCCAGTCGAGGTCATCCGGCATCCCAGCCTTGCGGAGATTTGCGTACGACTCTTTGCTTCTCTTCTGCAGACTCACGTTGCCATCACTTGACACATCCGGCCGATGCAGGCCTCTGATGTCGTCGCCCTTGGAATCCCCGTTGGCGGATATCTTGGGCTGGTTGCTCACATGGCGACCGACCAGATCGATCTGTCCGACGTGGACTCCTCGATACCCCCAACGTTCCACGCCGTTGTGTTCTCGGGCGAGTTCGCCGTGCAGTTTGAAGCTCAGAGGCACCAGGCAGGATGGGTAGGCCCATAGGGCTATGAGACCACCGGCTTTGCCCGATGCACCACTGGCAATTCCAGTGGCTTCGATCAGGTGGATGGAATGAAGAGCTGGGTTGTATTTGGGGTGGCGGGTCAAGAAGTATGCCGTCGTGCTGCCAATGATTCCCCCGCCGACGATGACTATAGATCTTTTTCCTGGTTCCGCCATGGTGTGTTGAGGTTTGGAGGAAAGTATGGCTTGAACAACAAATGAGAAAACAACTGCGATAACGCAAATACCTTGAACGCGGAAGTCTATAGGAAACAATGCGGATGAAACAAACGCAAGCGAGCGGAATCTTCGATTTCTCTTGTCGGCGGTTGACGATGCCGACGGCGATGGAAATGACGTCACCGGCAGTATCGATATCTGTTATCTATTACTAGTATACTGCAATGGTAGAAGGTTGGATCTACCTCTTTCTATAGGTCCCTTCAACTCCCTCCACTACTTTCCATCAGGCCATCACACTTGCTCAGGTTTTGTGTAAAGATCACAATCGATGTTGTGTTGGGCTTATACAATGCAGAATACAAGTCCGCCGACTTCGACTTCCCATGACTATGACACATGTCAAGTTCGCTCGCGATTCCAATTTCATCCGATCGAACTCCGATCACTGCTGCCATATCGGTGCGCATCATGCTTCGGAAGCCTCAACACGATGAAGACCTGGTCGATTGGACAGATGTTCGAGTACCCCGTGGTGATCACAAGCTTCCACTCAACAAGTACCGATTCCTTTGTCCTGCGATGGGCAAAGGACATGGCTCCGCCGCCATTGTCAGCCCCTTTTGACCATTGTTGCCTACTTCCTCCTCTATGTGACCAGGACAATGCTATGTCAAAGAGTCTTTGAATTGATGTATGGAATGGCTACAGCTAGGTCCTTTGTGCAAAGTCCTACCCTAACACTTGACGCAACAACTGCAACATAATAAGTCCGTCAAGCATCTTGAGACCGGAGGAGCATTGGACATCCCGCAAGTTCACAGATCATAGCTAATTAGCCCAGCATGTCATCAATTCACAACTTTGTAAGTTCCCCGCCCCAAACTGACATGCCTCAGCCCGACCTTGTTCCATTGCACCCCCTTGAGGGATTCGACATCCATCCCCTATGGCGGATCGAGGCATTTCGATTGGAAAATTACGTCAGTCTCCTGCCTCTTCCCCTTCTTGACAAGAGCCAACATGACTATCTACCTGCATTGTACGAACGGTTGGAGCCAGCTTTGAAGCTTGCCACTCTCTTTTTGAAGATCGTCCTCCCGGCTTTAGCCAAGATCAGGTATGCAATGTTCCGGACTTTTGGTTCTGGCTCCCAGACCGTACGGATACTGAGCGATTCCTGGAGGGTGACAGACCACAAACTACAGAGTTTCGAGCGAGAACTTGAACGAATGTGTCGCTACTACCGTATCACTCTGATCGGCGCAGGCGAACGTGATGTGCCCGATGGACACTTCGAGACAGCAATCACAGGGTGCATTGGCAACGATGACAATTATCCTACCTCCAAGCCGGTCATTGTGCAGTCGGCAATCACCATTGATTGGCTGCGTTACCTGACTTCAGAGGGCTGGGATACCACGGACGCCACCGAGAAGTACAGCAAGTATGTGCTCATGGCCACCACACTTGTCCACGAGCTGGCACACGCCGTTTGGTGCCATCGTATGCTACCTCTTTTGAACGTTGAATACCAATATAGCGGCCAGGTTACTTTTGATCGACCAGAGCCAAGATTCATGTCGACTGATGGATTCGAAGAGATGGGCTATGTGATCGAGCTGCAACTCTTCGGAGGCCTGCTTGCGTTTCCGCACCTTGGAACGCCCACGACTGCAGAAAATACCGTTCGCCAAACACCAGAACGGCTTTTCTTGACCATCGTCGACATCGACGGCCGAGCAGCAGCTGTTCATGAGTTGACCACCGAGACCATCTTCTCATTCTTCCATCCCCAGACCTGGGCCCGCTTCGGAAACCATGAGTCGCCAAACTTCAAACTCGATCTTCTACCGGACATCAGACGGCCAGGGAGGCACATGTCGACCGTCCTGTCGGACCCGCCGCCACGAGACCTTGCCGTGCCAATCATCCGGTCTCCGAGGCCTGACCGATTGGCAGGCGCTATCACCGAGTTCAATGAGCTTTTTCAGACATTTGATGTGCCATTCATCCGATGTCTCCAGCCTCACCAACTCAAGCCTGCCATCACCGAATATAACGAGCTTTTCCTGGTCAGTACGCCACGGTAGGTACCACGGACACTCCCACATTGGAAAGATAGGAAGGTGTTGAAGATTGATGTGATACTCGTCTCTCGAATCTCGGAGGATGGTAGGTACTACAGCGAACTCACCACTCAAGATTGCTGGAACTGCATAAGCCCCATTCGACTGGTCGTTGACGTTAGGTAGGTATGGCATGCTGTCCTCTGGCTGCCTCAAGGTACGTGAATTATGCAAAGGTAGGTAGGTGTGACAGGCAGTTCTTATCTTCACGAATCCACAATGATCATTCTATTTACCTTCTCAAGGAACGTATCGCGGTCTTTGCGTATCTATACATGCAGGAGAAGTCAACGTTCCGAGAATATATCACATTGATTATCCGCATAGTTCCCAAGTCATCCATCTCAAGCGATGGGTCCTGGCACCGAAATTTACAAAGCCTAAGTCGTCCAATTTGGCTTTCCTGGCTCTCACGTGTTCTGAACGCCTGAGAGAAGCTTATGGTTGAACTGTCTAAGACACAAAGGCATGCTCATGACCCCTTGTAGGTCATGGCTTTCTCTTTGATCAGACTTCCATTATGATCGGCATTGTTCACGACGACAGCTCTGTGCTGGAGTCTTTCAGGTCCAGGTCTTTGTCTGAATGACTGCCCTCATAAATCATAATCAGGCCTTGAGACACTATCAACAGGTATGTATGTCTACGAACAATTCAGCCATCTTTATTTCCATTTGTTTGTGAATTTTCTCCTACTCTGTCCGAACGACTCCCGACTGAGTGATCCATCAACACTCTAAGAGTCTTTGGTATCCAACATCTTTCTCAGGCAGCAGTTGCACCGCCTGCAACTCCCGTATCGTCGCCTATTCTATCATCGGCCCATCCTTAAGCTGGAGAGAAGGTCCTGCGAAGTTTCCAACCAGAAACCGAAGCTACTGACACCAAAATGGGATCAACAGCAACATCTGCTGTTCCGTTATTCACTTTGTTGGGAATGATCCTCCTAATCCTGCCTTGTGCCGCCGTGATGGTCACAATCTACCGACGAAAGCGACAGCGCCGAGACCAGCCGCGGTGCTCACGAAGCAACATTTCTGGGACCAAAGACTCCAAGCAGACGGGTCCGAATTGGTCTAATTCAATCGAGATGCAGACAGTTCGGCCTCCACAACAACCACTGCCACAAACATCGATAGTACCACCCATTCAGTTTCTGCCGCGGGAGAACACCCCCAGTCAGACTCGCACACTGATGCCAACGCCACCACCGCAGGCCGCCGGTGTGGGAAGTAGCCGATTCGCACTACAGCCCGTCCCAGCACGAGAATTGAGAAAGAACAAGAAGACGGAAACGAACACGAAGTCGCAAGCGGCTCCTGCGCAGATAAACGCAACTTCAATGTCAGCAGCAGAATTGCGCAATGCGGCACACCAGGTCAACATTTCGCCCCGAATGGGGCGGCGAGTCAAAAGCCAGACCGTATCACTTGAGGATATCGCGTCCACGGTCCCGCATGCTGGGGTGGCATCGAGCAGCGAGAGTGCCGATGTAGACGGGTATCAATTGAAGCCGGGTTTAGAGATAGACCATGAAATACCGCATCAGGTGCCGAAGGGATGGATCTGAATTGGACGCCCAAGTAAGATGGAATCCACTGGTGCGTAATGGGGAATAGCGGTAAATGGACATATAATTTCATGATTGAGAAGCCAATATCTGTTCAACGCTTGAGCGCACATCTTAAATGCGTACAAAGACACGATGTGTATATATATTCCAGTCTGTATGTTCTACCTGATCAATGACTGTCATCTAATATCGCTGCTTGTCGGGCTAGGGCTTCTGAATTCCCCATCCAATCCAGCGTTTGCTATAATATATCAGGCAGGATATATATGAAGTATCTTACCATCTTACCAAGCCAGCCGAGCCCAGCCCAGGTCAAGTTCATCCATCTTACTCCAGCTAGGATATCACAGCATAGTATAGCATAGCATAGGATAGCATCTACCTAATCATGTACACTAAACACTGCAAATCATACAATATGAAACTCAGCCCGCTTCGCTCCAAAATAAGCCCATTTCGACCCCGCCTGCGCAAACGTCGTGATTCTGGCAGGCGCTGATTTCGGTCCTGGAGGCAGATGTTGATTTCGATTCCGCCCCTCGCTGGTATATAGATCGATGATCTCATGCATGCTATTTCTTTCCCTCCCTCTTTCCTTTTCCCTTTCTCTTGCTGCTCGAGGAGGACAAGGTCGACTTGGCAGAGGATGGATCTGTGGTTTTTCAAGAGCCCCTATAACAACAATACCTTTCAGATCTTCGGGGAGGGGTGGAGGATATTCTGCTTCTGCGACATCTTCTTCTTCCTCTTGTTTCGGTTGATCTGGTTCGTGGGATAGAGCCGGGTGGGTTTCTAGCAGCGCTTCACCCGGTAGAGGAGGTGGGAATTCTGCTTCTGGAGTGGGTGAGCGCTCGGGGATATCCATCGATGCTGTTGGTATGTTTGAAGCTGAGACTGTTCCCTTCTCTGTTTCTGCTGCTGCTGCTGCCGCTGTTAAAGGTAGAGTCGATTCGTTCGATTGTCCAACCATTTCCCGCCGTCGTCTGCGGGATCGTAGGTGGCTGGTGATGCCATGGTATATTGCGATCATGAATGTTATGCTGGCGACGGATACCACGGCTATGAGGATGACGAGGGCTGCTTTGGGGATCATTGAAGTGAAGAGGTCGCTGGCTTATGAGATCGAGATTGAAACTGAGGCTGGGACATGTGGCATGTGGTATGGTAGCATATAGCATATAGAATATAGTAGGTAGCATGTAGTATGTGTGTATATGTGCTGGGTGATCGAGAGAGGCTGTGTAATGGAAGAGAGACGGTCAGCGCAGGCATGGCACATGAAAGCCGATGATATTCTCGACACTTGAAGAGCTTGAAGTTCTCGATATTGGGTAGACGGGGGACAAAGAACTGCTGTGCTGTACTGTGCTGGTTAGAGTCTGAAAGTCCACGAACGACCGGTTCGGTTCAAGAATGAACAAAGAGAATGGACCGTTTCCGGAGGTCAAATGCTCGTGGGTGTAAGCATGATTTCTCCCTCTTCGGATCAACCCAAGCAGCTTGATGAGTAGTACTAGTCATATCGCCCACTGTGAGTGAGAAGAGAGGGATCTCATATGCCGCTGTCGTTTTGGAATGGTAAAGCCTGTTGTGTTAAGCCCAAAGAACCCAATGCGGGACATGGTTATTTTGTGATCGGGTTCGCAATGATGCCTCCAAAGATCTCATCCCCTTCGGCTTTCCGAGCATGTTTTCTCTTGTCACGTCGCACCTTCATGGCAAACAGGTAGACTAAGGCAATGATCAGAACGATGCTGGCGAAAATCGCAATGACAAGCCAGGCGATAGGAGACATTTGGAGGTCGGACTGCATGGTGGCGGGGCCTTTGGAATGTGTGTGTGTGTGTGTGTGTGTGTGTGTGTGTCCGGTAACAAATGTTTATATTTCAATTCCAGTTCGGATTCACAATTTCGATAAACAAATGTCAACAAGCTCGAGACTTGAGAGGTGGTAGATAGGGAGACTAGACGTCAAAGGTATACTTTCCTTCTGGGCCATAGTTTCTGAAATAGTGATATAGAGAGACTCGAGACCAAAAGGCCCTGTGGATGGATCATGGTGTCTTCCTTTGTGGCTATTTTTTGTATACAAAGCAATTGTTTCTTTGTCTAGTATCAAGACAGGCGAGAAGGACTTGTACATTGTCACTTGTGCGTTTTCGGCGACGCAGCTGATTCTGCTCAAGTGCTCGATGCAGCTTGACCGAGGACTTGGTCTCCATCCAGAGTAGTGGTGATGCCATTCTCAACCTACCTGCTAGGATGATGAAGCAGAAGACCTGGTAATTGACAGATCAGTCCATGAGCGCAGAGCTGCAGAGTCCAGTATGGCATGTTTGCTAGGAGAAGTGGAGAATTGCCAGCCACTTGGACGCCGCTCGCTGGTGAGGATACTCTCAAGTTAAGATGCTCAGCTAGTCAACGTGGGAAGAGGAACAAGCCTTGCGTCTGGAGTTGAAGAGGGCGAAGAGTGGGAGACGGCAGACAATAGATAGCAGATATATAAGAACGGTTACGGGAATGAGTTGCCGATATCCGATATCCGATATCAGGTATCTATTTAATCTAAAGATATGATCCATCCATCCAGCTAAGATAGATATAGATACGGCGGACCTGCTCTGAACGGTATACATACCGCCTTGACCAACCCGGAGTCCGCCGACCGTCTCGCCCTTATCTACTCTGTACAATCCCTATCCCTGGTGAACATGTTTGGGAACGGAGCAGATATTCTCAGTGTCTTCACGAGACATCTACTTTGCAGACCAGCAATATAGCACTCACCATCACCACCGCTTCGAAGAGTGATATCGTAGCCGGCCAGACGGATCCGAACTAGACTGAGACTCATTCGGCTGATGTACGATCCCCATCACCAACCATGACAGAGTCTATCCCTCTCGTCTCATTCGAGAACTTCCTCACCGGCGATCGAGCCGCACAGGAAGAGGTGGCCAACCAAGTGTACGAAGCCTTCTCAACCGTAGGGTTTATCTACCTCAAAGATTTCGGGATTCCGCAGTCACGGATCGAGGAGATCTTCGGATTGGTATGCGAGAGCGAGACAATCAAGAATCTCTTTCTTTGCTATTCAATGTTATAATGTTTGAAGAGTCGATCGAACCAGGACTAATGTACTAACATGAATGTATCATATCAGGCCAAGACATTTTTCGAACTCCCTCTCGCCGAGAAGCTCAAATACAAACTCCAAGACCCAAGTGTCAACCAGGGCTACACAGGCGACGGCGCCGAGGGCCACAACGACCACAAAGAAGCGTACGAACACCGCCGCTTCATCAACGCCCGGTGTCCCGACGAGTCCGAGCTGCCCGGGTTCCGACGGACTCTCGACGACTTCTACAAACAATGTCTCAGCCTGGCGATGAACGTGCTCAAATGTCTCGCCATGGTCTTGAAGCTCGGCGACGACTTTTTCACCACCATCACCACGCGCGCCGACCCGCAACTCCGCATCCTGCATTATCCGCCCCTGGAGCGAAGCGTGATCGAGTCGCAGGGCCACGCTCGAATCATGCCGCATACGGACTACGGGCTGTGTACGCTCTTGTTCCAGGACAGCACGGGTGGTCTGGAAGTCGATCCCTATCACACCGGCAAGTTCACGTCTGTTCCGCCGATTCCGGGGACCGTGTTGGTCAATATCGCCGACCTGTTGCAGCGCTTTACAAACGGTCGGGTCAAGTCGACCAGACATCGCGTCGTGAGTCCTCCAGCACATATTTTCAGGGGCGAGGTATTGCCTCCTAGGTACAGTATCCCGTTCTTTGTGCATCCGGACCCAGAGACGCTTATCGATCCCATTCTGCTGTACGATGGGGAACAGAAACTGTATGAGCCGGTCAATGCGAAGGAATATAGGGATTGGAGAACAGCGAGGAATTATCGCATGAAGGGGCCCGAGGGGAAGAACTTTGAGGTGGAAGCTAGAGGTTGATTGCTCGAAATGTCTGTGGTTAGGGTTGTCTAGGAGTGATGGGATTGATATTGGAATGTGTGTTCATGATGGAGGAGCTGCAGCCTAGCCTCGTGACGCTGCCATGAGATGCTGTGTCGAATTAGGCCTCCATCGAGAGGCTTCTGGGGTTGTTGTCCATGACGAGAGACAGGAGACCTGAGAAGAAGGGTGTTTGGGATGACATGGCGTATGATCCCGAGCGAATTGTCCTCAATGTGCCGCAATACCTAGAAACTGTCGAACTTGATGCCCTGATCTGAGTATCTAAATAATAGGCCATTTTGGTAACTTGACTTAAGCGGTACTACTCTCCCGCGCTAATGCCACTAACATCTACTTCAGCAGCACTAATCAGGGCTAATAACGGATAGCAGCTCAATAATTATCTGCTAGTACTACTAGTCAGGTCCCTACGGTTGCCTGCGTCTCCCAACCTCCTTTATCGATAGAGACCGACGTTTGAACCGCGATGGTTTGCTGTCAACCTGCTGCCATCTTCACCACCAAACCCCCAATCCATCCCCATTTCAATCCCATCCTATCCCCTCGATTTGGACACGTATCTGGTTGGGTTGTCACGTTCACTACCACCTTACCTAACCTAAGAACTCTCTGCGCCTGCGAAACATAACAACTCGTGGCTCACTGTCCTTGCGCATTCCATCCCGCATTCCACATTCCGCAAAACGCACACACCTCTCCGTCCGATTTGATCGAAAGACCCCTCCTTCAAGATGTCGACGTCCCTCTTCGTCTCCTCGCGTCGCATAGCCTCCCAGATCCCAGGCTTCACATCTCGCGCCGGGCGTGCATTCTCCACCACTCCTCAATCCCAGCTCGCGCGCATGACGCTGGTCGGCCGTCTAGGAACGGACCCGGAAATCAGCGAGACCCGGACGGGCCATGTGATCAAATACGTGGTCGGGAGCAGTTCGGGACCGAGGGATAATCGCCAGACCTCGTGGTATAGGGTGGCTGCGTTTCCGCCGGAGGGGCCGCAGAGGGAGTTTGTGATGGGGTTGAGTAAAGGGTGAGTTTGAACAAGAAGAGAGAGAAAGAAGAAAAGGGAAATTTCGGCATGCTAACTATTTTGGGTGGATTAGAACACTTGTCTACCTGGAGAGTGATGCGACGATGCGCACGTATGAGGATGCCGACGGGAAGAAGCAGACTTCGTTGAATCTGGTGCAGACGCGGTTGGAGGTGTTGAAGAGACCGCAGCCGAGAGAAGATGATGGGTCATCGGGCTTGTCGGGGGCTTAAGCGTCTCTCATACCGACGGAGTGGAATGGAATGGAGAGCAATGGCAAGTGGGGTCATCTCCTTGAGGGACTTCAGTGTTGAGTGTTCTTCGTGATCGTGATATATTCATGTGTGGGATTACTGAAAGAGAGACTTGAATTCCTCAGGTGTGGACTACTAATGGAATGCATTCATATGTACATTTATGTTCGCACTCTACTTGAGAGCGAGATGCCTCGGAGGGGATATTGTGTCGTCTTCTGAGCCTGGCAGGAGGGGAGGCTCTCGTGCGTTATCACCACTCATCACATTGACCTTAGACCACCGTTGTCTGTTGACGGACGCCTCTAAACCACTGAAATATGACAGACTACTAGTACTCCGATCTTCTTGCAGAATCTGGTTGAGCTCGTGTATTGTGACATCAATATCTTCTTGTTCCACGCGGTAGCCTTTCCTGGCCACCTCGGATCAAGTAGGTAGACACTCGGTGATACTGCGTTCTTCCTGACGGTGTGGGCGGCGTGACTTGCCAGGTAAGATAGCCCGACTTGGTAACAAGCCTTGTATCCCCTCCAGCCACGACTTGTACATTTTTGTGGCTTCCTTGCCTAGGCCAAAGAAGGCAAAAAATACAAAGCCCGTCCCAATTTGTGCCCAGCGATCGAACGTAAGCCTTCCTGAGGTTGGGACAAGAATGATCCTCTCAGACCAGCCTGGAGCATGGATGAATGACCACGAATAGTCATGGTGGTGGATGCTGATGTTCTGCACGAAACTGAGGATGGCCAACGGGCAGTAGCCGAGCAACAAAGTAAACCCCAAAGCAAAAAGGCGCAAGAACCGAGAAGCCGTGACTCCGGGGGTATTCGACAGCACAGACGACATCTCCTTTCTGTGTCTCCAGAGACGGACGATCGAGATGGCACAGTAGACACTTCCTATCACACAGAAGACCATCGGCCACAGGAAGATGAGGAAGACTGTCGGCCAGCCCAGGTCAAATGAAGGCGTGCATCCCGCCGACGTCCTGAGCCAGTATCGGGAGTTCTGCACCAGATAATGGGCGGCCATGACGAGAACAGGCAGAACTATGCACAGCAAGACCTCGACGGTGAGCCTGGATCGGCGCTGTCGGGCACTCGGGGTGACGGTCATATGTTTCGTATCGAGGATGATTGCGGTTTGGCGAAAGATGCTTGCAACAGCGCCGTCGGCCGCCACGGCAATCCCGACGTAGTTTTCACTTCGATGTCACATAGGATCTTCCCTTTCCACCAGCTGTAGCGGTCTTCCGAGGCCCATATGAGAGTATTGACAAATTTTTGGATGTTCAGGATCGTGACGCCGAGGATCAGGACCGTGGCGGCAAAGTTTCGAGCCCGGAAGTGGACAAGCAGGGGCGGGATAGACACAATGCAGGCCAACAGTGCGACGAGGGAGATGGTGATTCCAGGGGCTAGCCAATGCATGTTGCGTTTTCTGTATTGAACGTCGCGGATCTTGATATGCTGCTCCAAGGACTGATAATAGGGAGAAGCACAAAAGGGCCAGGTACAGAGAAAGCAGAACAGAACCCGTAACCAGAGAGGAGAAGAGCCTACCGACAGCATCATGTTTCGCAAGATGTGGCCCTCTGCTGGGAGACTGCGCCCAGCACGTCGTCGGTGTAGCAGCTTGTTGGGTGAAGACCATGTCTACCAGAGACATATTGCCCAAAACGGTGTTGAATAAGGACCGGTGCTAGCGAGGAACCGTGCAATATAGCAACACATACAGCATGATGCCCTCGTTCGGCCTTCATTGATTGATATAAAGCCTACCTTCAACTTTGTCCGCATAAGAGAATTGTTCATCGTTCTTCCGCTGTGACGAGGCTGTACTGGGAGCGTAGCAATGGCATGGGGAGATGAACCCTCCTGAGAAGTCGCGGACGCGTCTGGCCATGCAGCAATCTCTCTGATGTGGCCATGGCAGGTGTCAGGCTTATTAGTCTGATGGCTCTAGCAGTCAAAAGTACGTGTGTACTGTAGATTGGGCTCAACCTCAAGAGAGGAAAGGAAGAACAGACGTGACGAGCAAAAGGAGGCCAAGAAGTAGAGGCCGGTTCGGGCCGCAAAAGCCGGGGGTGTCTGACATGAGCCAAGAATATCCCGCCTTCCGCACCAATCAGCTTTGCCTCCTCCGCATTTTTGACTGACGGTGATGGTCAAGTGCAACTTCCTTGTTTGCAGCTGAGGTTCCTTCCCCTGCCATCTTCTCTTCCCCCTTCCCCCTTCCGCCTTACTTCTCTCCTTCTTCTCCCTCTCCTTTTCTGGGATGATTTCTCCAGCGATACCTGAACTACTATACTATCCACATTGATCTTTTTCTGTTCCAAGTCCACCGATCTCATTCGAAGCATTGGCAGAAGTTTGTTCATACCACCGTGGCGCTTTGGGGGCTGTTGCGTTGGCATGTCACGTCCTTGACTCATTCCTGTCCCACAGCATTTTCAAGTTCTCTGGAGCACCACTGGCGACTTACCTTCCAATTCACCATCTACTCAATCCCTTGAGGCGAGAGCATCAGGTCATCTTTTTTTTTTCGGCCTGATTTCTGGGAAATAGTGATGCAATAATGCGTCATCAACCGTCAGCCTCATTTTGACTGCTTTTCATATTGACCCTTCAACGCGACATCTGTGGGCCTTGACGAATAAGGTGCTTGGTAGCACGTTCATTTCAGCCTCATTATGGCATCGGAGAAATCCCCGTCGATCGCCCTCCCGCCACCGATCCAGACTGGTCGCCGAGTCAGTCCTTCACCACTTGGCTTGAGACAGCGCCCTTTGGGGCGAGCGTCCACCATCATAGAAGGCAATGCACAGCTCAACCGGCGGCGAAGCTCCTTTCTCTCCGAGAGTCTTTCCGAGACAAGAAAGTCTTTTCGTTCCTCCACCGACGATATATGGTTGCCGCGGCCGAAAGGGACCACTGACCTCGAGGATGAGGATGACACGTCCCATTGGCAGTCATTGCCTCTTGTTCTAGCCTTGCTTCCTGCGGCAGGTGGCTTGTTCTTCACAGATGGAAGCGCCATCATTACCGATATCACTTTACTCGGTCTGGCGGCTATCTTCATGAACTGGGCTCTCAGATCGCCATGGTAAGCTTGGCCTGTTGTTGTACCGATCTTGGAAATGAGCTGATGGAGTTTCCAGGGACTGGTATCGTGCATCTCAAAGCTCGGTCATCGCCGATCCAGTTTCTCCTACTGCGATTACCCCGATTGACGAGACTGACGAACAGCAAGATCCTTCGGCGACAGAGGGTGGTGCCGGAGACGAGGCCGCCCATGCCAAATCCAACCGCAGGGCTGCCTCTGCCGACACCTTTGACAGGGAACGGACATCCGCTCAAAGAGAACTTCGCATCCACGAGGTTTTGGCGTTGCTGTCGTGCTTCATCTTTCCGCTGATGGCTGCTTGGCTTCTTCACGCAATCCGGGCACAACTTTCACGCCCATCCGAGGGACTCGTCTCGAACTACAACCTGACCATCTTCATTCTGGTGGCGGAAATACGACCACTTTCTCATATGATCAAGATGGTACAACGGAGGACTCTGTTCTTGCAGCGACGAGTGAATGCAGAGGTTCTGCAGGAAGCAAGCCAATCAGACACCCAACAACTTCGGGACGTGGCGCATAGGTTGGAGGAATTGGAAGCTCATATCGCGGATCGCATTGCAGGGTCTGGGGAGCAGTCGACTGACCAAGCTGGTGATGTGCTGGCGGCCAAGGCATCGGCATTGGCGACATTAGATGTGAGAAAGACCATGCAGCCCGAGCTCGACGCTCTGAACCGCGCCATGCGACGATACGAGAAGAGAAGCACGATTTCGTCAGTGCAGATCGAGGCGAGGCTGGAAGACCTCGAACTCCGATTGAATGACGTCGTTGCCCTAGCTGCCGCTGCTCAGCGGAATGTCGATCGGCGGCCAGACACTTATGTTGTCACTCTTACCAACTGGGTGTGCGCAGCCATCGTCTTGCCGGTGCAGTATATGCTCTATGTGGCAAACCTGCCGGGGAGAATTGTGACTGCGGCGGTCGCCCTTCCCAAGAAGTATCTGGCCACAAGACGCAGACCCCAGACCACGAAGGGAGGCCGCCCGTCTCGGAAGGTCGCTGTGCGGCCGATCGAGCAAGAAAGAAGGCTCAAACCGATGCAGTAACACTTGAAGGGGTGTACTTCCATGTCGGCCAGGTAGCCTGACTTGGGCAGGAAAACATGGTATTGCTTGATGAGGCTTAAAATCTGAATGAGAAGGAAGGTCAAGACGATTCAACTTTCGATCCCGCGCGACCTGCTTCTTTTTTCTGCCGCACCCGCAACCATTGTTTATCGCATGTTTGGTGCGCAGCCTGCGGTGACGCGATGCTCTACCCGCCTCATTTTCCTGTGATACATCAATCCTCGCAACACGAGTTGGTCATGCGTTCAATGTAGTGGCAATACTCGAGTCTTGGAGCCCTATATCCCCTTCTTGGGCTCGCATTCTCAGTGACGCCGCTTGGCTTCATTTCAGGAAAGCTGACATATCGTTTTGCTCTTCTCGTACTCCCTTCGATTCTTGGTTGTCTTGGTGGACGAGAGGCTAAGATAGGGCAACTCCTCCATTGGAGAACTCACGCCGTCATGCCGCAAGCCCGCCTTCGCGAGGACGATGGCATAGTCGTCAACAAATGGGTCGACATCAACTATGATGCCAAAGAGGCTGCTCGGACTCTCAATGGTACGTATCCTCTTGTCTTCCTTTGCCAAACCCGACTGACGCTCACAGGTGGTACCCTACCATATTCACCCGCCCTTGTCACCTCAGACTTCCCCCACAAGCACGAATGGAGCAAAGACAACTTACCAGAGATCTTGTTCTACCTGGTCCCTCCAATCAGCCGGTTTAGCGACATGAAAGTTGAGTTGCTCGTCGAGGATGGGCAGCGTGTTCTGGGTGACCGAGGTGCTCCTCTCCGTCGCTTTGAGATCTTACCTCGTCACATCAGCGTCGACGTTGAAGGTTAGGAACTTTTGACTGCGGTTGCACCAAACCATTGACGTCTAGCAGGCTGGCTTATCGAAACCTGGCGTCGCTTGGACCCACGGATCCGATTCCACGACATCCTCGACCGCATGGTGGCTGACCCAAGCTATGGCGGTGGCATTGGTCTCGTCAAACCCAATCCCAACATTCTTCAGAATTACTGTCGTCGCGGCTGCCGCAGACTCCTGAAGTCGTGGACTGAGCATGGAAGAAGACTTGAGGCGCATCGTGCCGGCGTCGAAGCCCTCGAGAACTTGACGTCACTGAACTTCACCTACAACACTGTCCTGGACGTTTGTGAGCTCATGCCCAACCGATTGGTGAAGGTCAAGTTCACCCAGAAAGTCCCGCACGGTCAACTTCGCGTTGAAAAGCAAGAAGTCAGCTTGGCCAATTGGGAACATACCACGCTTGCATTGGACCACTTCGTCAAGGACGTCGCTCGGGGATATCATAGTCTCGTGGATGAGGCCCAACTCGCAACCTGGGAGTTGTTGTTGATGCTTCAAGAGCGGGCTCGAAAGCATGGTCTTCCGCACTGGTCTAAGCTGCCTAAGTCGTGTCTACCTGTCACCTGGTTTGACCGGACCCGTATCAAGCCTCGGCCCAATGATACTTTTGACGGCGGTTGCGACGTGTGTACCTGGCGACCCACAAGTCAGACTGATGCAGAAGCAGATGTAACCATACCTGCTACTGCTGCAACAAGGACAGTCACTCCTAAGCCTGAAGTCACCGAGCAGAACCGTGTCGCACCACCCAAGATCATGATTCGTCTCAAGCGGCGTGCACAGCCTGATGGCGATGAGGAGGGTCAGAAGGCAGCAGAGCGAGTGAAGAAGGTGAAGAAGACGACTGTGCGAGCGGCGACTCCACGAGCAGCGCGGCAGCAGTTTGAGGTCATCAACAACGTCAGTGTGAACGCAAACGCGAACGCAAATGCAAATGCAAACCCCAATTTCAACGCAACCGTGAATATGGCCACCAGACCCAACACATACTGGGTGCAGGCAGGGACTGTTCAGACTCCTCTCGGACCCCGAGGCGTGTACTATGCATACGCATACCCACAGGCGAACGCCCATGGACGCCAACAACCGCCTTACTCAGACCTGCCTGTGCATTCCTCGTCAATGTATCCTGGCTTCGACAATCTCGGTAGTATCCCTCTCTCTTTCAGCAGATCGAGCTATGGAATGTTTGACCCGGATGTCGATGACGGGCTCAACCTTACTCGACACCCTTTTCCTCAGCTGTGATTCTGCATCAGGGGGTTGACGGTCTCTTGAGTTTATGATGATTATCCATCATCAGTCATCATTGCTCAGTCTTCTTCGATCTTCGCTTTCGATCTCCGGTCGGTAGTCTTCGGTGATTGGAGGTCGGATGTTGCAGATTGCAGATTGGCCTGTGGGAATGGCCTTGAAATTCGTGATTGTCGGACGTGTCGATTTTGTTTCTGGTCAATGCATCCAGTCATGCGACGAACTCAGGATGGATTGTGTGGCAAAGAAACCTTGGCTACGAAGTTGTCGAGGTACGCAAGTGCTTGCCGGTTTTGAGATTCTTGATGAATGAGTGAGAGAGCTGTGGCTGAATGGCATAAAACAACTTTCGAGGTGTATTGCTGTATTTCTAGCTGTCCACTCCAGTTATACCTGAAGTGGCTTCGTTTCGAGATAGTGTATTCATGATCATTCAAGGTACCTACGGCACGGACCAACAAGAAGAAATTGTCTGATAAGTTTTCTGCTGGCAAGCTGTTATGTTCATACTATTGACCTTTCCCTGCGCCGAATTCTTTTCTTTGAAAGACGTTCGACCTTCTTGGACCTTCTCGATTACCTACACAGGTCATCCTGACATGGAAAGATCTAATCTCCCGGAGGGGAGGGTTCGAATGTGGGCAACTCACGACATGGGGAACGGGGTTCTTGGATCGGTTGTAAAGCTTGGTTGTAGTCTCTCTCTCCTTCTCTGGCCCTAACCCAAAAGCATCTATAGGCAAAGCTCCGATAAACAGTCCCAAGTCGAGTCGACCCCGTCAGAAACAAACAATTCCCAAACCCAAGGGGGTATAGCCTCCATCTGTCTGTATTATACTTTCCCCTTGTCTTTCTGTTTGTCATTCACTCTCTTCAAGATTCCTCATACAGAATCAAACTGTCCAACGAACTGAATCCGGCCGCGACCCCTCCCTCGTCGTTCTCCTTGCCCTTGGTGCGCAGCAAGAAACCCCCTTCGGTGTTGTGCAGGATCTTGGGTCTTTTGGAACCCGAGCCTGAGCCTGAGGCTCCGTGTATCGGCGTGTTCCTCCAGAGACAGGTGCCAAAGATGCCGAGCTCGGAAACGACGTTGCCGTGCACCACGTGGCCGTCGCTGCGGAGGACGGTGTTCTTGGCTGCTGGCGGGGGCCGGATCAGCTCCATCAGAATGTACTGCTTCCATTGGGAGCGGGGGATCGAGTTGAGGAAGGGTGGGATGTTGGTGCGGTAGATGTTGTTGCCGCCGCCTTCGCGCTGGGGCTTGAGCACGTGGTTGGCCGCGGTGGTTTCGGACAGGGCTAGACGGATGCCTTCGGACTCGATGTCTTCATGCTCGGTATCTGTCTTGGTGTCTGTGTCTGTGTCTGTGTCTGTGTCTGTGTCTGTCTTTGTCTCTGTATTTGTGTCTGGATTCGCTGAATCGGATGATTCTGGTGTAGGTGATAGAGCATATTGGGGTGCAAATGTGGATCGGAGTTTGTCTAGTGCCGCGGTCGGGTGGTCGGGGAGGAAAAACTTGAGATGGTCAGGACCGGGTGGTCGCGAGGTTAGGACTTGTTGGACCTTTTTGGAGCCGGACAGGTGCAGTAGGATGCTGGGGCATTTGATGGCGGCGCTCCGTTCGAGGTGGTGGCGCGCTGCCCATGAGGTCGGGCCGTCGTATTCCGAAGGCGCGTACAACGCGCGAAAGTAGACGACCGTCACTTCGTACTGGATCGATGGGGAAGATGGGGGCGTGTAGATCAGCGGTCGAGCTCGGTTGGTGTCGGTTCGTGGGATGGAGGTCAGTGCGAGGATTTTGCTGGTGGGCAGGCGAAAGGATGGGATCTTGTGTTCTTTGTACAGGTGCGTGGAGAGCGCGAGTTGGTCGAATATGTTCCGTTCCGTGTCCTGCACCAGGAAGAGGATGCAGGTCGGTAGCGACGGACGGGATTTGGATGACCCGTACGCCTCGTGGGCCGCCGCTAGGCCGGCGGTTAAGGTGGGCACTGCCGTGTTATGGGGAGGATGGCCGATGGATTTAATGGAGGGTAGTTTGTCGGGCGAATTGCCGAAGAGGGGGTGCCGAGGGTATGCCACGGGATGGCCTTGGGAAGGGTAAGTCGCTAGGTGGGTGTGCATTTCGGTGACAAGGGAGGCGAGGCCGCCAAAGGAGGACGAGATGGTGTTGAACTCAACCTGCTTCAGGGACGGCGGGCCTCGGCTGTCGTCTGGAGCGTCTAACATATAGTCCGAGCGGAACAGGCCCAGCGACATGTTCTGGACGTAGCCTTCCTCTTTGACGGCTAGATGGATTTTCCAGAGATTCGCTAGGAAGTCGTCCACCTCGAACAGTCTGCATGGTGAAAAGAACGTTGATGTCAGTAAAAGGGAATGTCCTCTCAGTGAGCAATTGGAGCCCGCTAAGGTTGCGGGGGATTAGGCTGAGCGGCTACAGCGACCCCGAAATTCTGGTAGTCCGGGAGCTGATAGCCACCAAACAAGAGGGTTACGTACTCTTCCATAACTCTCTCAAGCCATTCTTCGTCGCTGGCAATGGCCGCATATAACTCATTGTAAGTCTTCTGGAGACTCCGGGCCTGGTCGAAGCACGACTTGGAGAAGGGGCTGGGAAACAGAGTGACGGGCGCATTCGTGGCCAGTACATGATTCGGGTTTGCCTCTTCAGACACTATAGCGCTCGATGGTCGGACCGCCAATGCATGCTCTATCGACCAGTTCTTGACCGTCTGCACCAGGTACTCCTCCTGCTCAGGCGTCAATGGCGGGGGGTAGTTGTGGTAGATTTCGTGGACCATCTTGGTGCGCGTCCTAATGAGGATGTTCTTTGGGGCTGCATGCAAGAGACACTCTAGAGAAGAAACCTGGATTGGAGCTAAATCGGTATGCAGGGTGGTTTCTGGAGCTCGTGGTGTCCGAGTCGTTCAAGTTGAGGAGAGATACGCAAAATGAATTTGCGACGTTGAAACAGAGCAAGGACATTGGAAAGGTTGATTGCTGAGTCAGGGGGCAGCGTCACCTATCGCGGCACGTGACTGGGATTGATAAGGGTCCAAGGGTTCAAGTCTCCCACGTGCTCGGCTAGATTAGACTCCGTTCGGCAAAGCTGCCTTGTGAAACACGCGAACCACTTTACGCGCTTGCCTTAGAGCCCTGGGCGACTAAAGCAGTTAGTGTGAGATTTAGTGAATTGTAACCCTACTAACAGTTGCGAGTTACTACGACGATATGATATGATTTTGATGGGCGACTGCGTTTTCGCCGTTGAACAGTGAATTGACTGCGTTGTTCGCGTCGACGGTGCGTTTTGTTTTGTTTTGCCCTCAGTTCTAATTCACCATCATGAAAACATTCTCTCTACCACCTCGCGTTCTGTACCAGCACAGTCTTTTCAGTCATTGCCTTCTCGCAAGCTCTGATCATTGAAAACCACTGCTCGTGCACCGCCTCATGTCCCTTCCACGACGTGGGCCAGGTAGTGTCTCCTGCATTGTTTCTGTCTCGAGCGACTCTCTCTTTGCGAGCCTTTCAAGTTCTCAATCAAGTTCTCGCAGCTCTTTATTGCAATCACTGCGCCCTCACTTCAAGTTGTGACTTACTTGCCTGCGCCCCTCTTCCTGCGTCCTCCCTCCTGCGCCTCTTACCGCGCTGAAACACTGGTTCACAACCACCTCACGACACCTCTCTCTACTATCTCATGGTCAAGTCTTCTGGGGGTTTTTTGCTTCAGTTACTCCCTTGATCCTGCAACTCACAGACCACATGAGCAAGTATGGAGATGTCTACTCAGTCAGACAATGACCCTCGCAACTGGTCAATTGATCGAGTTGTCTATGAGCTTTGTCAAAATCCAACCCCAAGATGGTCTACTGCAGAGGGGCCGCAGTTCATTCCAGACCGCCACCTTCTGGAGGACACCCTGCGTCAGAACCATGTCGATGGAGACAATCTACTGGTGCTGGACATGGGCGCGCTCAAGGATGACCTTGGTGTCGCGTCATTTGGTCAGAGAAGAGCCATCATGAAGGCCGTTGAACACTTCCGCTCTTGGTCCCCAAGCTGGCAGGATCTGAAATTCAACCAAGATCGGATCGCGAAAATGCAGCAGGAGCTCGCAGCCTTCAGAGCCCAGCAGGAGGCACCCCTCCAGCAGTTCATCCAGTCGCAGTCGCGTACATCAGCTGCTCCTCTTAGTACTTTTGCAGGACCGGGGACCTTCCCTTCCGTCCAGTCTGAGCCTCTCACACCTTCATCTCTGTCTCACAGTTCTGCTGTTCAACCACGATTGGGTCCACAGAAAGGCGTTTTGATGGAGATACCTGACAGTGTCTTCCCGGCGCCTGCGCCTGTCACCACTCAGTCCTCTTTGCAACGCACTGTGCCAATGCCTTTGGATCACCCCATGGTCGATATGGGTGCCACAAGATCGGCCAGACCTAAAGAGCCCGCCACGGCCAAGGTCTTCCAACCAACTGGTGCACCTCAGAGAGGGGCCCAACAGCATGCGCTCGTCAAGGCCAAGAAGAGAATTGTACCAACATTTGTCCCACAGACAGACAAAGTCGCTGCCGTGGAAGCCGCCGGTATCACATACCTATCTCCTGCTACGGTGCCTGTGCAAGACATCTTCTTTCACAAAATCTTGACGGACTTTGGCGACATCTTCTATCGCACCCCTGTTGAGAGCTCCGACAACTTTGTCATCAGTAGCCACGCCCCTAATGGTCGGAGAAGAGATGTCGCGAAACGTATCCGACACTTTCTTCGTCAAGATGTTATTAAGCTCCCCCAGAGCAAGAATCTCATCAGACTTCCTTACAGCTCTAGTCGACTTCAAGAGTCAGTCTCCGAACAATACTTCACCATGTTCCCACAGCCTGGTGGACAGACCAGAGTGTACCGTGTGGACGACTTCCCAGAGGTCAAGAAGATCGCGGGAGAAAAGAATATCCTTCCTGGCACTATGGCATTGCTGACAGAGCACGGCTCCAATGTCAATGGGTCACCGCTCAAGGACGGCTCGGACAAGAAATCTGATTGGCACGATTTGGATTACTTGCTTGACAAATATCCCGTGGCCGGTTCAGATGAAGCACTCCCGGTCTATGGAGATTCTGGTGATGAAGGAGAGCTTGACGAAGCGACCTGGCAAGAGATCCAGGACGAGCGCAACGAAAAGGCCCGCGAGCTGTCGACCATGACTCGTGCTCAAGTCGAGGCTGTCATCGACCAGACGGTGGAAGAGATGAAGCAAGACTGGCGCAACACCAAAATGGTCAAGGCCCAACTAAAGGCGTATCGTCTCTGGATGCAGGCGGCCAAGAAGAAGAATCGTCGAGACGAGCTTGACTACATTGACCGCGAGAAAGCCCGTTTCGAGCGTATGAAGAATAAGATCAGACAGGCCGTGGCTGATGATATCTGGCGGACACCAGCTGAAGTTAAGAAACAATGCCAGAACATCGAAGTGGCAGTCTTTCAATACGAGGAATTTGAGTACTATAATCAAGTCCTCCACCAGGACTACCCCCCGCCACGTCCGAGTCCAAAGGCTCTAAAGAAGGCATGCAAGCACAAACAGCAAGCGCTGGACGATGGTGAGGAAATCATTGACTCAGAGTCAGAGCGTCTGGAAGATGATGCAGCGTTTGTGGTACAGGAATCTTCTGATGGCGGCTCGATTCGTCATGAGCCGGATCCAGATTGGAATCCTGTTATTCCCGACACCAAGAAGGACACAGACTCTCGGGCGTCGACAAGCCATACATCTTCCACTCCTATTCATGGGGCCGCAGAGGACGCAGAATCGGCAATGTTGATCGACTCTCGAGCCAGCGATGCGGATGTTGATAGCGAGACTAGTGATGACGAGATCGTCACACCTATGCGTCGCCGCAAGAGATACGATGATAACTCCAGTTCTTCCGACAATGTCGAGATCGCCCCGACAGCAACCAACGGCCTGCTCAGCCTGCCTTCACGCCCTCGGAGTAGCGACGCTGGTTCAGACAACTCCGATCTGGACCGGTTGCCCCGGCTTCCAAAGTCCAAGTTCCGGACACAGGGTCGAAGAGACACTGAACCTGTGGATCTGACCTTTTCCAGTCCTGGCCCAGGAAACGACTCTGCCACTAATGAGGTCAGCACTGGCACCGGCACGGACTTTGAGGTAAATACCCCCGAACTCAACCCTTCCACAGAGCAGACGCCAGAGAAGCCACGACTTAGAGAGTCTAGTATCATCTCGTTGTCGTCCACTGTGGATTCTATGCAGTTATCCCCTCAAGACGACTCCGGATTGCCTCATATTGAGGACATACGGGGCGTGCGGGCTACAGATTGGGCCCAGATTGAGAATCTTGCTGACCGACACCGAGCACTGGCCAAAGCTGTCTATGAACTCGACCCTGAACACGTTAGTGGGTTCTGCATGTTTGTTGACTCCCTAAAAACCCACAGCAAGCGCAGAGAGGTCATCTTCGACGGACTGCTGGCTTTCCATCGTGGGCAAAGTCGTAAAATCAAAGGAATCGAGGACAAGTGGCAAACAATGGCTCGAGTTTTTGTTCTTTTCTATGTCACATTTATCTGTGGACACCAACTCATGCACATGTTGTCAGTGTCTCCTGTGCACATCGATCGTGCATTTGAGGAGATAGGCTCCTCGTTTGATCGTTTCTACGGTCTCCTGACTAGGCTCCTTGAGAATCTCCTGCACGAATTTGACTACCTTGACAAACAACAAGGCACAAAGAGAAAGAGAGATGAAGAGAGCCTTTCTAATGCAGAGATATTGGACAATGAGATGGAAATTGAAGATATCTCCAGCGATCCACTGGGTCGTGATGGTCCTTCCTCCGCCCACAAGAAGCGGAAGCGCAAGGTGGTCGAAAGTCAACAGGCCCTCGATATGCAGCAAAGTGATCAGGCGCGAATCCAGCAACAGGAGCAACGACGCCTAGAGATGGCCAAGAGAATGACTCAAATGGCAGCGTCAGGAGACACTCGACACCCGATCAATACCACCGAGCCTTATGTCTACCTTCACTCACACATCTCCAATCGTGTCAAGCCACATCAACTGATGGGCATTCAATTCATGTGGCGGGAAATCATAGAAGACCCCAAACATCAAGGTTGTATTTTGGCACACACCATGGGCTTGGGAAAGACCATGCAGGTGATCTCTCTACTCGTCAGCATTTCGTCCTGCAGCAAGAGCAGCGACCCCAAGGTCAGAGGCCTTATTCCGGCGCAACTGCGGAAGAGCAAAACCCTCATTCTCTGCCCTGCTTCCTTGGTCGAGAATTGGCTTGACGAGCTGATGTTGTGGACCCCTGATCCCTTGTTTCTAGGTCGGATCTACAAGATGGAGTCATCAAATCCATCTGTACTTGCGGAGTGGTCTAGGCATGGCGGAGTCTTGCTGGCCAGCTACGAGAGATTCCGGAGAATGATTTCTCTGAGCGCAAAATCCAAAGAAAAGGGAGAGCACCAAGTGGTCGACGTGGAAAAGATCCTCTTGGAAGAACCCACACTGGTTGTTGCGGACGAAGCTCATAAGCTGAAGAATCCGGGCTCTACGATACACCAGTACGCCAAACGATTCAAGACGACGAGCCGCATTGCGTTGACTGGCTCGCCGCTCAACAACCATCTCGAAGAGTATTACACCATGGTGGATTGGATTGCCCCTGGTTACCTTGGGTCGATTGTGCAGTTTCGGTCCAAGTACTCGGAGCCCATCATCGAGGGCCTGTACAGCGACAGCACGCCGTTTGAGCGACGGCTGTGTCTTCGCAAACTCCATGTGCTCAAGCGAGATCTGGACCCGAAGATCAGTCGAGCTGACATCTCTGCCATTGAGAAAGACATGCCAACCAAGACGGAGTTCTTTATTACCGTGCCACTGACGATGCTGCAGCAACAGGCATATGACATCTACGTCAAGTACATGGAGGAAACTTTCCGCCTGACAAAGGGGAGGGCGCGTAATGCGAGGATGTGGGACTGGATTGCCATGTTGTCATGGCTGTGTCATCATCCGTCCTGCTTCTTCACGAAGCTCAATGAGCGCTTGGAGAAGGATGCTGCTGCCGGGCGTCACGAGGCCAATGTGGCCCTCTCTGCCTCTGCGGACGAGGGGAATGATGCCACGGCAAATCAGCAGGCCGACAATGCACCAACACCCGAGACCGTGAAAGAAGATACACAGGTCGACACTTCGGGTGTATTGGGCGAAGCTATGCAGCAAGTCCTACAACTCTTCCACGAATCCAACTATCCCGGCATTTTTGAAGAGCCTTCTTTATCTAACCGTACACTCGCAGTGCAACAGATCCTCAAAGAAGCGAGTGCCATCGGCGACAAGACATTGGTTTTCACACACAGCATTCCGACCTTGAACTACCTAGAGAGGATGTTAAAAGACATGGGCCTTCGCTTTTTCAGACTGGACGGAGGAACAGACGTGTCGACGCGCCAGGCTTCCACCAAGAAGTTCAACGAGAAGAATCAGAGTGACGCCCAAGTGTTCCTGATCTCGATGAAGGCAGGCGGCCTTGGCTTGAACCTACAAGGTGCAAACCGTGTCATCATCTTCGATTTCAGCTTCAATCCTTCCTGGGAAGAACAGGCCATTGGTAGAGCTTACCGTCTCAACCAGAAGGCGCCGGTGTTCGTTTACCGGTTCCAGGCTGGAGGTACATTCGAAGATTTACTCTTCAACAAGGCTGTCTTCAAGACCCAACTGTTTGGCCGTGTGGTGGACAAGAAGAAGCCCAAGCGCCATGCCACCAAGTCGAATGTCGACTATCTGTTTCCGGTCAAAGACGTTCCTCAACAAGATTTTTCTGACTGTCTCGGCAAAGACCCGAAAGTCCTTGACGTTGTCATTCGGCGCTTGGATTGTTTTCGCGGCATTGTCCTGACCGAGACCTTCCAGAAAGAAGACGACGAGCAGTTGAATGATGAGGAGCAGAAAGCCGCGGAAGAGGAGTTTCGAGACCAACGTCTACTGCGCGAGGACCCGGTAGCATGGGAGGCCAAAGAGGCGGAGCGTCGAAGAAAGGAACACGAGCAGCGGAGGAAGGAAATGGAGCAGCGAGTACCGGCCCAATCACAACCGACGCAAGCACTTTCAGCACCTCAAGCACCCGGGTCCGTTCCACCGGTGGCAGTCGATACCCGATCTGCCTCTTCCTCGGCTGCAGAACAGCATCACCGCCGTGTGCAGGCAAGCCACGCCCAACAACCTTGGATGACGCCCTCGCCCCATCTCTCCGGGCCTGCAGGACAGGTAAACACTTTTTCTGCTCCTCAAGCCTCGATGATGCCTCCCCCTTTCCGCCGATCCGACTTTGACACTACACCATACGGTCAACCAATGCCTCCTCCCCCTCCACCAGCACCACCTCTGCCACCACCACCGGCTGGTCACTTTCTTGCACGTCGTCAGCAAAACACCCCTCCTACAGTGCCACCGGCCGCTCCTCAGGGCAATCAGCCATTCCTTCAACCCAACACAACCCCTGCGCCTACTGCTGATGCGGCCAAGGGCGATTCTGACGTTGTGATGAACGAAGGATGAATACATAGTGGCGGACATGCTCCAGTCTCAGTTCTCATACTTGGAGACGCACCACGTGCATGGTCGTGAATGATCAAATGGCAATCGAGATCGAAGCAGGGAAGAAATCATCCAGTTGCGAGCATGGTGGGTGAGGATGTGGCAAAGACGAATGGCCGGAATGAACGACATGGAGAGAACGGAAGGTGTTTCACAGGAAATTCATGGAGATGGTGCTTTTTTTCTGTCTTTTTCTTTTTCTCCCTCTGTTTGACTGGAGGGGTCTTGTGTATGTGTTTTTCCCTGCTGTCATCAAGAGATACCCCCTTTGCGAGCATTGTTGCAGGCCGATGAGCAAGGCCGAGGTGGATCTGCAACCAGAGCTGCCGATACGTATTACGAGTTTTCGATGATTGTACGAGCAAATGAGCAAGCGAGAGCATTCGGGCCATATTGCCTGCAAATTGCAATGGATGACCATGGTTGCAGCAAATACTGAAGCCGTAGCTGTAGATAGATGAACAGCAAATGCGAAAAAATTGGTGGAACCAGTTTGATTCTTGTAGAGCATATTGAGAGATGTGTGTTGTAGTTGGGTAATTCAGCCTGATGTTGGCAGCCTTGCAGCATCAGGCAGGCCATCAACTACATGGAAATAAGTCATGAGTGGCTATATGTAGTTTTGTGTAAACCGTGGGTCGTGGAGGTGACTAATGACATTGTCAGAGTTGGGAATTCTCGAACTCTCAGATATAATACTTTATTATCATTTTTGATCTATCTTCTCATGAACGACGCGGGCGAGATTTAACAAGTTCGCGACCATTGCGACCCACTCCAGAAACAATGACACTGACACCATATATCTCTCCAAACGTGTTTCTGCATATCCCGCCATCTCTGAGTCGAAAGCGAAGAAGAACAAGAAAGAGCCAAGCTGGACCGGTCAGCCTTGACGCAGAATCGGAGGGTCTTGACCATAGCACTGGCACTGGCTCCCAGACCAGCTCTATCTCTAACTCCACCTCTACACCTATTGTTTCTACATCTTCTACAGCTGATCCGAATGGATTCAAGTCCGGAAGCGAGCGCACGACTCGGCCTATCCGGTCAAATCAGTCCAAAGATGGCCGGCCACCAAGGCAGCGACGGCAGCGTCTACAGGTGACGCTTGTGTTCTTCATCACGGGAAATCCGGGGTTGGTTTCATATTATCATCCGTTTCTATCATTGCTGGTCGAGAACTTGGGGCAGAGGAATGGGGATGCGGATGCGGATCGGATTAAGGCCAGGGGTGATTTCGTGGGTCGTGAACATGGTACGGGCCGTCGTCAGGGCCGGGATAACGAGCAGCACTTGAGTCTGAAGCAGAGCGGTGAAGAACAGCAGCGAAGCCAGAAGAGAAAAGAGACAGATGATGGAAAACAGTCTTCAGATTATGGTTGTGATACGGACCATGGTTTTGATGATCTTGATGATGATCATATCGTCGTAGTCGCGGGCTTCAGTCTCGGTGGGTTCGACGTCGATGTCAATATCGATGCCGATGCAGGTGTCCAGGACAACGTTAAGGGTAGTCCTTGGACTAAGCAGAAAAAAGGACCGATGACAGGCAGAAGTGGTGTGGAAAAGAGTGAGAATGACAGATCTGAGAACAATGGACGCTGGGGAGCTGAAGGCATGACAAGAGGGGGTTTGGGCACGGTTAGAGACGACTTTCAAGCACATGACCGAACTGACGAAGTTGGAGGGAATATGACTGACGCAGATGAGAGTGAGGATGACCATGAGGATGAGGATGAGGATACGCAGATCAGGAATCTACTGTATCCTCCTCTGCCTCGTCAGTCGGGGAACGGCGATAGACTAGCGGACGACAGGGGAAGCGATGACAACGACAACAGCGATATAGACGACGACGACAAAAACAAGCTCTACTCGCTCCGTGAGCAGATTGAACTGAGTTATGCCCGGGTTGAAAGGTTGGTCGATAAGTTGCGAGAGGAATATCTCGGGTTGTCATCGTCGACTTCGAATTCGGAATGTCGTGGCAATGAGAATAAGGAAGAAAAGCGAGGGGGAGACGTCGACACAGAAGAACATGGACAAGGACATGAACATGAACATGGACAAGAACATGGACAAGAACATGGACAAGAACATGGACAAGAACATGGACAAGAACATGGACAAGAACATGGACAAGAACATGGACA